AGTGAAGGCGAGGGCCATGCCGCCGCTACCAACAATGAAGCCGGGGAAGAGGAAGCGCCAGTACTCCGAGTTGTTGTACTGGTTTGGGCGCGTCATGAGGACATATCCGACAACGCCGAGGACCATGCCGAAGGCGATGGGCCAGCGGGGCTTCTTGACAAACTGGGGCCACTTGGTGAGGGCGATCGAGACGACAAACGCAAGCACACCCTGGGGCAGCAGGCGGACCGCGGCGATGATGGCGGGCTCGCCACGGACCTTGGTGAACGTGTCGACGAGGGCGAGGAAGTTGACACCCCACCAGGCGTAGACCTGGAGCGCGAACACGATTAACACGGCAAAGTTGGGGATCTTCCACGTCTTGGCGGGCAGGAGGGCGCGGCACTGGGGGATCTTGGCTTCCCAGATGAAGAAGGCGGGGAACAGCGTCCAGGACAGGAGGAAGGGGACGAGGAACTTGGCAGTCTTGAACCCGTAGCTCGCGCCCAGGGTCAGGCCGAGCGTGAGAAGGACAATGGCGGAGAGCATGAGGAACGAGCCGGGGACGTCGAGGCGGACGAGCTTCTCGCGCGGCGCCATGTCGGCGTCCTCGCCCTCGTCCTTCGGGATCATGAAGAGCGCCGCAAGCGCCATGGGCAGGATCATAACCGCCAAAAGACGGAAGAACCAACGCCAACTCTGCATCTGGGTGCCGTGTCCGCTGGGGATGAACTGAATGAAACCGGCCACAATCGTTCCCGTCACGTTGGCGATGGAGCCGCTCATGCCGTAGAGCGTGAAGGCGACGCCGAGCTGCTCCTTCGGAAACACATGGACGATGAGGCGGTACGAGGCGGGGATGAGCGCAGAGCCGGCAATACCAGCGAAAGCGCGGAGGATGAAGAAGGAGAACTTCTCAGGCAGGAAGGAGATGACGGCGTTGAGGACGCCGAGGGCGATGAAGCCGCCCGTGAACACGGGCTTGGCAGAGTAGAGGTCGGACACGCGGCCCCAGAAGAGCAGGAAGGAGGCAAACGTCACAGCGTAAGACGTGATAACCCACGACTCCTGCGTGAATTGGATATGCAGGTCCTCGGCGATGGGGCGCGTGAAGATGAAGAACGCGCTGTAGCACCAGATGTCGATGAACATGGCCATGGAGAAGATGGCGAGCAGTCCCCAGCGCTTGCCCGCCGACAGGCCGCGTTTCCGCTCCTCTGAGGCGTCGGTGGCGGCCGTGGCATCAGAGTCGGTGCGGGGGAGGGCGAGGTCGCTGTTGACCTTTTCCGGGAGGGTGAGGGGCGGGATGTCGGACTCGGGCTCGAGGGTGAGCGTCTTCTCTAGCTTGAGTGACTTGGAAGAGTCCTTGAACGCTTGCAGGTCGACCTTGGTCGAGTCGCGGGATATGCGCGAGTCGGACGATGGGGTTGGCGCCTCAGGGCTGAGGGTGGTGGCAGGTGCCACACTGAGGTTTGATGAAGACATTGGTGTCGATTTCTACGGAGGGGTGTATCGAAGGAGAGGGAGTGGTTCAATGGTCTACAAGACTACTCTTTATGCAACGAGTGTCAATGGAGAAGCCGGGAGAGGCTCTTGAAGTGGGTGGGGAAGAATGCATGGCCCCCCACGCTGCTGTTTATGTAGTTTGTCCGGAAGCGAAGGGTGGAGGGAACGGCCACCAAGTGGAGGTCCGAAGATTTGTGAGTGGTAAGTGACCGACGGCGTGGTTGATTTTTCGATGGATAAGCTCCACCAAAGCGAATCACGGCCTCCACTCGATCCCACTCAGCCTCCACCCGCCCCTACATCGTGCGACAATCTAGCCCCCCCATCGTGCGACCTTTCTGCTTTGCATCGTGCGAGGTTTCTGCTCTGCTCTGCTCTTGTGCCTCTGCTGCTATCCTGCCCTGCGACGTGGCATGCTGGAATCATAGCATTCATAGCTACCTGGAAGTACTGGGACAAAGCCGAAATGTCGCTAGCGCGTTATGCGCGTCATGCCGTGTTCTCATGGGGAATGCCATGGTGTGCTGGGAGCCAAACAAGCGCCATGCGCGGCTGAACAAAACCCAATGTCGCTGAACAATTACGCGCCATTCGCTGAGCAAGCAAAGCATCCAAGTCGTATCTCGGATCCGCGTCGAGTCAGGCGGAGTACTCCACTCCACCCTCCCCCAGCGAGTACGCTGAGAACGCCCCTGGGGTCCGGACTTGACCACCAGGGGCTACGGAGTTGAGACCCGCCCGAGCCGGACTTTCTGCCGACTTCATGCACCTCTACGGTGGACATGTGCCGTGTGCCTTGCGGAGATGCACGGCCCGGAGTACAGGCACCGGAGTAGTACCTGCCTCTTTGGGAAGTTTTCCCGGAGCATGTGCGATCTACACGTGATCTGCACTCCGGGCTTGCACCCAATTCGCAGCCTTAATCAGCCCGCCTGGCGCGCCCCACCGTGATTGATAAGCCCCACAAGTCGCCGACGAAATCCATCCGCCCCAGCCTGCAATATTTTCGCACCCAGCCCCCTCCCCAGTTCTTGCTTAGCGAGCGTTGCGTAGTGCGTGTGCGTAGCGCATTAGGCTTGGCGCATACCGCAACGAGGAACAGGTTGGGCACGAGGGAACACGTTGGACAAGGCGATGCATGGCGCAATCCGCAGAAACAGCTTCTAGATACTTCTCAAAACACACTCGCAGGTTCAGATTTCGGGACAAAGCGATACAAAGTTTGATTACTCAGAGACAGGTCACTGGCTTACGGCCGTGGGCGTCGGCTTGGCGTAGGTTTACCACGGCCAGATGATCTTGGGCTTGCACACGCGCTTCAGCCATTCGCGCGCCTCCTTGTCAAGATCATCCTCGAGCAGTGGCAGCAGCGCATCCTGCACCATCGTGTTGTGCGCGTTCACCCAGCGCTGCTCATCCTTCGTCATCAGAGACCAGTCGATCAGGTTGGTGCAGATCGGAACGCGCGTCGCCGGCTCGAACGACAGCCAGTTCGGTCCGTTGTACTCGTACTTGGTCTGCAGGTCAGCTAGTGCTGAAGATCCCGACAGCTCACCTCGACACCCTTGCAGATGTACACCGACTCAATGCGCATACCCCATCGACCCTCGAGGTAGAAGCCGGGCTCGATGCTCGTCACATGGCCTGGCTTGAACGAGAATCCCTTGGTGAACCCAACGGGGACTGAAGTCAGCTACCGCACGACCTGAAACAGCTCACATTCATGCACGGACGAGTAGTTGCCGACACCGTGTCCGAGGCCGTGGCCAAAGTCAAGGCCATCCCTGTGGTCAGTTTGGAGACGCTTGCCAAACTCACTCCCAGAGGAACTTGCGCGAGAAGGTGCCCAGACCACCAGCATCCGCGCCGAGAGGGAAGGTCGCGGTAGCGACGGCGATGTGTCCCTGCAGCACTCGGGTGTAGGCACGCTTCATGTAATCATCGGGCTGCTTGCCGAAGAACCAGGTGCGCGTTGTGTCGATGGTGGCGTCGAGGTACTGAGGTCCAGAGTCACTATGGTTAGCTGAAAAGGACAGACCCGAAGCTTACATGACGTAGGGCGTCTCGAGGTCAATAACGTTCTCGTTACCGCGACTGGGAGCATAGTGCGGGAGCGCTGCTGGTCAGTCGAGGCAAGTTATGTACAACTCACCCGCATTGGGGCCAGTAGCGGAGATATCGGGGTACGCAAGACCGCTTCCTCGTCAGCTGCATCTTATCGGAAACACTTACGCAAACATGTCCTCCTGGCGGCGGTATCGAAGCAAGACCGCAGCGGCGGTCCACTCTCCAATCTTCTTCTCCTCCTTGACGAGCTTCTGCTCCAGGAAGGAGAACCAGCGGACCATGGCACGACCATCTCGGAGGTAGGCATTGCGGAAGTTCTCGAGCTCGGTCTCATTCTTCAGACACTTGGCGTCCTGGATGGGGCACGGCAGAGTCTGAACAATCGCCTGCATGTTAGTTCGCACCAACAGTCGGTAAACTCACAGGCTTGCAGCCCTTGATAAGCGCCCAACTGCTCTCATCGCTGGCCAGAATGCGGACCTTCGACTTGGCATCATCGCCGCTCTTCTTGACATAGGTCTGAACGAACTTCTCGACCTCGTCAATGCCATAGTCACGAGTTTCAACGCCTGCCTGCTTCCAGTCCTTCTTCAACGCCTCATCCTCTAGCTTCTCGCTGTCGACGAAGATGACGCACGCGTCATGGGTGAGTGCAGCGTACGCAAAGGCAACAGGGAGATACGGGATGTCTCCGACGCAACGATAGTTCAGCAGCCAGGCAATCGTCGGCAGCGAGGGAAGCAGGTAGACCCAGCTGTCGGAGCGGGCGCGAGCTGCGAGAACCTTGCGCATACGAGCGATCTTCGAAGACGTCGACTCTCCCGAAAGAGAAGTAGGGTACTCCGTCAGCGGCTCAGTAGAGCGAGCAGGTGGCGTATGAATCTTGTCGACGAGGTTCTCCTTCACGGCATTGAGAGTGGTCGAGCCCGGAGCGAGCTGGGCGTTGACAGAGTTCGCGAGACCTGAAGTCAACGTTCGCTGCACGTGGGTGACTAACTATTGGAGATGAGCTTGGGGTCAATGCCCACTTTGGATCCATCGGGGAGCTCCTACAGCTGTTAGCGGACATCGAAGCAGACACGCACCTCTGCAACATAGTCGACCCATCCGCCGACGACTGCCGAGCGTCCACTACCGCCGGACGCACCGACACGCTTGACCTCCCAGCCCTTCTTGGGCACCTCCTTCTCGGCCAGTACCCAGTAGCGAGAGTCGACGAAGAGGAGAGCTTTGGCGTCCAGTTTGGATGAGGGGATGAGGGCGGTGCCCGCCGATCCGGAGAAGCTGCGCAAGTCAGCTTGTGTCACTCGGACTGCAAGCTGCGCACTCACTTGGAGATGTACTCGCGGCGCTTCTCGCTGTCGGCGACCTCTTCGCTTTGGTGTTCATCCTCGCTGGGGACAACGCTGGTGTCAGAGGGAGGTTCGTGCAGCTACAGGTACTCACTACCAGTCGAGGCCGGCTGACGTTACTTGCTTCCGTAGGTCTGCGAGACGCTGCTGCATTTCATCCTCCCCAGGGCGGTCAGCGAGCAGAGAGCCCTTCTCCTTCTCGCAGTCTGCGTAGATCTGGTCAAGCAGGTCGTCAGCATCGTCATCCGGGAGGCGGATTGGCTTGTCTCTAGTGAGGCAGAACATGTTGGGTAAGTGGCAACATCCAACGCATCGACGGCCAGCGTTAACGGGACCCCACCAGACGAAGCGGCGCGTCACTCCCGGATCAGGTATCTATCTGCTCCCGTCGGATATGGCCGCGATCGCGCCTGATTTTGGGTTTGGGTGGCAAATGACGCACGTCATGACGCCCGATACCCTCCCATGCATCGTTCCTTCAACGTTCTGAGATCTGGATAGGCTTTGACATGGCAATCTTTGTGAGAGCGACAACTCTCCCACCCAGAAGATTGAAAGTAAAGAATGTGCCATGAAAGAAACTGACCGACAAAACTCATTCTCTACGTTTGTATGGGTGAGCTTTGCTGATGTCCTACCCAGCGAGCTCTCGCATTTCCGATTCCTCTTTCAGTTAGGGGTGGGTGAGTCGAGCACAGGGCAGTGGTGAAGAATCGATCTCAGAGCCCGTCTGTACGTAGCCATGCAAACTGGCATGTGCTGTCACAAGTGAAGCGAGTGGACGATTCGCGTGAACTTTAGGAGAGCCCCGTCAGTGCGACTGTGCCATGCGAAGGGGGCGCAGCTTAGATCGACGCCTAGAAGCTCGCCAGGTCACCCCCCCGCAGTTCACCCATTCCTCCCATGGCCTCCCAGCCGTTCGCCGTTGTGTCTTCCTCGCTCCTTGACCTGCTATCAGCTCGAGCTGTGTGTTGCCCGTCTCTTTCCTCTCTCACATCTTTCATCGTCACCACATCCACTGCTTCCCACGCACATATCAACTCCTCTCGACAACACCCAACATGACCATCGAGCTCAAGGACCCTGCAGACACCGTGGCCCCTCAGCCGATCGACCTCCACCCGGTGCAGAACTACACCTTCCTGTGAGCAGCGGGCAATCCGTCACTCTCTGTCTTCCCTCCCCGGGCTAACCTCTGCAGCAACACTTCTGTCCAGCCCGAGGAAGACTCGTCCGTCGCGGAGCGCATGCGCCGTCTCCAGGACCAATACGACGAGACTGGCATGCGTCGTTCAGTCGATGCAGTGATTGTGTGCCATGTAAGCTCCCCGCCCCTTCACTCCCCTCGACCATTCGCCTACTCGTTTCCCTCTCGGCAAACAATACCGGCGATCACCCCACTGACAGATTCAGGATCACGGTGTTCCGTGCATCTTCACCTTCCAGATTGCGAATGATTTCTTTAAGCTGTGAGTCAGGAGAGGCTGAGAGCGAAGCTTGCGCGGATGATCTTCATACCACCCAATGAGCACCGGGGAAGGCCCCGATGAGAGGTCCGAGCCTTACATCATACGCATTAGGAGGTACTGACATCTCAATGAAGCCCTGGAGGTTACCTCGACCCCTCGGAAGATGACGTCGAGGGCATCAGTCGCTTGCTTGAGGAGTTCCTTGGAACTGGCTCCAAGCAGTGGCGTTCGGACCAGCCCAACTGGACTGTCCGCTCACTCCTCGCCGTGTGGTATCGCCCCAACTTCGATGGCTTCTTTGTGAGTAAACCTGTTGCAAGTAATAAGCGCTAAACAAGAGTACCCATACAAGCCGGCGCACGTGTCGATGCCCAAGGAGTGCCGCAAGATCTTCCTCGTCACGATGACTCCTGAACGTGAGTAGTGGAGCACCCCGCCAGGACCAGGCCCATCCCTGACCAAGTGCCTGCAGAGATGCTCGGTGTTCCCCTCAACATGAAGCTCCTGGCAATCCCTATTCACGAATTCTACGACAACACTCAACGCTACGGGCCTCAGCTCAGTGCCATCCCTCATCTCCTCAGTCGGTAAGTACCGCTACAGCGACCTTCTGGCTTGCAACATTCCCCTGCACAATTAGGAGGGGACAGTGCGGGGATAAGGGCACCTCGACGGTCGCCTCGACGGTCCGGCCCATCGTACCGGCATACGCAGTTGATCAGGTCGTCCGCGGGCCGAGTCGCCGAGCGTAGGTGACCGTGATTAGCTGACCCAAGCTTTTCGTTCAATGTCAAGTCCTGAATCGAGACGACTTTCAAGTCCCTTCACTGCTCTGCGCAGTCGTTGAGGCTGAGGCGCAGGTGCATCTCGCAGTCGCAATGAAAGCGCAGCTCTTCGTTTCAACGTAACTCTACGTTTGTGTATATCACTTTAGTTCGAGCCATGAAGCTATGTATGTGTGTATTTACTCGGTCAAGCTCTGGTCGCGGCGATAAGGATCACCCAACGCTACAGCGACCTTCTGGCTTGCAACATTCCCCTGCACAATTAGGAGGGGACAGTGCGGGGATAAGGGCACCTCGACGGTCGCCTCGACGGTCCGGCCCATCGTACCGGCATACGCAGTTGATCAGGTCGTCCGCGGGCCGAGTCGCCGAGCGTAGGTGACCGTGATTAGCTGACCCAAGCTTTTCGTTCAATGTCAAGTCCTGAATCGAGACGACTTTCAAGTCCCTTCACTGCTCTGCGCAGTCGTTGAGGCTGAGGCGCAGGTGCATCTCGCAGTCGCAATGAAAGCGCAGCTCTTCGTTTCAACGTAACTCTACGTTTGTGTATATCACTTTAGTTCGAGCCATGAAGCTATGTATGTGTGTATTTACTCGGTCAAGCTCTGGTCGCGGCGATAAGGATCACCCAAAGTCTCTCGGGGACGACGTTCTCTCACCGAACCGACGATAGTAACGATTGTAGCACCACCGAAGTCCAGAAAGTACGGTGACCCAAAGTTCAGAAAAAGTTGAGACGTATCAGGATCACCCACCGCGATGACGTAATGACGTCACCTCCGCATACCGAACGTGGGTTTACATCATGGCCACATGCCCAGTACCAAACGGCTTGGCTCTGGTCGTAGAGCCCTCGTGCAGGGCTCTTGTGCATGAAGTGCCGAGGTGGTCAAGCGAGCTGTGCTGATAGGACCAGAGGAGAGCACTGAGAGTGCCGCCGGCTGGGGCCGGGGTCGTGCTCCTGATCGTCCAGCCCTGGGGTGTATGGGGTAGGCTCCGAGGACTTTCAACGATGACTCACCGTCTCGTCGTCGGACCTCGCGTGCTCGATGACCAGGTCATGGCCGCCTGGTCAAGTTTCCGCGATTGGGCGGTGCAGGCGCAGTGCCGTGCAGTGACGTTCGGCCGCGCCTCTGTATCTTTGTACCCCGGCAATCTGGGGACTGCGCAGTTGCATCACCGGAAGATCCACCCCGACGCAACCCCGGGGCGACTGGACCTTTTCACCAGTGATGATGTTATAAGAAAGCTGGGGACCTTCGCCGAAAGATCACTTTCTTCATCGCTGTATGGCGTAGCGCGAACTACTGTATTCTCCATAGCTAGCTTCACCCTATCGCTCTAGCCACACACCACAGAGCGCACACAACACACGAGAACAACCCCCTCCATGCGTGCTTTCACCAGCACTCTCTTCGCCGCCCTCGTGGCGAGCGTCGCCAACGCTCAGTCCAGCGGATACGCCACTGCTTCCCCAGTAGGTGATTCTCCCGCTGGTAGCTCCGCGGGCAACGCTGGCGCCGGCACTGCTCCTTCGCAGTCTGCTGGTGGTGCCGGTGCTGGAGGTGCCGGACAGGGTTCCGCCACTCCGAGCGCTTCCTCCGCCGGTGGCCCTGGCGTTGCTTCTTCTGCCTCGTCGGCCGACGCCGTCTCCTCTACACCTGGTGTTGGCGGCGCTACTCCTTCCGCCTCGACTGTCCCCGGCGGTGCTGGCGCCGGAGGTATGGGCAACAGCACCACCTCGGGCAACGGCACGGCCTCGGCCTACCCGTACCTGAACGGCACTGCGGCGGTGAACTACCTCCTTCAGAGCCTTAATCTCTCGAGCGGATGCCAGAACACTGTCAAGACTCTCACCTCAAACGCTACAGCCGAGGGACAGTGCCTGCACACCGGTGTCGTCTGGGCTGGTGAGTTTCCTTCCTCTATTCCATCCCACATTCTGCCACCGCCACATTCGCCACTCCGTCCCCACCCAACCTTAATGGAACTGCGCTAACGCTCAGCCGTGAACCAGAACTCTTCCCTCCTGCCCTACCTCGACCAGTGGCTTGAGGAGTCGTGCTCTTCTGCCCCTTGCTCGAATGCGACCCTCACCGGTGCCCTGGACCAGGTCCTTGGCAACTGTTCCGACGACTTCGACAGCCACAACATCACCGCCGAGGACGTCGCCCACTGGTTCCAGGTCTACCCTCTCGCTCGCGAGATTGCCTGTCTGAAGACCTCCGAGCCATTCAACGGTACCCTCCCCAACATCACTAGCAACACTACGTGGCAGAACGCCGGCGGTGTTCCTTCCTCTTCTGCTGTCGGTGGCGCTGGTGCTGGCACTGGTGCTAGCGCTACGCCATCTGCCTCCTCTGCTTCTTCGGCCTCTGGTTCCGCTACTTCGTCTGCCTTCGGTGCCCAGCAGTCCGCCTCTCAGTCCCAGGACGACCCCAACAGCCCTGAGAACTCGGGCGACAACAACTGGGGCCCGTATGGCGGCAACTCTGGCGAGGAGGATGGCTCTAACTCTGGAAACACCGGCGCCCAGGGCGACCAGAACACCCAGGGTGCCACTCCCTCCGGTGCTACTGGTGGCTCGTTCGTAGTTGCGGCCGGCAACGACGGCGCCCAGGGTGACCAGAACACTCAGGGTGCCGGTGCTGGCTCCAACACTGGCAACACCGGTGCTCAAGGTGAGGAGGACAGCCAGGGCGTTTCGTCCTCTGTCGGCGGTGCTCCCACTTCCTCTGCCCTCGGCGGTGCCCAGTCTGGTATTCAGTCTGGCTCCTCGGCCGTCGGCGCTGCCGCCCCCACTTCCTCTACTGGCTCGACCAGCACCGGCGGTGTCGGCGGTGTCACGGCTCCCGGTAACTCCACCATGGGCAACTCGACGACCTCGGCCAACTCCACCGGCAACTCGAGCTACTGCCTGACCTCTCTCGGCAAGGAGCTGAGCGCCTACATGGGCTCGAACCTCACCTTCCCTTACCTCGAGATCCTCCTCCTGGGCGGCAATGAGACCGCTCAGCAGAAGCTCTCCAATATCCCTCCCGAGGCCCTCTGCCAGGAGTGTGTCTTCGCCGCCTTCGACCTGATCGAGCAGTCCTCGCCCTTCCTCGCCGACACTATTGTCAACAAGACGACCAACCAGACCCTCGTCGGCTGGCTCAACGCCGCCTGCGCCAACGCGACTGAGAAGTGGCAGCCTTCTACCAACGGCACCCTCCCCGAGGGCATCACGGCCACGACCTTCAACAGCACCTACGGCTTCAACGTGACGTACTACAACGAGACGACTGGTAACTGGACCACCAAGTCGCCCCAGAACGTCTCCGTCCCCATCGGCCAGGGCTCGAAGTACCTGAACGAGACTGACTCTTCTGAGGAGGATGGCGATGACTCGGGTTCTTCGGGCACTGGTGTCGTTGGCGGCGGCAGCGGTGGTAACTCTGGCGACTCCGGTGACGAGGGTGACCACGACGTCAACCCCACCGGCGGCGACGAGGACCCCTACTCCCGTCCCGGCTCTGGTACTTACACTGGCGTCTCGGCCGGTAACTCGGCCACGCCCACCGGCGGAGCCGGTGCTGGCTCGACGAGCTCCGACCCCGCCATCACCTCTGGCTCTGCACCTCCCGCCTCTGGCGCCTCCGGTGCCTCCGGTGCCACTGGAACCTCGGGCGCTTCGGCCACCCCCACGGGCTCGGCCTCGACCGACCCCGCCATCTCGTCTGCCTCTGCCCCTCCCGCCGCCTCCTCTTCGGGTAGCGGCGAGAACACAGGCGCCGAGGGCGACCAGAACACCCAGGGTGCTGGAAACGAGAACGACAACTCGAACAACAACTCGAATGACAACAACAACCAGAACTCGGACTCGAACAGCAACTCGAACTCGAACTCGAACGACAACTCCAACTCGAACGAGAACAACAACAACAACTCGAACGACAACTCGGGCGACGGCGGCAACACTGGCGCTCAGGGCGAGCAGAACACCCAGGGCGCGCCCCCCGTCAAGCGCGCTGGCCGCTTCGCCGCGCACCAGCTCCGCGCTGAGGAGTAAGCTCCTTGGAGTAGCATAGAGTTCGATCCGAACACACCCTGTATCGTTAAACACAATAGAGTAACCATTATAGTCGTACATGCTTGACGTAATGTATCAAGTTTAAGTGGATCTTCAGTCTATTGCTTTCTTCCGCATTGTTCTAACAGTCGCTGCACACAAGTTGGGTCTCGTGGTCAGAGGAAGACACCCTCATCCTCGTTAGTGTCCCCGTTTGGCCGATTGTCCGAGCTGCCGTTTGCGCCGTTCGCCCCGTTTGCCATCTCAACGTCGCCGTTCGCGTTCGTGGACGCTATCGCTGTTGTTGGCGTCGGCGCCACCAAGGTCGGATTCGGCGAGGCAGGCGTAGGTGGAGCTGCACTACTCGCTGTCGTAGAGCCTGTGGGTGTGATGCCATAGTGCCCGAGAGCGTCGCGGCCGACCTTCCCCTCAAGCACGTGGGTGAGCATGGCTATCCGTTCATTCTGCGAGGCGCTGAGGTTAGCTTACGCCCGACGTACTGCTGGTAACTGGTGGAGGACAAGGGGGCGTGTGCCGTGGGGTCGGGCGAGAGGCAACTGCGCACAGCGCTTGGATAGCAGCTAGTAGCAGCTAGACGAGTAGGAAAAGAGCCGGTAGGCACGAAGACCGTCTCGGCTGAAGCGCAAGAGAGATGCAGCTCAGTGGTGTTGCCGGCCGTTGACATCCCACAGCTGGCGCGGAGGGATGGAACCACTCACATCGTGCCCTGATTCTCCTGCCACGCGGAGCGCAGGTCGGCATCCTCCTCCTCCTCGAGCGCGGACAGAAGCTCGCTCTGTGACTCGTCGAGGTGTGAGATTGAGTTACGCAGCCGCGAAATCTCTGCGCGTTGTCAGCTTTGTGCGACGTCGAACAGCTGTGAAGTCTGGCGCTGGCAGCTCAGCCGTGGTGACTACGGTGAGCTCAGCCCTCGAGTGACTCACCAGCGACAATGGTCGAAACATCAAGCTGCTCCGCCTCCGCGAGGGAGAACGGCTGCGGGTGTCTGGGCTGGAACATCTTCTTGGGCTGTTAGGCGACGGAGTGTGTGAAGTGAGCAGCATCGACCTCGGCCAACCTCCACTTGCACCCCTTCCTTCCGACTACCTCGATCATCCGAGTATCTTCCGGCCCCAGTACATAGTGAGCGGGCAGCGGCCTACGGTGGCGACGGAAGCAAAATCCCGTCCCATGTGTTAAGTCCGCCACCGCCCAGAGCGGACCGACGTGAGCTGCCAAGCTGCTCTCGGAGTAAGTCACTTGCGCATCTTCTCTTGGCCATCTCATATAACTTTTACACCACGAGTACACCGCGCACCATGTGTCCCGACTGAGGGCGCGACAACCGACCCGACTGTACCATCCGAAACGCTCTCATCGCCAGCCGGCACCGACACCGAGCCGGTCCCTCGGCTTCCGACTGACACTCTCCGACCAACTCTCACATCGCAACAACAACAACATGAGCGGGCTCGGGCACCTGCAGGCCCTGACCATGAGCGACGGCAACCTCGACCCGACGCTGACTGAGGGTCTCGCGAACCCGTATCTGGTGTACCAGCCCTCGTTCGCCTTCAGTCTACCCGTGCAGCTGCTTGTAACGGGCATCACCTTGACTCTTCTCGTCGTTCTCCTCTGCTGTCTTCTCTGTAAGCTCGTTCATTTTTCGCCATAGCTGACCCCAGTCACGACGCAGTATCACTATCCCCTCGCGCCACTGAACTACGGCCTCCAGCTAGCCAGTATCATCACGGTGCTCCTGAGCGTGTGCGTCAAGACCGGTGTTGTTCTCAAGCACAACTACGACACAGCGAACACGTGGCCGTACGCGCTCGACTATGTCGCTGTCCCCATCCCCGCCGAGGACTGGAACATTGGCGAGGAGGCCGCCTGGCTCCTCCTGCAATGCATCTGCAACCTGCTTGCGAATGTGAGTGTGAGACTCCAACGCCGCCGGCTGCGGGAGCTGGCTATTCTTAGCCCCCGCCTACGATTTAGCGCGAGGAACAGCTGCTGACCTCCCGTACAGCTCACGCACATCCAATTCCTGACGCTGCTGTATCCGTCGCGCGTCGAGGCGCGCATGATCATTATCATCCTGGGTCCCATGGCGCTGGCCTCATCGGGGCTGTACTTCTGCACTTTGTCCGGCACCCGCATGGTGGGGAACACGGACATTCCCGTGCGCGATCTAGGCGACGCGATCCGGAACGTGCTCAACAGTACTCTGCTGCTCATCTTTGGCCTCTCCCTCGCCATCTGGGGCTTCTTCGTGAACCGCAACCGCGCCTGGCGGCTTGACGGCGGAACGGCCGTCTTCGGGGCCGGCGCCCTCGTGCTCGCCGTGGTCACGACGGCCAGCTCCTTTGTGGCCGTGAAGGAGGAGGGCATTCCCTGGCTGCAGCACCTGATCTGGGCGGCTGTGCTGTGGCAGACCTGGCTGGGATGGTGGTGGTGGGTCGGCGCGGGCATGGGCATCGGCGAAGTGGAGGACATCATGGAGCGCGCGCTGCGCAAGCGGCGCAAGGCGGCGCGGCGCGCGCACCGGCGCGACGTCATCAATTCCCATACACACGGGAACGCGCAGAAGAAGCACCTCAGCGCGAAAGACGTGGTCAAGAACGGCACGAATGCGGTGGTTGGGTTCACGTCGTCCTTGCACCATCTCGTAAACTCGTCGGGCAGCCACGGGTCCGGCGGGTCCGAGACGCGGCGCAGGCGGCACGCAGACCCGGATCGCGAGCCCGACGTCGAGGAAGGTCTCGAGGGCATCGAGCTGGGCAGTGTGCGGATCCAGGAGCCCGTGCGCTCCGAAGGCAGCGGGAGCGGGAGCGGCGGCGGCGCGCACCCTAGCAGTAACAGCGAAACATCCTCCACGTCGCGCACACCCTCCCTGCATCCGCCAAAGACGCTCTCCGAGCTCGTGGCCTACCCCACGACCTGGCTGCAGGTCTACTTCCGCCGTCTGCGGAAGGAGCACGAGGAGGCCGCCCGTCGGCGCGCCGTGGAACAGGCGCAGCGCCGCTCCCGTGTCCCAGCCATACACGGAGGGCAACAACCGCGCGTGCTCGACGAACCCTCCGGATGGGGACTGGGCGCATACGGCCTGCGCGAGGCGGAGGAGTCGACGAGGAGGGTGCAAGAGGCCAACAGGCAGATTCGGCAGGAGGCTTTGCTCCGCGCCAACTCGAAGGACAGCGATGCCTCTGAGTGTGCGGATCCAGGAGCCCGTGCGCTCCGAAGGCAGCGGGAGCGGGAGCGGCGGCGGCGCGCACCCTAGCAGTAACAGCGAAACATCCTCCACGTCGCGCACACCCTCCCTGCATCCGCCAAAGACGCTCTCCGAGCTCGTGGCCTACCCCACGACCTGGCTGCAGGTCTACTTCCGCCGTCTGCGGAAGGAGCACGAGGAGGCCGCCCGTCGGCGCGCCGTGGAACAGGCGCAGCGCCGCTCCCGTGTCCCAGCCATACACGGAGGGCAACAACCGCGCGTGCTCGACGAACCCTCCGGATGGGGACTGGGCGCATACGGCCTGCGCGAGGCGGAGGAGTCGACGAGGAGGGTGCAAGAGGCCAACAGGCAGATTCGGCAGGAGGCTTTGCTCCGCGCCAACTCGAAGGACAGCGATGCCTCTGCAAGTGAGGGGGAGGGGGACGAACCGAGGCGTACGCATCGGCACGATTCCACGCGCAGCGCACGTTCCGCACGCAGTAGGCGGGAATCCGCCGAGCGCGCCGAGCGCGCCGAGAGGGCGGATAGACTGGAGCGCGGCGGCATCGTGCCCGATGATGAGCTTAGGGGAACAGCTAGTCGGCGCACAGAGGATACGCAGTTTACGCACGATACGGGCGCCAGCGCCGAGACGGGGGACACGGAGCTCAAGACGGAGGATGACGAGGAGGTCGTTGGGGAACTGGTCGAGAGGCCGGAGGAGAGGGGGCAGTGGGAGGATATCTCCAGTGATGAGGAGCAAGGACGCGAAAGGGATCGAAGGAGGGAGAGGGAGAGAGCTATAAACCCCGGTTGGAGCTGGTGGGGTCCGCTCCGGGAGTGGAGACTTGTGGAGCGGAATACGTACTGAGCAAGAATGTCGTGGTTACCTTCTGTTGTATCTCGTTAGCTCTGTCTCGTATACATGAACATTCGTGCTCTTGCCTCTCTGTTTTACACAGCACGGTTGCACCAGTCAGTCACAGCAACAGCGCAACAAAGGACCAGACGTAAGACGTAATGATACAAAGTTCGTGTAATACAAGATTTCTACGGGTACGCGACCCTCCCTCTTACTCGGCATGAACAACAATATGTTATGAGGCGTGTGATATGCTATGCGCTGCGCCAGCAGCGTCTTCTTCTTTCTCTACTTCTACTATTCTCCTACACCCATTGCTTAGCGGAATCGCCGCAGCGACCCGACCGTGCTCGCCTGCACGCGCCCCGAGACGGCGCGGCCCATCTCGTCCACGGCAACCTCGGCGCCGACCGAGCGGCCAGACGCCGTGCGGTGCCCATACTTAGTGCGCATCTCCTCGACGTGGCCCGAGCGGATGGGCGCGCGCAGGCTCTCGTTCCACGAGACGCGGCGCTCGGCGCTGCTCCCGCTGGCTCCGCTGACCCTGCTGTTGCCGCTGACGGCGAGAGTGTTTCGCTGCCTCTGGGCGTCACGCTCAGAGCCAGAGCCAGACTGCTGCGACTCGCGCGACTGGGAACGAGGGATGCCACGAGTGGCGCCCAGGTCCGAGGCGAGGTTAGGGCGGCTCTCGCGGCGGGCGATGCGACTAGTGGTCTCCGTCTTCGGGCGCAGGACCGACTTGGCCGGCGTCGGCTGCGTCAAGGTCACGGCGGGTTTGCACTCGAACGACGCCTCAGGGAGAGGGGGCAACCACTCGACATCGGCTTCGCTCGACGGCGCAGACAGCTTGGAGCTGCGGCTGTCGATTGTCGGCGCGCTGCACAGCGACGGCACGGTCGAGGGAGCGGCTGAGACGGCAGAGGTCGTGTCGCTGCGCGTGCGGGCGTTCTGCGGCTGCTCGCGCTCGCGACGCTCGGGGACCTTGGATGCCGGGGTCTCGGCAAACTTGCGCAGCGTCGTCGTCGACCGCGTGGACGGGAGCATGCTGTGGCGCTTGGTACTCGGTGTCGGGCCGGCAGTGGGCGCCGGCGCGAGCGAGCGACGAGCGCCGAGTGCCTCTCGAGCCGTAGAGGTAGGGGGAGCCGAAGCCCGCTTGACCGGAGACGTGGCCAAGTTGCGGCTCGTCGTCGTGCGCGGAATACCAGCGCTCTTGCGCTCCCCGATGACCGCGCTCGAGCTGGGGCGCAGGCGGTGGCCGCTCTCGCGCTCCTGCGACTGCGCGCTCCCCGAGCGAGGCAGTACAGACTGACGCCTCTCGCTACGCTCCGGCAGGATCGACTTGCGTCCGCCGCGGGGTTCGGGCTCGCCCTGCGAGTTCCACGAGTTGGTGCGCGTCATCAGAGTCGACTGCCGGCGCATGCTCTGCATGCTCTCGGTGCGCGAGACCGTCGACGTGCGAGAAGGCTGGGAGCGCTCGTTAGCCGCCTGAGCTCGCTCGTTACGCGGAGGCAGCATGCTCTGGCGCCGCGTCAGAGTCGACTGCCGACGAGGAGTGTCCGGCACGGAAGACGTCGGGACAGCAGACAATCTGCGAGAGAGCGTCGATGACGACGGAGCGGTGGACAGTCGGCGAGAGCTGGAGCTGCTCGGGAGGGCGGACAGACGACGCGCGCTCTCGCTCGGAGGCAGCGTGCGCTTGGTGAATGAGGTCGCCGGCGCCGACATGCGCGAAGGACCAGTGCCCAGGGCAAGGTCGCGAGGCACAGTGCTGCGCGGGAAGCCGAGCGGGCCGCGCGACGCCGCACTGGCGCGCTGTCCGTTAGACGGCGCCATGGTCGACATGCGGCGACCGGGAGTTGGGACTGCAGATGGCTGCTCCCTGCGCTTGCTGATGGGAACCTCGGCGTTCGCCGTGCGCTCGACACGAGGAGAACGAGCATCGAGCGAGCGCATCGACGACGCCCTGGTCAGGTTCGCGAGGCTGCGCGCCCGAGCAAGCTCCCGCTGCTGCTCGCGCTCGCGCAGCTGCTCCGTGATTGTGCGCGAGTCGAGCTGCTGGGTGAGGTTACGCATCGAGCTGCTCGGCGGCAGAGGCCTCGGTCGCAGGCTGGCGGGCACCATTTCCTCTTGGCTGTCAATCGAGAGGTCGGCGAGGTCGGAGCCCATGATGCTATCATTGCCCGGAAGGCGCGACGCCTCCTGCTGCCGGTTCACGAGGCGGCCGAGGTCCACGGTGCGGTCCGTCTGGTCCGGCTGCTGGAAGCGAGGAGCAGAGGGCGTGGTGTAGCGAGTAGCCCTGGCGGACGGAAGAGGCGCGAGCGCATCGCGTCGCTCTTGCGGCGGGGTCAGAGCAAAGCTCTTGGTGTCGAGGAGTGACGTCTCCTTCAGCGGCGACTCGGAGTCCTCGCGGACACGGCGGATGAAAGTCGACTTGTCCATGGTCGCGGCAGAGCGTTCGCGAAGGTCAAATTTGCGGTTGCTCGATGGGAAAGAGGTTGCGATGGGGCTTGTGCTCGGGCTCAAGCGCGCTGCAGACTCGGCCACGAGGGCCTTCAGGTTCTCGAGACCCGACCCTTTCCTGCGGTTCATGTTGGTAGTCACCGCGGTCTCCAGGACATCATAGGTACGATCGCCGATCTCTGGAGGGTGGAACGTCGCATCGAGCATCGAAGCATCGGGCGCACAGGGCGGCAGGAAGGGCGATGATCCGCGGCGAGCGTGTCGCAGCGCGGGTGAGTCCTGGGCGCTGAGGCGCGCCAGGACCGCGGGCGACTTGCGGAGCGACAGGGGAACCTCCTTCTCCAGCCGCTCGCGGTAGCTCGGGTGCGCGCGGTATGTGTTGGGCGGCGTCGAGAACGACGACGCACCGAGGCCGCTGGTGCTGCTCCGGCCGTTGGAGCTTGTCCGGAGAGCTTGCGCCGGCGAGGATCGCAGCTGCTCATCAACAATGTTTGAGTCGCCACTGTTCCGACGAGAGTGGAGAAGGCTTTCGCGCAGGCTCTGGCGCATACTGTGCCTCAGGCCGTCGCGGAGGCCATCGCGGAGACCGTCACGGACGCTGTCACGGACACGGTCGCGGACGCTGTCGCGCAGGCTGTCACGAAAGCTGGACCGGTCCGCGCTACCAGCTGCGGAAGAGCCAGGTTTGTTGACAGCCGCAGAAGAGGGGGTTGGCCCGCGACCCTCCAATGCGTCGAGCGTGGGGGCGTGCGCTTCAGAGTAGTGCTTGTCCAGGCTGGCGAGTGCCAGGAGTGCCAAGGAGTCAGACACTTGCGAGTTGCTGTGCGCGCTGCTCATGCTGGTGCTGCGCGGCAGTTCTTGACCAATCTCGTCGAGTGCCGAGTTGAGCTCGCGCATGTCGAGGCTGCGCTCTGTTTGCTCGCGAATGGCGCTGAGGTCGGGGGCATGCACCGAGACGCCCTCAGACCACTTGAGAATGTCGCGCGAGGACAAAGAAACGTCGCCGCCACCGACAAGGGTGTCGACCACGTTGTCGAGGTGGGCATCCATAGCGACGGTGGTCGAGCGCTGCTTAGAGATGGAGAAGAAACAGATTCAAGTAGAGGCCAGAGGCGACCTCGTGTTGGCGCTGGGTGCGAGAGGTACAGTCGGGATGCGGTGTTTATGTTGATCGGTGCTGAGGTGGGTTCAGCGGGGAATGACGAGGGACTGGGTTGAAGCCGAGCCGTAGTGGTGGGGAGTAGTCTCGATGTGACTGGTTGTGTGACTGGAGTAGAGTCGTGGGAGGAAAACAAAGTTTAGTTCCTGTGCAGTGGAGTGGCGAGCGGACAAGATGACGATCGAGGTCGCGAGCTCGGAAGAGCGCGTGAGAGCTCGGAGCCCTGTCGCAAGTAGCGTATGCAGGGAGTGTGTTCAGGTGAGTGTGGAGTGTGTGAGTGTGTGTGTGCGAGAAGGAAGGGGGAGGGCGTGTGTTGGTGTGATAAGCGTGGGAGTGTGTTTGGTGATAGTTGAAAGAAACAATGTAAACAATGGTTTTGGTAAGGGGCGAAAAGAAGGAAGAAGGCACGCAGTACCCTTTGAGTGACAGTCGAGATCGCGTCGATGCAGCGTGCACAGACAGAAGCAGAGCGACGTGGGTTTTTTGTTTTTTTTTTTTCGGGAGAGAGATGATGAGTGATGAGTAGGAAAGAAGATGGAAAGAAGGAAACGAACAAGATGCCGGGGTTCATAAGGATGGTGGGATGGGTGAGTGGTGGGTCGCACGGGATGAGGCAAAGTGCACTAACCCGCCAAGGGCAGGCGCGTAGACGCGCGGTTGATTAGACTCTAGACCCGCACTAGTTACGCGTACTTCCGTAATCCCATCCCGGCTCGTGTTGATCGTGTTTGGGGCTGTGTGTGGTACCGCCTCCAGTCGATCTAGTCTCCGTAGCGTGAGAGCGCAGTGACTGCACCAGTATGCATCGACCGAGCAAGTGCTGTCCTTACAGTTGATGCAATGAGATGGGAGTGACAACTAGCGCACGAGCATCTGCAGTGAAAGCTGAGCGGGCACAGACGGTGCCCCAGTTTCACCGCGCTCCATGGGTCGTGCTCTTCTTATCTGCAGTACGCAAAGTACGCACGTATGGAGGTACGCGCCGTACCGAGCCTCGTCCATGAGCTGGACTTTGAGGACGTGCAGACTTGCAGGCTTGCAGAGAGGACCTCGCCTGTCGAAATCACGTCTCGAGCTCGCGCATCGGGCAGCGCCGCCCAACGCCAGGCAGGGTCTGTCGAGATCTGCACATCCCACGAAACCACTCAACCCGCGTTGCCCGTTTGAACAGACAGACGTTAACACGCAAGCATGAATTACTCATTTCGGCAGCATGCGTTTCTTGGGTCTCTGCACTATACACTAACCCTGTTCTGCCCACTGGAGTCGCGTTTCAGATCCGGACCAAAAGCACTGTAATGCTTCTGGTGATCCTGGCCCACTAAACCTTTTCCTCTAGGCGCATGTAGGCATGTGAGTCGAGACCGTGAACAAAGTTCGGGACGTGTCCTGAGATACGGGACAGAGGCATGAGCAATATCGAGAGCCTGCGTTGCAAGACGCAAATGCTGGAACGCGACGCCTTAAATTGCCCTTTGCACACGCGCACGCGCACGCGCACGAGATTGCGCTGCAACGAATGCAGAGCATGCAGAGCGTGCAGAGCTTGAGCTAGTCTAGGAGCGTTGAGCGGAACACAAGCGCACAGCGCACAGTTCGCAACAGTTCGCACAGTTCGCCTTGTGCCGCTCCGCACGCTCCGCACGGTCCATCCTGTCATCTCAGAATCCGCGGATCATCAGCCCCTTGCGGTTGAACGTGAGGTTCGATCGGTAGTGAGTGTCAGATGTCAGCTGGTCAGAGACAGACCCCTCCGATCCTTTACTCACGGAATCACGGACTTGGACTGACAGGACCGCAGCTATCACAGGCTGGCTTGAGCCCGGGCACGTCCTACCGCTCATCAGATCACGGAGGTGCCCGCCCACTACTGCCGGCCGCTGGACTGTTGTGGACGCCATCAGAGGACGGATGCGGTACAGTGGGACCGACGCCTCGATCGCTTCCTAGCGTCACGCGCGCACTACTCGGCTGATCGGCTCGGATCTCGGAGTTGGGCTCCGGACTCGGCGGACTTGTCACCGCTTGCCACCGCTTGGCGCGCTTGGGCTAGTGGTGGCTGGGCAAATATCTGCGGACGCCGCTTGGTCGTCGGACTCGTCACTCGTCACGCATCACGCATCACGCATCACCCACCCATGCCTTCGCCGACTGATGCTGGTCCAACTCTGCCATCTCACAGCCACTCCGGTCTAATCACCGCCGCCACCCCCGTCATCCCCGTCATCCCAGTCATCTCAGTCATCTCAGTCACAGCCTGATCTCCGGCCACATGAGTTCTTTGTCTCCGCCGACATCTACGACTTGGTCAGCCGCGACGGCGTCGTTTCCGCCCTCGGTCTGGTCTCCGCCTCGACCTGCTCGATCCCACTGAGCGGAGTGGCATTGCTCCGTCCTCTCATCTGCTGCAACTATACTCCGCCCGCTCGGCACGTGCTCAACAGATGAGTCCATGTGATTAATGTTGCATATTTGCAATGCCGATTATGTGGATATACCTCTATAAAGATGATGGGAGATGATGTGCGCGATGCACTCTATGATATGAGCCTGCTGGCTCTGCTTCACCAGAGGCTAGGTTGCGGGACGGTCGGGGACCTCGGTGCCTCGACCTCGACCGCCTCCACTACGCGTCGCTACGATGCCACGCCCGCTTCTCCGTCTCGCTTCGCTCGGCGTGCTCGGCCGTGGCTTAGGCCGTCTCGATATTCGGCGAAAACTTGGACTTTGCGCGCAGCCTCGGGCCAAACTTGATGAGCAGGAGGGGCACGGGCGTCATGGCGAGCGCAATGAAGCCGAGGAGGGAGGACGCCCACTGCGTGCCGAGTTTCTCGTACATCTGGGTGGCGAAGAGGGGGAAGCCTGCTCCAAACGACGAGCGCACCACCGTGCTCGCTGCCAGGGCGCTGGCGGCCGCCCACAGGTACACGTCGACGATGTAGTTGAAGAGGGACGTGTAGAGGCCGAGCACACCCACGCCGAGCAGGCCGCCCGCAATCACGGGCGAGATCCAGTGGATCGACGCGTAGGACGTCCAGCCGAACCAGAACATGGCAATGACGAGGGACCAGGACGCGATCACGCAGAGCTGCAGGCGCAGCTCCGGCGCCGGCATCAGCGGCGCGACCCGCTTGCACTGTTTCTGGTAGCGCGGCTCCATCATTGTGACGTAGCCGATGCAGCAGATGACGCCGCCAGTGAAGAAGCCGAGGAACGCGAGGCCGTTCTCGCCCGCGTTGAAGCCGTGGTTCTTGACAAAGACGAAGGGGAAGGCTTCGAAGAGCAAGTACACAACACCGTACACGAAGGACATGTAGATGGTGATGGCGAGCAGCATCGGCTCGAGGAACAGCATGATGAACGGCTTCAGGATGATGTCGTTCATGCGCTGCTTGAACGAGGTCTTGTGCCGCTCGATCGGCGCGTACCACCTCTCGTCGCCCGTTTCCTTGCGCAGGCGCTGGGCTTTCTTCTTCAGAATCACGGGCGCGTACGTCTCGGGCATCGTGAAGGTGATCAGCACGAGACACGTGCCGGCGAAAATCGTCGTGACCCAGAACACCCAGCGCCACGATGCGCCGCCGACAGAGATGAAGCCAGAGATGATCGGGCCGAGCGATGGGCCCGCGAACGGCGCGAGACCGAACAGAGCCATCGCCGTGCCACGGTAGTCCGAGTCCCAGATATCTGTGCAAGTTAGTAACCCGTGGGATCTGCGTTCTGGGGTTTGTACTCACCAGCAAGAAGGGCACCCGAGTTGGTCAGCGGGGCCGCGGCAAAGGTTCCGGACAGGAAGCGGAAGACGAGGATAGCGCCCGTGTTGGGGGCGAGGGCACATCCGATCTGGAAACCGACATAGAAGATGAACGAGAGAATAGCAATCGGCCTTCGTCCGTAGATTTCAGAAAGGGGACCCCACAGGAGCGGTCCGAGGCAGTAGCCAGCGACAAAGAGGGAGATGCACAGGACGCCGACCTCGGTGCCGATGTGGAACTGCTGCATCAGGTCGCCCATGATGCCCGACGGGGCACTGGACGCGAACGTCGAGTTGAGCACGAGCAGCGAGCCAAGCACCGTCAGGTACCACCTGAATCCGAGCGACCAGTTCTGTAACGTCAGCGCGAGTTCATCAGCAGCGACAGCAACAACAGTGGAGCCCCTCGTTACGCCCGAGCAGACCGATGCGGATTACTGGCACAGCAGGGAGGGCGGAACTGGCTCCGCACCGGCCGCACCGGAGTGCGAGCGGGCTCAGGAGGCGTTTGTCCGGATCGGTGCAAGCCCTCGCTTAGATCGGCTGTGGCGTCCAGGGCACACCAACATTCCTGGGTAATGCAGGCCTGCAACCGCGGTAGATCCGAGCAGCGTGCAAACCTGCTAGACCCATGTGGACAGGTTTGCTTGCGTGATGCATTGCTGGGTCTGCGCGTGCTTGGGCATGTGCGACGGCGATCGACGCACTGCAATGGACTCACCTTCGGGTTGATCTTCTCTCCGGGCTCAAACTTGACCGACCACGGGTCGGAGGCAATCTTCTGGCGCTCGTCCTCGCGCTGCTCCGCCTCCTCGCGCGATCGGACGGGGACGAGACCCTCCTCGTGATCGATCGAGTCCGGGGACACACCGCCGAACAGACTCGCGGCGGCCGGCTGGTGGCTCAGCGTGCGGTCCATGGATCCAATGATGTGCGGGTTCTCGCCGCCGACGTAGATCGCGCGGCGACGTCCGTCCCGTCAGGCGGGACCAGGCGCTCTGCGTCCGCTTCGGCGCCGGGACGGGCTCGGGCGCGACGAGCGGGGGCGCAGAGGCATCGTGCTCGTCCTTCTCGTTCAGAACTGAGGTCTTCTCCTTAGGCGAGTTGTCGGGGGAGGAGGCGATGAGCGTCTCCCCCGTCTGCCGCGACATGCGGTCTGTGAGGTCGCCCTTCTCCATGCGGTCAACCGCGTCTCCCTTCTCCATTATGCGGTTTGATACTAGTTGATACAGTCGGGAGCTTGGTTGCTGTTGCGGAATGGGTGTGACGAAACAGGAATGTGTGCGCGGGGTGTGATCAGTGGCGAGCGGCGTCCGCGGCGGCGTCGGAGGAGGAGTGAGACGAGTCACGGAGTGTTGTGTGAGTCGAGTGAGTGATCCCGGTTCCGAGCTATGGTTATAAGTGGAGCGGCGAGACGAGTGCAGCGTCAGTGATCGGAAAGATTTGGGAAGGGGAGGAGCGGCATGGGGCTTGTTCCAATATTTATTTGCGCGAGGGAGCGGCGCCGCGGCTTGGCCGTGTGGTGCAATGTTTTCACGGAGAGGGAGCGGAGGGAGGGGGAAGGACGGTCTCTTGATTTCTCAGCGACCCTGTGTCCCTCTGCTCCTACGCCGTCGGGCTGTCAGGGGTATCCCGGGGCTGTATCGGCTAGGGGGTGCCTTTGTAATCAGGTTGTCGACTGATTAATCCGGCTAGATTAGTGGTATTTTTAACTGCTACTCGGCTTCTTGGTCAGCGTCCAACCACAGCGCACGCAGCCCCGCGCCATCCGCATGCCTCGCATGCCTCGCACCCGACATTCGTCCGCTTCATTGGCCGGCCCCGCCGCTGCACCCCGTGCTCGCCGTGCCGACCCTTGCCTCCCCTTGCAAACGGACGGCTCACGGACAACTTTGTCCTCGTGCCTCGGAGCTGGCCGATGGTCCGCAGCAACGTTAGTTACATCTTTTTTCGCGACGATGTGGTCAGCAGCCCATTCATCATCAATAGTGACGCCAGCGGCTCACTTGTCCAGTCCGTTCTAGACCGTTCGCCGCTCAGGGTGTAAGCGCCCAAAGCGCCCAACGCGCCTAGTCAATATCGGACATCAGCGAACGGACTACTAATACCTTGCGGCGATCAACATATCGGCCGTTGATCCCGTCACTATCAGCTTCACTGCCGCACCATTCATCCGTCGCCATTCTCCGGTCGACAGCACCGCCTGCTTCGTGACACACGTAGACACGTCACTAGTGTCCTCGTGACAGCCGGCAGAGGAATGCATCTAGTGTTTCGGGGGTGAATGCTACACTTATCACACTGCTTCCAGACCCCCTTCTCACTGTCTCACCAAGGACTCCGATCACTGCGACGTCGGCAGTTTCTCATAGTGACCCCAGTTCTCGATCTTGCGGCGGAGCTTCTCGCGTCCGCCACGGTAAAAGTACACGTATGCGCCGACCGGGGCAACGACAAACAGCACAAGGAAGGCAAGGTACTTCCAGGGGTTGGAGAGCGTCGAGTAGTCCTCCTTGTCCTCCTCCGAGTCGAGCTCGACGGGCGTGTCGTGCGTGCCCTCGAGAATCTCCTTGTCGATCGCGTTGATCGCCTCCACCTCGACATCGCCTTCGTAGTCAGGCTAGGCGCGGCGGATGTTGCGGTTGTCCAGTGCGGAGATGTGCGGAATGCAGGTTTCCGTCAAGATCCGGTTGCCGCGGGAGTTGCCGTTGGGAGATCATGTGTGTTGCGTGTGCCAGAAGAAGATCGGGTAGGTCGGACCGGACACGGTCAATTCGCAGGTCGATAGGCGATCAGGCGGCCGAAGGGGCGGAGGGGCGAAGTGCAGCGTGCACGGTCAGCATACAAGGGTGTCACCCAGTAACGTCGAGATAACAGATGGTGAAGTGCCGTTCCAAATGTTCCAGGTATTGATAAGGAGATCAAAGAAAGTAGCGAGAGTTGCGTGCGAGATGGGGGAATGTGCATATGTCAGAATCTACCCTACAGCTCAGCACGAAGAGGTACCTGGTTGCCATTGTCGTCAATCTCGTGCTCGATCTCGAGCTGCGGTCTGTTAGTGCGACTCCTGCCGTCAACAGAAAGCACACTCACCTCTCCAGAGTCGGCGATGGTGACGGGCTCAACGGGGCGGTCGCCGGAGCCCTTCTTAACGTTCTCGATGGCGTGAACAATGTCCATGCCCTCGAGGACGTGGCCGAAGACAACGTGGCGGCCGTCGAGCCAGCTGGTCTTGACAGTGCAGATGAAGAACTGGGAGCCGTTCGTGTCCTTGCCGGCGTTGGCCATCGCTGGGAGCGGTTAGAAGCGAACACCGGGCAACCGATCGAGCTACTCACAGAGAACACCGGGGCCGGTGTGCTTCAGCTTGAAGTTCTCGTCGGCGAACTTGTTGCCGTAGATCGACTTGCCGCCACGGCCATCGCCAGAGGTGAAGTCACCACCCTGGATCCTGACTGTCAGCTGAGAGAAGACACAATATAGCTCCGAAACTCACATGAAGTCCTTGATGACACGGTGGAAGCTGGAGCCCTTGTAGCCGAAGCCGAGGTCAGTGCCGTCGGCCTTCTTGCCAGTAGCGAGAGCACGGAAGTTCTCAGCAGTCTTGGGGGTCGTCCTGGATGTCAGCTACAGATTACCACTTGGCGAGCTGGCAAAACAGGTCATGGGCAGACTGCTGGCGTTAAACACCTATGCCCTTGGCACACAACGTGCGGCATAGGAAGATGTGTTACAACGCATTGACAAAGCTGCTTCCCAATCTGCCTCGCCTGTTCACACTCACTTGCCGTAGAGGCCCATGACGACACGGCCCATGGGCTTACCACCATGCTCAATGTCGAAGTAGACCTTGTTGGTGATGATGGGGCCCTTGGCAGCCTGGACGGGAACCAGGAAGAAGGCGAGGGTCAGGATGACCGCGAAGAAGGGGAGGAGGGAGAGGCGAGCCATCTTGCTGTTCTGTCGATTGCTCGATGGACAAAGAGAAAGTCGAAGCGTGCAATGTCTCTGAAGCGGGGTCGCACGCTGCACGCTGCCGCGTACGTGCGACCTCCACGTCTCGATCGCGGCTCCTGAGTGGGTGAGAGCGCGCCTATTGGCTGCGTGAGATGAATCGCGAGTTGCGACGCGTCATCAGTCACACGCCTAACAAGCCAAGAGCGTTTGCGTGCCTAACCTGACTCCAGAGAACCTGAGCGCGACGCGTCCAGTCGCGAAAGTCATGTCCGCTCCTTTGACTTTTGCCACCAGCCACCACACCACACACAAACATGGACGACACCGCCGACCCGCTGCTTTCCTTCTTCTCGGCGGAGGAGGCCGCACTGGAGAACATCCTGTACTCCATTCTTGGTGCTGAGCCGAGTGCGTCGCACGAGCAGCTCAAGAAGGCGTACCGTCTGAAGGCGCTGCGCTGCCATCCGGATAAGCACGCGGGCAAGGGCCCTAAGGAGGTTGAGCGCCTGAAGCATGAATTCCAGCAGGTCGGATTTGCTTGGGCTGTTCTTAGTGATGAGAAGAGGAGGAAGAGGTGAGCCGTCCATGATTGCAAATGAGCTGCCAAAAGGCGCGCAGCTGACATCAGGTACGACTCGACGGGGCGTACCGACGAGATCAAGTTTGACGAGGTGTCCTGGGACGACTACTTCGCAGACCTGTTCGACGGCGTGGACCGCAAGATCCTCGATGACGACCGGAAGAAGTACCAGGGCTCGGCCGAGGAGCTCGAGGACCTCGTCGACGCCTACACCGCGACGCAAGGCGACCTCGCCAAGATCATGGAGCGCATCCCGCACTCGACGCACTCTGATGAGAAGCGCTTCGTGAAGCTGCTGAACGGGCAGATTGCCGACGGCGCGATCAAGGAGACGAAGGCGTGGCGTGCGTCGTCAAAGGACGGGAAGGCCGCCGCGAAGCGCAAGGCGAAGCAGGAGAAGGAGGCCGAGGCAGCGGAGAAGCAGGCCAAGGAGCTCGGCGTCTGGGACGAGTTCTTCGGCGACGGCAAGAAGGGCAAGCGGAAACGCGACGCTGCCGGAGGGGGTGATGAGGTGAGCTCGATAATGCTTGCCAACAACTGACAGACAGTCGTCGCTTGCTGCTCTCATCCAGAAGCGCCAGGTCGGCCGTGCCAACGTTTTCTCGGCGCTCGAGGCCAAGTACGCGTCTTTCGAGTCATACGAAGAGGAGATCGAGATCGAGTACTCGACGTCCTCCACCAAGGCGAAGAAGGGCAAGAAGGGCAAGGGCAAGAAGCAGGCGGACGAGGACCCGCTCGCCGATGCCGACTTTGAGGCGCTCCGGGCGAAGATGTTCGGCGGCAAGAAGCAGCAGAAGGCTAAGAACACCCATGCTGAGCTCGACGACCTCGACGATGATGCGTTTGCCGCTCTCCAGGCCAAGATGTTCGGAAACAAGAAAGCGAAGAAGTAGACACCTTGCCGTATCACCACATGTTGTAACATAATGCACCTGAGTTCTGTTTAGATACATTAACTCGTGGCTGCCTCATCCGAGAGCTGCGTCGGACTTGAAGGAGAACGGCGTGTGGCTCCTCGCCGAGCCGGGTCTGGTGAGACGGGCCACACATGCCACGCTACCTCGGACATCCGCAGTAACAGCTCAGCCATCTGGTTCCCAACACAACCCCCTCTCGTCCCGACTCACACATGTGCCAGAATCTCGCACCTGTTGATGCCTGTTGTGACTCCGCACCTCGTAACATGTGCCCCGGGACTCCTGGCAGGGGGCGGTATAAAGGACTGTCGAGCTCGACATTGTCCTGTCTCTTTCACTCAACCCAGCTCCACTGATTAGACCGTTGCGACTCACTCCGGTTCACTCTTTCTTTCCGACGTACCGAACAGGACCACCATCAACATGTCCAAGCCCTGGCCCCCTCGTCCTCCCACTCCCTACCCTCCCCCTCCCAGCCCCGGCAGCGACGGCAGGTGACCTAGCCCCAGTGTCAGAGTTTAGCGACGGTTGAACGTAAGCGAGTTGTTTAGTGGATGGAGCGGTGTGAACCGCCAGCTCTGATTAGGTGAGAACCTTTGGAGTCTGATGGCGAGGCGACGGTGTGAACGACTTTCAACTGACATACATATCAGACGACAACAGCTCCCTCCTCTTCATGCTCCACACCTCACACTTGTCGCTCGCCGCCGACCATCATTTCCAACCCCGCCCCCCCCGCGCCCGAGCCCCTTGCGACCTACCCACGATCACCATCCTCAACGACGAGGTCACCTCCCCGAAGCCGTCATGCTCTATCACCGCTTAAGGTAGAACACTTCAACCCGTTGTAATCACCATTCATCATCCCCTACGCCATGACACGATTGTCGCTCCAACCAAGGTCCCGGAGACCCCCCAAAGCCCCCTCTAAACCATTCCCTCCAGCTCCAACCACCCCGTTTCCACAGTAGCTCTCCACCTCTCGCCTTGACGGCGACGCAGTTGTATCGTCCCTCACCACCCAGCACGTCTTCATACCACAATAGCTTCATAGAGCAGGTTCTCTGAGCTGAACGATGTAACTTCGTACCTATTTCCCTTGGAGCCCCATTTCGGCCCTGCGACAATGAAGCCTTAGTCGATCGGGTGTGCGGGCCAAGATGCGCGATTATGGCCAGCGGTTTCTTAAGCGGCAAACGGTGTTGCGCAATTTCGAATCGTAGTCAGTACTGTGCAGTTTTCAGCGAAGGCCATGCGTCAGTAGGAGAGGGTTTGGGCGTGGTCGAAGAACGCGAGGTGCCAGTCTTGGATCGTTGGAAACGCGTGGGCCACAGCGGTGATCGGGTTGATCGGCGAGCTCCGGCCGCAACGCACGGAAGCAATGACGTACGGTGTGTCGCGTCTCATGTGCCCTCTGCACAGTCATGCTTCGAGTGCTCGCTCGACCATCGCTGCGCTGTCACCGTCTTTCTTCTACTCTACTCGGCACCGCTCGTTCACCAGCACGCACATCTCGCAACATTCCCTGCCTTCGGCCTTATACCCCTTCGCCTCCCCCCACGCAGCGTAACAGAATGCCCCTCCAGAAGCAGGAGACGGGCGCGTTCCAGCCCTCCCAGGCCTTTGACGACCAGATGATGAAGGTCTCGGACATTCACACTATCCAGTGAGCTTAAGATGGTGGTCGCGAGCTGACAGAGCGAGTTACTGGCAGGCTGGAAACCCTAAGGGCAAGCCGGGTGAGTTTTCTTGGTAAGGCGATAACTGACGGCAGTCGTCTTCCTGTGAGTATCTTCCTCGCAGCGCGGCGGGGTGAAGGACCTTCCTTTATCAGTCGCACAGGATGTAACAGGCTGTGCACGGGCATTACGCGACGTTTTTGTTCCTAAGATGCTGCGGTTTGCTCCGCAAAGGCTTCACAGTAACTCGGAGTGACCGCACGCCGTCCTGGTAGATCAACATCTACGCAACACCACTGCTTATGTGTCTTCCCTGTGAACCACAGAGAGAACTGCAAAGCTAAACGGCGACCTTTTAAGCTAACAACAGTCACGGCGGACCCGGCGGCGGCACCTCGCCTGGCGACACCATCTACTTCGACCCGAAGGTTTACCGCATTATCCTCATCGACCAGCGTGGTGCAGGAAAGAGCGAGCCGTGAGCTATAAAGGATTCGCCGTGAGCTGACAGCAGGACGGCCGAGCTGAAGGAGAACACGACCTGGGATCTTGTCGCTGACATTGAGCGCGTGCGCGAGAAGCTTGGCATTGAAAAGTGGCTCGTCTTCGGTGGCTCGTGGTGAGTAGCTTCAGCTATGCTGTGATCAAACGGAAGCTGACCGGCCAGGGGCTCGACGTTGTCGCTCGCGTACTCGCAGACGCACCCCGACCGCTGCGTTGCGCTCGTTCTCCGTGGCATCTTCCTTCTCCGCCGTTCGGAGCTCGAGTGGTTCTACCAGGACGGAGCGTCTCGTGAGCTAGCTCATGGGGGCTGTTTAGCTGATCTGCAGACATCTGGCCTGACGCGTGGGAGCCGTACCTCAACCAGATTCCCGAGGCTGAGCGTGGAGACCTCATTTCTGCTTACTACAAGCAGCTGACCCAGCCCGATGAGAAGAAGAGCCTGGAGGCTGCCAAGGCGTGGGCCACCTGGGAGGAGAGCACGAGCAAGCTGTACCAGGACCCGGCGATGGTTGCGCTCGCCGACAACGACGCGAAGTGGGCCCGGTGAGTTGTCATTGCTTGGCCTTCAACTAACCTCAGTGCCTTTGCTAGCATCGAGTGCCACTACTTTGTCAATGGCGGCTTCTTCCCCGAAGGCCACCTCATCTCGGAGCCCCAGCTGGCCAAGATGTAAGCTATAACCGTGTGTATGCTCAGGCAGCTAACCCCCCAGCCGTCACCTCCCCTGTGTTGTTGTCCAGGGTCGCTACGACTGTGTCTGTCCGGTGAGTAACGGGTCACTGACCTGAGAAGAGGTGCGAGCGGGCATGTGTTTGTTGTTCCGATGTCTCGCGCTGTCTCGCTCCGGGCCGCCTCCGCACTCGCCCCCGTGGTCTGTGGATTGTGGCTCCATGGCGTTGCGGTCGCGCGAGCAAAACAACGGGGCGAGCCAGTCAAGTCGCGAGGACGGACAGGAATGCTCGTTCCTCGCAACATTAAGTGGCTGGGCCGACGCTCGGAATATGGTTGTTTGGAACCGTGCCTACCGGTTTGTTTCTATTATTGTGCTGACTGAGTTCAGGCGCGTTCGGCTTGGGACCTCAAGAAGGCGTGGGGCGAGGGCCTGCGTTTGGAGATTGTGGACGACGCTGGTCACTCTGCCCACGAGCCGGGAATCACGCGCCTGCTCGTCGAGGCGACCAACGAGATGGCCAAGAAGCTCGACTGGTAGGGCAGTCACTCGAGCCAGCAGCAGATTTCATAGAGCGTTGCAGGGCTCTCTGAGATGAAGGAATAGAAGGCAGCGGTAGCGTCGGAGCAAGGTATGTCCGGCCCTTGGCGCGATTTGAGGCCTGGGTGTGTGCGTTGAACCAGTTGCGAGCCACAATGCGAGCACAAGCCGTTGTCGCCGGCGAAGGCCGAGCCGGAGCAGGGGCACATGCACCCTGCTGGATCCTGCTGGGTGCGATGACGGGGGCTGAGTGGTCGAGGTTGTTTGTGCAAGGCACGGGCCGCGGCGTTGTCGCGTGGTTTGGGGCCGGTGGTGGCGCAGAGTATTCTGGCATTGACCGACCCGCAAACAAGGCACAGGCGACATTTCGCTTCCAGGAAAGTGTCCAGGACAAGGTCTGAATGCATTGTCAGGGGCAGGCGGCGCGGGTCGTTTGGTTCCAGACCCGTTATTTGCAGCCGTTGCAGCCGAGGGCGGAGGGCGGAGGAGCAATCTGGCAGAGTGATGAATGCAGGCGTAGGCCTTGGCTTGGCGCCTGTCATTGTGGCGACTACCGCTCGGCCACTGACGAGTGAGTGACGTGCGGTGTCTGTCAATGCTGGGGGGCGTCACTTTAACTCGCGATCGCCAACGTTGCAAGCAGCCGAAGCGAAGGGGCACGTCTCTGAGGAGAGGATGACAGAGGATCTGAAGCTTCTGGGGAGGGGCTTGCTCGTCTCCCCGACAGGAGCGGCTAAGGGCGGCACGGCAAAGATGGTACGGCAGTCCGGGAGATGCGGACCAGTCGGACCAGTCAGCTGCAAGCGTCCAGTATCTGCCAATGTCGGAACAGGCTCCCGGAGCGGGGTGCACGGGCCAAAGCGCTGCATTTCTTCCCCTTGTGCTGCAGAAGGTGAGATCCAATGGTTTCCGAGTTTGTCTGCACCGTCTTAGCAGTGCTTCCTTTCCAGTGCAAGTAGCGCGAATGCATCGGAGAGATGAACTGCAAGGGGCAGATTTGAGCTTGGGATTGAACTTTGATTCCACTGGAGTCCCAGCCTACTCTCTGCTTGAGAGGGGCATGGGAGGAGAGGACACAAGAGGGGTGTGTACCAGAAACGTAAGCCGTGCCTGGATTGCAAGCCAAGAATTGGTCCCAGGCACAGGGGGCTGCGTCGAGACTGTGGACTGTGGAGGATGAGAGGAGCGCAGTCATCGGCGCAGGCGGCGCAGTCTGTTTGGGCGGTGTTCACTGCACAGTCCTCTTACAGACAGACAGACGGGCGGCCGCAGTGCAGCGCAGCACTCGATGTGTTCCGATACACGGAGAAGGCGCACAGGTCACAACGAAAGTGACGTCCGGCGCTTTCGCCGTAATGTGTGTTCTTCTTTCCTTTCGATGTACAGGGATGAGTCACCAGCGAGCCCCAGTTGGCCAGGGACGGAAGCCGGCTCCTGAACAGTTTGCGGATTGCAGATTGCTGGGCAGATTGCAGATTACAGAGACCGTGGGGGGGAGAGGGGAAGGCGCAGCAGGCAGCCATTCGTCCGCAGTCGGTGTCCTCTGCAACAGGAGAGACGAGTCGATGCAGACTAACGTAGACGCCAGGACGCGCAGCCGACCGACGCTACGCTACACTACGCTACCTACTACGGGGGTTTACATCCCGATTAGCTCAGCCCATGCAGCCCAGAGCATGCAGAGCAGAGTACGCAGGCCCCTCCGTCGGCCAAGACTTGACCAGTCGCGTCGCTCTCCTCCGCCGCCCTTGCCCCTTTCGCGGGGCACAACCACCTGACGGCCTGACGGCCTGACGGGGATGGCTTCATCAGCCAACTTTATCGCCCTGCCCAAGCCTGACAAGCCTCTTTCGAGCCTGGGCAGCCTTGGCTTTGTCTTGGACAGCCCCTATCTTCCCACCTGGCTATTTTCAGTCTAGTCGCGTCGCTCATCTGGTCTTGTCAGCTTGCTCTCGACATTACCATTGTCCTCTTCCTCACCATCACTCTTCGACTTCTACTCACTCACTCACGACAGCGACAACCTCGACTCAGACCCCCACCCTGGACGACCACGCGAGACCAGCCGAAATAGCGCAAACTTTACCCCGTCCCGGATTCTAGCACTCTACTCCGACTGCAGCTGATCGTCACTCTTGCCCCGCATTTAGCACACCCTCCCCACAACCGAAACCGCCGCCCAACACCCGCCGCGACACCACCACCACTGCAGAGCCAGCAAACATTACGCAGGCGATCAACGTTTGTTCGCTCTTCCTTCCTCGCCATCTCTCCGTTCTCACTCTTACATCGAGCACCCGCCTAGCCCCCCCATCGCAGGGGTCCCCGCCGCCACTCACGATGACTGGGTTGAGCATACCGGGTCGCCGGCGCGAGTCGTCGGCGTCCCATCACGCGTCCCCGCCAATGGCCGCAGGCAAGCCAGAGTCTGCGTCACCCGTTCATGTTTTCTCCACCACGCCGCCGTCGCCGCACACTATGCCCATGGAGCCTATGGCGCACGACGAGCACGAGCCGACATCGAGCGGAAGCTCCATCGACGCAAGCGTCGGCACACCGGCATGCATGTCGCCCAGATCGCCCATGTACTCGTCCAATGACGGGTTCCTCGACGCCTCCGCCGCCATCACCCTCGGCCCCGCCGTGCCTCCCCTCCCCTCCGTCGTCACCAGTGGAATACCGCCGCGCGATGGAGCCGACTCGACCCCCTCGCCAGTGGGCAGCAAGACATCGTCCTTCTTCGCAACGAGCCAGTGTGACACCCCTCCCCCAGCTCCCCGACTAGCGCCCGCAGCACCCTCCCCATTATCACTGTCACGCGCGTCGTCGCTGCGCGCGCGGGCGCTTCCCAACCTCCCGTCCCCAACACAGGAGTACGACCATGTGGAGACCCCAGCCGAACTCTCGCAGTTGGCGCCTTTGCACCAGTCGCCGAGTCTCGCACCGACATGGGTCCCGCCTCGCCCCCCGCACGCAGACCACATCGAGATGCGTCTGTTCCCGGACGCGGAGCACCTCCTCGGCGAAGGCCGGTACGCGCGCGTTTACCTCGCATCGTACCGGCATCACGACGACGAGTGGGAGTCCAAGTGGCGCCTGTGTGCAGCCAAGCGATTGGCAGCCGATCGCGAGAGTCAGACGATGGGCCTCCGGGAGGCATTCTTCCTGAACCGTCTGAGCGGCCCGCCGACTCGCTGACCCGCCGCTCGAACAAGGGGCGCGTGTTCATCGTCAAGCTCATCGCAGTCAAGGAGGACGAAGAGGACGCCAATGTCCCGATCATGCCGCCCTCGCCGACGCCCGTCCGGAAACGCAGCAGCACGATCTATGCTGGCGGCCGCGAAGGACCAGAGCACACCATGGGCCACGCGCACTCCCCAAGCCTCCCCGGCGCCCTCGAGCTCGAGAAGCCGCCGAGCCCCCGCCGCCTCGTCCTGCTGCTCGAGCACGTGCCGCTCGGCTCTGTCGACCGCATGCTGCGTACCGAGCCCGGCCTCGTCGGCGAGCGTCTCTGGGGCCGCTGGGCGCGCGAGGCGGCCGAGGCGCTGGAATGGGTCCACAGCCGCGGCGTCGTGCATGCCGACATCAAGCCGAGCAACATTCTCGTGAGTCATACCAGAGTGTCTTAGCTAAGTCATACCGGAGTGTCTTAGCTAACGTATCAGCTGACGAGCGATCTGCACCTGCGCTTGTCTGACTTCGGATCGTCACTGCTGATCCACCCCTCGTCCCCGCCCACCGACGGCGTCGGGCTCGGCACATTGCCCTTCAGCGCGCCCGAACTCGTCGACCCAAACGCGAGCTTCTCCTTCCCGATCGACGTCTTCGCCCTCGGCGCGTCCCTTTACCAGATGATCACGGGGCGGGAGCCGTACCGCGGCTCGCGCCCTGTCGAGATGATGCACCACGTGCGCAATGGCATCCTCTGGGACTGGGAGGAGCGGCAGCGTCTGAAGCGCGTGGGCGAGCACTCAGCGAGCTCGTCGCCCTATCCCTCCGGTCCCTCCTGGCGCGCCGAGCCCGTGCCCGCCGTCGAGATCCGGAGGGCCATCAGCCTGCGCGCGCCGGGGGGCACGCCGTCGCCGCACAAGCGCTTCCCGTCTGCAGACCACACGTTCGGCAGCGGGGGCAGTCTCTCGGCCGAGTCCCTCTCTAGCTCCCCCGGGGGCATCAAGTCGTGGGCGGCGTGGGCGAATGGCGCGCGGCAAGACGCAGTCGACAAGCTCCTCGACGACAAGGGCGAGAAGGGCTTCAGCCCCCTGCGTCGCCGGGCCGGGAACGAAATCGCGCGCAACGCGTCTATCCGTAGCGCACGCTCTGTCCTCAGCAATCAGAGGAGCAGTCCCGAGTCCTCGCCCGAGAGCACGAGTCGGCGCCGCGCCCCCGTGCAGACTGAGCGGCCCAGCTCCGCCGCAGCCCTCAGAGCGATCACGGACCTGGCGCTCGACGGTGAGGACCGGCGCAAGGACAGCTACGACGACAGGGCGTACGCTGACGGCGCCCCCGCTATGCACTTCCTTGGCGGGGGACGTGTGCCCGATGACGTGAGGGATGTGCTCCGCGCCATGCTGGACCCGAATGCGGCAGAGAGGCCCAGTGTCGGTGACGTGCTCGCAGCATGGGATGAACTGAAGGTGGGCGTGTAGCCGGACGAGCGGACGAGCGATAGCGAGTCTGCGAGTCCTCTGCTCCCCTTTGTCGAGCCTCTCCTCGCCCTCGTCCCAGTTACACTCTTAGCCCTGAGCCCTGTCTCTGCCAGCGCCTAGCGACTGTACAGCACCAGCAGCATCAAGCATCCCCATCGAGAAAATACACCGGTCTAGGCGACCGCAAGCAAGAGAGCAAGCAAGAAATAATCACCGTTCCAAGAGAGAAGTGTTGTCTGTATCCCCCCCAAAAGTGAAGTGTTGTATGTCTTGCCAGAGAGAGTATGTGTACATCTAGATCTAATACAACGTATATGCCACAATGTAGCCATGACGCGAGCGGCGAGTGGGTGGGCGAGGGGATCGATCACACTCAACCGCAAACGGCAGCAAGATAACAGCATGGTGACAGTGGAGGGGTAGGAGATGGAGTTAGAAGCCAAAGATATCATCCATGGCGTCCTTTTTCTTCTTCTTGAGCTTCACTCCGTCCTTCTTCCTCGCCTTCTCCTTTGTTGGCTGGGGAGACGGGGCGTCGGCCGATTTGCTCTTCTTCGCTTTGGTAAAGATGTCGTCGACTGAGTCGGTCTTGCTCTTCTTCTTCTCAGTCGAGGCGCTCTTCCCTGTTGAAGCGGACGAAGGAGTGGGAGAGTCGACAGCGGGTTTCTTCTTCTTCTTGCTCGGCGCGCTCGGCGCGCTCGGCGCAGAGAAGATGTCGTCGCGCTCGTTGGGCTTCTTCTTCTTAGACGTCGAAGCAGAGGAGGACGAGGCGAAGATATCGTCCATGTCGCTCTTCTTCTTCTTGGGCTTGACGGGTTTGGGACTCGGCTCGGTCCTCGGCTCGGGCCCAGACTCCAGCTCGGGTTCAGGCTCTGATCGCTTCTTCGCCCCTGCTACTGCTGGCTTGGCCAATGTCGGCCTCGGCGTGGGGGAGGGACTTCCCGGACTACCCGGACTACCCGGCGCCTCGCCCGTGTCCATCCCCGTGTCCACAATGGCCATCATCTCCTCCCTGCTAATCACCTCACCCAGATCCCCTCCTCCTCCCATCCTTCCGCCCAGATCGAACTCTCTGATCTCCCTCGGCGCATCGAGGTTCCCGCCCCTAGGCCCCGCCTTGGCCAGCAACACCAGATCCTCGCTCCTCGCGCCACTCAATACCTCACTCAACTGTAATCCAAGAAGGGGACAGAGATGCACGCAGATCGCAAAGAGACGGCCGTACGACGCAATAAGCATAGTTTGGAGCGGGACGAAGTGGTGCAAGGCCAGCATTTGGGCCGTAATATCCGCTGCGAGGAGGAGAGACTTCAATAACTGGATATCAGCTCAGCAAGGAGAATGTCGGAACGAACTCACGCGTTGGACGAGGTCTCGCAGACGCTCCTCGGCCTCCTCTCCATCCTCTCCGTCCACTCCGTCCTCCATCATTCCATCCTTATCACCAGATGTCAGCGGCGCAAGCGGAGTCATAGCACCGGACTTGAGCCCCGGCGTCGTGGCTCCGGAAGCCGAGGCGCCGCCGGGGGTAGAGGAGGAAGATGTTGGATCGGAACAAGCGGAACAAGCGGCATACTGCCGTATAACCAGCCGCGTGAGACGGAGTACAGCCTCGAGACGGCGGAGGAAGAGCTGATGCCTGTGCTGCGCCCTTGAGCGCTGGTACAGCGAGAGGAGGAGGGCATACTCTGTCGCGAGGTGGGCGCGGACCGAGCTGTGTCCGGACACCATCGTGTTCCACTTCCCAACGTTTCGACTGGTATGTAGGCGGAGGAGAAGAGAGCCGTCGAGAATCGAGATGAGTAGAGGAGATGAATGTTGTGAAGCAGACGAAGGTGGAGGCCAAACACTCAGACGTCACTGAAATTCTGGTGGAGGCATGGAGACCTCCACTCGCGCGTCGTTGTTCGCGTCCACTCTCTCTCTCTCTTGGCCGTCTCAGCCCCGTTTCTGTATTCCCTGCGAGTGTGAGAAGCTTTGTTCGTACAACCTAACCCTATGCTATATGCTCTGTAAACATTGGGACGGGCAACGCTGCACTCTATACCTGACGATCGATGAAGCATTCTGTACGCGATCGATGGAGCTCATGTCCCCGTGTAGTGCTCCTCTGCACCGTAGAGAGCGGATACGGCCGTACCAGCATACCCGTCTCGTCTCTCGTACACACTGACGGCATACCGGAATGGCGGCCAGCTCTGCTTCCCGCAGTTCAGCGCCGGCAGCAGCTCGCCTCAGACCTTCTGGCCCTTTGACCTCTGCACGCTCTGCGGCAGTGGGCAGGCAGCGGCTCAGGGAGTCATACATAGGGGCCAGCAGGCCAGGGATAATGGCCCGATGGATTGATTCCTGCGGTTTTTTTTTGGAAGGCCTGCCGCAATTCCTGCGCAATTGCTCTAGTCTGGTCTCGAGCGACGCGCTAACCGTGTGTCAATGGTGGCAGCATGAGACCGCGCAGATTAGCCTCTTGGGCCAGATCTCGCCCTGCAGGTGATGCTGCAGCTGCGGGGCTTCTGACAGGGATTGCTTTGCCGGAGAACTCGTGAGGGTCTCGCGAAAGAGCATGGAAGGGTTACACAGAAGGGGAGTACTGAAGAGGAAAGGCAGGCCAGGACTCCTCGGAGCTCGGAATCGTCCCGTTTCTGCGGCTCACGGCTCCGCGGCCCATTAGCGCTGCAGGCGCACGGCCACCGAGCCACTGGGCCACTGGGCCACCGGGCCACCGAGGCCAGCGGCTTTCCGCGTTAAAGGCAATTAAGCATCCCCGGGCCCACTCCACCGACTCGGACAGGGCCAGCAAGGTGTGGCCACATTCTGCAGCCTTACTCGCATCCGACACCTACTTCTACTTGCCTGAATGCAATGGGAGAGTGAAGATTGAGTCGAGGAGACCTGTAACCATTGCAGTTGGACGTCTCTCTTGTGCGGCGTTTCGTGACGAGTTTTGCACGCTTCGCACGCTTTCGACATGTGCACATGTAGCAATGATCGAAAGCGTCACGGTGGCACGATGGTCGTCGTATCTTGCGCGTGTCGGGTCCGCAGCGAGTGACAACCTCGCTGTCGTTGGCCAGGTCCGATTGCACCGGGGTGTCCAACTGCAGAAAGTCTTTGGGCTGAGGTGCCCTGTTCCCTGGTGCCCTGCCCCTGGCGCTTATGAGCCCTTTGGGTGCAGTCACGTACCTTTGTGCCGCTGGTATCCCGCTGCTTTGAGCGACGACGTTTGCGAAAGCTCTGGGAGTTCTACAGAGGGCCTCTGATGCAAAAGCTGGGAATGGGAAGAGTAGGAAGTAGCGAGTGACGAAGGATCAGGCCGACGGCAAGAGTTGCGGCACGGCACGCCCGGCACACACACCGATCCATCCATCCATCCCACACACACTGCACACACACCACGCGCTCACCGCTGCATCTCAGCGATCCCGCACACAACGCCGCCAAACCCATTCATTCATTCGACATCCATCCATCTCACATCCCATCTACCCATACTCCCCCCCTAACTCTTATTACTCCTTGTCTTGCATCGACCGAACGACCCCTGCGACACACACACGCCGACCCGAGCGACTCTATCCCTCTCCTCCCCCTCCTCAGCACGAGCACTCCGTCGACCCGACAGACCGCCCAGTTCGAACCCTACGCGATCGCGATCCATCAGTGCGCGCGACCCTCGACACACCCAGAAGGCACACCGACGCGACGCCGCCCCTGCCCATCTCCTAACCCTCTGTCATCTCGTCTGGCCGCTCCCTCCGCCGACAATCCGGCGACAGCGGCTCGACACCCCCCACACCCACACGCCCGGTCCCTCCGCACGACGGCGCGTAACACGGCGCACACCCCGCCGACACGCCCGACACGTCCGCGCGAGGACCAGGCCAGCCAGCCATGGACTCCAATGGTGAGTGAGATTGTCCGAGGGGTCTGGCGTACAGTGTTTCCGTCGGCGGCGGAGGCCGACGAGCGATCGGGCCAGACAGCCTGCGGTAGTTCAGACAATGCCGCTCGCGAGCACCAACGCGTACCGGCGTTGCGGCTGTTATGCTCGCAGCACGCAGGTCAGACATCCAGCAGCCTACCAGCTAGCGGTCTGAGTCTGGCGAGGATAGAGGATTGCGGGACGCTAGGCTTGAGGGATTCGACCAGGACATGAAGGGACGCCGCGCTCTTGGGAGACGCACCGTGCATTGCGACCCCTGCTCGGCGTGCATCCCCCTACATGCTCGTCGCTATGCACTGCGCAATGCATGCACGCAACTGCACATGCATGCAGAAGTGTGCTATCAGCGATAGCGGAGGACGATGCCGGCGGGTCTTTGGCTAGGGACGCGGCTGTCGGGGCCCTACACCTGTTCCAACCCACCAGGCGCACTGGCACGCGCACCATCCGTCTACCCCTTCATCGTGTTCCCGATCCCTTTTCACCACGTCGAGCACTCGGACCAGGCAGACTCGTCGTTCTCTTCTCTCTTCTCCCTTTGCATCCTCGCACACAGACGCGCGCACGCACGCCGTCCCGCACTCGAGACCACCCCCGAGTCCGCAGCGCATCACGCGCACCCAGCACGCGCAACCTCCCTCACCCCGAAACACTCTTGCCCTCAGTTTCACCTTGCGTACCCACTCTTTCCCTCCCTCCCCATCCACCACGACCACCGCCAACGCGACTACTTTCCTCTCGTTCACCCACAAAGCCTCCCCAAGCCCAAACTCTAACGCACAGGCCGGCAACGCACCTCGATTCCCGGCTCTTCCACCTTCCGGAGACTACCTACCTTTTCACGCTCGCCGTTTCGTCGTTCCGACAAGCACGCTTCGCCCAACCCTGACCACCACGCCCAAACATCAGACGGCGCACCGTCAAAAGTATCCACCTTTCCGAGCCTAGCGCGCGTCGTTGTCGACGACTCGAGCCTGTCCTCTGCCCTCTTCGGCACCTCCATCTCGGACGACACAAACGCCGGATCGTCTCAGCAGGTTCCTTCCTCGGCCTCGGTTCAGAACATTGTCGACGCGTCCGCCCCGCAGCCGATCATCCCGCCCGCATCCCAGCAAAGCAGCAACAACAGCGGCTCGTCCGGCGCGTCCCAGTCTCCCCAGGCCGCAATGTATCAGTCCAGCCAACAGACGCCCCAGCAGCAGCAAGTCCCTCTCTCCCCGCATCCCTACAAAGTCCCCGCGCGAAACACGAGCAGCGGAAGCGGATCGACACCCTTGAACGTCGGACTCGCGTCTTCGCCCTCCAACTTTGACCTCGAACCGATCACCTACCCCGCGCACCTCGCCCAGACGCGCCCGCCAGAAGTTGGAGGTATCGTCCAGCCATTGACCGCAGGAGCGACCGGAAGCAGTACGGCCACGAGCACGTCTGGAGCCGGATCCCCCAACACCGCGACCGGAGGATCAGGCGCGACTTCACCAGGCGCGCCAGCAGTCCCCGTCCGGTCAGCACACCGCTACCACCGCGACATTTCCGCGCTCGGCTCGGGCACCGCTGCTCTCGCTTCCGCCATGAATCTGACGACCTCTGGCCTGGCTGCCAACGCGGTCAACACACCTGCCGCGCCTCCCAGCAACTCGCAGTCGGCTGCGACGCCATCCATTGGTGGATCCGGGTTTGCGTCCCAAAACGGCGGCACGATGGGTGGTCCTTCCACGGCGACGTCGTCTTCTTCGATCGCACAGTCGCAGCAGCAGCCCTCGATGGGTGGTGTGTCGCAGGGATCAGGGGACAGCACCCCGACGGTCGGGCCCTCTGGAAGCGGCAACCAGCCGTCGGGTGCCTCGCGATCATCGGCTTCGCGCAAGGCCTCGAATAACGCCTCGAGCAGCGGCCGGAGAGCCGCGAGCGGAACAGCGACCGGAGCCGACAAGGACGGCGAGGACGGTAGCGCCGACGACGTGCAGGGCAAGCGCCGCGGCGAGGGTGGAGTGAGCCGGAGCTCGCGCCGACCGCCGAAGGCCCGGGAGCGCGACCACGCCAACGCGGCCAACCTCGAGGGCGAGGGTGACAACCTCCTGTCGCCCGTGCTGCCCACGGCCAAGGTGCCTCGCGCGCCCGCATCGGCAATGTACTTCTCCCCGGTCGCTGCCCACGGGCGACCGCCCGGCCAGGCCCTGCGCGCGCACACCGGAACGCTCGTGGGTGATCGGATGTGGTTCCTGGGCGGTGTTGATGCGCGCTCGTGCTGGCGCGGGGTTGCGTCATTTGACACCGAGTCGCTGCAGTGGTCCACGGTCGAGACGCACGGCGAGAGCCTCCCTCCGCTGCGTGCGCACACGACGACGCTCGTGGGCGACCAGCTCTACATCTTTGGCGGCGGCGACGGACCGACATACTCGAACGACGTCTGGGTGTTTGACACGGTCACGCGACGATTCTCCCGACCCGTCATCGCGACGCCGCGGGCAAACCTCCCTCCGCCGCGCCGTGCGCACACGACGGTGCTGTACCGCAACTTCCTGGTCGTCTTTGGCGGCGGTAACGGACAGGCGGCGCTGAACGACGTGTGGGCGCTCGACGTGTCTGATCCCTCGCGGCTAACGTGGCACGAGTGGCGGACGCGCGGCGACGTCCCGCAGAAGAAGGGCTACCACACGGCGAACCTCGTTGGAGACAAGATGATCGTCTTTGGTGGATCAGACGGACACGCATCCTTCGCAGACGTGCACGTCCTGAACCTGCAGACTCTGACGTGGACGCTGGTGAACACGGAGGTGAAGCACAACCGACTCTCGCACACCGCCACCCAAGTTGGAAGCTATCTCTTTGTGATTGGCGGCCACAACGGACAGACGTACGCCCAGGACGTCCTGCTCTTCAACCTCGTCACGCTTGCGTGGGAGCAGAAGATCCCCAAGGGCATCCCGCCCCAGGGACGCGGATACCATGTCGCCGTGCTCCACGACGGACGCATCTTCATCTCGGGAGGGTACAATGGTGTCTCGGTGTTCGACGACCTCTGGGCCCTCGACTTAGGCGCGGGCGCGTACCTGCCGCAGGTGACCACGTTTGAAGTCGACGAGAACGCAGAGCACCTTCACCCCCCGGCGCCTCCGAGCAAGAATGGTTCGAGGATCTAGCCGGAGGCGCATCCGCAGGGTGTGCCGAGGCTGTGACATCTACGCCGCCACGGCTCCAGCGACGCCCGCGACACGATAACGACCCGGGACGACCCCACGCTCACGCCTAATCTTTTTCCGCTCTCTGCGACACCCTACCTCTACTCTTGGCCGGCGCGAGCGTGCATCTGTGTGACGCTTTTACGTTTCTCTCCTTCTCTATTCTTGTGGACTATTCTATTTCTACTCCCTCCAAAGTATATCGAGCGCTCGCGATTCCCCTCCTTTATAATTTGGCATGCAACGTGTGTATCTGCACCAGCCGACGCAATGAGGAGCGAACGAAGTGAACGCGAGGGCCAGCATAAGTGAGGCGGCGAGCAAGGTGAGTGTGTGCATTACGATCGAAATCATGAAGCAGCTCGCTTTGGTTCCTAAAGCAGTCGATGAATGCGAGCTTGCAAGCGAAGCAACAAGCTCATGTGGTGATGGAAAACGCAGCGAATGGCATAGCGTGTGAGTAAGGCAGTGAAGTGAGAGTGATCGAGCGTGTGTTCCAACAATCAAGGTGCCTAGAGAAATGACGACGGCTATGACGACTGATACAATCGGGGTCCAAGCTCTTCAGGTCGCGTTTAAGCTCAAAGACATGTGCGGCACGCGGTGAGTGTCTGGTTCCAGGCTTTGGGTCGGTCGGTATCCGGGATCGCGTAGGTCAGCCGTAGGTCAGTGGTTTTGCCTGGAAGTACCCGCCCGCGCAACTGTGGAAGGTTTCGTCAGGTTTCGTCAGGCTCGTCAAGCTCGAGTAGTCCAGGAGGCTCGCGACGGGGCTACGAGTGAGGCGTGCAAGGTACGGACTGCAAAATGAGCCGATGTCGGGAACTGAGGGCTAGCAGCTACCGGGCTCTTTCATCCTTCTCCGTGAGTGGAACTATCAAGGTCCACTGGCAATGGCGCGGACATGCGGAATTCGAGCCGAAAAAGCGCTTTTTGGTCATTGTGGGTCAGCAGATTTAGAATAACCGACGCCATGTATGCCGCGAGAGGAGCAGCACAACCAGGTGGTCCCGACGGCAAGACGGCAAGACCCCGATGGCCGGTGTCGGGTGGAGCGAAAGGAACTCAGGACGTTGCAATACTACCGTATAGCTTTGTTCACAGGCGCGCGCCAACTGACCAGTGCAGTGCCAAGCGCACGTCGATGTCATGCAGAGTGCGAAGAGTGGGGAAAGTGTGCTTTGCCTCGGGGGTCATAGAATACGCTCGGAACGGGGCGAGTCTGCGCCTACTGTTACGCACCTACCGAGAAGGCGCACTAGACGGTCAGCTGCACCACCAGGGATGTGCGGGGAGTTGAACCACCTCGCAGTGTGCATGACTCTATTTGGCACGGCACACTCGCACACCACTCCCCCCCCCTTTGTCCATCCAACTCTTTCTCTCTTGCGCATCATTCCTCATTCCCCCTCTTCTTCATTGTTCATCGAGACACACCCAAGGCTCACCAAGGCCGAGTCCTGGATACCCACCCCACCCCTGATCGACAGCGGTCCACCGCCGACGGAGACCGGGAATCGCTCTCGCTCCCATTCAAGACACCACCCACTGCACCTGTCACTTGTTACCACGACGGCTCTGCACTCGACGCCCAACTGCCGACCACGGCGAGGACAAGCTCTCGAACGCTTCAAGTAACCGCTTATTCCCCCTCGGTACCCAGCGGCACGCCACCCACCCGGCGGAGTGCGGGCTACTGCCTCCTAGTCCTGAGATCCAGCGGTCCTGACCCCGCAATCCCCCCTTACTCCACAGTGGAGGCTTCCCAGACACCTACCCACCCAGTCGACACGGAACGACGCACGCATCCCAGTGTCAGTGGGCAACGGTATTTCCCCGTCGTCCACCTTTACACCACGTCTCTCGTTCGCATCGCCGCAGTCACACTTGGCACCCGTCAAGCCCGTTGCTAGTCTGAAAGCCGCTCGCGCCGCTCGCTCTCCCGAACAACTACTACTACGGTACCCCGGACCGGACACCGCCGAGAAGCTAGCTTGCACCTAGCACGCCACTCCCCCACCGCCCAGCCGCCCGGCGCACTCGCTTATCTGCGCAAACCGCCGCACTGCACGCACTGAGCTTCCCACAACCTTGCACCCGTCTACACTCCCGAGCAACGAGCAAGGTAACACTCGATTCATCACTTTAGTCACTTGTCTCACCGTCACTGCAGTACAGCGTCACACTGCCCGTCGATCGCCAATCATCCCGATCGCCCGTCGCCACCGCTCGACACTTCGGTGCCAAGAACTGAACTGCCCAGGGCGCCAAGAATAGAGAAACCTTACAACTAGACTTCGCAACAGCTTCGTATCATGGACGAGCCCCGCGTAGAGGACATGCGCGACTCGCCGCGGCGCAAGCGTGCCGCCTCGCCCGACTCGGCGTCCAAGCGGCGCACACAGACGCCGACAGCGTCTGGCTCTGGCTCCAGCTCTCGAGACGTCTCGCCGCCCTCCCCCTCTCCAGCCCAGGAGGCCTTCTTCTCTGCAACCGACGCAAGCCCCAGCAGCTCCCGCAGCACCGACACGATGGCGATGGACTATGAGCTGCCTCCCCGCTCCTATGTGCCTTACGCCCAGGGCCGAAACCCGTACAGTGTCAACGGGGGACGGTACGAGTCGAACAGCGAGGTGCACGAGCGTCTGGCGGGATGGAGCATGAACGAACTGGGCAGCTTGGATCCGCACACCGGCCCTCCGCCTAGGTGGAATCCGACCGCCGCACCCCGCAGGGAGAGCATGTACGCTGCCTCCTCGCCTCAGGCAGTGCGTGATGCGCTCTTCGCTGCGCGCGCCGAGCGTGCCGAGCGCCTCAGCGCTGAGCGCCCCTACCTGAGCCGTTATGAGCCTCCCCGCAGGCGGAACCCCGAGGTTCTCGACCCGGCGTCCTTGTTCGAGGCGGGGCCCAGCAGCCTCGCGGGGGCCAGCGGACCGAGCTCTGGGTCCGAGAGCGGCTCCTCCGGCCTCGCGTCGAGCAGCAGCTTCGAGCCCAACTGGGACATGACCGGGGTGTATACCCGGCGCACTGGCCCGCCTCCGGCGCCCTCAACGGGCTCGAACGCGCGCTCGAACCTGGCAGCGGCACAGGCCCGCCTCCGCGCCGAGCGTCTCGCCGCCTTCGAGCGCAGGATCTACGCCGAGCCTCCCCCTCCCGCATCTGAGGTCGCTGCTCGCTCCCGCTTGCCCCCCAACACACTCGGGCACGCATCGCACGGCCACGCACATGGATCCCACTACAACCCCGCCGCGACGCCGTTCGGCTCCGCCCTCGAACGGGGATACTACGCCTACGCCCACGCCCGCGGCGACCCGTACACTTTGATCGCGGTCCCGCCCGAGTTTGCGCGGTACGCATTCAGCCGCCGCCGTCTGCCTGCGCGCCTGGACGGGCTCAGCGACGAGAGAAGCGGCAGGCGGCGCGGGACGCGCTCGACGCAGTGTCGAGGCTGGCGACGGAGGAGCGGCGCCGCCTCGCCGAGAAAGTGCTCCAGAAGGTCGTCTACTCCGAGCTGTGCGCGCACGTCAACGCTCCTTCTGCCGCTGCTACGTCCACCTCGGAGCCGGAGACAGTGTCCGGTGGCATGATGGACAACCTCGAGCTCCCCGACGCCCCCGCCAAGACCATCACATGGGACGCCGAAGTGGAGACCGCCTGCGCCATCTGCCAGGACGACTATGATCCCGCCGACGAATCAGTGCTCACGCCCTGCGGACACATGTACCACTCGTCGTGTCTTGGGACGTGGCTCGCGCGCAGCAATCCCGCAGCGAGCACCTGTCCCATGTGTCGCAGGGACTTGGCGTGTCTCGCCGTCCTGAGGAGGATGAGCGATGAGGGCGAGGCGAAGAGGCTCTGGGTCTCGGTCGGCGATGAGGGGGAGCGTGGGGGGTGGATCTGAGCGAGGTGAGGCGCGCTGAGACGCCGGAGGCGGCGAAGGCGGCCATGCGGCGAAGCGTCGAGGCGGCGAGGCGATCAAGGAGGGCAGCAGTGGCAGCGAAGGAGGCGAGGCGATGCTCATTTGGACGCAGCAGTGGACGCATGCCGTCGAGAGCGACGGGAGTGAGTTGTAAGGCTGGCTGCGCCAGTGAGGAAGAGGAGCAGTGTCGATGTCTCATCTGTTATCTATCCATACCTCGTCTGTGTCGGAGTATACCTGTAGTTGTACGGACAGTGTTCATGCATGTGTAGCTATCGCGCGGCGAGCGAAACGAGCGGAAGCACGTCGCAAGGGGAAGGGTGGATGAGCAGAGATATGCCACAGGTGTGTGTCCGCGCCGATGGGTGAGCCGTGCAACCTCCTCTGCTCAGCACTGTGATGCCCCCTCTCAATGACCATGCATGCATAACACATCATCGACGTCGCTTAGCCTCCCGCTGCTCCTTCCTCTCCGCGATCCTCCTCTTCTTGAGCTCCCGCTTCATCTCAGCCACCCGACTCCGCCCCAACACCAAACACCGCTTCTCGCCGAGTCGCACCACCGCCGCATTGTGGGCATTACTCCCCCTCTCGCCCTTCTCCACGATCTCGGCGTCCCCCTCAAGCCCCTCGGCCGCGTACCTGGCCAATCGGGCCGTGATCGCAGCGTCAATGACGCCAAGCACCTCCTCGGTGGGAGTAGGCTTGGGCATTTTCCCCTTTTGTTTTGTGCGCTCCCATTCCGCGTCTTCGAGGAACAGGCGGACGAACGACAGCAGTTCCTCGGGCAGACCATCGGCGGGGTCGAGGGTGAGGATGAACGTGTCGTCGGCATCTTCAAGCCACGCCTCGAGCCGCTCGTCCCAAGGAGGATTGGGCCTGCCGTCTGCGTCGAATTCGATGGGTTTTCGGAGCTGAGCAGCAATGGCGCGCAGCACGAGGTCGCCACTCAGTTCCACCTCGTCGCCTGCGTTTCCCCCCAATTGGGGGAAGACGGAAGAGGGGAGTTGAGACGCAAAAGAAGAGGGAAAGGGGAGGAGATCGACGTGCCCGTACTTCCGCAGCAGCTCGGAGTTGCACGGAGACGAGTAGGTGTTGTACTGTGCGTTAGCTGCGAGCGGAGCGGGCTGAAGCGAGCTGGAGCGAGCGGTAAAAAAGATGGGATTGAGGAACGGAATGGGGAGATGAAGAGATGGGGAGATGGGGAGATGGGGAGATGGGGATGAAACTTACGATCTGCTCGCCGGCGTTGATGTCCCGCGTCGTCGTCATCGTGTACGCGTCGTCGCTTGCCTTGTTCGCTGAAGCCGAAGCCGCCGGAGCCGCCGAAGCGGCCGAGCGCATGCTCACGTCTCCCTGTTCCTCCCCTTCACCCTCCCCCTTCTCCTCGCCCTCCTCATCCTCCTCCTCATCCTCCTCCTCATCAGGGCTAAACAGTCTCGCATTGTCCATCTCATAAGCCGCATTCAGCATATCCGCCAAGGGCACCATGACAGCGACCTGCTCCTCCTCTTCTTCCTCCTCCTCTTCATCGCTATCCTCACTCCTGGCCTCCTTCTCCTCCTTCTCCTTCCTGTATCCTGCATCAACCCTAGCCCGGGGCACCGTAAAGCTGCGACTGAGCACACGCGAACCTTGACGATGATAACACTCTTTGGAGAAGTCGCCCACAAACACGCCGGGATACGCGGCAAGGAGGGGCGCGACGCGCTCGTCGTAGTCCCTATCGGCGGACGCGCGCCCGATCCTGTTCTCAATGTCGGTTCCCTTCAGCAGCGCGAGATCGGGGGCGGGCCACCACATTGGCGTACTGAAACTCCCAGGCATGGCGTCGAGGTACGCTCGCCACGGGGACTCGGCGCGGCTGTCCTCCCACATCAGGGCCAGGATGAGGCGCGTCCAGCCCCCCTCGAGACTGGCCCAGTCCTCGGGCTTGAGGTGCGTCGAAAGGGTCGAGGTGTGCTCGGACAGGAGATACGACGAGGGGATACTGAACAGCGCAGTGCCGCTTGGAATGTCGCGAGTAGCTACCGCGCCATTCCCCATCCCCTCTATTGGGCACAGGGCGAAGAGATCGTCCCCGATCGTGCACCCGTTTGCCTTTAGGCCGGCGATGAGGTCGGCGCCGTCAAAGTCGGGCATGGTTGTGTGTTTGTGTTGTGGGTGGGAGGCAAGTCACCGATACAACGCAAAGCAAGGAGGAGCAGAAAAATCAGCGATTCAGGCACAATCTGTTTGGTTCCTTTGCCTCCACTTCCACTTCTCTCAGCGCTCATCGCAGAATCTATGATTGCATGCCGGAAACAACGTTCTATAAGAGTAGTACACTTTCTATAATATCCTTCACCACGAGACACGCCCAGCGACAGGCTCACCGGCTCGCCGCCTCGCCCGGTTAGATGTCCGGACTGAACCAGTCATACTTCATTCACTTGTCCAGCTCGTTTGTCTGGCCGAGCGTGCCGCGCAACTCGGCCCAGACCCACACCTTGACCATGGCCCAGAGGTTGCCCTTGGGGACATTGGCAATCTCACCGCTCGTGCCCATCTGCTTTCCGAGCTGGCGCAGGATGGGCAGCGCACTCTGGAACAGGTCCATGTTCGGGTTCAGCTGCCGGCCGATGCCCTCGAGGAGCAAGATGGAGATGATCGTGTTGACAAAGTCGCCCTCGAGCTTGACGTGGTGCTGTCTAACCGCTGTCAGGACAGCAGACAACACGTCCGAGATGCGGATCTTGGCCAGCGAGAATGTCTTGGACTTCACGTTCAGGACGAGGTGCTGGATTTTCAGCGCGAAGAGCTCCTCGTCGATCGCGAGATCGGGGCGGCGACAGCGCTCGACCATGAGCGTGCCGGCTTTGTAGCCGTCAAACTCGGCTATGGCCTGGAAGAGATCCAAAAAGTCGCGCCGGTTCTTCTCGCTGAGCGACGTCACCAGACCCGCGTCAATGAAGATGAGCTGCGGGATGTAGCCCTGCTCATTCAGCTCGTCGAGGCGCTTCAGCCACGCGTCCTTGTCGTGCGCCAACCCCTTTAGTTCATGCACGAGCTCTGTTTCCGACTTGGATTCGGTCGGAATGTCGCTGCCCTTGTCCTTTGGCGGCTTCTTCCCCTGCAACCTTTGCAGGAAGGGACCGATGATGTGCCCCTGTACGGGCTGCACGAAGCGCACCATGATGTTGCCCGGGTGCAGGTCGCCGTGCGTAAAGTTGTCTAGCAAGAGCATCTCGAGGAACGCGTCGAGGCCAATGTTGGCCATTTCGGCGTCAAAGGGGCCCCCACCATTGCTCAAGAAGTATTTCAGAGGCAGCGCGTCCTCGTACTCTTCGACAAGCACGTCCTTTTGATAGTCTGGGTCGCCGTTGCCGCGGTCGAGCCGGATGGCTTTCGGGAACGTAACAAGATTGCCGCGCTTGGCGAAATTCTTCTGGAACGTGTCGAGATTGTTCGCCTCGACGCGCAAGTCGAGCTGCTGCGTCATCATGCCCGAGAAAGCGGCGACTTCCTCGGGCAAAGAAATCCACTCCATGCCCGGGAACATGTTGATAAAGTTTGCAAACACGCTCATGATGGCAATGTCGCGCCGCACCGTCTTGGCCACGCGCGGGTGCAGCACCTTGATCGCCACAGACGTCACGATGCGCTCGTCCCCCGTCTGGTCCGCCATGCGCTCGACGAGCTGCTCGGCCTCGGCGGGCGTCTTGGTCAGAATCTCGGGCCGCAGTTTCGCCCGGTACACTTGCGCAATGGCGCCGCACCCAATCGGCTTTTCGTCAAACTCCTCAAAGATCTCGGACATGGGCATGCCGAACGCGCGCTCAATGACCTTCTTCGTGTGGCTAAACTTGTGCGGGTTGTTGTTCGAGTGCAGCTTGGACATCTTCTCGCACAGCGCGGCAGGGAACAAGTCCGTTCGCGACGCAGCCCACTGGCCCAGCTTGATGAAGGACGGGCCTGCACGCTCCATCTGGCGCACGAGGAAGGAGTACCACCACAGCGCACCCCAGTTGTCCTCCGCATCGGCTACCGCGCCACGACCCCTCTTCCGAGGCGTCGAGCCGACCATCAGCATGGGCGCGGTCAGAATAACCGGACCAAAGAGCAGGGCAAGGTGGATGAATCGCAGAAACGTGAAGAAGGGCTCGATGATGTACCGCCGGATCATGCCGATTACGCCGACAAACTCCTCGTTCGGCGACGAGATCGGGTACTGCTCCTCTTCTTCTTCGTCCTCGCGCACGGGGATCAGGTCGTTGTTGAAGTGGAACTCTTGCGCATGGACGGGTTTCTTGAAGTAGAGCAGGGCAGCGACACCGACAGTAACGAGCAGGATCAGGCCAAGACCACCACCAGCCTGATGGTTGTGCTGGTGGCCGGGGGAGGACAGCGTGTTGGACCCGTTGTAGCCGACATGACCTCCTCCGCCCATACCTCCGGAACCGAGCGCCGCGAGTGCGCGTCCGATGCGGCCCTGGGGCTGGTTCGGCGGGCCGTCGAGCGAGCGGAGGAATGGCGAGTTCTTGATCTGCGGTTCCTTCTCGGCGTCTGCGGCGCGTTTCTGGACCATCTCCCAGACGGCATCGCGGAGCACGTCGCCGCGCACGGCCTCGAGTTCCTTCTCGAGCACGACGAGGCCCTTGCGGCTCGGCATCGGTGCCTGCGCGTTCATTTTCCGGATCAGGTTGTTGAGCTGGCGGACGTTTTCCTCGTGGAAGCTGTGTTCGCGCGCCTCCCATGCCTCGTCGCGGCCGGGAATGCGGTCCTTGGGCGGGAGCGTTGGGATCGTGTGCGTTGCGAGAATGTTGCGAGCCACCTGGCGCACGTACGAGTCCTTGAGCAGATTGCGGAAGTTGCGGAGATCGTTCTCGACCTGGTTCTGCAGCTCGATCCACGGAGGCAGGGCACCCTGGCGCTTCACGATACGGTTCCTGCTGTCAGCTCGTCCTCCAGGATGGCCAGCTTACATGAAGAAGTCACCTGTTGTCATGAAGGGATTTCGCTCGTTCTCGTCCTTGGCCAGAGGCGCACCTCGGAAGCTGTTGACCTTGAAAGCGCCGGCGTCTGATGTCAGCCGATAGAGCATGACCCAAAGCCCACCTTTCGCGCGCTGGATGCGCTCCTCGATGAGACCGTCCCACGCGCGCATGCCGCTCGCGCCGCCCTTGGACGCGCCGAGCACGGATGCGCCGCGCCGCTGCCTGTTCCCGCGGAAGGAGGAATAGTCCTCCTCGCCCTCGGCGCCGAGATTCGTCGCGTCGCCGTCCTTGATGCCGAGCCTGTAATCGATAGAGCCTTCCCGCGCACCCTCCAGGCGGCCCTGGAGGAGGTGCGTCTTGCGCGCATCCCGGACTTTGGCCTTGCGCGTGCCGTCCGCATTTGGCGGGAGCTTCAGCTCGAGCATATTGTCGAAATCGCTCATGCGCTTCTTGTCAAAGGCACCGTACTTGACCTGCGGCGGGGCCGCGATCGTGTTGTCGCCCGTGTACGTCGCGTGCCACGGCTTGTGCAGGTGCGGCGGAATCTTGGTGCGGTGCGGGTTGGCCAGCGGCGTGGACGAGTGCAGGTAGATGTCGTCCTTGTTCTTGACGACGGGCTCGCGCGGCGTCATGTCCAGGTTCTTCATCCAGGCCTTGATTCGCTCGTCGGCCGCGTTCGGCTTGATGCCCTCGCCGGTACGCGGCGGCTTGTGCGAGTCCATCAGCATGCGGAGCACAGCGTCATGCGTCGACTCGTCGCCGGTCCAGATCGGCCCTTGGTCCGCCACGAGGTGGTCCCGAGAGCTGTCCCGCTTTGTGGTCGCGTTCGCCTTTTCTGCGGCCTCCTCCTGCATCGCATCTGCAAAGAGCTTTGCGGCACCGGTGAGCTCGGCGCTGTCGTGTCCATTGCCGTTGCCGCTTGACCCTGAGGGCGGCGGGGGTTTGGCAGTCGAGTATGGTCGCCTGAGGAGCTGCCTCGTAGAGGCGAGTAGCGCCCTTGTGCCCACGGGCATCATGATGGGCGGGCTAGAGGGTGTGGTTCAGCGACGACGACACGACTGGGGATGAGTGTGAGAGAGAAGAAGACAAAGATTGTTAGCGGGGAGTCATGAGGGACAGCCTGTAGTGAGCTGGATGACTACCTTGCGATGTGCCTTTTGCCTCGTCCCTCGTCTCCTTTCGTCCTTGAGCGCGGGAGTGGCAGCAGCAGCAGAAAAGTACGTCATAGTACGGCACGCCGGCTAACTTTCACCCACTGCTCATGTAAGGGACTGGCTTGCCGGTCACAGACGCGTTTAGAGTGATAGTTTTGATTCCGTTAGCCGCACAATGAAGTGTAAATTGTACCTGCAGAAATTTCTGAAGCCGCCCGCCACTGGAGACCGTCCCCCCGCCCTGCTCGCGCGTGCAGTGTGTACCCTCTCGCTCTGTAAATTCTTTCTTTCGATTCCTCTTCTTCTTCTTGGGAAAGCATCGCAACACAGTCACACCGCCTGTTGGTCCTTGTCCTTTCCCGCCCTCCGTATCCAGCGCGTGTATCAAATACTCCTCCTCCCCACCTACCTCCCAAAAGAAAACAAAAACAAGACCAACCATGTGTGCTAACGGTACCGACGCTGTCAACCCTCCCCGCTCCCAGGAGTACCTCAAGCCCGAGGACGCCATGAAGTTCCTCGACGAGTACAAGCGCGGAGACGGTCTCTCCCTCTCCGAGCTCATGGACTCGCGCAAGAACGGAGGTCTCACCTACAATGACTTCCTCATGCTCCCCGGCCACATTGACTTCCCCGTGAGTTATTACTAAGCCGCCGGGACCTAAGCCTTATCTGCCACACCCCTACGCAATGTCGGGTCGGACCTAGTTTCTTATCAGGAACAACCGCGATTTGCGGCGGGGGTGGTGGTGGTCAATGCGATCATATGCAGAAGCAAGCACACCAGCTGTGCTGTGCATGTGTGCTTCTGCGTCGATCCGTGTGCTATGCGGCCATCATGTGCCGTCTCGTGTATCAGTGGCTGACCAAGCCAGGCTTCCGAGGTCTCGCTCCAGACCAAGGTGACCCGCAACATCACCCTGAACGCTCCCTTCCTCTCCTCGCCCATGGACACTGTCACCGAGGACCGCATGGCCATTGCCCTCGCGCTGCACGGAGGTCTCGGTATCATCCACCACAACTGCTCCGCCGAGGAGCAGGCGGCCATGGTGCGCAAGGTGAAGAAGTACGAGAACGGCTTCATCACGGACCCGCACTGCATCGGCCCTGACGGCACTGTCGGCGACGTGCTCGCCGTCAAGGCCGAGTTTGGCTTCTGCGGTGTCCCCATCACTGAGGGCGGCAAGGTCGGCGGCAAGCTGCTCGGTATCGTCACTGGTCGCGACGTTCAGTTCCAGGACGAGAACAAGCCCCTGAAGGAGGTCATGACGACCGATGTCGTCACTGGTGCCGCGGGCATCACGCTCGAGGAGGCGAACGCCATCATCCGTGACTCGAAGAAGGGCAAGCTTCCCATTGTCGACAAGGAGGGCCGTCTCGTCTCGCTCGTTGCTCGCTCCGACCTGCTCAAGAACCAGAACTACCCCCTCGCCTCCAAGCTCCCCTCTAGCAAGCAGCTGTACTGCGGCGCGGCGATCGGCACGCGCCCCGGCGACCGCGACCGCCTCAAGCTCCTCGTCGAGGCTGGCCTCGACGTTGTCGTCCTCGACTCGTCGCAGGGCAACTCGGTGTACCAGATCGAGTTCATCAAGTGGATCAAGCAGACGTTCCCCAAGCTCGAGGTCATTGCGGGCAACGTCGTGACGCGCGAGCAGGCCGCGCAGCTGATTTCCGTCGGCGCCGACGCCCTTCGCATCGGTATGGGCTCGGGCTCGATCTGTATCACGCAGGAGGTCATGGCCGTCGGCCGGCCGCAGGGCACGGCCGTGCACGCCGTGTCCGAGTTTGCCTCGCGCTTCGGCGTGCCCACGATCGCCGACGGCGGTATCGGCAACATCGGGCACATTGCCAAGGCGCTCTCGCTCGGCGCGTCCGCCGTCATGATGGGCGGCATGCTGGCCGGCACGACCGAGTCGCCGGGCGAGTACTTCTACCACGAGGGCAAGCGTGTCAAGATCTACCGCGGCATGGGCTCGATCGAGGCGATGGAGCACACGCAGAAGCCTGGCGCCAAGCCCAACAGCGCGGCCAACAACGCCGCTACCGCCCGATACTTCTCCGAGGCCGATACCGTCAAGGTCGCCCAGGGCGTCAGCGGCGATGTCCAGGACAAGGGCTCGGTCAACAAGTTCGTCCCTTACCTTTACACTGGCCTCCAGCACTCGCTCCAGGACTCGGGCGTCCGCTCCCTCACTGCCCTCCAGCAGGGTGCGCGCGACGGCTCCGTCCGCTTCGAGCTGCGCACGGCCTCGGCCCAGCTCGAGGGCGGCGTCCACGGCCTCAACTCTTACACCAAGCGTCTCTTCGCCTAAGCGGGCGAGTGAGCGCAAGCGAGCGCAGCGAGTGCAGCGAGCTACGGAGCCCGTTGAGCGCGGGCGCGAGCAGCGAGCGAGTCGAAAGCAAAACGATACAGGCATCGGCCGCGAGCATGTACTTTATTATGAATCCCTCTTGATCACGCATGCTTTCGTAGTATTGGTTGGATGGAGGGACGGACGATGGGAAAAACAGGGTTAGATGTCTATAGCTTTTTCTGCCAGTCCTCACCGGAGACTGCAACCTAGCGTTAGAGGACACATGTACTATATGCATGTCATTGATAGTGGTACAACTGCTGCGTGTCTACACTGCTGCTACACTCGGGCTAATGCTGGTATTCGACTGACCAGCTCGGGTTTGCGTCTCGAGCAGACGAGGTAGGGAACCCCAGCCTGGCCGGTAGTGCCGGGTTGTACGCCAGAAACGTTGGGTACGCCTGTTGCGTCGGGTATGCCAGTTGCGTCGGGTATGCCTGCCCCAGCCTACTCTCGTCATCCAAGAAGCGGTGCCGCTAGCGCTTCTTGTCGCTCCTCCCTCCGTCCTCGGGATGTCCGACGTCGACCATGTGTTCCTCGATCATCCTCCTCACGAGCGCCTCGGCGTCATCGGGCCCAAACTTGCCCTCTGGCGGTTGCGGGGCCGGCGCGGCATTGGACCCGGGACGCGTGGGCGAGGGCTCGAACGCCTCCCAGATCGGATACAGGACGATGATGTCCTGCACACACGCCATGAGGACGGGGAGCGAGACTTCGAAACTGGCCAGAAACTCCGCCGGGCCGCCCGGTGGAGGTGGCAGGCCGAGCGAGCTGTTGTTCTCGAGCGATAACGCGAGGGTCTGCAGTTGCGACGAAGAGCGCGTGCGCGCCTGATTCCCGGACATCGTCGTCAATGTGAAGGCAATGTAGAGCGCCGCAAGCGCGATTACGTAGGGTGGGTACAGCAGCGGCACGTCGGTACGGTAGCTGTCGTTGATGATAAACCTGGGGTTAGCTCTGTACGAAGTGCAAGTAGCTTCCTTTCTGCTTCTACTCACCACGCAATCTGCAGCGTTCCCTCGTCAATCTCCATGAGGCCCTCCCCGCTTCCCCTGCCCATCAGGCGGCGCACTCGCTCAGCATCTCTCGCCCGCTCGTCGTCTTCTCCTCCGAGGCCCTTCGGCGCCTTGGCCGCAGCTGGTCCCGCAGCCCGTCGCGCCTCGCTCTCCCGCGCATCTTGCTCTTTCCTGATGTCCGCGTCCTCCTGCAATCGCGTTTTCGGGTGATAGCCTGCGTCGGCGGGTTCTCGGCCCGTGATGTTGAGCAGTGCGCGATACGGATGGAAGACCACCAGGTGGAAGTCAATGTCCTCGATCATGTAGAACTCCATCTCGCCCAGCTTGTGCGGCTCGGCAGGGAACATCTTGATGTGGTGTTCTGATGTCAGCTATCTGAGAGACTTCGACACAGCTCCGTTAAAGGTAGCCGCTAATATGCGGCTCTTCGCCTCGACTCACCAGCAAACACCACCTTCGCCTCAGCCACCACACTCTTGATGTGCACTGGCGTCTCCTCAACCTTTGCAGCAACGAAGATGCACGCCGCGAGTACGAGGTACGGATTCGTCTCGCAGTAGGCATTCTTGGTGTAGAAGCGGCGGAAGTAGACTGTAGCCGTCGCGATCGGAATCTGGCGCAGCATGAGGCGCTTGCCAACCTTCTGGATCAGGCTCGCGAAGAAGATGTTCAGGCAGAACAGCTGGTGCGGCGTCGCATACTTCAGGTCCGTCTCGCGCGCCTTGGCCAGCTCCTGCCGCGTCAAGAGCCAGTACTTGGCGTGCGTTGACGCGTAAAAGTTCGACGACATGGTGTCGCACGAGGTTGACCGCGGGTGGCGATGGCAATTGAGTTGTGGGGTTTGACCAGAGGGAGTAGGGCTGTTTATACGGAACCCAGGGGATTCTCCGAGGCACTTCTACCTTTCTGCACTATCACTAGCGCCGAGGAATAGCTGTCGCGCGATCTCCGCTGGTCGACGTTGGCGACGGCTGCGGAAGCAGATGTCGACGGGGAAGGTTGCGCCCAATCCGCCCTTGTCTCCTCCGAGGTACCGCAAAACTGACTAGGGTGCTGTTCCAGTAACAAGCTACTGGTCTCCCGACGCCGGCGTCGATTGGGGTTTCGTGGATGGCTGTGGATGTAGAGCGAGGGAGATGCTTCGGATCGGCGTCTCTCGACCACAGAAGGGAGACTCGGGTGGAGGTACTCAGGCACGGTTCTGCGGTTGTCGCCACGCGACTGGCGTGTCACGTGAAGCTGACACCTGTGCGTCCGCCGCGTCGAGCTTGACGCACACTTCTTCTGCGACTTTCCAAAGATCTCAACAACACCGCACACGCTCTCGTCCAGCCCCGATCGAGTGCAAACAAGTGCAAAAACAGCCCAGAAACCCCCTTATAATCCGACCACGAACTAGGGCGCCACCGGAAACGCACCCCGATTTCCTTGTAAAACCATGAACGTGTTCGCTGACGAGGTAAGTCTGGGTGTGGTAAAGTTCGGCGGCGTCAGCAAGTGACCGTGCGGCACCCGACTTTACACGCACCGATACACACAGACCGTTGTCGACTTTCAGCTGACATATACAGGCTACCGAGGAGCGCGGCGAGAACGCCCGTCTTTCCTCGTTCGTTGGAGCTATGGCTCTTGGAGACCTTGTGAAGTCGACCCTTGGACCCAAGGTGAGCTGGCCCGCTTGCTTACGATAGTCAGCTAACAAGCAGGGAATGAACAAGATTCTGCAGTCGACCTCGGACGGCAAGGTTACTGTCACGAACGACGGAGCCACCATCCTCAAGTCGATCCAGCTCGACAACCCCGCCGCCAAGATCCTTGTCAACATCTCCAAGGTTCAGGACGACGAGGTCGGTGATGGAACGACCTCTGTGTGTGTCCTCGCCTCTGAGCTGCTCCGCGAGGCCGAGAAGCTCGTCACTGTTTCGAGGATCCACCCGCAGACCGTCGTTGAGGGATTCCGCATCGCGTCCAAAGCCGCCCTCGAGGCGCTCAAGGAGAGCTCTCTCGACAACTCGGACGACCCTATGAAGTTCCGCGAGGATCTTTTCAACATTGCCCGCACGACGCTCTCGTCCAAGGTTCTCGCCCAGGACAAGGACTACTTCGCGAACCTCGCCGTCGACGCCGTCCTCCGCCTCAAAGGCTCGACCAACCTCGAGAACATCCAGATTATCAAGAAGGCTGGTGGCAAGCTCACCGACTCTTACCTCGACGAGGGCTTCATCCTGGACAAGCAGATCGCGGTCAACTCGCCGAAGCGGATAGAGAACGCTAAGATCCTCATCGCCAACACGTCGATGGACACGGACAAGGTCAAGATCTTCGGCGCCCGCGTCAAGGTCGACGGAACCGGCAAGCTTGCCGAGCTCGAGCGCGCCGAGCGTGAGAAGATGAAGGCCAAGGTCGACGCCATCGCCGACCACGGCATCACCTGCTTCGTCAACCGCCAGCTCGTCTACAACTACCCCGAGCAGCTCCTCGCCGACCGTGGCATCATGGTCATCGAGCACGCTGACTTTGAGGGTGTTGAGCGTCTTGCGCTCGTCACTGGCGGTGAGATCGCGTCGACGTTCGACGCCGCCGACAAGCTCAAGATCGGTCGCTGTGATGTCATTGAGGAGGTCATGATCGGAGAGGACAAGGTGAGTACAGCTCTCCGGAAGCAGAACGTAAGCTGACACCTCCAGCTCATCAAGTTCTCTGGAGTCGCTGCCGGTGAGGCGTGCACCGTTGTCCTGCGAGGAGCCACCTCGCAGATGGTCGACGAGGCGGACCGTTCGCTGCACGACGCTCTGTCCGTTCTGTCGCAGACTGTCAAGGAGTCGCGTGTTACGCTCGGTGGAGGATGCGCCGAGATGCTGATGTCGTGCGCTGTCGAGAACGCCGCGCGCACCGTGACGGGCAAGAAGGCGCTTGCCGTCGAGGCGTTCGCTCGTGCTCTCAGGCAGATGCCGACGATCCTCGCCGACAACGGCGGTTACGACTCTTCCGACCTTGTCTCGAAGCTCCGCGCCGCCCACTACGAGGGTAACACCGAGGCCGGTCTCGACATGGACCACGGCGAGGTTGCGTCCATGCGCGAGCTCGGCATCACCGAGAGCTACAAGCTCAAGCGTCAGGTTATCGTGTCGGCCTCCGAGGCGGCCGAGATGATCCTGCGTGTCGACAACATCCTCCGTGCCGCGCCCAGGCGGCGCGAGGCGCACTAGGCGTTGCGTTGCAGAAGGCGGACATACATACCCATTTGTTAGGCGAGGATTTGCATGCAGTAGATGACCCATATGAAGAACAGATAATTCGCGGAGATCGACGAGGAGGCCACGCCGAGCGGTTTGTCTGGCCAGTCGCTAGTCTGACCCGCGTGACCGCCTGGAATGCATGCTCTCATGGGGCTCTGACTGTTCGAATATGGCTGGACGCTAAGAATGTTAGTCGGGCAACTAAGAAGCTAAGAAGACCCTATGCATGCATCGGACCACTCAGGACGAGATGATATCGTAATTCCGGCGGGAAGGTGCGCGCAGTGCGGGGCAGCGCACGTGGGCCGATTCCACGACACCGAGACAGTCCGGCATAAAAGTCGCGTCCAAGTCAGTGCAGATTCTACCACACACACTCCCCAGTCGACACTCGTACACCTGCACGATGTCGACAATCAGCTCCGCGTCGAGCTCTGACTCCGGGGTTTCGACGCCCGACACATCCGTCGCTTCGAGTGCGCCGGCCAGCGCTCCCGCCAGCGCCCCCCTGTCGCCGCACCTGAAGCCGACCGCTTCTACCTCTTCGCCGGCCAAGCGTTCCGCCAAGACCCTCACCCGTGCCGAGGTCGCCGAACGTATCTGCGCCGGCCAGCTGCTGCTGCTTCGTGACGAGGAGGTGCTGAACGTGACAAACTGGGCGAAGCACCACCCCGGCGGCGCGCTCGCGCTGCAGCACTTCGTGGGCCGGGACGCTGGCGACGAGATCGTCGCGTACCACTCTGAGGGGACTTTGGACCGGATGTCCAAGTTTGTCGTGGGACGGGTGGAACTCGACGACACCACGGGGTGGAAGCCGCTCACGCCGCCCATTGCGCTTGGCCTGCGCCCGCATCCCGACGGCGTCAAGGGACACTGGATGCGCGAGGGCCGTATCCGACTCGAGGCTGAGCCCGAGTGCGGAACCACGACGACGAGTACGGTCAACCACGGGCCTATGGGTCTCGAGGTGGTCACTATCACGCCGAATGATATCGAGCCCCCGGCCCAACCCGAGGTCGACCTCAGGACCGAGAGGAAGAGGAGCAAGGCGTATCGCACTCTCAAGGCGAGGATCGAGCAGGCTGGCCTCTTCCGCCCTCCCGGACCGCTGGCCGGCTACGGCGAGGACATTGCGCGCTACCTCATTCTCGCTGGTGCGAGCGCGTTCCTCTTCTTCAACACGTCCGGGTGGCTCGGACAGATGGCGAGTGCGGCCCTGCTTGGATTCTGCTATCAGCAGCTGACCTGTACGTTCAATATCAGCTTCGGGAGCCTCTATCTTAGCTGACATGCAGTCGTCGCGCACGACGCAGGCCACACGGGCATCACGGGCGACTGGTGGTGGGACCGGGTGATTGGCATGATTATCGCCGACTGGATTGGCGGTCTCTCGCTCGGCTGGTGGTGCGACAACCACGACATCCACCACCTCGTCACAAACCATCCCGAACACGATCCGGACATCCAGCACATCCCCTTCTTCGCGATCAGCGCGCAGTTCTTCCGCTCGCTGTGGTCGACGTACTACAAGCGCATCATGGCCTTTGACGGTCCGAGCCGCTTCCTGATCCAGGCCCAGCACAAGCTGTACTACATCGTCCTCAGCCTGGCCCGTTTCAACCTCTACGCCCTCAGCTACATGTACCTGTTCAGCGCCAAGGCGAAGAAGAACGCCTTCTGGTGGTTTGAGATTGCCGGCCTATGCTTCTACTGGACGTACTTTGGCGCCATCCTTAAGAGCCAAGCGAGCTGGCAGATGGCCCTGGGATACCTCCTGGTGTCGCACGTGTGCGCGTCGCCAGTGCACGTTCAGATCGTCCTCTCCCACTTTGCATGCAGTACCGACGACCTGGGTCCGACCGAGTCCTTCCCCAGCCGCCAGCTCCGGACGACCATGGACGTGGTCTGCTCCGAGGACGCAGAGTTCATCCACGGCGGCCTGCACCTGCAGGTCACGCACCACCTCTTCCCACGCCTCCCGAGGCACAATCTCCGCAAGGCCTCGCTTCTTGTTAAGGAGTACTGTGGCGAGCACGGGATCGAGTACCTCGAGTACGGGTGGTTGGAGGGCAACCGCAAGGTCCTCAACACGCTTCAGGACGTCGCGAACCAGCTCAAGATCCTAAAGCAGGTCGCGGATAAGGAGGTTGCGGAGAAGATGCAGTAGACGTGATAGAATTTGTAGCCTATGTTATCTTTGCCTTTGTGATTGTATGCGAGGTGCACGGGAAGGGGGGAGAAGAAGAAAGTGGCTAACGTTGGCCACTGACCGGTGGCTCCTGGGTGCTGCCAGGTGTGGTATAACGCGATGTTTTTGGCCTGTCTGCAAAGGACATGCATGCTCTTCTTACTCCGCGGGTACTTCTTGTGTACTCTGCTGTTGCTTTGTGATGCTGTGTGCATGCCAGAGTGTGGTTGCATGGTAACGCCGACTCGGCGATGGCAGGAGTGCTTCCAGTAAATGAAGTCGTTGTCAGAGCAACCGCAAGTGCAAACGCACCCCACACGCATCGAAGCTTCGAACCCTCGTCTTGAATCGTGTGCGCAGTGTATCCTAAACACGTTGCTCACGATTTCACGGTTCAGAACATGCATGGGTGTCAGAAACGACCACCCTCGACATCCCGTCGATGGTCACCAACCCCTTCAAACAGCCCAGCTCACACACCCACCCCTCAGACTCCCAACGACAGTCTGCTCAACGAGAAGTGTATGCATAGCAGTGTACAACAAGCCTCAATCCCTCTCCTCCTCCCTCCGCTCAGCCTCCAACTTGCGCTTCATCTCATACGCCTTCCGGACGAAAGCCGCCGGGTCGGTAGTTTCCGCAATAGTCATGCCCTCCTCGTCGCCCAAGCTCCATTTCCCCGGCGCGGCCATACTTCCCCCCTTCATAGCAGCCATAGCCGCCGTACTGGCGGGAGCAGCCTTGGCCGCCTCCTTCTCCCTCCAGTTCGACTTGAGAATGCGTCCGATCGCCTCGTAACTGACGCCAAACTGCTTCGACAGGGCCGGTTTGGACCACTGCTCTGGGTCCTGACGGTGCAACTCGCGGATCGCAGACATGGTCGCGTGTGTCAGCTTCTTGGTCGGGTTCCAGCGGCGCTTGGGCGTGGAGCTCGAGGGCTCAGAGGAGGGAGCGGGGTCATCCGCCCCGCGGAGCGGTCTTGATAAGGACGGGGAGCGGTCTGGACGGCCGGACTGGTCACGATCGCGGTCTGCCCAGCGCGCACGAGGATCCCGCGGCGGTCCGCGAGATTGCGGCCCACGATAATCGGACCTGCGTTCATCGTGCGATCGGTCGTTGTCCCACCGTCCTTGCCGCTCCTCACGTGGTCGTCGGGGACGGTCGTCACGGTAGGATCGCCGGGAATAGTCCGAGTACGACCTCGTCAAAGCAGCCGAGGCACTGGTTTCCGGAAGAGATCCGCGGGTTCCAACCGTAGTAGATGACGGTGTAGTCGAATGCGAGGAAAATTCTGCTCGATGTCCCAGAGAGGTGTAACCTGCTGGTCAGTTCACGACGGCACACTTCATAACTCACGGCCCGCCGCAGATCCGGCGGCAGTCGAGAGCTGCCGGAGACAGCTAGTCGAGCACAGCCTCGAGGATCCAGACACGCTTCCACGGAGAAGACTCGCCATTGTAGTGTCGTCGTCGGTTTTCGATGTAGTCGTCAGTCGTCACGGAGGAGATGAGTGGCCAAAGATCGGCGATGTTCATCAACATTTCGTCGATCTCGCGGAGATCAGCCTGCATCTCCACTCGTTACCGGACAGGGCCGGTGGATATCCGAGACAGGCCTGCTTTCCAAAAATTAGAAGCCGCGGGTCGTCATTAGGATATCTCTGCGTAGTTCCTAATGCTCTTGATTAGGGTTTCCTCCGGCTGAACTGACTCAACTCAAATCTTGGCGGTGCGGCGACTAGAGCGGATGACTTGTGACGCATAAGCCACTTGCGACCCGGCGGTGCACGCTCTACGTGGGCCCCTCACTTTGCACACGACTAGTTCGACCTCATCTTATCATCGACCTCTCCCCATCTCACGGAAAATTCTGCTCGATGTCCCAGAGAGGTGTAACCTGCTGGTCAGTTCACGACGGCACACTTCATAACTCACGGCCCGCCGCAGATCCGGCGGCAGTCGAGAGCTGCCGGAGACAGCTAGTCGAGCACAGCCTCGAGGATCCAGACACGCTTCCACGGAGAAGACTCGCCATTGTAGTGTCGTCGTCGGTTTTCGATGTAGTCGTCAGTCGTCACGGAGGAGATGAGTGGCCAAAGATCGGCGATGTTCATCAACATTTCGTCGATCTCGCGGAGATCAGCCTGCATCTCCACTCGTTACCGGACAGGGCCGGTGGATATCCGAGACAGGCCTGCTTTCCAAAAATTAGAAGCCGCGGGTCGTCATTAGGATATCTCTGCGTAGTTCCTAATGCTCTTGATTAGGGTTTCCTCCGGCTGAACTGACTCAACTCAAATCTTGGCGGTGCGGCGACTAGAGCGGATGACTTGTGACGCATAAGCCACTTGCGACCCGGCGGTGCACGCTCTACGTGGGCCCCTCACTTTGCACACGACTAGTTCGACCTCATCTTATCATCGACCTCTCCCCATCTCACTCTCCCACCCTCCGACGACAACGTTCGTTCATGGATGCGCCAAGGTATGCTTATACGCCTGGGTCCAGCTGACACACAGCGTCGCTCCTCCCCTCCTCCGACATCGCAACCTGAACCCTATTCCCCTCCTGTCCTACCATCGCCGCTCGTTCATCCCGCCCTCCCCGTCATCTACTTGTCGTCTTCGACCATAACACGCAGAGTAAAGTCTGCGAACTGATAGCCAACAGGTGTTCACCCTGGCTCCGTCTTTGACCCCTCCGACCGCTGGACTTGCGAACGCCGGCGTCATATCTGCCACCCCCTCCATTGCGACGGCGCTCTCATCGCCACGCCTCACCTCTTCTTGACCTCTCCTTGGGTCACCTTGCTCTCTTTGCCTTCCTTCTCCCGATTTGACCCCGCGACGCCGTCGCTGCCCGACTCAACATGAACGACACGGTAGCCCCTGTAGAGGTGCCGCGGCTCGAGCCGCCGCCGCCCGATCCCACAGCAGAGCGCTGCCACCTCCTCGGCCCGACGGCACTGATAGTGCAAGCGCTGATGGGCGTGTTCGTCATCGGGTCACTCGTCGTGAAGCGCCACCTCGAGAAGCGCAAGCGGCCCTGGCGCGTGTGGGCCCTCGACGTGGCTAAGCAGCTCGTCGGGCAGGGTGTTATCCACATGCTCAACATTCTCGTGAGTCTCCAGCGAAGCGAGCGCAGCCGCCATCGCTGCCGTCTGGCTTCCACCCAGTGCGGAATGTGGAAACGGTGCAGAATCCGTCGGCAGCGGACAGGCGGACGCCGAAGCTCTGCGAGATCCTCCTAGCTAACAGCAGATCTCGTTCGTGATCGCCGATGCCGACGCCGCCAACCCCAACAACCCCTGCAGCGTGTATTTTCTGAACATTCTGATCGACACGACGCTAGGCGTCGGGATCATCTATCTCGCCCTGAAGGGCTTCACGTCTCTCTTCATCAAGCACTTCGGCCCCGACTCCTACGTGACGGGGCACTACGGCGTGCCCCCGCAAATGTCCATCTGGCTGCGACAGCTGCAGCCCTATCTCCTCGCCGTGGTTGCGATGAAACTGGTAGTCTTGCTGCCATTAACTCTTCCGGGCATTTCCGGCGAGCTGATCCGCGCTGGGCAGTCCATCCTCGGCGCGCTCCCCGCCGACGTCCAGGTCGTCTTTGTCCTCAGCATCTTCCCGTTGATCATGAACGTGCTCCAGTTCTGCCTCATCGACCAGCTCATCAAGGCAGGGAAACACGCCGAGGGCCATCCCGAGGAAATGGACATGGGCGAGTCGTACCGACCTCTCCCCACATCGTCTTCTCGGGATCCGGAACTGGGCCTGGAAACGCGGCGCGCGTCGAGCAGCAGGGGACACAGCAAGCCGCCCTCCCGAAGTGGCAGTGTCCTCTTCTCCGAACCCGAGGAAGAACCCCTGTACGGCGACTCGAGCAGGAGTCCCAAGTCAAAGCCGAAAGTGCCCTCCATCGCGGGCAGTTTCTGGAGCCGCAGGACAGGGGATACGGATGCCGAGGAGGTGCGGCCGGAACACTTCGAGCTCGACCGGAGGAGCTCGACGGCCAGTTTGCAGAGTCTCCGATAGTCCCTGGCTCCTCAGATGGAGACGAGGGGGATGAGAGAGAGAAGAGAAAAGCAGAGCGGAAGAGAGAAGAGAGAGGCGAACGGATATGTCTTGCAGAATCTATACCCCGACTTTTGTTGTACCCCATCGATGCCCTGATCTCATACAACGAACATAGACCACCAGAAATGCATCTAGCCCCCAGTTCTAGCCTGCATTCGTTACCTGCCTGCATGGCGCCTAATTCAGTGGCACGCAGCCGCGGCCCGCCCTTCCCATTTTTCATGTGGTGCTCATTGCTCATGCAAGTGAACCAGTTGGCTTACAGACGCGACCTCTTCCCAGTCTCAGTCTTAGGCTCACCGCTAGCACCGCTAGCATCGCTAGGATCGCTAGCGTCGCTGACCGTCAACCCGCAGCACACCGTAGACAAATGGGCAACGCTTACAGCAACTCCAAAGCAGAGCCCGCACCCCCATGCTGCGTCGCGTCCTGCGTGAGCGCCTCCTCGCCATACTTGCGGTCCAGGCCGCACTTGAGCAGAATGTTCGTGAGCCCGTCCTTCTCCTTGGCCACCTCGTCGAGGGCCGCGGACTGTTCCTCGGACTTGACGAGCAACTGCCCCGCATAGCCGAGCGCGTTGACTTCGAGCGTGCCCCCTGAGCCGGGGAGGGCGTAGTTGGGCGCACTGCGGGGGATGAGGTGCAGGTGTTGGCTGGTTGTCAGCTACATGGCGGACTTCTAGAAGCTGATGAAGGAGGGGTGAATGAAGGGGTAGGAGGTGAGGAAAGAAGAGCGGGGAAATGGAGAGCGAGCGCTCGCTCCGCTCGCTGCTCGTATTTACTCACTCTGTCATGAGCAGGTTCCAGCCCTGGCTCTTGTCCAGCCCCGCGCGGCGCAGCGCGTCAAACGCCAGGTCGAGGGATCGCATCAGTACCGGCGCCAGCTTGTCCGCCAGCTCGGTCAGTTGGTCCGGTGTCGGGGGGTACGGGCAGTCGGGGAGGGGATGGATGATGTGCAGGTATGGCAGGTCGGGGTGCACGATCGCACGATCTGGGATTAGCTATAGTTCAGGCGTCGAATAGCTGTCTCGGCCCCCACGTAGATTAGATGGGGCGAGCTTCACATCGCGGCCACTCTTCGGTGCGCGGCACAGCCTCGCTTCGCTCAGCGCAGACTACTCGCTGCTCACTCCGTTCGCCTTGGACTCACCCTTCCGCTCAAACGTCACGTTCCTCACCCAGCTCTCGACAGGCGCCTCGCCCTCGGTGAACTGGACGTGGCGCCACGTCTGGCTCGCACCGGCGCCGGGCCCGCCATTGTAGAACGCGAGCAGGCTCTTGCCGCGTTTCCTGGCAGCCTGGACGAGGGAGTAGGTGCGCGCGAGCTCGGGCGGCGTCGGGGGCAGGGACTGCGGCTCGTCCTCAACGGGGCAGAGGAGGAAGTGGTGCGGCGCAACGGAGAACTTGTTCAGCTGTGTGTGTCAGCTTGTCGCAAGTTCGACCAGCAGCAAGGTATCAGTCTCCCATGGAGCAACCAAATGGCACAGAGAGTGTGAAGGTGCAAATGCGTACTTACCAGCACAGACATGTTCTTCTCGCCGTCAATGCCCTCGAGACACCCGACGTACAGCTCGGGGATGTATGGCGGCTGGAACGGCGACGCCTTGAGCTTGTCATCCTTCTTCTCGTCCTCGCTGCTGGTCGGCTTCTGCGCAAGCGCGGGGCACAGCCGGATCTGGAACTGGGCTATTAGTTGTCAAAATTCGAGCAGGAAAGCTATCTCATTCGACTGAGCCATGGTAAACCCTAGCACCTTGATAAACGAGGGCATGCCTGGGTTCACGGCGTCGCTGCGCCCCGCTGCTCTGGCCGCACTCACCGGAAAGTCGCCCGGGACGATGCGCTCAGTGGAGGGGAAGAAGAGCAGCTCCCCGCTCTCCTTCGCCTTCTCCCACTTGCCAGGGACGTCAGCGAGGATCTGATCAGGCGTGGTCGTGTTTGTCGGCTCGGCCATGGTTTTGGAGTGTGTAGCGAAAGACGCGAAGGTCGTCGAAAGTCGTGCTCGACGATCGATGACACAGCTACGAAGCTGGTAGCCGGTGGAGGTGGGGTGGAGGTTCACGTGATTGGACCGGGTGTGGCGCGCCTTGCCGTGAGGGCCTGAGCGGGGTGATCGAACCGGTGGTCGAGTCGCCACCGAAGCGACGCAGCAAACGATGGCCTGCGCTCTGCACGAATGCGCTTTTGCAACACCTCTCCAACATGACCGTCCAACAGTGCAGAAAGATGAGAACATACCCCAGATCCAAACAATTCACACACGAAGAAACAAGCCTCAGCTCTGTGTCGTCATGAAACGCTCGCGCGAGCTGTGACGGAAGCAATTTTTTGGAGTGGAGGCACCGCCGTCTCCCACACCATTTCAGATTTGTGCTCGGCGACGGCGGGCTTGACAACAACACAGTCGCTGCATCCGAAGCAGCTACCACAACGGTGAGTGCGCGTTCCAGCACCCGCGACTCAGAGGAAGGGAGGGTGTCCTTGGCTCCGCCCCAGCATGGCTGGTTTACGGCGAGCACGGGCACCCCCAGCTACACCGCTCCCCGATGATGTTTCCGCACTGGGCACTGAAATAATGATTACAACGCCTATCCGCCTTAGGAGGGCGGAGCGAGCCTAGAAAACTCGTGACTGAGGGGAATCTCCCATATCTCCCACAGTTGATTCGCTCTGGCCAGAACTGACAGGACAGAGACGATGTCGCATTCGAACGAAAGCACGCCCGAGCCGCCATCGAGCTAGGAGATCCTCAAGCTCCTCGGCACGCTGCAGACCGCCGTGGACGCCACGACGTCCTCCGCCGCTCCTCTGCTGAAGAAGGCGAAGAAGGCTGATCCCTCGCTCGACTTTGAGAAGGGCATTTCGCTCCTTCTTGTCCGCCCGCAGCTTCTCCTCGCGTCGCTGCAGCACCTGGTCCAGCTCGTCGGTCTGCGCCTCACCTGTGCCAAATCCGACACCCCCAACGCGGGCGCGAGTGCCGCTCTCTCCACCCCTTTCAACGCCGCCACGATTCGCGAGCGCACGGGCGAGGTCGAGGACGAGCTGGCGGGCGAGCTCGCGCTCTGCCACGACGTCATGGACAAGGTGCGCTCCATGGAGGGCAAGCTCGAGTACCAGGTCAAGAAGCTGGTGGGCCTGGCGGAAGCCGCGGAGAAGAAGCCCGAGAAGGCAGCCGAAGTGGCCGAGGACGACATGCTGTCCTTCCGTCCTAATGCGGCGGCCATGCTGGCGAGTGCGCGCTCCGAGGCGGCCGAGGCGGCCAAGCCGCGCAAATCCCGCAAGGAGTCGGATGACGAGTCCGAGGTCGATGGAGGAGTGTACAAGCCCCCGCGTGTCGCGGCCATGCCGTACAACGAAGAAGGCGAGAAGCGCGTGCGCGAGCGCCGTGCGCCCGCCCTCTTGTCCGAGTTTGCCCAGTCCCTCGCCGGCGCGCCCGCCGTGCAGACCACGGGCCTGTCGACCCGCCCCGTGCAGGCGGGCGCGCACACCAACTCGGCGTCCGCGCGCCGCGCTGCCGAACTCCAGCGCATCGCCGAGTTCGAGGAGGAGAACATGACCCGTCTCGTCACATCCAAGCGCGAGGCGAAGCGCCGTCGCGAGGACGAGGAGGCGCTCGCGCTCGGGTTTGGTGTGGGCGGCGCGCGCAATCGCCGCCGCAACGGCCTCGAGGCCGAGCTCGAGGGCGTCCTCGGCGATGGAGGCAGTAGTGCTTGGGACGGAGCGGGCGACAAGTTTGGCAAGAGGGAGGGGATCACGAAGCGCGCCAAGACGGCTGGTGGGAGGGAGAGGAATGGAAAGGCCAAGAAGAGCAGGTTCGAGAAGGACGTCAAGAAGAAGAGGAAGGCCATTGGCCTGCCTACCAAGTAGAGAGCGCTGGGGGGCACATAGACTTCACACTGTTGTACAATATGCATGGGCGTCTAGCATCTATGGATTAGGAACAGGGGTGGCCCGGGAGTGAATGATAAAAATGAGATGGGATGAACAGATGTGTAATGCGATGAAGAGAGAGAAGGAGAGGTTGCCCGTTGACGACCTAGAGGTCATCGAAGAAGCCCGCGTTGTCGTCATTGCGCGCGGAACGGCCAAAGTCGCCCATGGGGTTCTTCTTGTTCTTCTTCTGACGGGGCGCATCGCTGTCCCCGTCAGAGTCCTCCTCCATCTCCTCACCCTCGCCCTCCTCCTCGTCAGACTCCTCGTCATCGCTGTCCTCCTTCTCCGCGCCCATCTCAATGTCCTCGCCCTCGTCGGCCGCAGCTTCGGCGCCCTCTTCATCCTCGGCATCCTCGAAGATGTTCTCGACATCGGTCAGCTTGATGCACTCGTCGTGCGAGACCGAGCCGAGCCACTTCTTGTTCCTGTCCAGCGCGAGGCGCTCGATCGGGTACTCGTCATGCGTAGCGATGACACCGACTGCATGTCAGCTGATGTGAAGGCAAGGCGTAGCTTACGGAAACTGTTAGGCTGGATCTGGATGACGCGGACCATGCCGTCCTCTGAGCCAGTGGCGATGATGTCGTCAGTGAGCGCGACGACGGCGTCGACACTCGCCGGGTGCCCGACGATGCGGTCAACGCTGTCGCCAAAGCCCATCTTGCGGTCCCACACGCTGACGGTGCCAAGACCGCTGCCGACGACGAAGCGCTGCCCGCCCTTGATCTGGCAGATCGACAGCAGCTCGTCCTCCTGGTCGTCCGACATGTGCAGCGGCTCCTTCTTCTTTGACCGGATGTCGATCACCGACAGGAAACCATCGCCGGACGTCGTCACGAGCTGTCGCTTGTCGTCAAAGTAGGAAAAGCCAGAGATGTAGTCAAAGTGCTGCCTGTACTCGCGCACGCATTCCGGTGACCGCGGGTCCCAAAACTGATGATGGTTAGCATGATGGTCTCGTCTCGTCAGTAGTGGAGATGCAGATGGTCAGGGGAGGGAGAAGCTCAGTGCCAAGGGCGTTGGGTTGAATGGTCGTGGGCGGTCGTGCCAGGAATGAATGGAGGCTCGTGAAAGAGTGGGCGGTTTCAGAATGGACGCAGCGCATACGCACCTTGATGACACCCTCGTCGTCGCCTGAGGCGGTCAAGGACTCGTTGACGCAGATGATTCGGTTGACGGGGGAGCTGCAGAAAGTGTGTCAGGCCGGACTCTCGGTTGCACAACGTTCCAGGGATCAGCGGGGATCCCAGGAAGGAAGGTGTGCAGTGTCTGTGAGGACTCACTCGTGTGCCTGTTCATGCTCGCGCAGGACTGTGCCCATGGTGGCGTCCATTCGGCTGAACGTTAGCACCAGGAAACCAGTAAGATCAGCGGGGTCTGTATCAAAGCCACGGGCCACGGGGTCGTGCCAGTCACTGGGTCTCTTTCCAGGCCACACACGATGCACACGATCCCAAAGGGCCGATTGAATCCAGCCAAGACCCAGAGGGGTGTGAGGATGCGGCGCGGGCCTGAGCCGCTGCTCCCCCCCCCTCCCCTTAGTTCCTCGACGCAGACGCACGCAGGTACGCAGGACGCAGGTAATCAAGGCATGCACAAATGCAGGATCGCAGGACACTCCAATGCTTCGCACACAACACCGCGGCACAGCGAAAGGACGCAGATGCACTGCACCTCGCCCAACGCCCGCAGCCCAGCCCACAGCCCACTGCCTGTCGCCGTCCCTCTTGCCCCTTCCTCCTGCCCGTCTGTCCTCCTTGCCCTTCCGGTCACTCCTCACGTCTTGCACCTTCCGCCCCTTCTGCTGCACGCATGACCACGCATGGGTGCCGCCCATAGGTCGGGAGCATCGTGGGCTGCAGTTGAACCGGGTGCCCTCCTCGTTTGATATAAGACCCATGCTGCCTTCCACCTCGACGTTCCTTTCCCCACTTCTTCACATTGCTCTCTCATCTCCTTGCTCATCGCCGCCTCACCCACCCGATCAAAACCACACTCACCATAACACGCCGCTCTTCCCTCCCATCCACATCGCCTTTCCGTCCTCCTCGACTGCCAGCGCTCGCGCAGTCTTCTTTGTCGGTCGCACGCTCCACAGCTTGGTCGTCTCGCCGGTCACGTCGTCATACTTCCAGGCCTTGACCTCTCCGGTCAGCAGCGAACCGTAAACGACCGGCTCGCTCGGGTGGAAGACGAGGTCGAACGGCTGATTCCGTAGTTTGATATCGGGCATGGTTCCGGAGCCGTCAAGATCAGTGGGAGTGGGGGAGATTTTGTGTCGGTGTCTGAGAGTGTCGCAAGGGAAGTGGGCGGCACGCGTCAAGGGATCAAGGTGAGGAATGAGTTGCAGCTCGAGGATGTCTCGATCGATCACTCGCAAATCTCGTCGTCGCTGGCGGCCGTCGAAATCTTCGAAGCGTGACCCACAGAAGTGGAGGTCTGACAGGGTCTCCTGACGCCGCCAGGCACTCTGGTCACATGATCTGTCTAGCCACGAGAGAAGCACGCGGAAGAGCCACCCGATTTCCACGTGGAGGCATACGTCATTTTGCCACTGACTGTATTACCGAGAGAGTCAGGAAATCACCGAGTGTGTGATCCAGTGATCCTGAGTCGAGCGAAACTGACCTGGAACCTGGGCTTGGACCCAGGATCAGTTGGATCAGCGCTAGTGGTGATCCTTTGATCCCACGGGCGAATCAAGGCGCACGGGGCGCGGGGAGGATGTGAAAACAACCGAATCCAGGTAGTACGTTAAGGGGCGGTGGATTGGCAAAGTTTGCGTGGCGTGTCTGAGCCTCCGCGGTAAAGCAGCAGAAGGCAGAAGCCAAAGCGCACCCTGGGCCCAGCGCCCAGCGGCCCAGCGAGAAGCGAGTGCACCAAATTAACCAAAAACGAACGTCGGGGGCGGCTGCGGACGAAATTGAGGAGGAGGATTGCCAGTCATTATTGTCTGCAGGAACTGCTAGCAGGTCGGATTGTCTGAGGGGGGAGGAGTCAGAGAGAGCACCACGCCCCGCAGGCCCTTCGTTACGTCGCCCCTCCCCTTGCAGCTGCACTGCACTCCGTCGCCCGTAAGCCGCAGGGAGCCAGCCGTGAGCCTGTACGCCCCGAACCCCGTAGCCTTGCACCTTACACCTTGTCCCCTGGCTTGCCTGGGGGACGAGTAAACACAAAGCGCAGCCGAGCCGCATAGCTCTTTACTTAGTGCATGCTTCTGAGCCCCCAGGCTTTTTCGAGGTGACCACCCCCTTATCCCCTCCCAGCCAGCCAAACAGACGGTCGCTCCCAGCAGAAGCCTAAGCGCCCGGTTTGACCTGCGCCAGCGTAGCTCCCAGGAGTGGACTTGCCTGATCTGCCGCGAAGGTGCCCTTCCGATTTCGCCGCCCGCCCCGCCGCCCGGCTGTTCCCCACACCAGCCCACAGCCCCGTCGCCCGTCCCATCGCCCTTTCCCCTCGCCTCCCTTTCCTTTTCCTCCCCTTTCACTCTTCCACCCACCGTCGACTACCCATTCAGCTCGTCTGCTCTGACAGCGTCTGCCCTCTGTAGTCATCCTCCTCCTCCGCCGCCGCCGCCGCGCAGACTTAGGTCTAGGTCCCACACACGGCACATCCCCCCTTCTCCCCTTCTTCCTGTCTGCACAACGTGGTCTTTGGTTTGACCTAAGCCCCTTGGCCTTTGTACTGGCTCTAGGCTCTCCCAGTGGTGCAACACATCCACCAAGCCTACGCCCACGCCCACGCCCTCGAACCCTCCCTCACCCTCACACCTTCCCTCAGGCTTGGACCGCGCCGCCGTCCTCGACCTCTCCTCTCTCTTCCCTTCCTCCCACACACCGCCCATCCAGTGCCCAGTGCCCATTCCGGCCGGCCGCTGCTCCCCCTGCTCCCCCTCCTCCCCTCCCTGCACGAGAACACTATCTCTTTCAGTAGACACATCCCTCTCCCTTCTCTGCCGCTGCTGCTGCTTGGCTTCTCCGCCCGCCGCGCCGCCGCGTTACTGCCGCCCCTTTCCTCTTCCTCCTCCTCCTCCTCGCACCCTCTACCCCGCATCCAACGCAGGATACAGGACAGCGATTAGGTACAGACAAGCACTCAATCGTCGCCCTGTCTGCCCCCCTTCTGCACAGCAGCAGCACGTAACCGCGCACCACACCAGTGACCCCCTCGGTTCTCGGTCCCTTCTCCAAGACCCATCCCATACGTCCTGGAACCAAACAACAGCTTATCGCTATCGCAAAGCATCCGCGTCGCCCGCCGCTGTGCTTAGCATCCTCCCTTTCGTAGTCTCAGATAACTCTTATCAAGTCTCGGATCGTTGAGCGAGCGGTGAGTTCCAGCAAACCATCTCCGGGTGGGCGCTTCCCTTCCCCTGCTCTTCCTTCTGCAACGAACGAGTGCTGACATGCGTCCTCTTCTCTTGTGAACTATCACTGCATCCACCTCCTGCACTGCATGATCTGCTCCCCCGTGCATCCATCCACCGCCTGGCCCAACTGTGCTCCGCCATGCATACCAAACACGGCCTCTTACCCATCCAAACACCAATCCGAACCCCACGGATTACTAACCCGATTCCCATCCGTCATGTGACCTCGGCCCACTTTTTGGCCCGCACCTATCAGTGGTCACAGGCGACCCGCTCTCATGCAGAACTCTTCAACTGCTACAGCTGCTCATCCAGGACACCTGGCGCAGCCTTGGAGTAATGTAAGTCATTCAACGCCATCCGGATGCATCCACCGTCGTGGATGGATGCATGTCTGCAACGCGTCTGCGCTGTGACCATCCGCTGACGCCATCCAACAGCCTCACATGTATTCGAATACCGGTTCCCATCAGCGTGATCCAACAAATCCCCGGTCGTACGCGACCGGGGCTGGAGGCGCGACCTCCGATGACCAGTACGCGGCGTACCAGCAGGCCGCTGGCTTTGCCAACGTCGGTACTGGCTACAACTACGGTGGTAACATGAGGTAAGTCGATCCATCCATTTGGACAGGTTCCCAATGCCGAGCGTCGCGCCGATCCCCCCCACTGACACACTCAGCAACCTGTACAACACGACTTCCCCGTCAATGCCATCCGGCTCGCGACGAACATCCAACCCCAAGGTGAGTGGATGCGGTTACGAGGAAGGATGCAGCCTGTTCTGACGCGTTGTTTACGCGTCTCGGGATGTTTGGTCTCGTTACGTACATCGACGCGTCGGACCTTCCTTCCTCCACCAGTGAGGTAATGACTTTTACTGACGCGTCAGTCGCCCTATCAGCAAACATCCAGCGTACTGAGCGGTGGTCACTCTAGCCAGGGTGTTGGCTCTGGTCAGAGTCAGCAGTACGGCAGCGGTGGCTACTATGGCTCCTACTACGACCAGCAGCACAGTGGCCACCACCAGGGTAGCGCCGGCAGCCAGTGGCAGCAGCACTACAGCCAGCCATCCAGCGGCTTCGCTCAGGCCCCCGTCCAGGGTCGTCAGAGCTCGTCTGGCTCGATGACTGCTGGTGCCGCCGCCACGAGCGGATCTGGTGGCAACAACGACCAGTCCCAGCAGTCGTCGCGAACCGGCGCTGGCTCGGCCTTCGACTACTCTGCTGCTGGCCAGCAGGGCTACCCCAACTGGGACCAGTCGCGCCAGGGCTCGAACCAGTGGCAGCAGCAGCAGCAGCCGTCTCAGCAGACGAGCGGCAGCGGCTCTGGCGCTGGCCAGTCTGCCCGCACGCAGGGCAGCAACAGCTCCAACCAGCAGCAGTCTGTCGTGAGCCCGTGGCAGGGTTACGGTAACCACCACCCCTTCCCTCCTCCGCCCCAGCCCGTTCCCCAGATGGGTGGCCAGCTTCCTCCTGGCCAGTATGGCGCTTGGAACCAGTGGAACGGTGCTCCTGGCTACTACCCGCCTGGTCCTCACCAGGGCCAGCAGCAGCAGCAGCAACAACAGCAACAGCAGCAGCAGCAGCCCGCTCAGCCGCAGCAGCAGCAAGCCCCTGCCGCCACGCAGGCCAACGCCAACGCTGCACCCGCTGCCTCTGTGGCTGCCCCTGCTGCGGCCGCCGCCCCGGCCCCGGCTGCCCGGCTGCTCCCACCAAGAAGTCCAAGAAGAAGGACGCAGCTGCGGCCGCCGCCGCTGCCGCGCCTCCTGCCACCGCCGAGCCCACCGAGCAGGTCCTGGGCAAGCGGCCATCCGAGTCGTCTGCCGACGAGGGTGAGGGCAAGACCGAGCCCAAGTCCAAGTCGTCGAAGAAGAACAAGAAGGAGGAGGAGAAGCCTGCCCCCAAGGCTCCCACCAAGTCCCACCTTCGCCCCCCTCGTCAGGCACCTTCTGCCTGGCAACTCTTCTTCACCGACGAGCTCAACAAGGCCAAGGCTGCCGCTGCTGCCGAGGCTGGTACTACCCCCGGTGGCACTCCGATCCACCCCAAGCTCAACGTTGCCCAGATCGCCAAGGACGCCGGTATCGCCTACGCCAACCTCACCGACGAGCGAAGACGGTATTACGCCGGCAAGGTCGCTGAGGGCAAGGAGCAGTACAAGAAGGACCTTGCTGCCTGGCAGGCTACCCTCACTCCCGAGGACATCAAGACGGAGAACGCTTTCCGTACGCAGCAGCGTAAGGAAGGCAAGTCTCGCAAGGGTAACATCAAGGACCCCAACGCTCCCAAGAAGCCTCTGTCTGCCTACTTCCTCTTCCTCAAGGGCATTCGTGAGAACGATGACCTGAAGAGGCAGGTCTGGGGTGCCGAGAGCGAGACGACCCGCCAGAGCGTCCTCGCTGCCGAGCGATGGCGCGGCCTCTCGGACGACGAGAAGCGCCCCTACCTCCAGCAAGCTGAGAAGGACAAGCAGGAGTACGAGCACCTCCGCAAGATTTACGAGGAGGATGCAGCTCTCCGTGCCAAAGGCGAAGCGCCAACCGATCGGCCGCAATTTGCAGAAATACAATCGGCAGTAGTCGAACCCCCCAAGTCCCTCCTGGATGCCCCCTCTAAGAAGTCGGATGGCCCAAAAGGTGACAAGGCGGACGGTCGTAATGCGGCGCCGTCCGCTGCGGACCCTGCAGCCGCAGTCGGTACCATCAACCCCGCGAACACTACCTTTACGGTGGCGCACGCGGGCACTCCCGACCCCGAGCCCACGGCTCCTGGCTTTGACGCCCCCCTCGAGATCGAAGACTTTCATGGCTTTGACGACATGGACCTGACCGGTATCGAGGGCATGACTGGCCACGGTGCGCCCAACGAGGGCCAGTGGGACGATCTCGCCTATGTTGGTGGAGACGACGACAAGAACAAGGGCATCCCCGGCAAAGCTCATTGAATGCTGAACTTCCCATGATTCCCTCACACCCCTCATTCCCACACACTTCTGAACGTGAACCTGTTCTCGTTCTCGTCAACCGCGACACTCTTATCTTTCTATCTCTCATCTCTTTCCCCATTCGCCCCCTCTGGGAAACATTCGGTTTATCATCAACGCTTTCCGGCTTTTCGTCTCTTGTTCTTGAACTTGTAACTCGTTTTGGTATTGACTCTTCTGTGGTTTCATTTCGCTTTTCGCTCAATGGACACCTGAGGGCTTTCCCGGTCTTTTCTTCTTCTTTCATCAATTCGGACTTTCGACTCTTTCTCAACACAGATCTTTGGGTTTTATAATACCTGTGCTGTTCTCTGGGGAGGAGCTAAAGTGTTGTAAAACACGGGGGGTTGCGACGACGAAGTAGTTTTTCTAGTTGGTAGGCGAGAAGGAAATCGGTTTGGAAAAGCAAATTTAGTTTTTATTTAGTTTTCGTTTCGTAACAAAATGAAGTTTGACGCTGAGAAGTTGAGGTTGAGCAAACGTAGCAATTAGTTTCCTAGTTCTAGTGGCACGATCATTAATTAGTCTCGCGGGGAAGTAGCGGTTTATGCAGTGATGTATTCCAGCGGTTGAGCCACCTGCCACTGACCTTGGTGGCTGATGGCGAGCACAGGCCATCAGGTAGCGGGGAGTGTTTGGCCCCACCTCCACCGACGCGTTTTGCTCCCGCCATACCGTACCTACCCCGCCATAACCCGACCTAAAGAGGCGGGGTAAGCACCCCAAATGCGGCGTGTTTCCCGAAAAACCTCCACTTGTCATGTCCAAGATCGGTTCCACCCGGTGACGGTAGCACAAGGTCCACTTGTTGGAGTGGGAATGCGCACCTGACTACCGGCTCTTGGATGGATACAAAGGGAGCGTCTTGCTCGTTGTCTGCAACTGTTCTCCTCATCAACGTACTTGTCGATACTGACGACTGACTCGGTGTTCTGAGGAAAGAAAGTCGCCGCAACGCAGTTCTCCGAAGAAAGTGAGCGACTTGCCCACCTCGGCGTCATCATCAGACTTACTCAGCCCAGCCGAGCTCAGCCCACCCGTTTCAGCCTTATCTATATCTTGCAACTGTCCTCTCTTCCGCTAATTCCGCTCATCTGATCCGTTCTCGCCCCTCGCCACTTCATCTTGCAACTGTCCTCTCTTCCGCTAATTCCGCTCATCTGATCCGTTCTCGCCCCTCGCCACTTCATCTCTACCAGTAAATGATGGAGCACCCCCGCACCGTCCGCGTCGCGGCCGTTCAGGCCGCCTCGGTCGCCTACGACCTGCACAAGAGCATGCACAAGCTGCGCTCGCTCGTGTTCACGGCGAAAGATAACGGGGCTGAGATCGTCGTCTTCCCCGAGGCATTCCTTAGCGCCTACCCGAGGCATCTCGACTTCCGCATCGGGAGCAGGAGTCAGGCGGACCGTGACTGGTATGGGCGGTATGTCAAGGTGAGTGTGGCCCCGGGCCTGAGCTGCGAAGCAGCGAGGGCAGATGATGTGTGAGCCATATACAAGTAGAGAAGGATAGGAGAGAGTGGAGAGGAGGACCTCGCTGTTCTCACTCAGTTGCCTTGGGTGCTCGCTGCTCGCTGCTCGCTGCGCTCGCTCTCGCAGTGGCTAACGCCTTCAGTCCGCCGTGCATGTGCCGTCCGACGCCGTGGGGCACGACTGGCTGAGCACCGCACCCGCGCAGTCCCCCTCCGACCCCTTCTGGGCGTTCAAGGAGCTCGCCCAGATCGCACGCAAGTACGCGCTCTACCTATCCGTGGGCGTGATCGAGTGCTCGAACATCGGCTCGACGCTGTGGTGCACCAACCTCCTCTTCGGCCCCAGTGGCATGCTGCTCTCCAAGCACCGGAAATTGCAGCCGACGGGCGCCGAGCGCATCGTGTGGTCGCAGGGCGAGGCCGTCAACCCGTCTTCTGCGCCCAAGGCGTCGAGGTCGGAGAAGCGTGATGCCGAGGGAAACGTCAAGACGGCGGCGACGCGCATGGAGGAAGGGGACGACAACCTCCCCGTCGTGCAGACGCCGGTTGGGCGGATCGGCGCCCTGATCTGTTGGGAGAACTACATGCCTCTCGCCCGGTACGTCATGTACAAGAAGGGCGTCGAGGTGTACCTCGCCCCGACGGCGGATGGGCGGCAGACCTGGCTGCCCTCCATGCAGCACATTGCAATGGAGGGCCGGTGCTACGTGATCACAGCGAATCAGTACCAAAGCCAGGCGGATTTCCCGGCCGAGTATCCCCCCAATCTGGCAACGTACTCGACCTCGGCGCACAATGCGGCTAGCGGACAGGGCGTCCCCATGAATGTGGACGAGAAGGAGAAGAGAAGGAGGCCAACACGCCCGAGGTCTGGAGTCGGGGCGGAAGCGCGATCGTCGGCCCGCTTGGAGAGGTGCTCGCCGGCCCGTTGTGGGACAAGGAGGGCATCATTTATGCCGACGTAAGTTATGGGACAGGCAGGGGGTAAGTGCTAACGGACAGCTCGACCTCGGCGTCATTGACGGCGTCAAGCTCGACTTTGACCCTGTGGGCCACTATAGCAGGGAGAGCCTGCTCATGGGTCTGCTGGGCGACATGCCGCGTGTCTAGGCGAAGCAGTAGTCAGTGAGAACCGTCTATCAGTATATCATAGTGAGGGAACAACAACAAGAGTGATGCATGACGATACTTCACTGCCAGAGCACGTTCTGCCCCGCAGCAGCCGCAGCCGCAGCGTCCGTTAACCTCGAGTCAATATCGACGGGGAGGAAGAACTGCTCAAGTCCGACAAAGGGTGCAAGGTCGCCCTCCTCAAACGTGCCCCCGAGACTGTGCCCGTCCAGGAACAGCGGCAGACTCTCGCCCTCACCTAAACTCAAGCCCGAACGCTGCAGATTCTCCTGTGCGAAGAGGAGGTCGAATTCAGATATCTCCCTGTTCTCGGAACCCGAGGGCGACTCGTCGAGAATCTGGCTCGCGCCCATGAGCAGGTTGGGCACAAAGGGCGTGTGCTCGCTGCCGACGCTGCCTGCCGTCTCGCTGGGCGCGGGCGCGCCGGGATGATGTGCCTCGGGCAGCGGGGCAGTGGTTTGCTTCGGACTGCCCCTTGCGCTCTTGGCCGGTATGACTTTTTGTTTCCTAGCCCGGCGGAGAATGAGCCGCAGACTGCGCGCATACCGTCCGGCAGGGATCTCGGAGAGTGTCCGCGCCAAGTCTTCCACGTCTCGAGCCGTCTTGCGCAGGTCCAGCTCGGCGGGGAAGAGCCGCGCGATGCGGATCAGAAACGTCGCCGCGAACGCGGCACACACATGCGTATAGTGCACGGCGTAGCGGAGGCCGTTCCTGTAGTTCTCGCCATGGAGGCAGATCTCGAGACATGCCTGCGCGTTCCGCATCGCCCTGAGGGCGAGCACGCGTTTCTCCTCGGGCATGTTGGCCACGTCGGCGGGATTCACGATGCCACGCAGCAGCTGGCTGTTCACGAACAATTCGGCGTATTGCCGCTGCACGACGAGGCTCTCGCGGTAGAAATCGGCTTTTCCCTTGCCGAACCGCTCGGCCAGGACGTGGTCCCAGTATCGCTCCCAGGAGTCGAACTCGGCATTCGCCTGCTTCAGCCGGTGCAGCGTTGAATGGTCTATAGGCACGTCGGGGGCGGCCGTGAGCTCAATGTGCAGCGGGGCGCGGAGAGCCGTGAGCTCCACTGTCGAGATCAGGCGCGCGTCAGACGTGATGCTGAGCGGGTGCTCGAGCAGGCGGCGGCAGTGTGCGATCGTCTCGTCCTCGCGCAGAATCGCGGGTCGGCCCATTCCGTACGCCATCTGGTGTTCCATCAGGTACAGCTGGATGTCAGTTTCTGTAGGCTGCGAACAACTTACGCAAAACCACACTCGCGACTGCACGACGAGCGGACGCTCCTCCTCTAGCTCCTCGGGCGACTTGCCTTTCCCCATGCCACCGCGCAGGAGCTTGATGAACGACCGGTTGATGCCCATGTCAAGCGCCATGCGCACGGCATGTCCGCCAGGCAACCAGCCGTTGTCGCTGAACGCGCTCAGGATCGCCATCGCCTGCACTGCCTCGACACGCGCGACGGGATTGAACATGGTGTCCGTGGCAAACTTTTGCGCTTGCAGCCGCGCTAACTTCTGGACCGTGCTCGTTGGGTTGCCCCCATCGCGTACGCGTGCACCAACCATAACAATCGTTGTTATTGAGAACGGGGAGCGCTTCTTGAGCCTGGTGTTAGTTGATGAGATGGTATGACACAACTCACGAGTCCCAGGTGTCGTATTGCTGGTCGTAGCAGGGGATGAAGTGGCTAGAGCCCTGGTAGTAGATCGCCATGAGCTCGCGCGCTTCCTCCTCTGACACGATGCCCTCGTCCACGACATCTAACAGCGAGTGGGTATGAGCCTTCTTGGACTTGGACTTTGGCACATCCGTGACGGTCTGCGTCAAGCCCTGCGCCTCGACGATCGTGCGCTGAGCGCCATGTCGGGCTTTCTTCGTCCCCAGATGATCTCGGCTGTGCGTCCTCTTGAGCGGCGTAACGCCGAGATCCTCCTCTGATCGTGTCTCCTCCTCGCGCGCCCTCTCCACCGCCGCCTCCGCCAACTTCGACATGGACCCCAGCGGGTTGATGATCTCCTCTGTCCCCAGAATGTCGTCGGGTGCTTCTGAGCCCGAACGGGAAGGTGGCAACGAGTCCGTACCCCCTTTGTCTCGCCGCCGATCCTTAGTCGTCGCGAGGCTAGGGGCCCATGAGTGGCCAGGCGTGGCGTGGGAATGGCGCTGAGCGGCGTCCATGGGCCCGCCGATGTACGGGTTCACGGTGCCGCGTGTGTTGAAGGAGGGCGAGCTGCCCACCTCCGTACCACGGCGCGGAGCCATCGATGCGCTGGGTGAGTGCCCGTAGGAGAGCGTGTTCGCGCTCGAGGATGAGGGCAGTGTCGACGAGTTGAAGCCGCCGCTGAGCATGCCCTGTCGCAGTGTCTGGACGAGATCAGTCAGTGTGTTCTGGATGCCGGACACTTGGTTCTCCAACGTCCGAATGCGACTGCATTGTCAGCTGAAGCGGACAAGCATAACAGCTTACTCTTCGCCAATCGTATCTGGCCGTCCTGGTTTCTCGAGTACACATTCCAGCCCGCTGTTGATACAGCGCTTGCACGGCGGGTCATCAGCGCCGACGCAGCGCATCTTCATCCGTCGGCAGTTGTTCTGTCCGTTAGCTAAGACGACCCAGTCCCGTCTTTTAGCTGCACTCACGCATGCTCCTGTTCGTCAGCTGTGGAAAGTGCCGTTCAACTCACGATTTGTACGGTTGATGCCTGGTCGCCGCTCCTGCTTCTCCTTGCCGGATCCCCCTGAGGGAGACGCTGGAGAGCCGTCGTCTCCGCGTCCGCCAAGATACCGGCCGTCTAAGGGATAGCTGCTTTGCATGGTGGATGCTGTGTGTGTCTGGGTTGGGCAGTCGAACTAGGAGGAAGGCATAATTGTCGGAGAGTCGTAGGCGAAGATGAGGTTTAAGAAGCCGCAATCCAGAAATCAGAGACGGTGATCACACGAGGTGTTCGAAGGTGTGAACGACTTGACAATGTCAAAAGGTCGAATGTCGAATGTCGAATGTCGAATGTCGCGGCCGTACTGGTGGCTAGAGTCTCTGGCTCCTCTGATCCGGACAACGCCGAGAGATCGTCGGAAATGACGGCGCGTGAGTGACCGCTCTCTCCATCCTCACTGTTGTCCGCCCCGCTCGGAACCGGCCCGGGTACCGGACTCACCAGCCCGCTCACTGATGGCCGCCTCGCGAGACTCACGTGACTCCCATGCGCACCACCCAAGTCGCGTCAACTGGTGTGAGGACACGGTGGGAGCGCGTCTCAACAACAAACCGGCTGCTTGCATCATCTAGACCCCCATCCACACCACACACACTGCTTCAAGATGCCGCTCCGGCGGCTCGAGCTCCACAACTTCAAGTCCTACAGGGGGCACGTCAACATCGACTTTGGCGTCGCTCCCTTCACCTGCATCATCGGCCCCAATGGTTCCGGCAAGTCCAACCTCATGGACGCCATCTCCTTCGTCCTTGGCGTCAAGTCTGCCCAGCTCCGAAGTACGCAGCTGAAGGATCTCGTATACCGAGGAAGGAAGGCTGCTGAGGGTGTCCCCGAGCTCATGGGCCTCGATGCCGACGCTCCGGAAAGCCAGAACTTATCGCAGAACGGAAACACGGACGGCCGCACCGCGTCGGTTGCAGCTATCTACGAGGACGCCGTTGGCAAGGAGTGGACGTTCAAGCGCACAATCTCGACTTCCGGTGCTTCGACGTACTATCTCCAGGGCAAACCGGTCACCTACGTCATCTACAACACGCAGCTTGAGAAGTTCAACATTCTCGTCAAGGCCAAGAACTTTCTCGTCTTCCAGGGAGACGTTGAGGGCGTTGCTAGTCAGGATGCGAAGGCTCTCTCCAAGCTGATTGACCGCATCAGTGGGTGAGTGAAACGCTAGATTCAGTGTGAGGTCTAGCTGACATCAGCTCTCTCGAACTCGCTCCTCAGTATGAGGCCGCGAAGCTGGCGCAGGAGAAGGCTGCCGAGGCTGCCAACGCCAACCACGCCAAGAAGCGTAGCATGCTCACCGAAGTCAAGCACTTCAAGGACCAGAAGGCCGAGGTCGACCAGTGGGAGCAGCTTCGTGCCGCAAAGGTGAGCTGAAGTCAGCAGATCATTGCTAATCATCAGGATGCCATGGTTCAGCGCCACCTCATGTGGAAGCTTTATCACCTGACGCAGGAGATCAACGAAGCCAAGGAAGAGGTCGAGAAGCGGTCTGAGCAGCTCAACGACCTCAACGGCGAAGTCGTGAGTCCTGAAGGTCCGACGTGGTGCTGACATTGAGCACGAGCGCGAGAACGAGCTGAAGGAGGCGCGCAAGCACCAGGCCGAGACGATGATCAAGGTTAAGAAACAGGAGGCCAACGTCAAGAAGGCGGAGAGGGCTGTGGAGGAGAAGCAGCCGGACCTCGTCACTTTGGAGACTCAGATTGCTCACTCTGAGAAGAAGGGTCGCAACACGCAGGCCATCTTCGAGCAGGTTGAACGCGACCACAAGCGTCAGGCTGATGAGCTTGAGACTCTGGAGGCGGGCAGAGCGCAGATCAACGAGCGAATGGAGGAGGCAAAAGAGCGTCAGCGGCAACGGAACGTCAAGGCCGGCAAGGCTCTGTCTGCCGACGACCTTGCCGAGTACCGCAAGCTGTGAGTTTTGCGAGAGACATGGTAACTAATGACAGGCGCTCCGAGGCGAATGTTACTGCCACGACCGAGCGACAGCAGCTCGAGACGCTGCGTCGAGAGCAAAAGTCTCTTCGCGACGCCATTGCCTCCATCGACGATCGTTTGACGCAAGCTGAGCGCAAGCGTAGCAAGCTCAAGGACGAGCTCGACACGCTGTCCGAGAGGGAGGGCACGATGAGCGACAAGGTCAAGAGCCTGGAAGCCGAGAAGAAGCGGATCAAGGCTCAGATCGACAACGCGCAGGCCGAGCGGGAGCGCATCTCTCTGCAGGAGACTGAGATCAACGATCGTCTGCAGGAGGCGCTGAACAAGCTGCTTCAAGCCGGTGTGGACCGAAGAGAGTCTGAGCGTGAGGCCAAGATGAAGGAGACTTTGGCCAGCCTCCGACGCGTCTTCCCTGGTGTGCACGGACGGGTGATTGACCTGTGCAAGCCCACTGCTGGAAAGTACGACACTGCCGTTCAGACTGTGCTCGGCCGCAACATTGATGCTGTTGTTGTTGACCAGGAGAAGGTTGCCATCGACTGCATCGAGTACATGCGCCAACAGCGTTTCGGTCAGGCGACCTTCATCCCGATCGACACCATCCAGGTCAAGGCTGTTCCCGAAAAGTTACGAACCATCGACCGAAGAGCGCGTCTTGCGATCGACTGTCTTGAGTTTGACCCGGCTGTCGAGCGTGCTATGCAGTATGTCTGTGGTAGCGCGCTCATCTGTGACACGACCGAGGTTGCGAAGACTGTCTGTTACGAAAAGCGCCAGGAGGTCAAGTGCGTTACCCTTGACGGCACTGTGTTCCACAAGAGCGGTCTTATCACCGGTGGTCGCGGACACGCCACTCGCAAGTTCAGTGACCGCGACGTCGACGGCCTGAAGGCGACGAAGGACAAGCTCGTTGCGAAGCTTCATGAGCTTAACGCGTCTAAGCCGAAGGAGAAGGCTGACGAGAGCCTGATTCAGGATCTCGCGCGTCTTGGCGCTGAGCTGACGGAAGCCAAGGACGACTTCCAGGCGACTCAGCTCCGTATCAAGGGTCTGAAGAAGGAGATCTCTGCTGTCGACCAGGACATCAAGATGATGACACCGGAGAAGAAGAAGCGCGAGTCTGCCCTCACTGCTGCCGAGGCGCAGAGCGCGCAGCTCGCCTCCGTCGTGGAGTCGGAGGACGACAAAATCTTTGGCGCCTTCTGCCAGCGCATTGGCGTCGCGAACATTCGCGAGTACGAGGACGTCCAGCTCAAGGTTGCGCAGGAGGAGAACGAGGTCCTGCAGTCGTTCGTTCAGCAGGACCGTCGTATCTCTCATCAGTAGGTATCCAGGCGTTGCTCTGCTAACCATACCCAGGATCGAGTTCCAGGCTGCGCAGGTCAAGGCTACGGAGGAGCGATTGGCCCAGCTCCAGTCCATCTCGTCTAGGGAACTGAGGAATGCCGAGCGCCTGCGCGAGAACAAGGAGGAGCTCGAGAACGAGATCGAGGAGCTGCAGGCCGAGATTGAGAAGCAGCGCGAAAAGCTCGAAAAGTACAACACCAAGCACGAGAAGGCGTCTGCTGAAGTCGAGGAGGCGCGCGACGCTGCTCGTCAAGCGCAGCGCCGACTCGACAAGATGCTCAAGGAGATCTCCTCGTACAATGACGGCATCGCGCGCTGCGGCTCGGACCGGCATGCGATCTACCGCAAGTGTCGTCTTGAAGACATTGATCTGCCGCTTGAGTCTGGATCACTATCGAATGTCCCCATCGCCATTGATGACGTGAGTTACTACATAATGGGAAATAGCTGACAAAACAGGACAGCGACGCGATGGACGTCGATGAGGACTCACTCAGTCCAGCCAAGGTCAACGACTACGGTATCGAGCTAGACTTCACGATCCTGGAGGAGGATGACAAGGAGAACAGCGCGGACGACCACGGACAGGAGCTCGAAGCGCAGATCAACAAGATGAAGGTGGACATTGAGCGTGTGACGCCAAACATGAAGGCCGTCTCGCGATTGGAGGAGGTCGAGAACGAGCTCCGAGACGCTGAGACAGAAGCGGACGAGGCACGACAAGAGAGCAAGCGTGCGCGCGAGGAGTTCCTCGACCTGAAGAAACGGCGGTGCAATCTGTTCAACAAGGCGTTCACGCACATGTCCAAGTGCATTGACCAGATCTACAAGGACCTGACCAAGAACTCTGTCGTGCCGCAGGGTGGTATGGCGTTCCTCTCACTCGAGGACGCCGAGGAGCCCTACCTCGCCGGTGTCAAGTACAACACGATGCCGCCGGGCAAGCGTTTCGTCGAGATCGAGCAGCTCTCCGGAGGAGAGAAGACGATGGCTGCGCTGGCGCTGCTGTTCTCAATCCACTCGTAAGCTGAGAGCTCCTCATCCAAGCTGACAATTAGTTTCCACCCCGCACCGTTCTTCGTGCTGGATGAGGTCGACGCTGCGCTGGACCCGACCAACGTGTCCAAGCTTGCGCGCTTCGTTCGTGAGCAGTCCGAGAAGGGCGTCCAGTTCATCATCATCTCGCTCAAGAGCACCCTGTAAGTTTAACGGGCCGAAGCTAAAGCCGAGGGGTCCAAGCTGGGCAAGCCAGGCAAGCCGAAGCAGGGCCGAAGCCGGCGGCCACTAGTCGTTGGCGGGCGCCCATTGCCGCATTGCCGGCGGCGGCGGCGAGGTAGCCTGAATGTTCAGGGACGCTGACAGGACCAGGTATGAGCACGCGGACGGATTGGTCGGCGTGTACCGTGAGCAGGTCATGAACAGTTCGCAGACGCTGTCGCTGGATCTGGCCAAGGTAAGCTGGCAGTGCTGGATCAAGCTGACATCAGTACGAGTAGGCATAGACGTCGAGGGGAGAGATCAGCAAGGTAGAAGGAAGAAGGATAGTAACAGTATTCGAAATTGCATGTACGCTTGATAGTTCTTGAGAGACGTTTGGTAAGCTCAGTGGTAAGCGGAGGGGTGCGGAGGCCGAGTGAGGCACGCCTCGCCAGGGACGAGGGACGAGAGGTCCAATAAACGAGAGTTGTGGTCAGGTGACGTTGCGGCAGTGGTTGTACCTTGTGGGTGTGGGTGAGTTGGGATGGTGAGCGCTGAGCTTGTCGAGGACAGACGTGGCTGGTCCCTGGGCCAGATCCCCAGTCCCAGGATGTAGCCCAGACTGGGGTGAGTGTAAGCCAAGAGCATAAGCCAGCCAGCCAGCCAGCAGCACAGCGAAAAGGGGCCGGGTATATGATTATGGGGTGGATGTGGTCAGCCAGGTCAGCCAGGGTGAGCATACAAGCCAACAAGGCGGCCAGACATGACGTCGCCTGTCCTATCGCTGACCGATGCCATCTGGTGCCGTACCCGGCTCTCACCTCAGCACTCACATACACACCCGGTGATCATCCCATCCCAGCCCTGCCTCCAGCTCCGCGTCATTCCATCTCCCCCCTCCCCCGATCCCATCCCTCCCTTCGATCCTCGCATCCTCGCGCGACTGAACTCGTTCCATCTACACACACACCACACCTTGGATCCATCCTTTATCATCCATTGATCCTCATTCCCCCACCTACCCACCTGTCCACCTATCTCGGCCCGTTTCCGACCCCATCCCTACCTGCGTGCCATCCAAGCCGAGTGCCGCAGCCACCACCCTCCCCCCTTTGCCGACCCTTTCTTTCCCACTTGGTCTTGCACTAGCTTCCGGGCGATATCCGCATCCCATCTGGTCCGGTCTCACCTTCCTCCCTCCTCTCTCTTCATCCACGACCAAGCCCGCACCCGCACCCGTACCCAAAAGCAGTCGCAGACGCCATGACGCTCCCGGACGCCTGCAAGGAGATCGAGCCGTACTTCAAGCTCTCGGCTGAGAAACTCAAGGAGATTGTCAAGTACTTCCGCGAGGAGTGCGAAGAGGGCCTCCTCCGCTATGGCGAGGACGTCGCCATGGTCCCCTCCTTTGTGCCCACTGTGCCGACGGGATCCGAGACCGGGTGAGTACAAGCAAGCACTGGACGCGAAGCGCGCCGCGTGATCGGCATACCGCATCCGAACGGAGCCGGAGCAAGACCGAGCCTCCTGAGCCTTCCCATCTTCCAGGTCCGAGTGACCAGGTGACGGCCCGTCACGGCTCGTGCCCAGTACACCGGCGTACCGACCTGGTCTGCTAGTCACTCAGCCCGCTGTCGGTGCGGCCAGCCCGGCTTCTGCCTGACTCGTCGCGCTCGTGCGTGTCATGTCTCCGGCTCACTCGCTGCGCTCGTTCACCGTTTGCTGACAGACAGAACCTTCCTTGCGCTCGATCTCGGCGGAACCAACCTGCGCGTGTGCGAGGTCAAGCTCGAGGGCAACCACAAGTTCTCCCAAAAGCAGCAGAAGTACCGCGTCTCGGAGGACCTGAAGGAGGGCGAGGCGAGGGTGTTGTTCAGTGAGTCACTGCGAGAGCATTCGCTGCGCTCGTGCTCGAGCACTGGCCCTCAAGCTTGCGACAGCTCGAGCCAAGGTCGCGCGAGGGAAGGATGGGCACGGCTGGCACGGGAGATCCCAGCATGAGAGATGTTTGGGCCAGCTCGGGCACGCGGGACACGCGGTGACGCCCCGAGGCCGCCCCGAGGGTGGCTTGGCGAGGGCGTGTGCTGCGTAATCAGCAGTTAGAGCGCCACCGTCCATGCGCCCGTGCTCCTCCATCTGCCTTCCCCACTGCTGCCGAATGATCGCTCAGCTCAGCCCCACATCGCATGCCGGCTCTCTATCCAGCTCGGGAGAACTGCGCATTCCCTCACTCAAACAATCTCGCTAACATGCAGACTACATTGCCGACTCGGTTGACGCCTTCCTGACCGACTTTGGAAGCGAGATCCCCATGGACGAGAATGAGCCCCTGCACCTGGGTTTCACCTTCTCGTGAGTAACCTCGGAGTGGTGCCGGCTGCCAAGGGTGTCGCGGGTTCTGTGCAGTCTACCCCTGACGTACCCGGGTACCCCGCACTACACGGTGTCTCGCGACGCCTTCTCGCCCGTTAGCGCAATCGGCGGTTCGGGCGTCCCGCACAGCTGGGACGCGTGCTGCTGCAGACGGTCACTGGCTTTTGGAGGATCGGCATGACACTCCCACGCTCCAGCTCGTGCATTGTTGAGATTAGCTGACTTCCAGCTTCCCCGTCGAGCAGACCGCTCTCGACGCCGGCAAGCTCCTGACATGGACAAAGGGATTCGCAGCCAAGCACGCTGTCGGCAACGACGTCGTGCGCCTGCTCCAGGACGCCTTTGACCGCAAGCACATGCACGTTTGCTGCAGTGCGCTCGTGAATGACGTGAGTGGCTTTACAATTTCCCAAGCTTCGGTTTTCCCTCCAAAGAGTCAAGCTGACATTCAGACTGTCGGCACGCTGCTCTCGCGCTCGTACCAGAACGGCCCGGCGCTGATCGGCGCCATCTTCGGCACGGGCACGAACGGCGCGTACATTGACAAGACTAGCACGATCAAGAAGCTCGGAGAGGAGAAGATCCACAAGCTCGAGGAGGGAGGCGCGGACGCGGGAGAGTACATGGTCATCAACACGGAGTGGGGAGCGTTTGACAACAGGGTGAGTTGTGCCGAGGCGGCCGCTTGGCCGCCGCAGCTGTGGTCGTTTTGTCCGAGCTGACATGCAGCGCCGATGCCTGCCCGTGTCCATCTTTGACAACAAGCTGGACCGCGAGTCGATTAACCCGTGAGTATCCCGTAGCTTCTTGACCAGAGAGTTGGTAGCTGACACTTCAGGCGAAAGCAGACGTTCGAGAAGATGGTGTCCGGCATGTATCTCGGCGAGATCACGCGAAACATCCTGCTGTACATGATCGATCTGGGCGAGCTGTTCGAGGGTTACTCGACCGAGGTGCTGAACACGCACTACGGCTTTGACACGTCGTTCGTGTCCTACGTCGAGGGTGCGAAGGACCTGGCCGAGGTCAAGAAGATCATCGTCAACATCCTCAAGGTCAAGGAGAAGCACATCTCGGACCGCGACGCCGAGATCGTCCTCTGGGCGTGCAACATGGTCGCGCTGCGTGCATCCTACCTCTCGGCCTGCGCCATGGCTACCGTCATTCTGCACACGGAGAAGAACAGGAGGAAGGAGGAGAGCAAGACGATCGACGTGGGCGTTGACGGATCGTAAGTTATTCCTTTCCTTGCAGCTGACACACCTCGATTGAAGACAAGCTGACACCCAGGGTCGCCCAGTACCTCCCAGGCTTCGAGGAGAAGGTGCGCGAGGCGCTCCGCCTCATCATCGGCGAGGAGTGCGCGAAGCACATCACGATCGGTCTCGCCAAGGACGGCTCGGGCGTCGGCGCGGCGCTCGCGGCGCTGACGGCGAAGAAGGCGGCCGAGACGCACAAGCACAGGCGGATGTCAAAGTAAGATGAGCGGGGCGAGCGAAGCGAGCCCGCGTTAGCTTTGCTGGCGCGAGCGCGAGTTGGAGTCTGTCCGCCCGGGTTCTTAAGTATTGGAGCCCTGCGGCTGTCTCCGCATACCCAGAGCAAAGAGAGCGCGCCGGCATCAGCCCGTGCAGAGAGACAAAGCGAGTAGAAGTATAGGCAGTCTGTTTCTGTAGTTAGTTTCCTAAGCATCTGGTCTAGCCTTGGTCCGTGTGTGTGTTCTTCTGGGAGTCTGTGGTATGGTTGCGTGCGGCGTCCCAAGCATAGCCAAGCATGCCCCAAGGGGGGTTTTGGTCGCGGTGACTTCTGTGGTGAGATCGGCCAGGCCCGAGGCGGTGAGTCTGGGCCCCCACACGTGAGGGGGTGTCGTCTGAACATTTTTACGTTCCTCGGCCCGTATGCCTGAGTCCTCCTGAGCCTGAACCTGGGTTTACCTGAGTTGCGCGAGTCGAGTGCGAAGTGAGTCAGGAGTTGCTGTTGGGATCGCATCGTCACTGTCTCTGTGTGTGGGAGACCTGTACATTAATCTTAGACACAACAACAACGCACACGCGCACACACGCACACACTCGATACCGGCTCCAGATCGACAGAGGGACAGAAAATCAACCGCGACTAGAGACCAAGTGGGCATCGCTTCGCTCCACACCGCCCTCTCACCTCTGACTCCTCGACCATCCCCTCCCCTTTCAACAGTTGATCCGGCTCGTGGTACAGCGTGACACAATGCCCTCCGAGACCTCCCCCCTTATCTCTCCCACCCCGACCTCAAACGGCGTGGGCAACACGCACGCCGCCCCACAGAGGACGTACACGAACGGCGACCGCGAGGTCGAGGTCTGGAAACCGGGCAAGTCTGGATTCTGGGCGACCCTGTTAAACACACTGGGCGATCTGATCGGTACTGGGCTGCTCGCTACGCCCATCGCCATCGCGCATGCGGGATGGGTGTGTGGCCCGCTTGCGCTTGTGATTGTGTGCGGCGTTACGCTTTGGACGTGAGTATGCCCCTGGCAGCTGGCGGCCGCTGGCCCGGAGGGTCGGCCAGTCGGCCATTGCGATGTTCGGAAGGGGGTGTGTTGGCAGGATGTACAGCTGGAGTGAGAGGGGAGGCTGCAAACGTCGACGCGGAGCTCAGTCGCTCTGCCCCATCCTCAGCCCCGAATGTTCGCCGCCGCTCACTCCGGGCGCAATCTGTTCGCCGCGCTCGCATTCCGCTCACTCGCTTCGCTCGTTCGCTAACACGCAGGCTTAAGATCCTCCTCCGGATCATCGAGAAGGACCGCCGCCTGCGCAACTTCACCGATGTGATCGGGTACGCTCTCGGCACTAGGGGCGAGGCGATCGTGACCTTCCTCTTCGTAATCGAGGTGTGCGCGTGGGTCATTGCGCTCATCGTCCTGTTCTCCGACTCGCTCGCCCTCGTGCTCCCCCAATACACGTCTGACCAGTGGAAGCTGCTCGGCCTTCTGTTCATCGTGCCGACGACGTTCCTGCCTCTGCGGTACCTGTCCTTTTCGAGCGGTCTCGGCATTCTCTCGACGTGGCTCCTTGTTGCTATTCTGATCTTTACGGGCCTCGTGAACCCCAAGGCTCCGGGAAGCATCCGCGACCCGGCGCCGACGGATCTCTGGCCCGCGCACGGGTTCTGGAAACTGTGCTCTGTCTTTGGCCTCCTCATCTCCGGATTCGGCGGACACGGCCTGATTCCCAATCTGATCCACGACATGGCGGACCCGCACCAGGCCGACCTGGTGTGCGACTTTTCCTACGCGGTCGCCATGGCCGTGTACGTGCTGGTGGCCGTGTTCGGGTATCTGATGTATGGGCGGGACGTGTCTGACGAGATTTCCAAGGACCTCGCACGCACGCCGGGCGTGACCAAGGCGCTGAGCGCGTTTGCCGTGTGGATGGTCGCGCTGAACCCTTTGACCAAGATTGCATTGGGCATCAGGCCTTTGGCCGATATGATCTTCACGCGCTGGGGGCTGCACAAGACCGAGCTTGTCCCGCTGGGCGCGCCGACGCCGCGATACGTCACGCGCCCGCCCTCGCCGGTGTCTGAGGCAGAGATCGAGAATACGGAGAACACGGCGGTCGGGAACTTGCTGCAGGACGAGCAGGACGCGCAATCGGCAGCATACCAGCGCGCACTCCGCGATGCCGAGGCGGTCAACGAGAGCGGCTTCAGTGCGTACGTCGACGCGTCCCGTCGGGTATGACCCCGCCGCATCCCTGTTCCAGCCCCGCAACGCGGCCGCGCACGCTCGCAGAGAGAGGATCAAGGCGCTCTGCAGACACGCGACGCGGCTCGTGCTCGCCTTCCTCTTCGTGGCGGGGGCGCTGGCCATGCCGTCTTTCGAGCGCGTTATGGGCCTCCTCGGGTCTGGGTTTGCGAGCTTGACGTTGATTATCATTCCTGTTTGGGCCGGCGCAAAGGTCTTCGGGTGGAGGTGGTACCACTGGCTCGCCATTGCTGTGTCTGCGGTTGCAGGCGTGCTCGGGACGATTGCGGCCTTCAAGTGAGATTATTATAGAGTTTTGATGCATCTTGTCTTGTTTCTTGGCTTGACGTGTTACTGGCAACTGATAAACACATTGCACACTCACACTCACGCCACGCACAGACACAGACACATCGGGAAGGTGTGCGGGAAGGTGCGGCAGTGATCACCTCAGCCACGCGTCTCCACACGTCTCCTCGGCTCGATCACACCAGAAATTAGCCAAAAAGCTCCTCCGGGACCTCCTTCGGAGGCCCCTTCGGAGTCCAGCGAGTGGGACGAGGGCGGATCGAACGCCCGACCTCAAGAACTGAAGGCTTCACTCTCGCGCTCTCCCAACTGAGCTATCATCCCCTGTCGCTGTGGCCGAGCGTCTCCGGCGCGGGGCGCAGGCGCTGACCACGGGGCGGGTGCGAGGCGTCTGTTGTGATGCCGAGCACAGGTACCAAGGTCGAGCAACTACTGTGCGCAGTGCCCAGAATGGAATTGATGTTGTGTTGTGAAAAGGGAGACTGAGTGGCAGATAAACTGGTCGATATCACTGAACGATCGTCGCCACACTTGACCTGGCTGACGTTGCCTTGGGCTGTTTGCCCAGACCACAAAAAGCCTCAAAAAGCTCCTCGCGGTCCCCCTTTCGGAAAACCCTCAGAGTCACAGTGATGGGACGAGGGCGGATCGAACGCCCGACCTCAAGAATTGACTAGCTTCACTCTCGCGCTCTCCCAACTGAGCTATCATCCCTGGTCACTGCTGACGTGAGCTGTGGCGGGGGGCGCGGCCTCGGCGCCCTCGCTGCTCATTCCTGCTCGTCAGTCGCTTTGTAATCAGTATCCTCCTCTGTCTCCTTTGTTTCCACGTTGATAAATGCATGACATTGGTCAGCTGCTCAGCCAACCGAGCTCATCTTCGGGCAGCCTACGGCCTAACCTCAAATTTGACGAAGATGTTGGCGACCACATCAATCGGCTCGGGCTCGATCGTAATTGTGTTGGCCTGCTTTGCGCTTCGGCCCATCGGCGCAGCAGCGGCAAACATGGCGCGGGGCGCGGCGCCGCCGCCCGAGCTGCTGTCGCTGATGTCTGTAACATGGACGCGTGCGCCGGGGATGGCGAGGACCTGGGCGTAGTTCTCAGCCTTTTGAATTGCGTCGCGGAGCGCCGCCTGACGCACACGCGCGTGCAGGCCGCGCTCGGTGCCCGGGGATAGGCGCCAGGCGAGGCGGTCGATGGAGATGAGGGGCTGTTCCTGGCATGTTAGTGAGGCTACCCCGAGGAGGCAACTTACGCTCAGCTCCATGACGAACGCGGACAGCTCGGCGAAATCGTGGAACGTGATCTTGGCAGAGGCCTCGGCGACGTAGAACTTGCCGTACTCCGTGTTGTCGTTCGGGTCCGGGTGGCGCGGCGGCGTGCGCTCAAAGCTCCAGCTGCGGATCTGCTGCATGCTCCACCCGGTCACTGGCTTCTCGGGGCTGCTCGGCGGGAATTCCTCGGGCACGTCAGTCGCCTCACTGGCGTCAAGGGCGAGGCGGGGCTCGGCGTCGCCCAACTTTGCCGGCGCCAGGGTGCGGACCTGCTCGGCGAATGAGGAGGCAGTGGCAGACACGCGCTGCATCGCCTCGCCGGGCTGCTTGCTCTCGTCGCGGATGCGGACATAGACGTCACAGAGCTCCGGAACTCGGCGCACCTCGTGCTCGCCGCTGAGCTCAATACGGGGCGGCGAGGTGCGGCAGCGGAGGGCAGTCCTGGCGATGCCGGTCGAGAGAGCGCCGACGACGAGGGAAAGAAGAACGGAGATCCAGAAGTGGTTGTCCATGATGATGGGTGTGATGGGGAAAGAGTGAAGAGGAGAGATGGAGCTGACTCTCAAGCCAAGTTGAGGCGCTCTTAAGTGGTCTGCTGGTGTCTCAGAGGGCTACATTTACGAGGCTGTACACCAGTCCTCATTCATTCCTCGCCCTATGACGCAAGAAAAGTCAAAGGTGCGTACGCGTCGGTGCCTGGCGGACCGGCAAGCTCCGTCACTGGATCGCTGCCAAGACACCGAATAGTCCACGCCTTTGCCACCCATTTATATTCATCTGCTCCCGCTAATCAGTTGGTATTTGGCTCCGGCTAATGACGTGCCTGACGGACCAACCTCCCGACCGCCGGCGCGACTTTTCAGACCAGATACGCTCGTGTCTCGTCTCCCGCGACCGAGCACGACGACCCCGTTGAGCTCGATACCCATTACTCACCCCCCATTTCGACATTCGACATGTCGGACCAGCAGAACTCTCGCCGTGGACGTGGCGGCTTCCGTGGACGCGGAGGCGGTAGAGGACGTGGCGGTTTCCGCGGCCCGAAGCCTGCTCCTGCGCCTGTCCAGCAGCTGAAGGCCGAGCCTGATTCTGGAGCCTCGACGCCTCTGACATCAGGCATGACAACGCCTATTGCCTCTGGCGCGCAGACTCCCAACAAGGCTCTCACGACGACCAAGTTTGCCGACTTCCCGCAGCTCACGCCCGAGCTCGTCGCCAGCCTCCCCTTCGAGTACTGCACCGAGGTGCAGGCTGCCACCCTCCCGGCGATCCTCGAGGGCCACGACGTGCTCGCTCAGGCCAAGACCGGCACCGGCAAGACGCTTGCGTTCCTTGTGCCTTCCATCCAGCGCCTGCTGCTTGCCCCGCTGCCTGACCGCTCGCTCACCAGCATCCTCGTGCTCAGCCCGACCCGCGAGCTCGCGAGCCAGATCGCCGATGCCGCGCTGACCTTCACCAAGGGTCGTGTCGGCGTTCAGTGTGTCGTCGGTGGCACCAACATCAACACGGACGTGAAGCGTCTCAAGACCGAGCGGTGAGCCGATCCCCCCTCCCCCATGTGTGGCTGACGTTGTGCAGTGCCGACATTCTTGTTGCGACGCCCGGCCGTCTGCTCGACCTGATCGAGAACTACGGTGTCGGATCGCGCCTGTCGCAGATCCGCACGCTCGTGCTCGACGAGGCTGACCGCCTTCTCGACCAGGGATTCCGCCGCGAGCTCGTCAAGATCCTCGACGCGCTGCCCGACCGCAAGGCCGTGCCGCGCCAGACGCTCCTGTTCTCGGCCACGCTCCCGGAGGGAGTGCACTCAATCTCGTCGATCGCGCTCAAGCCCGACCACAAGTTCATCACGACGCTGAAGGAGGAGGACATCAACGCGCACAAGCACGTTGTGCAGGAACTGCTCGTGCTCCCCGGCGATCAGATGATCAGCGGTGCCCTCGAGGTGCTCAAGCGCGAGGAGATGCTCGCTGCCGAGCGCGGGGGATTCAAGGTCATGGTCTTCCTGCCCACTGCTCGTGCCGCGGGACTGTACTACGAGGTGTTCTCCAACCTCCCCACGTCGTACCCTGTGTGGGAGATCCACTCGCGCATGTCCCAGGCCAAGCGCACCAAGTCGACCGACCAGTTCCGTGCCGCCGACCGCGGCATCCTCTTCTCGTCCGACGTCACTGCCCGCGGTATCGATGTCCAGGGTGTCACCGCTGTTGTGCAGGTTGGTCTCCCTTCAAGCGGCGAGCAGTACGTGCACCGTCTTGGCCGTACCGCCCGTGCCGGAGCACAGGGCCACGGCGTTCTTGTTCTCGCCGACTTTGAGACCTTCTTCCTCAACGACGCCACGATCAAGACGTTCGACATGCTCGAGTACCCGGCCCTCGACGGCAGCAGCCTGGCGCACGCCTCCCAGCTCGTGGACGGCGCCCTCTCCCAGGTCTCCGAGGAGGCCAAGGGGCAGGCGTACCAGGCCTGGCTGGGCTACTACAACAGCAGCCTGAAGAAACTGCGGTGGAGCCAGGCCGACCTCGTGCGCAATGCAAACGAGTACGCGCAGCACACGCTCAAGACCGCCCCCGGCCCGAACGGCTGGGTGCCCCCCGCGCTCCAGGCCAAGACGATCGGCAAGATGGGCCTGAAGGGCGTCCCCGGCCTGAACCGGGAGGCCGGCCCGAGCGGCGGCGGTCATCCTCTGTCTCCTTTGTTTCCACGTTGATAAATGCATGACATTGGTCAGCTGCTCAGCCAACCGAGCTCATCTTCGGGCAGCCTACGGCCTAACCTCAAATTTGACGAAGATGTTGGCGACCACATCAATCGGCTCGGGCTCGATCGTAATTGTGTTGGCCTGCTTTGCGCTTCGGCCCATCGGCGCAGCAGCGGCAAACATGGCGCGGGGCGCGGCGCCGCCGCCCGAGCTGCTGTCGCTGATGTCTGTAACATGGACGCGTGCGCCGGGGATGGCGAGGACCTGGGCGTAGTTCTCAGCCTTTTGAATTGCGTCGCGGAGCGCCGCCTGACGCACACGCGCCGAAGCGCCAGTCCGGCCAGCCCTCGCTCCTGCAGCGGATGCAGCCCGATGCCGGTGCCGGATTCGGAGGCGGCTCCGGTGGCTTCAACGGCGACCGTGCGCCCTCGGGCCGGGGCCGAGGACGCGGACGGGGACGCGGAGACAGGGGTCGTGGTGCGCCTCGTCCTTTCTAGGCTGTAGGCGCGTATGAGGGCGTGCCGAGTGCCGCGGCGCACAGCACGGCACGGCACATGCTCGGAATCGGCCCGCGAGGTGCGAGGGAGCAATTCCAGAAAACAACATAGATGACATATAGAAACGACCGATACCGATACCGACCCATACACATAGAGTAGAGAAGAAAAAAACAGACCGGCGCCTCGCCGTGCGCCATGCGCCGCGCGCCCCGAAGTCCTCAAGTCCTCAACCCTGAGCTACCTGGCATGCCTGGCTCGATGGCGCCTGGGCATGGCTGGCGTATTTCGCACGAGCCTGCCCCCGTGTCCACGTTAGGCTCTGGATGAGGCGATGGGGTGACTAGGGGGCGCAAGGCGTGAAAAAAAAAAGAGAAAGGCAAACAAGTCCGGCTCGGAAAGTGTACTGTGTACTTTTCATAGCATATTGTTATATAGACTACGCTACCACTTGTACCACTGGGCTTGCAGGCTTGAGCAGCTGGCGAGAGAAGGAAAGGTTGCCCTGCTGTACTGATATCGGACTTGCCCGTTGACTCTGGCGCAGAAAACAAGCTTACAACTGGCGTACCGACGTACCGACGCCTGCCCCGCAGCAGAGGTCCGCACGGCACGTAGTGTAAACCCTGCGGTACGCGGTCCGGCATGTTCCAAGCAGAATCAGAACAGAGAGAGGAAAAAAATGGGCCGTTATCTTAGCGAGACGCGTCGCTGGATCGCTGGGCTGGTTTGGCCAATGGGTTATCTTTGTTGGGGCTAGTCTAGAGATCTGGGGCGAAAGGGGTGCCACGTGTTGGCTGGCTGGAGCCGGCGGTACAAGGCAAGTGACGGGTACGCAGCCAGTCAGAGCGCGCAGAGGGTACAAGGGGACACGAGGCAAGGGGTCCCTGTCCCCTTTTGAAAGGTTCGACGGAGGGTGTGATCCGCTTGGATCATCCACCGCCATCCCACAACATCCTCCTTTCTCAAGCAAATTTCTCCCAGCGAGCTCACCATCCTCGACAGCCATGGGCGACACCCCGCAAGAGGAGCCCGCTCCCGTCATCAAAATCAGCGTGAGGCAAATCCGCATGCTTTGCAGCAGCAGCAGTAATCAACTGACAATCCCCAGTGCGTCGAATGCAGACGGCTCAAGCGCAAGGTGCGTCAATCCTCCGCAGACTCCGCAGACTGAGCGGCCGCAGAGTGCGCCGGAGTTGCAATCATCGCGATTCCTCCGACTCCGCGCGCTCCGCTCGAACCGCATCCACACCCATCCCGCTCTCCGCCCTCGGCAATCAAACGCTTACTATCACAGTGCGACCGAGTACACCCATGCAACCAGTGCAAGCGATACGACAAGACTTGTGTCTTCCCCGAAGCTGAGAACCCTCGCCGAGGCAAGAAGTCAGTATACCACACACACACGCAGTCCCCCTCCTTCCCCTTCTGGCTCGCACCCCTGTCCCACCCACCCCTTGCTTCATGCAAGCCGCGTTCCTGAATCGACCTCCTAACACCAAAACCCCCCCTTCATTGCCAATGTTGGCCGAACCCCGGTGCTGACACATACCCAGATACCTCGCCGAGGTCAAGGAGCGTGTCGCCAAGCTCGAACGTCTGCTCGCCGAGCATGCCCCGCAGGTCTCCCTCGACGACCTCGGAGGCCCGCTCTCCCCCGCCGCCGACGTAAAGGACGAGCCCGACCTCCCCCACAAGCCCCCGCACGGCGCTAAGGATGCCGGGGGCGGCAGCGGCAGTGTCAGCTCTTCCCCTGTCTCCCGGTTCCAGGACTACCGTCAGCCCCCGACCCCTCCCGCAGCCGCAAAACCGCGGCCAGAGCGCAAGCCCGAGTCGCTCCGCGATAACCGTATCGGCGTCGTCGAGGCGCACGAGAAGCAGCCGAAAAAGGCCAGCGGATACGAGTGGAACGAGCGCGTCAGCGCCGCCGAGAATGACGGCACGGCATGCCTCAGCGTCGAGCCCAACGGAGAGGGATACTTGGGTGAGTCTAGCTAGTTTTGTGGTGTGATAGATAGCTAATCTCCAGGCTTCGCTGCTGGTGCGACTCTCCTGCGTATCCTGCAAGGCGCTGCTGGACGCCAGGGCGGACTCGACTTGTCGGTGTCGCCTCGATCCGAGCCCGAGCCGCCACTCGGCTGGGCCCCGACGCACGGCGAGACGCAGCGCTGGGTCGATGCCTACTTCCGACACTACCACTCCCAGTACCCGATCGTGCATGAGCCGACGTTCCGCGCTCAGCTCTCCGAGGTCATCCCGCAGCCGCCGGCCGCGCAGTGGATGCTGCTGATGAACACGGTCATCGGACTCGGCGCCTTCACGGCCGGTGCGCCAATGTACGCCGTTGACTACTTCCTCGAGCAGGCCAGCAGTGTGATTTCCGTCGACCTGCTCGAGACGGGCTCGCTCGTGCTCGTGCAGGCGTACACGCTGCTGAGTAACCTCGCGCAGAAGCGCAACAAGCCGAATGCGGGCAGCACGTACCTCGGTATCGCGGTGCGCATGGCCATCGGCCTGGGACTGCATCGCGAGCTGCCGATGTGGAACATTCCTCCATTCGAGCGTGAGGTGCGCCGCCGCGTGTGGTGGGTGCTGTACATCTTTGACTCTGGCGCAGCGATCACTTTTGGCCGACCGATCGTGAGTTTTTCGCCGACGGCTCCCAAACTGACCATACAGCTGCTCCCGTATGGCGAGGCGGACGTGCGTATGGTGCACAACGTGCCGGACCGGGACTTTACGCGGAAGAGTGCGCATGTGCCGGCAGCCTCCCGCGGCGCGACAGTGTACTCGTCCCTGATCTGGCAGTCGCACTTCTGCATGATCGGCAACAAGTGCTATGACCGGGTCATTGCGTCTCCGCCGCCGACGGCCGAGGAGTGCCTCGAGCTGGACCAGGAGCTGCGCGAATGGCACAACGACGTGCCGAACTGGATGACGCGCACGGCCACGCCGGATATGTTTGACGACACGCCGTGGCTCTACTTCTCCGCCCACAAGCTGTACTGGCGATACTGCAACTTGCGCATCATCCTGCACCGCCGCCCGTTCCTCGACCGTGCGCTGAAGCACCAGTCGATCGCGGACATGACGTCGCCCACGACGCTGGATCATGGGTTGGCGATGGAGTGTTTACAGGCGGCGCTCGACACGATCACGGATATCCACCAGTTTATGCTTAATGGGGAGCACACGAGGTTGGAGGTGTGGTATGCTCTGTGAGTACGACGCGACGCGGCGAGGGGCGTTGTAGGGTGCTGCGTCTTCCTTCGCATACCCTCAACCCCTATACGCATCGCAACGCAAGCTAACCACTCTTTATTGCACAAGCTGACATCCAGGCACTTCCTGTTCCAGGCCTGCTTCGTCCCTCTCATCGCAATGTGGACCGACCCGGCATCTGCCGAACGCCCCCTGTGGGCCGAAAAGGTGCGCGAGGCGCGCGAGACGATGGCGCGCGCCCAGGACGACCCGCTCGCCGAGCGCTGCATGGCCATCATGGACCAGGTGACGCCGAGCGACGTGGTGCCCGGCGGCGTCGGCCCGCCCGTTGCGCAGATCCAGGACATCTTCTCCGCCAACCTGTGGCAGGGGACCGAGTTCCCAGGCGAGCTGATTCCGTTCGCGGACCTGGCGACGATCATGAGTGTGTGGCCGGCGGGAGGGAATTTGCAGTGAGCGCGCGGCCTTGCGAGCGAAGCGAGCAAGTGTCGCGTGAGCGAGAGCGAGTTAGTATGAGAGAAGGGACGATGGTCGAAGAGCGACAGGATTGAGCGGCTTGCAGTGCTGAGCACTCCAGCGACAGGGTATAGAGCATATAATTGGTGTTGTAACATATGTATAATTCTGGGCTATCTAGCTTTCTACAAACGCTCGAGGCGCATGACGCGGCTCCTGTAGTCGCCATGCTCTCTGATAGAAATGCCAGTGTACACCAGGTCACTGCCGGCGTACTTCTTCCCGTCGAGCTTGTACTCGAGCTTGGGATCGAGTCCTTGCAACTTGAGCGGCGGCGCGACGTCTCCCCTGGTGTGATCCCGGACTTGGAACCAGAACACGACCCCCTCCCTCCCATCTTGACTCAGGAACATGCCCGCGGGCCAATTACTCTCCCAGGGATTATTGAGCCTGTACCAGTCCCCTTTGAGGACGAGGTCATTCAGCTCCCTCGCCATGGCCACGAACTGGGGGACTTGCTTCGCGTCCTCCTTGGGGAGCTTGGTGACGTCGAGCTCGAACCCGAAGCTGCCCGCCATGAGCGCGACATGGGCCCTGAAGGCGAAGGGCGTGGTGCGAGAAGTCTGGTGGTTGGGCACGACGCTCACGTGCGCGCCCATAAGGCTCGGGGGGAAGAAGAGCGACGAGCCGAACTGGATCGCGATCCGGTCCAGCGCATCCGTATTGTCGCTGGTCCAGTGTTGGCTGAAATACGCACTTAGGGCCAGATCCAGCCGCCCACCACCACTGGCACAGCCCTCCCACAACACCTTGGGATATCTCGAAGTAAGCGTTGAAAGGACGCGATACAGCCCGAGCTGATAGTCGTGCATAGCCGAGGGACGGGGAAGCTCGTGCATGCCCCTGTTGTTGTCCCACTTGACGTAGGACACGGGCGCCGAGTCGAGCAGCGCAGAAATCGACGAGATGATGTAGTCCTGCACAGCCCTCTGGCCCAGGTCGAGGACGAGCTGGTGCCGCGTCTCGGTCGGCTCTGTCCGGGGCGCGCGCAGGACCCACTCGGGGTGTTCCTCATACAAGGCAGAGCGGCGCGAGACCATCTCGGGCTCGACCCAGAGGCCGAACTGCATGTGTTTTTTCGTCTTGTGGTGACCGTCGGTGGAGCCAAGAGCTAGAGACGTAACCTTGCGCCCAAACTCGTCCAATCCATGCGGGAAACGTTCCTTGTTCACGACCCAATCCCCAAGGCCCTGTTTATCGCTGGTGCGCGGGTACTTGCGCCCAAACCACCCGTCGTCAAGCACGAAGAGCTGGATGCCCAGCTCCGCGCCCCGCTCAGCGATGGGGAGGAGTTTCTTCTCGTCCAGATCAAAGTAGGTCGCTTCCCAGTTATTCACGAGCGTGGGGCGGGGACGGTGCACCCAGTCCTGGTTCAGGAGGTGCTGTTTCCAGAACCTGTGCAGGTTGCGAGACAGCTGCCCCACGCCGCCAGAGGGGGAGTAGGCGAGCACGAGTTCGGGTGTGGTGAAGGAAGAGCCGGCGGGGAGGGGGTAGGCCAGATGCTGCGGGTTGATCCCGAAAAGACAGCGGACGTGTCCGTTGAAATCGCGCTCGATCTGCGCCTCGAACGAGCCAGAGTAGATGTGCGCGAACCCCCAGGCTGGGCCGGAGGTCTCGGTCGTCGAGGGAGGAAGGAGGAGATACTCCTGTCCGAACAGGTGCGAGGTGTATCCCGCCAGACTCTGGAAGCTGTCGTCAGCGCGTGCTCCGCTGCCACACATGGACTCTGAGCCAGCCGGCCAGCCGGCCAGCCGGTTCCAAAGCAGGCTCGGGCTACGCCCTCACCTGTACTCACCCCTGCATCCCGTGTCCGACTGGTTTGCGGTGCACCCTCCGCTCGCCTGCCCAGTTGCCGTATGTGTACGCGAGCTCCCACTCTTCGTTGGGCAGATCGGTGCCCTGGCTCGCCTTCTTGACCGTGATCTCCTTCTCTCCCCTATTCTCAATCTCCATCCACCGGGACACGACATCATGCCCATGCCACACGGCATAGAACAGCCTCACAACGACGTTGTTCGCCGTATCCTTCATCCTTACTTCGAGCGTGGTCACGTCCCCCTCCTTGCCGAACGTGCACGGCATGCCCGGAAGAGACGGCTTGCCCCTGTGCACCTTGTGTCCGTCGAAGGCGAAGCTGTAGCTCTCGCACCCGTCATGCGCGGCCAGGACTAGAGCGGGCGTCCTGAAATCGCCGGACCCGAGAGTGGGGAACTCGCGCCGCCGCTGAATCGTCATCCACCCCGGAGGCTCCGAGTCGGGTTCCTCGATCGCGTAAGGAGATGTCAGGAGAGATCCCCAGTGGTCCGCCATCAGGTCGCCATACGTCTCGTGGAAGACGTAGGACGACGAGGGCGTGCGCAGGTGGAACCGATACCCGTCCGTGACCGTTACGGGGTCGTGCGCGGGTTTGATGTTGGTCGTCATCTTGGGCCGGCACCGAGGAGAGCTCGCGGAGGGGACGCCGGGGATGTGGTCGAGCTGCGTCATGGCTGAGTACCGCCGCTCAGAGTCGGGTTATATACAGGATACAAGAATGAGGTGACTCGATGTGACGGATCACAACTCACGCCGAGACTGCGATAGTAACGGCCCGAAGCAGCTCACATGATATCATCGGCCCGATCCCCGGCTCACGCCGGCTCACGGCTATGTCCGCCACCGCCATTCTCACCACATGCACGTTATCAATAATCACAAGAAATGCTAATAAATCACACATACTACCTCACGTGGTTTGCAAGTCTGTGGCCAGAACCACAGGCACACAGCGGACATAGACTATCCGCACAGACGTTAAGGTTGAGGCGCAGCGTGCCGACGCTCCTGCCGACGAGAAGCAATAAAGGAAGAAGGTTCGACACAGCCAATTTGGCGACTTAATGCGTACAGTTCCATCGTGGCTTGTGTGGCGCGGGCGTCGTGATCCTCGCTGCAGTGTCTGGTGGACCATCGGTTGGGACGTGGGGTGCGCATGCTGCGCGCACGCTGGCACAGAAGGAGACGGCGTGCTTCCGCAAGGACCTTCACGCTATAGTACGCCGCCGCTATTCATGTGCTGACCGAGGTCATTATTGAGGACCTGCTCGATGTTGTGTGCCCTACTCTGGCGGGCTCGTATGCATACATGTATGGAAGTACAACGGGGTGGTGGGCTCTGGGCCGTGGGCGTGAATGGAAGGGTCAAAATGCGATGTATGCAGGGTCGTGAGGGGGGGGTATTGGGGGAGTCGTCATCTCGGCGCTTCTGCTCAGCGCTTTCTGCCAGCGCTTGCTTTCTAGGCGCCTTCTCGCCTCGTCGCTAGCTCTGCTAGCTCGGCAGGCTCTTTTCTTGCTACTCGTTCGTCGAATTGTCGTCGTCGTCGATGGTTGGAGGAGACTGCGCGTCGCACTTGCGCACCCCTCACACTCCGTTCCTACCGTACCTACGGTACGCCGGGCGTACCTGCAGCGAGGCTAACTCTATGTCGCTGGAACAGGGTGCAGGGTTACAGCAGCGACGGTGTGTCACGCGAAAAGCTGCTGGACGACGATACCGAGCGTCTCGACCATGACGATGCGTTCTTCGTCGAGGCGCTCGTCCGTGTCGAGCTCGTCGCTGTGGACGCTGAACACGGAAGGGCGCAGGCCCTCGGCGGGAGGGTAGTGCAGGGCGAAGCGGGCGTCGCCTACCTGCGCGAGCTGGGGGAGCTCAGACTTTTGCGTATATGGAGTGTTGACAGCATGTCGGATGCGGCGCATGCCAGGAGCAACCTTTGGCGGCACGGGGACCAGCTCATGCAGCCGCGGGTGGGAGGGGTCGAATGCGGTCACGATGCCTTCGATCTGACGCGTGGCGGGATACTGCAGCTCGTGGGTCTTGGCGGCGAGCTGACGGAACTCGTCGATGCGCCACTGCGGCGTCAAGGCGTGCACGTCGAGCACGGCTTCCGCCTCAGACACGAGGTACATGTACGCCGGAACGTGCCATGGTCTCGGCGGAGATGTCGGCGGGGCGATGATCTCGAACACGCCGTTGGCTAGAATGTCGACCTGCAGGCTCTCGATGTCGAAGGAGAACTGCCGTGACTCGGTCTGCTCAATCTCGACTTGCGGAGCTGAAGGCTTGTCTCCGCCGGTAACGCGCATCTGAAGCTTGATGCCTGTTCGTCCTGCGGCGGTGGCGACAGAGGGAAGGAGCTGGTCCCGGATCTGGCAAACACGAACGAGAGCGTGGAGGTAGAGGCCCATGTGCGCCTTGAAGTCTTGGGGCGCTCCCATACCTGCCTCCATGCGCGGGCTAGCCCCCTCAGTCAGGTCAAAGAAGGTGCCGCTGCGATACCATGGGGGTGATCGAGGGCCTTGCGGTGGGTAGCAAAGGCGGAACATGTTGATCGGCGCCTGTGCGAGACCGATGCGAGGAAGTTCTGAGGGCTCCAGCTCGGCTGTCGGCTCATAGCTGACACAAAACGAATGGCGATCGTATCCGGCTGCTGGTGACGGAGGTGGCCTGATGGATAGCCGTTTCAGTCTCGGAAGGAGAGGGAACGACAGCCGAAGCACAAACTCGACCTCCTCGAGCGCCTCGGCGCACTCGGTGTGGAAGTCGACGGCGGCGTCCAGCATCGCCTGAGAGACATCAGAGGGAAGGTTGGAGGGAAGGTCGCAGACGAGGTCGTGCTGCCCAGTCATGAAGCCCAGTAATGGGGGAAGGTTCCCGACGAGCACGAGGAAGAGGCGGTGGCCGATGAGCTCGACCCGCGGCGGGGTCTTGACCAGGTTCACAGCCCCGGCCATGGTGAGTCGGTGTCGAGGTCGAGGTCGGATATGAGATGTGGGGGGGCCATCGGAGTTGATGGATGTCGATATATATGGGCGTGGGCTTGGATCTGCTGTCAGGGGAGTGGAGATGAGACAAGCTCAGCGTCTAGCACAACAGGAGAGGGATGTGCGAGGTACGAGGTGTGGGTCGCAGGGAGAAGGAGAGGGAGGTGCAGCAGGGGACGAAGGGACAGACGACATGTTGGGTGACAGCAACGGCATCGCAGGCTAGCCAGGCACGGCGAGGCACGGCGGACCGCAGAGGTTTGGCATCGCTTGAACTTGTTTCTTGGTGCTGATCCCAGCTGATGGTGCCTGGCTACTCAATTGTCCATGTACCCTTAGCTCCCTTGCCTCGGTCACAATGCCCTTCTCCTCACGAAAGCTTGTACTCAATGAACCCTCAGAAGCTCAGAACAAAGACAACACCGTGACAAGGGTCCACAGGAAAATCAGGAAAATCCTGCGAAATCAAGGCACCCTCCTCACATCCTCACACACGTCTCACACACGCACCACGTTGCGACAAACGGCACAACACGTTATGAGACGTCTAAACGAAGGTGATCTGCTTAACGAACGATGAGCTGGCAGCTCCACATCGTCAGAACGGCATATCGGAACACCGGGCGACGGGGCGCCCAAGTAAACTCTGATCCGCCGTCGCCGGGCTCGTCGCACACGCTCGGCCCTACCAACCCACTCAGCGACCCAGGCGACCCTGCGCTGTTCCGTGTTAAGCTCGGATTAAGCTCGCCGATGGCCGCTGGGCCGTGGTGCTATTGCTAGCTCACGTGCGGTGGAATGCCCACTTGAGTTGTTCGGCGTCCAGCGTCCTTTTCCACGCTAGTGGAGTCGTTCCGAGATCTCATGACATGGCATGACGTGCCGCGGAGCGCAGCACGCAGCATCGGGCGAGAGGAAGCTGCATATAGCACACCGCCCCAGAGTCTGTTGATGGCAGCTGACGGCGGAGACGGCGGTTGCACAGGCGGGTGCCTTTCGACGCCTCTCCGACGCCTTCTCGACGCCAAAAACGTCAGTGCATGCCAGCATGCCAATTCATTCATTGAGGCATCGACCCGACTTCAGTTCACACTGCAGCGGGCCAACTATCGTACACCGGTCTGCTCGTTCCTATCTGCTATCGGTGAGCGGGCTTTGCTCGTCGGAGCCATAGTCTACCGCAGGATTACTGTGGAGCCGCTGTATCCTATCCGCAGTGGGGCGATGAACGGGCAGAGAAGGTTGCGACGCACAGGAATGGGAGCTCCCATTGAAAGCGAGCAGGGAGCCGGAACGTGGTCGGAACATTCTCCTCCCCGTACTGCGCTCGGGCAGACGCGCCGAAGCGGGCTATGCATAGCCATGCATACGATACGCTCGGATGCGAGCGGGCCGGCCCCGCGTGGCTTGTCGCGAGTATGCTTACTGCGCTTCGACGCTTTGGTGAGTCACTCAGCATGCGCGGAGCGCGCACTGTCCAAGAGGCGATTCGAAGTGTTCTCTGAGCATCGAACGACAAGGCTTAAACGTTGTGGAGTAGATGGTTGGCAGGAGGACCCGTCAAGCTCGCAGGCTGGTGCTAGCCACGACCTTAACGTTGCATCAGCCCGGATAGTACATGGAGTGTCATCGATAAGCGGGGTGTATTCGCCGTGCATACACTACCGCGATCTGTGCGATCTGTGCGATCTGTGCGATCTGTGCGATCTGTGCTGTCGGTTCTCGACGTCCAGTAACCGGTGTGCATTGCATCATGGGTCATGCCACACGACCGAGGCGTTTGCAGGAAAGGACCATCGCAGATCTGGGGTCGATCCAGTGTAGCGTTTCGCCATTCATCCGCTCCGAGCACACTTGCGTAACGAGCTGCGCATCCGTGCTGCTCTACCCAACTCTTCCTCTTCTGCAACTCACAACAGCGTCCGCTTTGGTGGACTCGTGCTAGCGGCTTTCCTGCGATCCGTTTTCGGAGGAAACACTGCACCTACCGCGCTCCAGGTGCGACCCCAAACCGCATCCTGGGCGTACGTTGGGTGTACGTTGGGCCGTACGTTAGTACGGAGCTAAGGGAAACGGTAAGGTCTCCATTGTTTGGTTCTCGTAAGCGACCTGCGCTCTGAATGGCGGCAGGTTGCGGCTCACCTCTGCCCAACGGCATATCCACGGCATCCTGCGTACGTACAAATGTCGCAGGCTCGTCGCAGGCCAAGCCCGACTGGCCCGAAGGGAGCAAATGGGATGCGATACACAGCATGGATCATCCCGCACATTGCAGACCCGCACACCCTGCTGGACCGCACCGAACTGACTCCCAGCATACCGCGCAACGTCTATCCGCCATGCGGGTCAACATTTCGGGGTCGATCTCCTCACATAAACCATGCGTACGCACTTAGCGTACTCGTCACCTCCATGCCAAGTCGCGTCATGACCGATCCAAAGTTTCGAAACGGGCAGACGCCCACTGTAGAACTTCGCTCCACGTGCATGTGCAGAGGCATAAGGCGATCAGACACTTCAAGGGACGTACGCACGTCACATGTACGACGCCGCCGGGGTGGCGCCGTCAAGCTTCAACTCATCCTTCATTACGCCTCCCGTTCCGGGCCGCTGCAGTGCGTGCTAGCGCCCGTGGCCATGGGTCGCCGGGCTGGGTATGCTGGGATCTTTTGTCAGTGATGTTCATCATCTCCAGTACTGGCTCGTTAAAGTCGCCCAGCTTCGGGCACGGGAGACGGGGCGATGAGCGGCAGCAGCGGCTACGCCGTCGCCCGCCGCCCGCCGCCCTCTCGGTTATGCATCCACCGACAACAGATGGCAGACGTGGCAGTTTGTGAGCAAAACTTGTGCTCGAGGCGCGAGTGTGAGACGAAACCCTCTGCGAAACCCACATGCGACGTCTGTGTGTCAAGCAACCTTCCGCAACACATGCGAGACGAACCTGCGACACGGCGACGGACAATGTGAGTTCTGAAAGTCGTTGGATACGGCGTCGACGCTGCATTCGGACCTGGCAGGCGCGTCGGGCGTGCAGTGCCTGAGTCATGTTCCTCCTGTTCCTCTTGGCTCTATGTTTGTCTCTGTGCTTCGGCGTCGTAGTTCGTCGACGAGGCGCGTCGTGTTCACCGCGACCGACTGCCCCTTCCGTTCTCATGTCGGGACGAGCGACGGAGCGATGGAGCTCGCTCGGATGCTTATCTGCGTGCCACGGGGCCGACCGGGAGGTACATGGAGTGATAGAGCGAGTACGACGACGGACTACGAATCCGGCCCGGTCTGGGAGTATACTGCAATACAATCGAAAGCTTCACGCATTGCTCACCTGGGAAATTGATAACCTTAACGTCCTCGTCGACCTTCTGACGACCACCGGACGCTCGATATAGAAAATAGAAGCCGAGCGGCACAGGTACGCCCCTCTGTTCGTCAAGCCGAGGCTCTCGATCGGCGCAGATGTCCTTGTCACGCTGCAATCTGGGCGGAGATGAGCTCCTGCTGAGCCCCAACTTTCTCGCTAGAGACGAGGATCTCGAAGTCTGATAAGCTCACCAAGGAAACCACGGCCGAAGGCATGGAAGCCCACGAGCCCGCAAACGCATATGACCGCCATCGATCCGCGTTGCTTATCCACCGCTGCCCATTAACCACTGACCGCACAGATCGACCACGACGGCGATCGGCTGCGCCTGCGCGCTACAGGAGGAGAGCGCGTCGCAAGGCGAACAGGAGGGATGATTCTCCAGGTGGAAGGCACGCTGGCACCGGGTACCCGGGTGATGATCGTGAGCTTGTCCTTCTTTCGACCATGCCTTGAGAGAAAGCACTCCGCTCTCGCGTCTGATGTCTGCTCGACGACGGCGACGTGGGGTGCCTGTATCTGACCGCGTCAGAGTAGACAGGCAGAAACCACCCCAGGCCAGTGTAGACGCGAACCTCTCCGCCTACCAGTCCAGTCTCAATGCCCCTATGCCTCGCAGCCGAGCGGCAGTGGCCGACAATGACAACGACACAGTCCACCAGTTCACCATGTCTCGCAACACCTCTTCCCCCCGAAGCCCGTCACTGCTCTCCCGTCGGTGAGCAGCTTCGCGCTCGCACCCGCCCGGCTGGGGCCGCCTGCGCCCCCACCCCACCGCTCTCGTCAACAACGACCAGGGATGATAGCTCAGTTGGGAGAGCGCGAGAGTGAAGTCTTCTACCGATCAGTTCTTGAGGTCGGGCGTTCGATCCGCCCTCGTCCCACTCGTTGTGACCTCCTGCTCCTCCGCCAGGAGGCGCTTGGATGCCTTTTGCGCCGCCTTTCTGTCACTTTCAGCCGGCACGAGCAGGGAGAGTGGCTGATGACAGCTAGGCTGGGCGCGCGGGCAGATCAGGCGTATCGATCAACGACGATCCGCTCATCCTCACGCACAGCTGCAGAGCTATTGTTTAATTGGAGGTGGCTATGCGGCCCTAGCCCTACGGCCGGCCTACGGCTTACCTCCAGCATACAGAGAGTGTTGCCACCAATGGTTTATCCTCTGGCCCGCTCGTACTCGCTCGCACCCGCTCGGCGTCCGGCGCCTGCGCCCCGCTCCGTCGGACTTTGTCCACAGCGACCAGGGATGATAGCTCAGTTGGGAGAGCGCGAGAGTGAAGTCTATCAATTCTTGAGGTCGGGCGTTCGATCCGCCCTCGTCCCAGCGCTGTGTGCTCTGAGCTGCTTCGAAGAGGCGGCGTAGGAGTCTTTTTGGACGATGGTTGACTGAGGTTGGCCATTGGAGGAGATGGCTGGATGTGGCGCTTCATCTAATCTTTTCGCCCAAAGTGGTACACGGCCTCCCTACAGTATGCCGGCCCGCGCAGTGTGCGCCTGCCCATTACCTCTCTGCCAATCGTACATCTGTTATACATGCTACTGGAGAACCATAGAAACTCCGACTATAAGGTGAGGGACTATACGCAGACGCAAGGAAAAACCAAAGTAGTTGAGAAGCGGGGGGATAGGTAGTGTAGATGGATATGATAGTTGATGCTCGTGTTACAACTCGAGCTAGATCTTAAACTCGAGGGCGCCGACGACACCGAGGCCGGCCAGATCGGCGTCGGACGGCTCGCCGTTGCCGTCTGGCGAGGGCATGGGCTGGAGAGGCTTCTTCGCCGGCGACGGGGGCGAGGAAGGCGTCTTTTCCATGACGCTCGGGTCCGAGTCTGGAGGCGAGGCGGGGGCTGGCTGCGAGCCTGGTCGTGGTGTGCGGGAGATGGACCAGCGAGGGTCGACCCAGCGCCGCAGCGTAGGGCTGAGAGCAAGCATGGCGGGATAGATACTTTGCACTCCGCAGAGGACGACGACGAGGATGAGCGTACTACGCACGTCCTTGCCTGTGCCGCGCCAGATACCATAGTTGATGCTTTCCCAGACGACGGTGAAGCCGATGGACGCGGTCAACGCGATGCTCGCCATCTTTGTCCGGCGGCCCTGGTCGCGCAGCGCGGTCGCGAACAATGTCGGGAAGACGGGACCCTCGAAGAACATTGCAAGCAGGAGACAGGCGAACGAACCCTTGCCAGGCTTCAGCAGCATGGCGAGCAGGGATGTGATGAACGTCGCCGCGCAACACACGTTCAGGATCAGGCGTGGCGTGAAGCCCAGGTAGCACACGCCGGAAGCGATGAATCGGGAAGCCGCAAACAGGCAGTGCCCGATGAAGAGGTCCCAAGAATCGTCCGTATTTGGCCGCATTAGCTGTATTAAGTCGTGCCACCAGTACGAGATCGACTCCTGCTGTCCAACGTAGCACGACATGACGAAGCAGCCGGCGCCGATGACGAACCAACGAGCTGGCATGCCGTAAGCCCGCGCCGATGGCGACAGGTTGGCATTCGCCAATCGCTCGTCCGTCTGCTGCTGCAGCTCCTCATCCGTCGCTTCCGACAGCGGCACGTAGAAGAATACGAGCGCCAGAAGCAGCACAAACAGCGCAACTGCGAGGTAGCACCACTGCACGTCGAACAACGACCCGCGATCGTTCAGGTGATTGAACAACACCTTGGTCGCGAGGATCGGCGAGAAGATGGAGCCGACGGCCTGTATGCCCTGCGAGAAGTTTAGCCGCGCTTCGGACAGGTGACCCGGACCGGCAATGGCAATGAACGGATTCGCCGCGGTCTCGAGAACCGAGAGGCCGATCGCAATGCAAATGTTAGAGAAGAAGAACCCTCCGTACGACACAAGCACCGATGACGGCCAGAACGCCATGGCACCACAGCCGTAGATGACGAGACCAGTCATGAACGTGACCTTGAAACCGTAACGCGGCAGGACGTACAAGCCGAACGTGAGCGGACCGATGATGTAGCCGAGCCAGTACGAGTTCTGCAGCGCGATCGCTCGCGAGTCAGACTTTCCGATGACTTGTAGAATCTTGTCGTTCAGAACGCCGAGTAATCCGTACGAGAAGCCCCAGAGGAAGAAGAGTATCGAGACGAAGAGTATCGGCCACCAAGCCTCCTTCGCCGTGAGCTGTGTCAGAGGCTTCCGGCCGCCCATCTGCACGAAGTCGAAGAAGTTGTTCGTCGGTTGCTGAATATGCTCTGGCGGCACATTGGCAGAGTTGTTCGTGATCCAACGTAACGGCATGGCCATTAGAGACGCCTGTACCTCGCTGACGCGCGAGTCCGGCTTTGCTAATGGCACGCCAAACACGTTCGCTTTCGGCGACACTGGAACGGGTGGCTCGCCTTCGCTCTGATCACCACTAGTGGTCTGAGTCTCGGCGCTGCTTGATGTCGTACCTCCCATCCCTCCTAACGTCGGTATACTCGGTAGCCGCGCACTGAATCGCTTTGACGGGCTGGCCGGCGGACTTCGATGATGGTGGTGGTGGGTATCGGGCGGACCGTTCGCGAAGAACTGCATGATGTCCATCTGGTCCTCATCAGGGACGCCGGCATCCACTTCTAAGATCGCCTGCAGGGGCTGGTTCCGCGGCGACTTGACACCCGGCTCCGAGATATAGCTGTCGTCTTGGTGAGCTCCGCCGCTGCCGCCCTGAGCGCTCCCCCGAGAAAGCAGTGGTCCTGATCCAATCTGTCTTGACCGCGACTGCGACGAGCGGCTCAACGATCGTGGTCGTACCCGCTGGATCAGCGGCTTCATAACCAGTGCACAGCAGCACATGACTCGGACGGAGCATTCGATGGCGGACCACATGACGCCGTACGACGTGTACCAGTAAAAGTTGGGCGGGCCGGTCTTGGCGCTAACAGTGTCGCCTCGTTGCATGGAGATCTGCACGCGAAGCGCCTGCTGCAGGTAGGCGATTCGGACGACATCGACAATGGCCACGAACGCGCCACAAAGGAAGGTGAGGACGAGACCAATCTTGGCATTTCTCTCGATTCTCAGCCCGGTGATGATGGGGAGCGGAAGGATAAGGATTGCAAGGTCGGAAAGGATGTTGACGGGGGCGGACGAGAGGAAGAGTGTGACGAGATCGAAGCACTGGCCTTGCACGGTGGGGTCCCAGGCCGCTGAGATCGGGCGACATTGCTTGGCAGGTCAGCAACGCCCCAAGAGTTTCTCGAGTCGACTCACGAAGATGTTGAGGAAGACCAGCACAATGCCGGCAATGTCAACGATGGCCAGGACTGCATAGCTCGCGTAACGAAGGAACACGTGCGCGCTGGCCATACGAATGTACAGCAACAGCGCGCCGCTCTTCGCCGCCGCCGAGGACAGGTGGTAAAAGATGGGGAAGACGTAGAACGCCTTCTTGAGCGGGGCCCACCATTCTGACTTGATGGCTGTGGAAATAATGAGCGAGGAAGGGGCGAGAGAAGCAATCGACGACCGATAAATTAATTTGGGCGTGAGGATCGGACGTGCGCGCACGGTGTCAGCCGCAGAGCAGGATCCCGAAAGAAAATCCACTCACCACTATCGGGTTTGCCGATGCCTACCGTGGCTCCGTAGATGATCGAGATGTTGAGCGCGACGGTGAACGCCTGGAGGTCAGCGGAAGAACGACGAGTACGGGTATCGCTGAAAGATAAGGAAGACGGTGGCGCCCTCAGCTTGACAGTGAATGCACCGAGCAGCCAGTTCGTGCTGTTTCAGGCCGCGAAGCCTCCACCATCCCGATCGATCGTGAATTGGACGCAGACAGTGAAGAAAGCAGCCAGACTGTACGGCCAGCCACTAGCTGCGACGACGTGGTGAGGCATTTTCGAGACAACAAGGAATGACTGCCGGTGGGCGACTACCGGTGACGCCCTTGTCGCCGATTGAGTGGGCACACAGCCGGCAAAGAAGCCTCCAGTGGTTGCAGATTGTACGATCACTGATTGTCGGGATGGGCGGGGGATGGACATGAGATGCCAGAGGCTGGCGATGGGAGCACAGGAAGTAATACTCACCCAGGCTAGGATGGTGACCCAGTCGTCGACATCGGCTCTGCGTCTAATGGCGAACTTGGAGATACATCGTAAGGCGACGAATACGGTGGCGAGGCCAAGGAAGACGGCGCTTGTGATGAGCACGCGGTTTGACCGGTCGACGAGGACCATGTTAGGACATGGCTGTCACGGGCGGTGGGCAAGTCAAGAGGTCGAAGCAGCAGTGGATATGGGGTGTGACGAGTGTTGTTGAGGTTGTAGGGTCGAGAGAGAGTGGAGAGGTGGATTGGAGTAAAGGTTCCGGGTTGCGAGGCTGGGTGTGTGGTGCAGGCCGGCGGGGTAGGGGCGGGTATGGTGGGATTAGGAATGGGATGGGTAACAATGTTAAGATTATGACTGAATGAATAGGAGACCCAGAACTCGTGCGGTTGCTTCGTATCGGGGGACGACCCCGCATCGAGAAATGGGCCGCCCGCGCAGCGCTCAGCGTCGAGCGTCTGGTGGGTGAGAGCATCTCGGGTCCAGCGGGTCCAGGGCATACGCAGGGTCACGCACCCGCTGCGACCTCCACCCCTCTCGGCTGCCCTTGAACCTGTCGTCCCTGTCTGCTGCCCCAGCACTCCATTGTGTAACAAGCGAATCCCGACCCCGCGAACGATCCTCACCCGACAATGGCCCGCGACTCCCCCCCATTACAACCCCTTTAGTTAACCACCCTCCCTTGCCCTAATCCACCAAGTTCTATTGACGTCCCTCACACTAAACCTCCCACTGCATCGCTGACGGCGCTTACCTGCATCGCATCTTGCGTGGGCGTCTCATGTCTCCTAGGTCATCCGACTTGCTCCCTCTGCACGTGCGTGACACACAGTGACTGCCGTGCAGTGTAGTCGTGCGCAGCCTCCAGCGAGCCCCAAGAGTCAGTTGATAATCAGAACACTGGGGGAGGGGCGACTGAAGCAGGAGTGCGGGGCCCTGTTGCCCGATGCCGCGCGCCTGCGTGAACTGGCAGTCCCTGGGCGCGCCTGGCAGCGGGGTCGGTACCGTCGCCTCATCGCTGCCGTCCTCCCTTCGCAACTGCGACTCGTCCTCCATCCTTAATCGCCCTCTCCTTCTCGTCTGCATACCTGGAATAGCTTGGCCCACGCTGCGCACGCATCGTAATCCCCATCCCTCGTTTCCAACGAACCCTCTTTATCCTGCCATCCCTCACTCGCAACCCTCTCGCATCAGGACAAGTCTGACCTTGAACCAATTGACCAGATCCGGCTCACCCATTCGCTCAGCAAGCATCAGCCATCAGCCCGAAACCAGTCTTCCTCCTCTCGGCCATGTCCTCGTCCAATCCAGTGGCAAAGGCACCTTGCTCAAAGGAGCTCGAGAGAGACTGGTGGCCGCTCGAGTCCAGTCCTGACGTGCTCACCAAGTTCGCTCGTGTAAGTTGACGTCAATGCAGAGTAACGACCAGCCCCGTGACCTGCTCCGCCCCGAAAATGCGGGCTACGGCTCGACGACCGGTTCACCGTGTCGGACCTAGCTCGTATCGGGCAAAGCTCTCTTGACCGGTGCATGTGACTTGAGCATTTAAGTTCGATCGCATGATATCATATTAATACCACGTTCAGCTGACCGCAGCACTGGGATCTTCCCAACGAGTACGAGTTTGTGGACGTCCTGGGCCTTGACCCAGAGCTGCTCAGTCTCGTCTCTCGGCCGGTGCATGCAGTCGTCTTCTTGTTCCCGGACACGCCAACCATCGTTGATCACCGCACCAAGGAAGGCCCGGGCACCCCGGCCGCCAGGGGCCAGGAGCCCCTGTGGATTCCGCAGGTTGGCGTCGGTAAGCGTGGCGATCGGCCAGCTAGCAACTGACTTGAAGGTCACTCGTGCGGGACGTTTGCCGTTCTCCATTCGCTCGCGGCGACGCGGCTCGCACCGGCTCTGAACGACTTTTTCGATGAATGTCTGAGTGAGTTGCAAAAGTCTGTCAGTTGGGCTTTGGACGATGCGACCGCCGAGGCTTTTCGATGCTGCGGAGCTTAGTTTCTTGCTGACCGCGGCTAGCACTTGATCCCGATCGTCGCACGGCGCTGCTGGCCGCTTCACCACTGATCAAGCCGGCGCACATGGCTGTGGTTGCTGCCGGTGATTCCCAGGTTCGCGAGTCGGATTGGGAGGACGCCGACCACTTCCTGGCTTTCGTGCGCCACAACGGCCGAGTCTGGGAGATGGACGGGAACACGCCACGCACCGGTCCGCTGGACCGAGGACCGGCCAGCAACGACCTTCTCGAGGTGAGTCCCACTGTGCTGACCTCCCCAAACGTCATCAGTAACCCTCGTGTTCCCCTCAACAATTAGACGATTATCTGATTACGCCGCTAACCCATTCACAGGACGCTGCGCGCATTATACGAGACGTGTACATTCCCCGGGCGGAGGGTAGCGTGCACTTTTCCACGATAGCTCTGGTTGGGCCGGAAAGTGGCGCCGGGGCCTCTGGGGATGTCTAGTGGTTCAGCTAGTAGACTAGCTACCATGACGCGTGTGGACATGTAGAGTGTGCCGGAGTTGCGTGCTTTCACCCTGGCCCGGCACCATGCCGGCCCACTGGTTCGGGTATGGATCGGTTTTGCGCAGCGTCCAACGCACACTAGTGGCACGCTTCCGCAATACGCGGTGGCACTGGCCGCACGTTTTCTCGAAACTCACAACAGGACGACCTCTTCGGTAAGATGTGAGCAGAGCCGGTGATGCAAACATTTGCATGTATAAAAGAGGGGACTGCGAGGTCTGTCGGCCTCACCAGACCTTCCTCCGACAAGATGCTCTACCTTATCCCCCTCGTTGCTGCCCTCGCCTTTGCGGCGCCTGTCGACCAGCCCGGCGCGGCTGTCCAGGCCAAGGTCGGCGATGCCCGCGTCGCTACCGCCTGGGACCCCACCTTTGGTCTCGAGAAGGCTGCCGACAGCGCTGTCGCCGCTGCTGGCCAGGCTCTCGAGCTTGCCCCCAAGTTTGGCCTCGACAAGACGCACCAGGCTCGTGACCTCGAGGCGCTTGCTCAGCTCGCCGCCGAGGCCGCCGACAAGTTCTGGGGCTCGGTCCCCAAGGTCATCTCCGAGATCGAGGACAAGGTCAAGGAGATCAAGGCCGCGTTCAAGGCCAAGATTGACGCTCTCGACAGCGCGATCGGCAAGAAGTGGGCGGACAAGATCAAGGCCATCGAGGACAAGCTCAAGGCGCTCAAGGACGCCAAGGACAAGATTGACGCCGCGGCCGTCGAGGCTATCCAGGCCGAGATCAAGGGCCTCGAGGACCTGATCAAGGCCGACAAGGACTTCTTCGACGCCACCATTGGCCAGGCGATCAAGGACAAGATCAACGCCATCGAGGCGGGCATCGGCGCCATCGCCGGCCTGTTCCACCTCCCCAAGCGCAGCTTTGACGACGACCTCGCCGCCGCCGCCCCCAAGCTCGGCGAGATCTTCCAGAAACTCGAGCAGGCGTTCGCCAACGGCGACGCCAACGCTGAGAAGGCTATTCAGGAGATTGACAACGCGTTCAAGAACCCCGGAGAGATCGCGCCCAAGCTCGCCCAGGTCGTCGACAGCATCGGCAAGCAGGTCGACTCGGCCCTCCAGGGCCGCCCCATCTACGTCCCCTCTGACTGGAACAAGGGCGGCAAGCTCCGCCAGCGTGACGAGGACGAGGAGGAGACCGAGGAGGACGAGGGCGACGAGGGAGAGGACGATGGTGAGGACGACGACGAGGAGGACGACGGTGACGACGAGTAAGCCCCTCGTCTCGTCCACCTCCTACCATCAGAGCCCCTCTTGTCTTTCTCAACTACTTTCCCTTCATGGACCCCCACACCCCGTGGTAGAGCTAGAGCACCGCCCAGCGGCGCCCCGCCTGACCCCAGTCCCTCTTTGAACCAGTACCCGGTACTCTGAGCCATCAGTATGACTTTAGTCACAATATCAGAAAACCACCATTTCCTAATAGTGCGCGTTAGTAGTCCTGTCTTTTAGCAATAGCTTGATTAGGGCGATGAATCAGTCTTATTGTCGGAGTGTCTGAGCGGGGGTCAAGTGGGCTATGCTGCGGGGAAGACGAGCTTGTGGGATGGTCTGTGGGGTGGTGGGGTAGTCAGAGTCGGCCCTGGTCTACGGCCGCTGGAGATCCGTACATAGTCCCTCGGACTAAACAGGTTCACCGGGTCAGCTTGTCCGCTCCGAGGGAGTTCGGCAGAGGCGCCAAGCGACAGGCAGGCAGCAGGGCGTCAGCCGACGCCATTGGGAGTCCAGTCAAGCCAGTGCAGACGCCAGTGTGATCCCCGACGTCCCGGAGATCTCATCGTACCGGTCGGGTACCGGCCTTAGTGTGTTGGCTGCGATCGAATGTGTCGAAGTTGCTGACCAGCGATGAGTGACCACGAAAGCGACTGACCACCCCGGGGTCGATGGTGGTTCGGCTGCAGAACGCTGCTGAAGCTGGTGACCAGTTCCCGGAGCCGCGAGATCCCACGAGCTACTCAAGGCGTCGGGCACTTTGAGTCAGCTCAGCTGGTGACGGGCGAGAGGAGATGTCGGATGGCTCCGATGTAACGCGTCCACTAGTCAGTCATTATAAGAGGCTTCGATCGCAGCCGTAGTGCATCCGAGCCAGTTGGGCAAGTATCGCTGACAGATCACTGACAGTCTGCTGATCAGGCGACCCACAGTGATGGAGGCGTGATGAGGCGAAAGGTCACCCACACCGCTGATCCTACTCATGAGCCAGACGAGATCCATTCCGGCCCGAAATCAGCCCAGAAGCGACAGAGGTGACCGCCCTCTCCCCAAGAGAGCGCCGCAAGCGCCGCGGTGACAGAACCCAGCAAGAGTGACAAGCCCAAAGGTGTCGCTACCTGGCGTAGACAGGGAGGGGTTGAGTCCCGTGACTGCACCCATCTCTCTCCTCGAACCGCTCCTCAGCCCAGACATCTCGCAGCTTCTCCTGATCACAAAGCTTCTCCTAATACTCCAGCACATTCGGAGCTACACCACCGGCGTTCAACTGTCCATATCCCGCCAAGGATCCGGAGCACACAAGGGCATAAGCCATCGCAAGCCAACCACGGCCCACCGCTTACGCCACAACGGGACGAACCGCACGCCCGGCACGCCTCGTGCCCGCCGCGCGCCGCGCTGTCCCCTCATCGGCGTCCTAGGCGTGCTGGCGCAGCGGCGCCGCTCGGATCATTACGCCTCCATCAGCCAGGTGCCAGGCGCCTTGCTTGTCTCGCACAAGCTCGGATCGCATCCACGTCTCCCATGTCTGCGCTGTGCACCCTAGTTTCTCCCGTGATCGAGCCCGTGCTGACGGTCGTGCGTGCTTATTCGGAGTGGTCGCGATTAGACTGCACCATGATCTGCATGCGTGCGCGAGTGCAAGACTGTCGGCACCCGGTCGTGTAAACCAGAGATGAAGCAAGGGCGAATGTGGTATTGAGATTCTCCGCGCCGAGCAGGGAGGGCTGAGGGCGCACGCCCGGTGCCTGGCGCCATATCTACCCGACGTTGGCCGATATGGCTGATAACGCGACGCGCGCGACTTTTTTCACGACAAACCCACCACACCACACTTAACCTTTACATTCTGGCTACCCACAAGCAGACGACAATGCAGTGCGGCACGCACACTTGGAAGACGGGGTACGCAGCGGCGTCGTCCCCTGACGCCGTTGTCTCCAGCGAAGCACACCCAGATGTGGGGGAGCAGCGACACTCTGATGCTCGGCTGGCTGACGAGCTCCTGAGTGGCGGCCCGTGCGACCGGGCAGCTCCGGAGGAGCCGTGGCGCTGATGCGAGTGTGAGACCGGCTTGGGCTCGGGCACCTTGGCCACCTCTTGCACCTGCACCTCGACGTCGTACGCAGGCCTACTCCGGCTGCAACTGCAGGCATCCCTGTACCACCTCGCGCCCGCTGGCCCCAGTGTCCCCGTGTCCCGTGTCCAAAAGCCAGAGCCAGAGCCAGTGGCCAAGCAGCGGGTAGAGGATAGGTGCCAGAGGGCCCATCTCACTGTGCCGGACAGCTAAAGTTTCTGGCTCCTCTCCACTGCAACCCCTCGACGTACTACCTTACTCTACACCATGCCCTCACTGAAGCGACCACTGCCCGTGCTCATCATTGGAAATGGACCGGTTGGGCTGCTCCTCGCGTACGGACTTGTCAAGCAGGACGGTGAGTAAGTCTTGCCGTCGGGCGAGATAGACGTCAACTTCATCGCCGCCGCTGGCGATCTGAGACATACGGCCTTACAGCTTGACGCTGACACCAGTGCCCGTGATCCTCGTCGCTCGACACCTTCGCCGCCTCGGCGTGCCGAAAGCGCACGCCCTGTCCCCCCGCTCCCTCGAGATCTGCCGACAGCTCAACGTTCCGGTGCATGTGCTCCGAAGTCTTCCCGCGCACCGGGAGGACGCACAGTACGTCCAGTTCGTGACAAATCTCAGCGGACAGAACCTCGGACGGCTAGACTATGAGCGAATGCACGCCGACGTGCTCAACTACTCGCCGGAGATGACGCACAACGTGTCCCAGCCGGACCTGGAGGAGATCCTGGAGACGCTGCTGCTGCAAGACCCGACGACGCAGCACCTGGTCGACTACCGGAAGGGCTGGACGTGGACGGGGTACGAGGAGCGGATGGACGCGAATGGGACGACGTATTGTGTCTCGCGCGTCGAGGACACGTACACGGGCGAGGAGACGACGGTCGAGAGTCTCATGATTGTCGGCGCGGACGGGGCGAACAGCGCTGTGCGCAACGCGCTCGGCATCAAGAGCGAGGGCGAGCAGACGGCCGACGTCATGATGACGATCCACTTCCATGCTGACCTGCGCGCGGTCGTCGGCGACCGCGTCGGTATGCTGCACTGGATCCTCGACCCGGAGGCGCGCGGGTTCATCATCTCGTACGACCTGGACTGCAACCATGTCCTCATCCACAATGTGGCGCCAGACGACCCGCTCGCGTCCTTCACCCCAGACAAGTGCATGCGTATCGTGCGTGCGGCTATTGGGCAGGACGTTCCCTTCGACTTTGAGTGCAGCATGCCATGGATCCTCACCCGCAAAGTCGCGAGGCAGTACTACCGCGGCAACGTTGTGCTCGCCGGCGACGCCGCCCACCAGTACCCTCCCACCGGTGGACTCGGCATGAACTCGGGCATCGGCGACGCGCACAACCTCGTCTACAAGATCGCAGCGACCTACCACGCCTGGGCCGACATGCCCGCCATGTTTGCGAGCTACGAGGCGGAGCGCCGGCCCGTCGCGGTGCGCAACAGCCTGCAGTCGGTCAAGAACGGGAAGAACATCTTCGCCATGCTGAAAGCGCTGGGCACGACGAGCTCCGACCCCGCCATCGCGCGCATGGAGATGGAGCGCTCGCTGGCCGATCCGCGCAAGCTGGCGCACCTCAAGGCGCTGATCCAGGAGCAGGCCGAGCACTTTGACAACCTCAACCTGCACCTCGGCTACATCTATTACAGCGCATACCAGCCAAAGTCAGCGTCGACGTACCACCCGGCGTACGTGCGCGGCGCGCGCATGCCCCACGCGTGGGTCAAATCCAAGCAACCCGTGTTCAACAACCTCAAGCCCGTCGACCTCTCCTACATGGCCGGCGACATCGGCCAGGACAAGCTCCAGAAGTGGCAGTACTCCACGCTCGACCTCGTCCCGGCCGCGAGCTACGTGCTCATCCACTCCGGGTCATGGGGGAAGAAGGCACTGCAGCTCCGCATGCTGCTTGCAGCGCACCGCATCCCGCTCGTCATCCTCGAGGCGGGCAAGGACTTTGAGTTTGTCGACAAGAAGGCCGGCAAGGTGTGGCAGGACGGGTTTGGACTCAAGCATGGTGCGGTGCTCGTCCGGCCAGACCAGCACGTCGAGGCCGTCCCGGGCAAGGACGCAGTGCCCCAGGCCATCGTTGACCAGGTCCTCCTCACGCTGACTATCTGATGTAACTGCCCGGTGTCGCCCGTGGACATGTGGGGATAGATACCCTGTGACTTCTATGTAACTTATGTGTTTGCTCGCTGTCCGAGGGCCAAGGCTTGCAAGCAGCGATTCCTGGATACGGGGCATCAGCAAGCGACTCATCCGCCGGAAAGGAGTCCCGACGGAAGCGGCAGTGCACCCCTTCGCGTCGGCAAGTGCAGCCTTCTGTGATCCACAAGGAACGTTTCGAACACGCCCATCAAGGCCATCTCCCCAAGCACAGGTCCCCAGGCGGTGTTCGGCTTCTGACGACAGATCCGCCCACCTCCCGTCGGGCGCGTCGGGGCCAGACCTCACCTCCCGCGCTTGCTCGGGGAGAGCGCCGCTGACGCAGAGATCCGCGATCCAGCGGATCGGATGCTGTTACAAGATGCTCGCATCGTTGCGCTCGTCGCACAGCATTGCATCAACGTCGGCGTAATCAGCACGGATGCACTGACGCGCTGCGCTGCGCGCCGAGACCAGGTCTCGGCTCGCTTGGCTCCAGCAAACCTCGCTTGCAAGTGATCGCGATCGCGCCGAGTCAAAAGTCGTCTGACCGAACGCTGTTATCGCCGAGCAAACGCGGAGTGGCCTAGTGTGCGGGGGTGACCAGACGGTTGCCTGGTCTGGGCTGAGAGCTTTCACACCCCTGCGTTCTGAAGCTTCCCCGCGTTCCTTCAGATTAATGAACTCCTGATGCCGTAAGTTTGCGCAACGGGCGAGGAGGGGCCCTCGACGCGTTGGGTATAGAGAGCACTGAAGGTACGCGATACAACTGATTCTTTCCTGATTCATACTACGGTCATGTACTTGCCCTCAGCTGGGAGGGGAAGAGCCAAGTGAGTGTGGTTGGTTTGTCCGTGTGTGCAATGTGCGACTCCTCGCCGAGGGTGAATTTGCACTTGAGAGAGGTCAGCTGCTGTTGGACATGGACGGGATGAACGGGTGAACTTCGGATGGTGAGGGAGGGAAGAGTTTCGGGCAGAAGCCCGGGAAGGACGGCAGAAGGCGGAGAGGAAGAAGGCCGCAGAGTGGGTGGGATGCGGGGCAGAGTTGGATGGAATGTGCTCTGCATTTGGTGCGCGATTTTGAGGAGCAGGCATGCCCGAGTAGAGGCTACTCACTTGCTTTTACACCGAAGCGACTAATCCGACGAGGCCGAGGATGATGGGGATGAACGACCACGAGCCGAGGGCAGCCTTGAAGGACGGGGCGGCACCCTTGTCCTTGTCGCCGCCAGTGACGGCCGACTGGCCCGCGGCGGCGGCCGAGCCGATGGCGGAGGTGGCAGCCTGGGCGCCAGAGACGATGTTGGAGGTCGCGGCGGCGGCGCCGGAGACGGCGTTGGAGGTGATGTTCTCGGCGAGGTAGATGGGCATTGCGATTAGGATGAAAGAGAGTAGTGGTGGAGAGAAAGTTGGAGGGGTGGTGGGATCCGATCATGGGTGTGTTGCATTGCGCCCAGATTTATAGCTTTGACAGCCGCCTGAAAGGTCCGGTCTCACCCCTCACCGCTGCTGGCCCCCCCTCGGCCCCAGATCCGCGGCGCCTGCATTTGCGGATCACAACCCTTGGAAATTCCTCTTGCTGCTCCTTGCGTCCTGCCTTGACTGCTGCCCCTCGCGACCGCGATGCGCTCATGCATCTCGCGTTCCTTCGGGCCGCCGGCTGATGGAGCGCGGCAGCCCCAACGGCATTACCATCAGCGTGGGTCGGCGCCGTGCCGTTTGTGCCGCCGTGCCGTGCTGCGCTGGCGTTTGTGTGTCAGGAGACGTGCGATGTGCAACCCTTGGCTCTCTTCCTCTGCGCGTGCACGCAACAACAAACAGAGACAGACATTGCGGTGGTGCAGGAGGTCGATGATGCTGACGAATAGGTTGTCCTTAGTCAGGTACATGACCCTTGAAGGGCAGGTACGAGGTACGTCGCAGGAGCCAGGAGCCAGCTTGAGCTAGCGCCGTCCGTCCCTCCGAGCACCGGAGCTTGAGGGTCCGTAAGTCAGCTGGAAGCGCTAACAACCCAAGGTCTGACGGAAGGGTCACCGAAGTCACAGATTAACAGCTCTGCTGTCAGGCTGTCTACTGCGAGTGGGTCCGAGGGTCTGCGCCCAGAAATAAGCTTTCGCCCCCGTGTTGGAGTCTTATCAGCGTGCCCTGTGGCAGCGTGCTCGAGCTCCTCATGTGCACACTGGCTTGCGTGATGGAATGTGTGCTCACAGTTGCTCCTCTTGGACAAAAGCCAGCTTGCTCCAATGCGCGGGTGACTGCCCCTGCTTGGCTGACATAGTGTCGCAAGCAGTCCAGTGCACACGAGGCAGCGGGGCCGTTTGGAAGCTTAATCTTCGGAATCTCTGCCTGGTTACGGCGAGCGCGCAGCACGCGGGTGCAAACGGCTTCCGGGGAACCAGAAAGCCAAGGAGCAAGCTCGGTGGGCGCGTCACGCGGCATACTCCGGGCTCCGAGTGAATATATTGCGCACCCAAGGAGCATACGGGAGCACTCTCCCAGCGTACGGGCAAACCATGTACGAGAAACTGACGGGGAATCGAGGTCCTGGCGCAAGGAGACTCGGAGACTCTAGGAGGCCGAACCCAACCTTATCGCGCCGCGGCACCGTCGCCCACATGTGCGCATTGTAACGTCGTTAATCGCGTGCTCTTCGGATGCTCGTGAGGCACATGGGCCCGCTGCTGGACGTCGGAGAGAAAGCACGCGCGGTGGACATCGTTGTCTCAGTGTCGACCCGAGAGTTGTTCAGGACAGGACATGCTGCCCGCCCTGGGAGTCACCTCGTCCAACGAATGGACAGGACGCGATGGCCCAGGCTGAGCCAGAAACAGCTCTGACACACCGTCGCTTACTTCGATTCGCCCACTGGTTGTCAGATCTCAGCTGACGCCTTCGATTGTCAAAGGGTCGCATAGGGGAGGTCATGTCGTTTACCAAGGGTCGAATGCGAAACAGTCACGGCGTGTCACCGTTCGAAATTTCGGTGGAGGGCATGCCCAGAAGAAGTAGTAAATGAGAACGTTGAGCCCAAAGTACTAAAACGCACCCGAGAGTAGACGACCGAAGTGCGTGCGCGCTTTCTTCGTTCTGGCTCGTGTCGCTCGCTTCGCTCGTCGTTGAGCAGCAAGCGATCGCTGAAGCACCTGCGCTAGTGACGACGATGGGGTCGTCATGGCGTTATGGCGCTCCGCCAGAGCGCCAGCCTGGGTCTGACACAGACGTGCCTCAGCCGTGAGCAGGGACACCCGTTCGCGTTCCTCGTTCCTTTAACAAAACCCTCCACAAACCCTCTTCCATCCTTCGATCTCCCGTACCCAGCTCCATTCCCCGCACGCCGTAAGCCGTAAGGGTTACCCCGCAATTCTGCACGTTCTGCATAATTAGAGAATCACCCTCCGCTCAACGTCCATACAACGTTTATTCGGATTCGCGATACCCACGACAGGTCGTGGAGCGAGCGTGAATTCATCTTCTCGTTCTGCCTCCGAGAGGCAGACGAATGCAGACGGCGAATTATTGCAGATAAACCTCGAACAGATGAATGGGCCCAATTCAGCGGCGCCGAAGCGCCGAACAACGTCCGCAGTTCTCTCAGTTGCACAGAAGGGTCCCAGACGCGCCAGATGAACGCCGAGAAGACGCCACGGCACGGGGTCGTTTGTAAGTCGTATTGCACACTATGACGCCCATAGCCCACGTTGTGCTCCAGCTCTCCCTCCCGATCCTCCATGTCCCCACCGTCCCGGAACGCTACGGCCCGTCTACAGACTGTTCGCTTGAAGATGCATGCGCACCGTGTGGTCTTTGTGCGATTCTGGACCTGGCATATCTCGGGTGTTCCTCTCCCCTCACGGGCCCCCTGTCACGCCTGCTAATTCATGCTGGAACGTCGGGACTTTCCTCCGTCCTTGGAGCTGCTGATACTTGCTGTCGGAGCGTCGTCGCAGCGGGAGGAGTACGCATACCAGGCCCGGGGTGCCTTCGACCTGTGTCGAGCTCCATGACTTCCAAGCGTGTAGCTCGGTTCGGCCGTTTAGCCGTGCACAGAAGAAGACGCCGAGGACGCCGAGCCAACCGAGCCCCTGTCCCCCTGTCGACCCGGAAACTCACGACTTGGCCAACTACAGCGTCCCCCACACGAACCAGCTCGAGCCAGAAACCTTGCACTCGAGTTCTCGCAGTATTGCTAGACACTCAGGCTCGCCGGACCCACCGGTTCCTCGGCGGGCACATGGGCACGCGGCACGTACCTACGCAGTATAACCGACGTCAACTGGCATGTCGGCGCAGCACGCGCAGAGTGCTGGCCTCTGATCGAGCCTTCACTCCTCCAAGTATCGGCGCAGTTCCCGCTGACCTTCGTCTGCGCCGTTTCGCACGAAGAGAGAGAGGGTGACAAACGAACCACACGATAGACACGCGGAGTGGCAAGACAGCGCGCCATGACCGAGGTCAGGTGCTTGACTGTTCTTGTCAGCCTGGCACAAGGCGTCGGAAAGTGAACCAGATCCGGAACGGGTGAACGGCTGATGTGAGCTGATCGGCACGCGACGAGTGCTGCGTGTCAAGAGGTGAGGACAGGATCGGTCTTCAGCTGAACAGTTAGCCTCGAACATGACCGCAGATGTTGCTGCTTCGAGTGTTGAATGCCGAAACAGAGGTTGTAAACACAAAAATCACATGCTGGGTACACAGTGATGGCTACGTCTCCCGACTACAGACCGTCGCAGTCCATGCCACACCCTCCGCGTCTTACAGCCACTGCTTGCCATTAACCCCCACCCATTCCTGCCCGAGAATGCTCCCTCCTGCCAGCCGAATCGAGTCCAACACATTGCTTGTTGGGCGACAGCGCCCCGCGAGACCGCGCTCGTGGCCTGGACTTGCGATGGTGACTCAAGTCGACCGTAGCCCTCTGCGGAGTGCAGCGCAGTGGACCAAGCTGGCAGTCTGCGCAAGATGACGGGGTCACCAAGGATCACCAGGCTCTTACGCGCTCTGGACAGCGCCACGTTGGCTCGTGCCAGATCGTCCAGGAATCCCGGCGAGGAGGTCGGCGTGGAGTGGCGTGTCGTCGACACGACCACAACATCCGCTTCCTGGCCCTGGAAGGAATCGTCCGTCGACACGTTGACGACGAGCGAGCCGACCAGCCACCCTTCCGGACCCCTGAGGAATCGCTGGCTCGGCTTGTCCTTGACGCACTGCAGCTGGCCGCGGTACGCGGAGATAATCTGGACCGAGACCGGAGCTGGCAGGTCGTGCGCCGAGGCGATCGCGTCGAGAGCAACGATAAGCTGCACAGCAACGTTGGCCACGCCCTTGTTCGCGACGGACAATCCAACCTTCTCATGGTGGGACTGAGTCATCACGAAGGAGACCGGCCCCAGCGCCCAATGCCGATGGCGAACAGCCGTCTTGCGAGGGTTAAGCCATTGCAAGTCGGCGCTGAGAAGGCGGTCGTGGTACGCGCTTTCGCTGATCGTTGCGAAGATGAGGTCGTGCATCCGGCGCTGGGTACTGACTCTCAGTTTTCGAAGTGTCGGGTTACTCACTTCAGGAAGATTAGATAGCTTCCACGCTCAATCAAACGCTGGAAAGTACTGCGCTGGTAACCGACGCCGGCGGCAGTGCGCGAAGTCACGAGGGGTGGAAGTTGCTGGTGGTCGCCGATCAGCACGAACAGCGCAGCGAGGAGTTGCAAGACACCGAGGGGATCCGGCTCGGTAGCGCAGCCCGCTTCGTCAAACACGACGAGCGAGAGCCGAGCATGCACTTGCTGGCGTGTCTTCGCAAAACGACCTCGGTGCTCCTCAGCACAGCCTCGATACGAGCGTCGACCACTAAGTCGTCAGCTGAATTGTCCGACACACGCAAGACTCACCTGCGTCCCCGGTAGCCCAATCGTCGCGCACGACGTAGCGAGCCCACGCTCGCGAGAAGAACTCGCTCCTCGAGCCTCGCCGACGGAACACTACACATTCCCCGTAGGAGTCCTCGAGCAGGCGCATCACCAGCTGGTCCTTGGCACCCTCAACTGGGAGCCCCGGCTCGGCGCACTGCTCGGCGCGGGTAGGTTTCCATCAGCTCGATGAAATCCAGGCTGGATGACGGCTCGACGAGGTCGAGATCCGGTCCGTCCTGAAACTCGGCGAGCTTGCGACTGAGCTCAGCCTTGGGCCCCTCGGAGGGAGCGCCCTTGGCCATGAGCAGGTGGCGCAAACCAACGACAGTGTACGCCGTGCTCAGCCGCTCCGTCGTCTCCTCGGGCAGTCCTGGTAGAGTAAGCGTCAATCCAGGACGAGTGACCCACTCTACCTGTCCTTGGGCTCTTTGCGGCGCTGAACCATGGCCGAAGGGAAGGCGACGTAGGTGTCGAGCTCGACGTCGAAGCGCACCGAAAGCTCTGTCGCCGAGAGACCATTGAATCGGTACTCTCTCTCGACGTCGTCGGCGAGGCTGAATGGCAACAGCTCCACCGGAAGCTCGCACGCCGCCGCGCCGTCGACAACCTCCTGCGCCGTCGATGCTGCTGTCAGTATCGGAATGATGCAACGTTTCACTCACCTGCGCTGCGCAGCATGCTGACGAGCACGGGGAGGCGCCAGGACCGCACCAGGCGGTTCTCCAGCCGAAGTTCTACCCTCGCACTGACTTTGGCCTCGTCGTAGTCTGCCAGGGAGGTCGGCATGGCGGAGGCAAAGCCCAGGTCGAACGGCGCGTGGTGAACCGTGTGCGCGAGCAGCGTCGGGCGCCGAAGACCATGCGGGGCGGGACGAAGTCGATCTCCAGGCCGGAGAGGATGCTCCTGGTGCCGCACTTGATCCAGTGGGCAACCCAGAGAAACACGACGCCGGCCGGCCCGTTCTTATCCGACGGCGGGAAGATGTAGTCACAATCTTCCTCCGCTCGGCACAACACTCTAACCGCCAACCGCCATACGTCTTCCTCCTCGGCTTCGGGCCAGAACACGGTCGGGAAGCCGGCGCTGTTCCGTGGTACGTGCTTGCCCTTCCACTTTCTACCTGTCAGCGTCTGATGTGTGAATGTGACTTACTTGTGCTCCTCTACGAACGTGTCCGAGTACTCCAGCAGCTCGAGCACGGCGTCATCCTCGCCCGGAGCCGGATCGTACTGGTCGATGAGGTCGACGATCGACCTGCTCTCCTCCGGCTTGCTGCGCAGGAGCAGGTGCTCGGGACCCGGGTTGGCGTAGAGCTCCTCGCAAGCCTCCTCGAGACTGATGACCTCGAGCTTCTCGTTGACATTCAAAGATCCTGCCTCATATAGCCCGTGTGAACGCCTTGACCGGCGTCCAGGAGCGGCTTGAGGGCATTGCCGTCGTGCCCTTGGTTGGTCAGGTAGATGCTGCCGATGACAACATCTATGCCGCGACCGTGCCCGCCGCCCTTGGCGAGATTGTACCAAGTAGGTACTATCTCGACTTCGCCAAGCTTGTGGTAAGCGGCGGCGGCGGGCGCGCCGTCGTCCTCGAGAAAGACCTGACGACGCAGATCAAGGCTCTCGCGCATCGCGTATCGGCGGTTGCGGAGGTTCTCGTACTTCTGGCGGACGGCCGAGACCTTCTTGACATCAAGGAGGCACGTGTTGTCAAGCTCGCTCAATGGTGGCCCGCCAGCCAGCCACTCGAGTATGCTGTCAACCATGGCCTCGTTCGTCGTCGTAGATGACTTAGGCACGACGTCGGAGAACGTCGACGCATTCAGCGCCCTGGCCTGCGTCTGTCAGTGGCAGCGGAGCAATCGAACTCACCTCAGCCAGCGAGATGGAGCGGCCAGGTGCGGCCTTGGCGCTGTCGCGACGCTGAATGTCGCTGATCGCCTGGGCCCAGAGGTCCCTGGCGAACTCGCCCTCAACGTAGCGCTGAGCTGTGCAGCTCATGCACCTTCCCTCTCCGTAGTACTGTGCGCAGGACACTGTCCGCTCTGCGAACTCATCGCTCGGGTCGTGCGCGGCAGCCACGAGCTCTGTGTGGCGCTCGCCGACGCAATAGTGCGTGCCGCACTGGCCGTCGCAACGATGGGCAGTCTGCGCCTCGACGCGCTCAAGGAACAGCCTAGCCAGCGTCTCGGATTGGAACTCGCTGAGGCGATCGAGTTTCGCCGCCTGCTGCTGGAGCAGAGTTTCCTTCTCGGCCGAGACGATGAAGTTCTCCCAGACTCTGAGCCGGTCGGCAGGCTCAACGTCGTCAAAATCTTCCTGTACAAGCGCGATCCATCCCTCCCGTGCTTCCTAAGACGAGAAGGAAATAGCCTTGCCGTTGAAAACAGCCTTGAAGAGGTGGCAGTCCGCAGATGGATACTGCCTCAGGATAGGGTCAGGACCAGCTTGGCCAGGGACTCACCGACGCAATAGTGCGTGCCGCACTGGCCGTCGCAGCGATGGGCCGTCTGCGCTGCAACGCTCTCGAGAAACAGGCGAGCCAGTATCTCGGACTGGAACTCGCTCAGGCGATCGGATCGGGACGTCCGCTTCAGCAGCGTCTTCTTCTTGGCCGCGATGAGCCTGTTCCAAGCTTGACCTCGGCCTGAGGGGTCGACCACCTCCTAGGACGTGAGGGAAGAGGCTTGGCCGCTGTAGACTGCGTTGAGTAGTGGCAACACGTTTGCGGACCGCCGAAGTCAGAAGGGGGAAGGCGAAGTCGAAGGAGAGCTTCATCTGATACGAAAAGCTCGGTCGTGGTGGAAGGTCAGGAGATCTAGCTTTAAGATCTCGCAGCCATTGGGATTGCAAGAGGCAGGAGGTATTGTTGGCGCAGTTCGAGAAAGACTTTGAAGATGCGGGTGAAGGTATTGTGAACTGTCAGCAGGGAATTGCAGGGAAGAATGAGCGTGCGGGCTTGGAAGAGCTGACGTGTGATGCATGTGAGCGGAACCTAATGCAGAGCGCACAGAAGCACTCAGAGGATCTGCGATCTGCAGGCATGTAGGCGAGCAGCTGGTCGCGACTAGTGCCTTGGGGCGCAAGTCCCCACCGGACTAGGCTGACACTCTCATCTGCTCTGAGTGAGAACGAGAAGCGCAGAGCACGTCTGCAGTGAACGTGCGGTGAGGCCGGGGTTGCACATTACCGTCCTTCGCGAGCTTCAAGCAAACCATACCGGCCTCATACTACACAGAGCTTCGGATTGCAGCACCTTTCACACCCAAGCTGTTGCGGCCTTCCAGTCACTGTGACCTGAGTACGTGAGCAATGTGGAGGTGGAGGTGGAGGCGAACGGAACCAAATTTTCGTGGCACTGCGGCGAATGTGGCTATCTGCTAACATGGCTGCATCTCCTTATACATGCAATTTTTGCTTAGTAAACACGCTTGAAAGGCGGGACAGTCTGTAAAGTCAGCGTAGAACAGTATGAGAGATGATTGCCCCATTTCTTCTGAGTGTCTCGCCATCGTTCACATAGGCGACGAGGAGTACAATTCCGTCGGTGCCTAAAGGGGAATCCCGATTGCGATCGTGCATCAACGTCCTTGTGACACCCGATAGACGTAGCTGTCATGTCGAAGATGTCTCAACCGGTGCAGGAAGGGGTCTCGCTGCTGGTGCGGCCCTCTAGTCTGGACACCATGTGCCGAAACCTGCGGCGCGTTCGGCGCAGATGAGGGAGGCGGCCTCATGGAAGTACTCCTGGGCCCTGCCGAACCCCCTCATTACCCTAACGAGCGCAACGTCAATTCGATTGCCGCCCGCTATCAACTAGATGAGCGACAGGCGGAAGCGGTAGCCGTTGTCGCTGCGGGTCGTTTCCCGCTTCTCCTCATCCAGGGGTAAGTGTTGGTGGGGCTAATACGGTCGCTGATCTCCGCCCACCCGGTACAGGCAAGTCTAGGACCGCAGAGCATCTGGTTTTTCAGGCTCGAAAGTTGAATCCTGACCCCGTTCTTGTTGTTGCGCCCACCAACGCTGCCGCTGTCGAGTCTGCTTGAGCGGTTGACTTCATCGGCGCTCATGAAGGGACAAGAGATTACGCGGCGGGGACGCGAGGAACACCTCGATGTCCGTACGGACAAATATCGACTAAGAGCGATGATCGACTCCTCAGCACTCAGAGGCGTATGCACGATGTCGTCTGCGAGACGGTTAGCCTGAGCGTTTACGAAGGGAGGCTAAGAATTGCCGATCAGAGATGGCTCTATCCTTGCACCGTGGCACCGTCACTGGGCTCTCAGTCCTCTGTTGTCGTACGGGCGGCGAGAGCTATGCCCGAGACCGAGAGTGGCGACGAATAGCTATCAAGAAGGGATCCTCGTAGAGAAGATGAGAGACTTAGAGTATACATTCGATAGAGAGCTACGGATGATAGAAGGAGCCTTATATACCTATCGAATGGAGATGTTCGAGGCTCGAAGACTATCGTGGACTGTCCCGGTCTCGTGTGTCCATCCTTGGTTCCAATGGAGATTCAGGCGATCGCCGGAGGTACGTGACATCTATTAGCTAGAGACCCCATTCGGCGAAGCTGACAGCCAGTTCTGCCCATCGCTCAAATTCCCTCTTTGCCATCCTGTATTCACTTTGCGGGCAATCACCTCCCTCTCGAGACGATTTTCAAGATCCCCGTTCCAGAGGATGAGGAGGATGACCATGAAGAGCTATGCCCGAGACCGAGAGTGGCGACGAATAGCTATCAAGAAGGGATCCTCGTAGAGAAGATGAGAGACTTAGAGTATACATTCGATAGAGAGCTACGGATGATAGAAGGAGCCTTATATACCTATCGAATGGATATGTTCGAGGCTCGAAGACTTCTCGTGAAGGAGCACGTGGCGTTGAAGCTTGTCTGTCGGAGCTGACCGAGTCTACTGAGGAGTAGGTCCGCACGACATCTGTCCTTCGTCAGCCCTTAGTCCCCGCTCTCGGTTGACGGCAGCTCGGTTCTGAACGAGGGCGAAGCAATCTTGGCCGCGCGGATGGTCGGCTTGATTGGCACCGAAGCGCGGGTGCACGACGCGTCAGCGTCCGTATCGGTCCAGATTGTTGCTGCGTACCGGAGTTAGGTCAAGTGTGTACAGGGCGGACTCGACGAGCACTTCGCAAAGGCCGCACAGTGAACGTTTCCACAGTCGACTCCTTCCAGGGACAGGAGGCAGAAATTGTACTGGTATCGACTACGCGCCATTCCGACGCCCCTTCCTGTTCACGCGGATTTCTCGACGGCCTGTCTCGGGCCAATGAGGCGCTGACCAGAGCTCGGGGGAGCTTGATTGTGCTGGGTGTCTCGCAATACTGTGATAGGAGCGACCAAAGCTTACAAATGATCCAAAGTGAGGTTAAACAATGGAGCGATGCGCACACTGCTCACTCTGCATTCTATCCTACCACTGACCAAGCAGACTCCTCTCAGTCGAGGCCGGCGGGCCAATTCAAGCTCCTCTGGTGGCTTGGCTCTGAAGCCGTCGAGCTTCTGCTACGTGCAGCTATTGAACCACCCCTCATTGCCAACCACAGAGAGTGGAATCGTATTGGGCAACTCTCTTCAGAAGTCTTCATAGCGTGGAGGTATATGTCCATGCTGATCGGCCAAGGGTTAAAGGCTCTGAAATAACGTGATAGAGGCCATACGTCGTAAACATGGTTTATCCTTTTATGTATCTGATCGGTATGCACGTTTTGACAAAACTTGGCGCAGCGCCACTGCCTTCTCTAGCCTCCACAACTATCCCATGCTGATGCAGGATCTCGGTCTCCTCCAGTTGCGGAAGATTTGGACCTCCCTCATCGCGATCAGAACTTTGTGGCAGTCTTGGCATGCATCGGCCTGTGCAGTGATCCAGATTATGATATTCGAGAAGTGGCAGAGACATCCTACTCCGACCCTCGCACATCAATTGAGTCGCGTAGGAGAGACAGGTACACCTGAGTGACGTGTGAGGTCACAACACATTGAAGAGAACTTCCCTATAGTTACATAAATCATACTAACAGACTGGTCCTCGATTGTACAGGCGGGGTGAGCGTGGGAAGGGTGGGGCGGGACGGGATATGAAGTGATAGGATGCGGGGCGGAGCTTCCATTGCCCATGGCCAGCGCCTTGACCACGGTTTGTCACTACTCAGAGTCCGAGCTGTGCTCCGACATGGAGGCTGAGTCATACACGGGAATATCCTGTATGTCAGCAATCTTAGCACAGCCCGTGAAGCTTACCTTCTCCGTCATGCCCATGTCGCGCAGCGTCCTCTCTCTGTTCTTGTTACCAAAGGCTTTCTTCCCTGCCTTGCGCAGGATCCAACGATTCTGCTGTTTCCTGTCCATAGGCATCTATGGGTCAGCTGAAATAAAGTCTGGCACAGAAGGCTCTTACCTTAATGCCCAGCATGCGCTGCAGCCTCGGCGCCGAGTAGCCGCGGCCTCCCACTCCCTTGCCTCTGGGCATGAGATTGTAGTGTCTTGCCAGGCTCAGGAGGTTGTTCCTCCGCAAGTCGTACACAAGCACACCGCCGATTTTAGAGGCAGCTGAGACTGTCAACCAGGTTTGTTTCGATATAGGACTCACGATATCCCTTCGCGCCGCTCTTCTTGAACTCGGCGGCCTTCTTCGTCACTTTGGCAGCCCGTGCCTTTTCATCGCGGGCAGACATCTGCTCGAGCCTCTCCGTCTTGCGACCACTAGGCATCGCGTGATACCGTGCGAGCCATTGGCGGTTAACGCGCTCACGGTCGGTTACGAGGAGCGCTTTTCTCCCGGGGGTCTTCACATACTTGGTGCGTGTCGAAAGTGCATGCACGCCTTCGCGAAAGGACAGATGCGAGTCGCCCCCCACCCAACCGTACGCTGAGCGAGGACGGCCGCTAACCCTGCTCAGTATAGAGTCATCGTTGATGGTGCCGAGCCAATAAGCGATGATGCCCTCAGCAAAGTGTGCGAGCAGGACAGCGCGGCGGAGCTCCTCCTCGTTGCTCGGAGAAGGGACCGCCAGCGTCCCGACAATCTCGGGAAAGCGGTGATGAGGTCGGTTTGCCCGATACAGATCGCGGAACCCTGTGCCAGGAACCAAGCGCAGGGCCGCCTTGTAATGGTCGCGGCGGCGGCTCGCTGGGGCTCCGGTGTGACCTGAGTAAGCAACGTTAGGGACGGTGGGTGGGGCTGATCTGAGACGACGAGCCAACTTGAGATAAGCAACGACAGCGTCGAGGCGATAACCACCAATACTCGCCAGCTCGTCGGCGGTGGGCATGGGGCCACCATTGAGACTGCGAACCCAGAGCCGCAGGAGTTTCGGGTTCAGGTACTTGAGGAGACCATTGACCAACTCGTCTCTTGCCTCTGCAACGGAAGCGAACAGTAGTTTCCCGCCCAGAATGGCCCTCTAGGCCTTGCTGGTACCACTATCGTTGCGTGCTGTATGAAATAGAGCGTTCAGGTCGCGACGCAAGTCTTGTCTCTCTTGGTCCGACATATCCTCCAGCCGAAGCGGAGCGATCTCCACGTGAGCGGTCTGCCTCGCGCAGGTCGCCTGAGTCGTCGAGGTGGCCGTGGTCGACCCATCCCTGTAGCGCTCAATGGCATCATGCACAGTCTGGGGCGTTACACCCAGGCCAACAGACCTTGGGCCGACTGTGGGAGCGACTGCATCGTAGTGGAGCGTGTCGGGGTTGTAGACGACCCAGAGCGGCGGTCCGACGACAATGCCGCCGAAGTCCTCCGAACGGTATACTTGCGTCCCCAGACCCGTTACCACCACGACGTTCCGGCCGTATGTAATCGCTGCAGCGATGAGCGATCCATGGTCGCCGAACTCGCCTTCGTGCTGCAGCCGAGCGATGCATTCTGCTGCCTCCTCGTCATGCAACGGCTCGACGAGGTTGGCGAACGCAACTGGATTCTCTCGCATAGTGGCGAAGGCGGCCGCCCGGACCTCGGCGTGTCGTGTGGCGTCGCCCCACAGCTGATGGGCTATCGCACGGTATTGGCAGTTGCCGTCGCCGGCCATTGGAACGACTGCTAGACCGGACTCTCCCAGGGCGTTGATTATTCCGCCCTCCCCTCCTTCCTCGCACATGTCGTTCTGGAAGTCATCGACTTCCATATCCTCCACTTCATACTCCTCGGCTTCATCGTAAAGCTCGTCCGAGAGGGAGTCCTCCTCGTCGTCGGGACTCGACCAGCCGAACTCCGAATCGTCCGAAGGGTCTGGAGACGTGCGGCGACTGTCGCCAGCCATGGCTTAGGGATTTCGATAGAATGAGGAGAAAGCAAGGGAGAATGATATCGCGAAGGTCAATCGAAAGTCCACTTGATCGGCGAGGGGGAAGGAAGACACAATGAGAGAGAAGGGTGATGGAACGAGTTGTTGCCAGTGAGGTTGTTGAGCGCGGACAGAGTGTAGTCGGCGTTGACGGAGGGAGATGGTCTTGTTGGGGGAGCGTCCAGAGGGAAATTGGAGGTACTGTTAACAGGCGTGTCCACGGAGTGGGAGAATGTGAGTGGGCGTGATGTGCCGGAGACGGGATTGCTTTTAAGCGCGCAAGGCCGGAGAAGGCGGCACCGCTCGTCTGCTCGGTAGAGAGTGTAGCGGTACGAGTACTGGGCAAGAACAGAGGAGCCTGAACTACGCAGTGCCTCTAGCACTTCGTTCTGGACCCTCATCAGGCCTCAGCTTACGAGGCTAGCGCTACCGCCAAGTGGCGGGCGGCACGCCGAGGCTTGTGCTACGTATAAAGGCGAGCAATTCACCAAACTCACACAGGTCTGTCGGGCGGAGTGCGGGCGGCCCCCATTACTGCGTGTCAGGGCAGATTAACGAGCGAGCGACCACCAGAGATCTGCAGCAACACAGTGGGAGGTCTGAACATTAATTGTCTCTGAGCTGACTCACACACAGCGCGGGAAACACACCAGGATTATCAGCGGCAGCATCAGCGAGTGATACGTATCTGCCGTGGTCTGTGTGACGATATCTGCAAGAGGAACGCGCGACTGCGTGGACGACAGAGCTGACGAAGGGATGAGACCACACGCCGCTAGCTGTCGTGCCTGCGCCCCGCGCCCTGACCTACTGATCTGCCACACTCCAGCTCGACATGTGCCTTCATGAACGAGGCAACTAGCGTCTCGCCAGCTGCCCTCGTGGTATTGTGAACTGCATTCACCTCTTGCGATTTGCTGACGGACCTCCGATAGCGTTTTGCCACTACTTTGCAATGAGGAGATGGACGCCCAGTGCAATTGCGATGCCTTGCATTCCCGTTCGACCGAGTTATACCTGTTAGCGGGTGACAGTCCTGACGTCCATGTGCGAGAAGTCCGCCCGGTATTTGCGCAGGTCCCCCATACCGCTCGCATATGGTCCCTGGCTCCAATGACGCTCGCCCGTAGCCGTGCACTCAGATTGTCGTGATCTGAACTCTGGTACATCTGCTGTTATAGGCAAAAGTGCTCTACTACTGTTTTTTGGCGACTCTTTCGTGTTCTCTTAGTAAACACGCTTGAAAGGGGGGACACTGGCGCACTCGTTCTGGTCCAGCGTATTGTTCTGGACTGCGCGGTACTGCAGTTCAATGTCAGGCTTGCTGATATCACGGTGGAAAGAAAGAGTGTGTCGTTGCCACTAAAAAAAAATCAGTCAAAATCACATAGTCACTGTCGAAACCCGTACTCACGTTCTTGTCGTCACGGTCGGGGAAGTCCTCACGGGCGTGGGCACCGCGAGACTCCTTACGAGCAGCAGCAGAGACAACGGTCTGCTGGGCGCAGGTGAGGAGGTTGTGGAGCTCGATGGCCTCAACGAGGTCCGAGTTCCAGATGAGCGAGCGGTCCTTGATGCCGATCTGGTCGAAGGTCTTGTAGACCTCGGACATCTTGCGGACACCGTCGTCGAGCGACTCCTGGGTACGGAAGACGGCGGCGTCGGTCTGCATGGTCTTCTGCATGGCAGAGCGGATCTCCGAGGTGTGCTTGGGGCCGTCCGAGGTGCGCATCTTCTCGATGAACTCGATGGACTCCTTGCCGAGGGTCTCGTCGTAGGGCTTGTGGGGGGTGTTGGGGGCGAGGTTCTCGGCAATGTGGTTGGCGGCGGCACGGCCGAAGACGACAATGTCGAGAAGAGAGTTGGCACCGAGACGGTTGGCACCGTGGACGGAGACACAGGCGGCCTCACCGGCGGCGTAGAGACCGGGGACGACCTTGTCGTTTCCGTTCTCGTCCTGAGTGATGACCTCACCGGTGTACTTGGTGGGGATACCACCCATGTTGTAGTGGACGGTGGGGAGGACGGGGATGGGCTCCTTGGTGACGTCGACACCGGCGAAGATGGCGGCGGTCTCCGAGATACCGGGGAGACGCTCGTGGAGGAGAGCGGGGGGAAGGTGAGAGAGCTGGAGGTAGATGTGGTCCTTCTCGGGTCCGACACCACGGCCCTCACGGATCTCGACGGTCATCGAACGCGAAACAACGTCACGGGAGGCGAGCTCCTTGGCGGTAGGGGCGTAACGCTCCATGAAGCGCTCACCCTTGGAGTTGAGGAGGAGACCACCCTCACCACGGGCACCCTCGGTGATCAGGCATCCGGATCCGTAGATACCGGTGGGGTGGAACTGGACGAACTCGAGGTCCTGGAGGGGGAGGCCGGCACGGGCAACCATGGCGTTTCCGTCACCGGTACAGGTGTGGGCCGAGGTACACGAGAAGTAAGCACGACCGTAGCCACCGGTGGCAAGAACGGTCTTGTGCGAGCGGAAGCGGTGGAGGGTACCGTCCTCAAGGTTGATGGCGATGACACCAACGCACTCGCCGTCCTGCATCAGGAGGTCGGTAGCGAAGTACTCGATGAAGAAGTTGGTGTCGTGACGGAGCGACTGTCCGTAAAGCGAGTGAAGCATCGCGTGTCCGGTACGGTCAGCGGCACAGGCGGTACGGTAGGCCTGTCCACCCTTGCCGTACTCGAGCGACTGACCACCGAAGGCACGCTGGTAGATCTTGCCCTCCTCGGTACGGGAGAACGGAAGACCGTAGTGCTCAAGCTCGTAGACGGCCTCAGGAGCCTCGCGACACATGTAGTGGATAGCGTCCTGGTCACCGAGCCAGTCCGAACCCTTGACGGTGTCGTACATGTGCCAGCGCCAGTCGTCGACGGTGCGGTTGCCAAGGGCAGCGTTGATACCACCTTGAGCAGCGACGGTGTGGGAACGGGTGGGGAAAAGCTTGGAGATACAAGCAGTCTTCAGTCCAGACGAGGCTGCATCGTTAGCGCGTGTGGCAGTCTTTGACGTTTCTGCAGCCATAACTTACCGAGACCGAAGGCGGCACGGAGACCGGCACCACCGGCACCACTAACGCCCGTCAGTTACCAAATCACAGCTCCTCGGGCCGAGGGCCCCTTTGCGATAACTTACACAACGATGGCGTCGAACCTGGAGACTGTCAGCTTTCTGTCGCGATCGGGCTGATCAAGAAGCAACGGCGGCAGTTCTCCGACGACCCCAACCCCAGTCCAACACAAGTCTGTGCACCGGTTGAAGCGCGACCCGGAATCACGAGGGCGCCGGAGGAAAAGCACGAAGCGCTCCGTCTACTCACTCATGGTCAATGACGGGGTAACCCTTGTGCTGGCCGAAGTTCTAAGCTGTCAGTACTTGTCCTCTTGAACACACGGGCACGAGACCAGCCGAGACATGTCGAGCGCTCGTTGAACAGCCGAGCATTTGACAAGGTTGGTTGGGCGGGGCGACTAACCTGGGCCTCCTGAGCGCGGTGAGTCTGGCTGGCGACGACGTAGGAGCGGGTGCTGCGGGCGGCAAGGCTGGCGGCCTTGGGGCGAGGAATGGCGCGCGAGAGGCGCATCATCTTGGGCAGAGGTAGAGGAGTGGGGAGGTGAGGTGGAAAGGGAGGTTGAAGCGGTTCGAAAAGGGTCGGTCGGGGTGGTGGGAGGGGTGTGTGTGGTGCCAGGCGGAGAGACGGGGCTGAGGACGTCCTGTGGACGCGGAACCAATTGTCCATTTCACCTTGGATTTCTGGCCTGCAACTGTCATCCTCGTACCGTGGTTGGCCCACCCCTCGCCTCGGAAAAGATCGGGGCTAATCCCCGCCTGCCCGCTTACATCCAATGAGCTCCGGCGCGTTTCACAACCAGGTTACACTCCAGGCCGAACTCACCACTGCTCAACAACTCGAGTCCTCGCTGCCACATGGTCGATCGGCTCCAGGAACCGAGGTGACTACGCGACCGCTGCCCCGCTGGACCCCGCTGATCCCGTGACCCCGGGACGGCGACGGCCGCGTCGGCCCCGACGGAGCAGACAGTGGTATTCGGGTGAACCACCCAAACCACAGACAGCATCACCACACACACACACATAAAACGAGACTCGCATTTCGTTGGGGTGAAATGTTGATACATGCATGCTCTATCTATCTGCGGGGTGCTGCTATCAGCACATGCTATTCGAGCCTGAACGCTTCATTACGGCGACACTGCCCAGCGTTCAGGCCTCTATGGGCGTTTACTCAATGTCTCCTGCTGTCTCGCTTCTGACAAGATACCGGTTCCTTCACCACTCGTGCAGCAAAACAGACTTAGAAGACCCAGTCTGCGTCCGCCTCAGCTTCCGCCCAGGGGAACTTTTCGCGGCTGCATCGTCAGCTTCTAATCTGAGTGAACTACTCACAGAGTCTTGGAGAAGAGCTTCTCAAGGGGCACGTCATACTTCTTCGCCCAAGCGACCGTGAGACGAGGGTCAATGTAGTTGATCTTCGATGTGCCGAGGGCAACGTCCTTGAGCTTGTCACGGTCTCCAAGCTGGACCTTGGCAGTGGCGATGCGGTCGTCCAGCTTGCTGATGGCGTTCAGCAGTCGCTCCTCCGTCATGTTCTTCTTAGGCTCGATGGACGCCTTTTTCCGCTCCTTCGCCAGCTGCTTGAACTCGTCCTTGATCTCCGCCAATCGCTCGTTCAGCACCTTGGCGCCCTGCGGCTTCTTGCCGTCCTCCTCGAGCTTGACGTTCTCCTTCTCGAACTTTTTGCGAGCATTCTCCATAGCCTTTTCCTTGAGCTCCTCCTCGTGTCGCTCGATAAACTCATCGTCGACATCGGACTCGTCCTCGGCAAGCTCAGGGCGCTTCTTCTTGATCTTTGGGTTCACGTTGAAGAGCTGCTTGCGAAGCTTCATGCGCTGGTACTTCAGAGCTCGGATCTTGTCGTTGGCCTTGGCAAACGATTCCGCAAAGTTCTTGCTGACGGACTTTTGATGGTTACAGAGAACGGCGACATCACGGTTGGCGGTGTTGTAGGCAGCGATCTTCTCCGCGACAGTACCGTTCTTAGGTGTGTTCTTGAGCTGCTCTTGGAAGGTCCACGAGGCGTTGTAGGTACGGAACACCTTGGCGGTGAGACCTTTCATCTGGTCCTGCAGCCACTTGTTCAGACCAGTAGTGGTCAGACGGTCGAAGATGTCGTCGCCAGTCTTCTTTGGTTCAGCCTTGAACAGCTTGATGTTCTTGAAAACCTGGGGCTCGACCTCGACTTCCTGGTGAAAACGCATCGAGTCCTTACCGAGGAAGTCGAAGATGACCTTGTTGGGCGGCTCGAGAGTGACATGCTCGTAACGGAGAGAGCAGCAGCCAACAGTGTCTGCTTCGTCTTCACCCTTCTCGTTACCCGCACGGAGGGCCAGGCGATCGATGAAGTAGAGCGCGGTAGCACGCTGCCTGTCGGCCATGACCTTGCTCTTCATATCGGTGTTGTAGATGCGGCGGATCTTGTCGACATGCTTGATGAGCTCACGAGCCTTCTCGAACTTTGCACGGTCGCTTTGACCCTTCCAAGATGAGGCAGCAGAGAGGAAGACGTACTTGGACTGGCCGTTGACGTTCTCCTTCCAGTGCGCCAGCCAGGTGACAGTGTTGTCATGCTGGATGCCCTTCCACTTTCCAGGGATGTTCGGAACAGGGATGGGGGCGTCCTTGCCGATGTTGATCACGATATCCTCAGGGCGCAGACGATGCTTGAGCGTACCCTTGCGCGGGTGCTCACCACGGCCACGGAACAAGGAGGGCGGCTCAGCACGGAAGTTGCCGGTCTTCTCCTTGCGTCCGTCGATAAGAGCGTACATGTACGGCTCCTCCAGCTTGTCCTTGGCCTCCTTGATCGCCTTCTTCTCCTCCTTGGACAGAGCCTTCTTCTTCTCCCTCTCGCTCTCAAAGTACTGGTAAATGTCGGAGAAATCGCACTTCTCAAGGCTGGTAATCTTGACACCTTCAGCGGGAGGATACTCCTCGCACATCTCCTTGAAGTCACGGAAGAAGTTGGCTCGGAACACCGGATCCTTGGCATGATCGGTCTCGATCATTGCACCGAAGAAGCCGGCGACTTCCTCGGACTCTGGAGGCAGAGTGACGGGCTTGCCGTCATACTTCATCTTGACGTTCTTCGGTAGCGGGACGTATGGCGGCGGGAACAAGACACCGTTATGCTGGAAGGTCGTCCACTTGACAGAGTTGTCCTCGTTCTGGTTCTCCCACCACTTGAACATGTCTTCCTCCTCCTCTGTCTTGCCACGCTTCGCGGCAGGCTTCTTCTCGTCTTTGACATTCGGCTTGACGTCCTTCTTGGCAGACGCGGCCTTGCCCTTCGGTGCGGGTTTCGCTTTGGTGCGGGCGAGAGGTTTCTCATCATCGCTGCTCTCAGGCTCGGGCTTGACCTTCTTTGCCGCAGCTCTGTTGGAAGCAGGCTTGCCGTTGGCCTTCGGCTTGGCCTTCGCCAGAGGTTTCTCGTCCTCGCTAGACAGGTCGCTGTCTGAAGACTCAGCCTTGCGCTTGGGCACGGCCCGTCCTCGGGAGGCGGGCTTGCCGTTCGACGCTGCCGCACCCTTGGACGCTGGCTTGCCATTTGACGCTGGCTTGCCCTTGGAGGCCGGCTTCGCGCGAGACGGTGGCTTCTGGTCTTCGAAAGAGCTTCCGTCATCGTCGTCGTCCTCATCGTCGCTCTCAACGATGCGACGCTTCCTCGCATTCGCAGCCGATACGCGGGGCTTCTTTGCCTGTTGGTAACGTCAGCTGCGTGTGGTCGACATGAAATTAATGTTTTCCCTGACTCCAATGACGGAGATCGAAGTTCTGGACGGTACGAGTGACTCACGAGAGGCTTGTCGTCTTCGTCGCTGGACTCGGCGTTCACGCGCTTGCCGTTGGCGGCGGGGCGGCGGCGAGCGAGAGGGGCATCGTCGTCGCTGCTCTCCTCTTCATTGACGACAGGCACGCCGGCAGCGAGTTCCTCAGTAGTGGAGGCGAAACCCGGGGCCTCCACTGCTACTTCGTCGGAAGACATTGCAGCGTACTGCTATGCAGTGCAGGGCAAATATTGGAGAATGGCGGTAGGGGGAATAAGGAGTGAAAGGCGTCGCGGTGGAGCAGGGGCAGGTCGATTGCACAAAGGAAGGAGTGTGTTTGGGGAGCGATGAAGAATGGAGATGGATTGAGAAGGGACGCGGGGCGGGGTGATGATGTCTTTGTTCTATGGTGCGCGGTGCAGCGTCCACGGGTGACATTTGGTCATTTCACGGCTAAGTCCTGGCTCAGCTTCGCGCGCCTGCGAGCCACCGCACCCTCAGAGTCATTCCCAGCTTCTGGGCCCTTGGCCCACTGCCCGCGTTGGCCGCGCTGCCTGCCCAGCCTGCCCACTACTGCTTGCTTGCACTGCCCGCGCGACTGAGTCACCCCCTTTCCCGGTTGCGGCGGAAACGGAGGCAAATAAGCCTTAACGAAGTGGCGCTAAAGACTAATCGACCGAATTGCCGGCGGTCCTAATGCCGTCAATACACCTTCCAACTTGGTCATTTTTCCCCCGTCTTGAATGGACCAGCCAGCCAGCCACTCCTGGACCCGCGTTCTCTGTCTTCTTCCGGCTTCTTCCTTCCCCATCCTACATGCTCTCTCCCAAGCACTTCGGCCGACCGCAGACGTGCGAAGGCTGGTCCTTCGTGGCCATAATCGTTCTTGGGTTCTTGCGATCGCCGTTGCAAGTATTGATAACTGGGCCGTGATCCACGCCCCGTGATGCATACCAGACACTCTCACTACATGTGACGTAGATTGTGCGCTGATCTTGGCACGCGAGGCTATGCGGCCAGGGGCCTGAGTTTAGTGGCTCAGGCGCTCAACGCGCGCGGTGGAGGTCGCTCGGGGCGACAGCACATCAATCTCCAGATCTCCATCTACCCCGCAATCCATCCCGCATCGAGCATCGAGCATCCCGAACAGGCCGTAGTCCGCTATCGCGAGCCCACCAAAAGCCCGACGTGTCCAGTGCCCACATCCGGCAAGCATCAGCAGTACCACCTCCCCGCGTTACCACGAAAGCGGCTCCGGTTACTTCGGTTTTCACCCTTGAGGAAGCATCGCCATGAACTTCCTCAAGAGCGTCACTTCAACGGTCCTGAACTCGACAGGAGTCAGCTTCCCCTTCACGATCGGGGAGCGGATACCCGGTATCGAGGCGGGTGCGACGATCTGGGATATCCGTGAGGGCGTGAAGAAAGTTTGTGCTCGTTACATCGCAAGAGCATCGCTGACAGCAGGACGACGGATCACCAGTGACGTTGTTCATCTTCGATGCGACACTCGGACCGCTGCAGCCGGGGAACAAGGACCGAAAGACGCTCTTCCAGCTGGCGCGGAATGCGCTGAAGAAGCTGCGCACGATCCGACACCCCGACGTCATCAAGTACGTCGACTCTGTCGAGACCGACACACACGTTTACATCGCTACGGAGCCGGTGCGCCCGCTGCAGGGTGTGCTGCGAGACTGGGGTTCAGGAGGAGCGCTCGCTAGCTCAGCCGCCAAGAGCAAGGTCAGCAAGGACGCTTGGTGTGCATGGGGAGTGAAGAGCATTTCCACTGCGCTGGCGTTCCTAAACTCGCCGCCGCTCTCCCAGCACCATGCCTATCTGCTCCCCTCCACTGTGTTCATCACCCCTGCGATGGAGTGGAGACTAGGTGGATTCGATCTTTTAACGGGTATGGACGACGGAAGCGGCGTGCTCTGGGGTCTCGGCGGAGTTGCGCCGGGCAATGCGGGTGACTTCTCGTGCCCAGAGGTGCAGAAGGGTGGCTGGGGAGTTCTGAGAGAGTGGGTTAGGAACTGACTTCATGATGACTGACAGTACAGTACGGACCCAGCATCGACCGACACGTACATGCTCGCGATGTGGCTATTCTGGCTGTACAACCCGGAGAAGCCCCTGCCTCGGCTCTCTGCGCCGCCAACACCAGCAACTGCCGGCGCCATCCCGAAGAACCTGTTCCCGCTGTGGAAGCGGATGCTGACGCCGAACGCGCGGACACGACTGTCGACGGCGAATTTTGTGCTCGAAGCCGAGAGCTGGTTCAAGCAGAACCCGCTCGTGCAGCTGGTCGAGGGACTGGACGGATTCGAGCTTCGGTCGGACGGGGAAAAGCAGGCTCTTCTGAGCGTGATCCAGGAGAGCGCCGAGGCCGGCTCCCTGCCAGAGCCGTTCCTGGTGCACCGCGTGCTGCCGTCGCTGCTGCACTCGCTGTCGCTGCAGAACGCCCCTTCGTCGCTCATGCTCCCCATCATCCTCAGCATAGGCAAGCAGGTCCCGCCCTCTACGTATGGCAAGGTCGTGCTTGAGCCGGTGGTCAAGTTGTACGCCTCGCCGGACCGCGGAACGCGCATGGCGCTCCTCGAGGGTCTGGACCAGTACGTCGACAAGCTCGACAGCCGGACGGTCGTGGACAAGATCTGGCCGAACCTCATCACCGGATTCGCGGACACGGTGCCCGTCATCCGCGAGGCGACGATCAAGGCCGTCTACCCGCTCAGCGGCAAGCTCTCGGACCGTATCCTGAACAACGACCTGCTCCGCCTCCTCGCCAAGATGCAGCAGGACAGCGAGGCGTCCATCCGCACGAACACGTGCATTCTGCTCGGCCGGCTTGCGCCCAACCTCTCGAGCAATACGAAGAAGAAGGTGCTCGTTCCCGCCTTTGCGCGCAGTCTGAAGGACCCCTTCGTGCACGCGCGTGTTGCGGCTCTGATGGCACTGATGGCCACGGTCGACTGCTTCGACAAGGAGGACATTGCGACGCGCGTGATCCCGAACATGGCCTTTGGCCTCGTCGACAAGGAGAAGACTGTCCGCGACCAGGCCTTCAAGGCCATTGCCATGTTTGTCCAGAAACTGGAAGAGTATGCCGCAACCCTCCCCGTTACCGTCGAGGAGGACCGGAGCGGATCCTCGACTCCGGCGCCGGGCGTGCCCCAGGCCGGGCTCGTCACGAGCGCAGCTGGTGCCGCTGGCTCTTTGGCTGGATGGGCATTCTCGAACCTCTCCAAGCAGCTCAGCAGCGGCGAAGCCGGCACGCTGTCCGCGCAGCCTGCTGCGTCCCTCTCTCCTCCGCCGTCGATGCCCGCCTCAATGCCGGCTACACGGCGGTCGTCCCTGCCAAGCAAGGTCGCCTCCTTTGGCGGTGCGACAAAGCTCTCCTCGGGCCACGGCATGAAGCTGGGCGGATCAGGGGCGAAGAAGCCGACAACGTCGCTCGTGGACGAGCTCGCGGGCGAGTGGGACGACGGGCCAGGCGGATGGGGCAACGACGACCTCATCAACGTGAATGCGGACGAGGACGACTGGACCGCCTTCGAGCAGGCTCCGGTCGACATTCCCGCCCCGGCCCCGGCGCAGGATTACTACGTCAAGCCTGCGAGTCCGAAGCCCGCGCCCGCCAAGCCGAAACCGAAACCGACACCCGCGGCGCAGCCCAAGCCTGCTCCGGCTAGCCCGACCATCGTTGCGCCGAAACCTGTCAAGCCCTCTGCGCCCGAGCCGACGAGTCGGCCGGGAAGCGGCAGCTCGACGCCAAACCTCGCCAGCATGAGCAAGGAGGACAAGGAGAAGGAGATGGCGCGCAGGCGGGAGGAGCGCAAGGCGCGCATTGCGGCGATGAAGGAGCAGAAGGCGGCCAAGGGCAAGTAGGTGTTAGGGTATACTAGTTAAATGCATGACATAGACCGGTAAACACTGGACCAAGGTCCGCTCGTGCTCGCGCTGTACTTTCCTACAATGTGTCTCGTTCCGGTCGCACCTCGACCACCTCCTCATCACCTGCCGAGTGACAAACTACTGACTGGTCCACTCCCTACAATCCGAGCTGACAGGGCGCCTACCACCGCTCCTTCTCGTCATTCTCCGAGTTGCCGCTGAGGCTCTCTGGCGTCTGCTCGCGCTGTCTGCGCATCTGGCGGACCTGCTCCCACTCTGCGTCGAGCTCTGGGTCGGCCTCAGAGCACCGCTCGAGGTATCCCTCGGGCACGAGGCCCTCGACGCCGTCGCGCAGGCGCGTGCCGACGACCCAGCCCTCGCCTCCCCCGCGCCCGCGCACGTCTAAGAATTCGCCGACCTCGATTGCGATCTCGTTGATGCCTTCGGGATAGAAGGGGTAAGCAGTGCGGTATAAGCCGTCGGGCTCGCCCTCGTCACCGCCGTGGTAGTAGATGTCGTCCGGGCCCAGCTCCTCGTCCTCGCTCCAGTAGTCCGATGCACTGTGGTCCGCCACGTCCTCGTCGTCGCGCTTCGTCCATGAGCCCAGGCCAAATGACAGTCCGGTTGATGGCTGCTCGGTCGACGGTGACGACGAGCTGGGGCCAAACGAGGCGCCGAACCCGAATCCGCTGAAGCCCCAGCCCTCCTGCGATGTAGGCGCTGATGGGGTCGACGGCTCGGGCTCGCCCTCGCTCCAGTTTGAGCGCGAGCGGTGAGGTCCCAGACCGACGAAGCGCAGGTCCGTCATGTGGAACGCGTAGTCGCGCACCTTCACGCGGCGAGACACCGCCGCCTCGGCCACAAGCGCCGGGTTTGTCGCACGGGGAGTCGCACTTCCGCTCTCGTCCAGGCTCAGCGCATTCAGCGCAGCCAATGTCGCGGGCGTCAGGGGCGCGGAGCCAGACTTCGAGCCGGTGGATGAGCGGTTCGAGCCAGGAAGCTTGCCGTCCTTCGATGTAGGTCGTGATCTGCCCTCGGCACTGGCGTCAGGGCCGTTGATGAGACCCAGACCGTGTTTCTTGCTGTCGTCGGCAACGACTGAAGGCTGCTCCTTGGGGTTCTCACCGACCTCAGGCTTGTCGACCTTGTCGGGTTCAGCCTGTTCCTCCTCTGCTGTTTCTAAGCCGGCGCCCATTGGGGCTGATGTCGAGACTAGGCCGAGTAATGATTTTGGGCGCGCCTTGATACTTCGTCTGCTCGCTGTTGAGCAGCTCCGATCCCGCGTCTGCGAGCCAAAGGTACTGCCGCTCGGGGAGGATCCAAAGGTGCTGGCGTTGGGACTCGTGAGGCCATGCATACTGTGGAGGCTCGCTGTGGGGCTGTCCAGGACTTGCGACGCTGGTCGCGAGGGCGCTGGCGATGGCGGGGCTGGACGCGAACTCGTTAAGGAGGAATTTGATCGCGGCTTTGGCAGCGACCCCCGGCGCTGCATCCCCACGGCCTGCATGCCTTGAACCCCCTGAATGGACGATCGTTGCAGGGATAACGGACGCATCCGCACTTCTGGACTCCGCTGCTCCAGACTGTTCAACGACGGCACGACGGGGGCCGACTTGGACCCGCCTGTTGTTAGCTCAAGAGGGATCAACAACACACGATTAGGCGAGGCCGGCACGGTCACGTCCGTCATGGCTCGAAATGATGGGGAAGCAGGGTCGCGGTCGATGCGCTAGATTGCAGATTGCTGTGGCGGGGTAGGGTATGTATGCTGGGTGGGACGGGCGGATGGAGCCAAGCTGCTGTGGATGAACGAAACGAATGCACTGAGTCGATGATGTAGGTTGTTGTGGTCTGGTGTGACGGGATGGTATATGGTCGGGAGTCAAATTGAGTGTTGGAGAGTGTAAGAGTGTGTCTGGTGTGTGGTGTATGAGCGTGTGTGGCCCCCTAAGACTTGGCCGCCTGGTTGTGTTCCTGGCGTAGGCCGAGCCATTCCCCCAGCGCGTGGAGGTACGTTCTCTTGCGGGGTATGTATGGCGTTTCGGCTAGCCCGCGTGTGCAACTAGGACAGGACGCAGTCAACTGCCCAGGTAAATGATGCATGCAGAAAAGGAACCCATGCTTGACCATGGTCGGTCGCTCAAGTAGTCGCATGCTCGACCGACCGCGGGAGTGGGTGATGCACGCGTGGACGGGCAGAGGTCAAGTGAACGGGTGGGGAAGACGTCGGCTGGAGTACAGGCAACAAGGGGAAGCGCGTTTGATCACAGGCCCGTAGGGCGACGACATGACAAGACTTGCAAAGGCCGCAGACCGCAGAACCCGCGGAGAGCCGCGCGAGCTGTAGTGCCGCAGAACCGCAGAACCGCAACCCGCAACCCGCAGGCTGTCGCAGATGAGCGCAATGCGCAAGTCTTGCCTGAAAACAAATCACGCTGACAGCTGACGGCTCACTCCCGCGTATGACCAGCAGGGCCTGGCCCTCTGACCGTCTCCTTCGTGTGCACTTGCTCGGTAACGACCGTTGACACACAGAAAAAGCTGGCAACACATCCCACCCGAGTGCACCTCCGCTTTACATTACCCCAAGGTCGCTTCCCACCAGAGTCAGTCGTGCAAGTCTGGCCCCGATGCATCTGCAGCCGCTTCGCTCTAGGTGACTACTCATGCATACAATCAACTTAATAAGTCACAATACAATCGAGTCTCATGGTGACCCCCGCAAAAACGCATTCGTTTCAACAACCATCCGCCGCACAACACCGTGCAATGACGTTCCAGCGCGAGTGCGCTTTACTTTTACTTTTTGATAGGTTGGATGAACAGAATACGATTGGGTGGGACTTTTGATGCCTATACAACAATGGAGGTATTATACTTGAGTGTGGTTTTTGGTCGTTGATGACTTTCAACGAGTCATGCTGCCGATTGTCTCGACGAGGTCGTCAACCGTGGCGATCCCGTCGCTTCCAATCGCTGCACTTCGCTGCGTTCTACGCGATAACGAAGAAGTCGGAGGAACCAGGGCGTACGTTGTCGTGTTGACAGGTCCGTGATGGCCCCGCACAGTGAGGGCGAACTGCTCGGCAGTTCCGTTTCCGACCAGCATCTTCATGTCATCGACACTGCCAAGCCCGCCCTCAGCCACTGGGACCAAACGCAGACGAGCCAGGTCGGACTTCTTCGTGCGGAAAAGATTTCCACGGTCGGCCATAGGCTGGGCGATCAGAATAACGTCGTTAAAGATCAACATGGTGTAGACGTCGTCGCGACGAGCTTTGCGGATGGAGGGTGACTTGCTGGGGGGAGGCGTCCCGTCGGAGGAGATAAGCGAGGCGCCACGCGAAACAGGAGGGCGACGCGGTAAGGAAGACGCGAGGGACTGAGTCGACGAGGTGGCTGAAGTCGCAGAGGATGTGGTAGTGGTAGAGTCACGGGTGGACCGGCGGCTGGGACGCTCCTTGACCTCGGAAGCGTCGGACGAAGTGAACCCGGCATAGGCGGCAAGGTCGGTGGTGCTGGCTGCGCCCAGAGCAGATTGAAGAGACGAACGAATGTTCTTCAAAGTGTGGGAGCGGGTGAAGTGAGCCCCCGGATGCACCACCGCGTCCTTTGCGTACGCGCGGACAACCTGGGCATGTCCCAAGAGGCGACGGCCACGAGTCGCAAGCCTAAAGTCGAGCGGCAGACCGTCACAACGCTGTTGAATGCTAACGAGCTGTTGGAACTCATCCTCCCGTGCCTTGCAGGTCTCAAGGTGTGAGAGAACGGTCTCGGTGGCTTCAATTAACTCAGAAACAGCGGCGTGGTCGGGGTGGCCCACCGGAGTGGCGTCGAGCAGGCGGTGAAGCATCAAGGGATACTTTGTCAATCGCTGAATAGGCTTGAGGAGCATGCTGGTCAGACCCATTGCGCCCATGGCAGGGTTGCGAGTCTGCATACGGAGGAATTCGCCATAGTTGCTCATCTCGTTCCGGGTCTCCTCGTCCAGGAACTGCGAAACGGGGTGGAACGAGGCGATGTACGGTTCATGGCAGCTGAGCTTCTCAATCCAAGGCCGCATGGCCGTCACGAATTGGCCAACCTGCACCGTGCCGTTCGTACGAGGAAGACCCTGCAGTGCCCTGGCGAGCTCGTCGTGGGTGTCCGTGAGTTTCTCGAGCAGATCGAAGAGCTCGCAAGCGTGAGTGGGAATACCGGACATCCAGACTCCATCGGGGGTCTTGAGTGGGTGGGCGAAAAGGCGGAGAACGTCACGGCATGATCGCACAAAGGCATGCTCGGTTTCACAGAACTCGAACATGACCTCCTGGCGTTTGACCTCCTTCTCTCCGTCCTCCTGAGAGACAATGTTCTGGTAGATGTCGCTGTCGTTGAGGGCCTCCCGCCACGTGCGTCCGGTCTCGACGCGGGGCATCACAGGCCGAGTACTCTTAGTGTAGCCCGTGTGACGAACGTGGAACGACTCCTGGCGCTGACGAGGAGGCTGAGGAGGCTCGCGAACCTGACGAGCAGAGGCTGACTTGCGGAGGCGAGAAGTCGAGCGAGCCAGTGCCGATGTTTTGGGCGGTAAGAGGTGGGTACTGGAGGCACTTGTCAGCGGGCCAAGCTTTCTTCGGCGCTGCACGAGGCGTAGTGCTAGCAGGTCGGTCCACCATGGGGAATGGGGGCGAGATCGACCGCTCGCGGTTGTCGTCATCATCATCATGAACAACCGAGATGAGCGACCGGCTAAATGACTTCGACTTGCTGTGACCCCAAGACTGCGAGTCCGTGTCCGACTCGACGGGTGAGCCAAGGTCTGGGCTAGTTGGGGTAGGCTCATCGACCTCAAACTTGCCATCGAACTTGGTGCCTAGAGATAACTCGAGCTGGGGAGGAGGATCGCCAGGGCACGCCCAGAAGTACTTGCCAGTCTCATCGTGATGCGGCTGGTCAACGATGCTCCACGGTTGGGCAAAGTCGAGGTTAGCGACAAGCCCGCGAAGAGCGTTGAGACGACGCTTACGAGCGCCAGTGGGTGACGGCTCTCCTGAGCTGGGCGACTCCTTGGAAGTTGGAGAGTTCGTCATCTTGGCGCCGAATTCGAGGGTCTTTTGCGGAGGAGACTCCATTCCGTCTCTAACGAAAGACAGTCGGGGAGCGCCGCGAGACGACTCGCACACGCGAATGGAAGGGCCAGAGGGGTGCGAGTTCGGAGTCGGGCATGAGGCGACCGAGTACCGACTCGCGTTGGCGTTGGGCGAGACAGGCAGAGGGTAAGCCTCAGTGGGCTGCTTGGACCAGCCATAGCGTTTGGAGGAATGACGACGAACTGGTGAAGTCGTCCAAGCTGATCGCGTAGGCATCTCCTCGTCGGTAGAGGAGGTCAGGGAGTCGGGTCGCACAACGACGGGGAGAACGCTGGGCGCAGGTCCTGCGATTTTGCCACCGGGGCCGCTGAGCCTTCTAGGCCAAGGGCTGGCAAGGCCGTCCGACGACTCGCAGGAAGACTCGACGGAGGAAGCGCTGGTGTAAAAGGAAGCTTCGGACTCGGAGAAGGGACCAAAGGCTGGGGTTGTCGATGATGAGTGGGCGCTCGAGACAGGGGTCAGGAGATTTGTATCGATGCCGGACGACATTATGCGAGGGAGGTCGGGCAAGGAAGAATTGATGGGCTGGGAGAGCTTTGCAGCGATGCCGGTGGCCAAAGAGTAAGAGCGCGGTGGGGCCTGTTGCCTTGACATCGTTGGAGCTTTTGGGGAAGCGGGCATGGTCGAATGAGAGTGAGAATAACGAGGGTTGTTGCGAAAGAGGTCGAGAGCACAGACAAGGAGTGTGCTGTGAGCGGGGGAGCTAGGTGCTCTCTCGGTCGGGGCGTGCCAAGGGTGGCCGTGTCACTGGAAAAGAAGGTCGTTACACACCAGTGGAACTAGCCGAGTCGTGCAGGACCGAGGATGAGGTGAAGTGTGCTGTCGAAAGCAGACGACAAACGCTAACCCGCGAGCTGCAGACGTGTAGTGGGCGTGGTGGGATCGAGCGGATGATCCGGTGATCAGATAGCTGGGTGGAGGCTTTGGAAGGAAGGCGACAATCACTCTAATGAATGGAATGACTGGCGGGTTCCGTTGAGACTGTCGCAGGCGCAGGTGTGGAGCCCAGAAACGAGAGCAGGGCAAAGGTCGCTACCGATGCGTCTAGCTGATCGTTGTATGATCGCTAGGTGTGTGACGTCGTCGGTTACGAGGTCGAGGATCGAGGATCGAGGACGGGTGCGAGAGTGCGAGCTGAGTGAGACTGAGGGGTGTGCTGATGTGCTGATGATGGGAGCGTAGGGCAATGGTAATGTTGACGTTGATTGTACACGAGGTTGATGAGAGAAAAGACCGGGTGTGGGGGTTAAGTCGGGGCGAGGGAAGACGAAAGGGGAGGATCAAGCACGGTGCTCTGGTGGTGAAGGATGACAAGGGAGGAGAGATGGTGAGCAAGGGGAACAGGCAATAATAAGAAGTGGGAGTCGGGAGATTGCTAGTGGACGGCTGAAGAGAAGAGGGGACCGGGCTGTCGGAGAGCTGGCCAGGCGGGTTGGGAGGGGTGGTCGAAGCGATGTTGACAGGAACTAGCGATTGTCCACTGTGGTCGTCGTAGTCGATGGTGGTACGGTGGTGGTGTGCACATGCTCCAGATAGAGACGCTGATCCAGGATTCTCAGGGTCCCGAAAAAGGTAAAAACAACCCAAAGACCCCTTTTTGCGACCTCTGCCCAGGCCATCTCAGATATCATGCCTGCGCCCCCTGAGATAATGTTCTAGACTTATGTAAAGGGTCAAACTGCAATAAGCTTCCGCTGGCCATGCCCTTCGCGAAGTCATACGCCTCCCCAGCGCCCCGGGGCGTGCGCGCTCTTCACCCGGACGTACCAGATCCCCGGTCTACCATGCTTCCAAGCCGTCCAGGCCCGACCCCCGAAATCCTCTGCGCTCGAGACTGCTGATAGCGATGCTCTCGAACCCAGTGACCCTCTTTTTTCCTGTCCTCAGGACAATCTAGGACAAACTTTTCGAACTAAAAGACGCCACGGCACACACTCAAGCGTCCTGCGCATCTGCGCACCGACCGCCTCGCCCGTCACCCGCATCTCATCAGCATGGCAGTCGACGCTAAGTGGAGCCAGCAGAGTCGAGAACTTGCCACTGCTGAGGGTCCTTCCTTCGGTTAGCCCTGGACACGCTCTTAGCCCTGGACACATCCACTTCTCCGTTCTCCGAGCGTACCAAGAGTCCATGGGCCAGTGGGCAGTGAATGCGCAAATGCGAGCCCGCCTAAGCCGTGGCCAGTGCCCGGCGCCAGCCGCAGCAGCCAGCCGTGGCTGTGCGTGGCGGCCACAGCGAAGCCACTTCAATATCGCCTATTTGATCATGACCACTCACTGGCATACAACCGGGCGATGACTAAATGTTACAGGCCAACAGAGCCATGGTGGAGTGGCCCTTGCCCTCGCACGCCCGAGACGCCCAAGTTACGACATACTTAACGCCCAGTGCTGCTAGTAAGACTGTCGCAGGCCCACAGGTACCACGAGCGCCAGCGCCAGCGCGCCTCGATGCCGTTAACAACGGAAAAAGAAAATACGAGGTGCTCTCAATGCAGCTCTACCGTCGTAATTAACCATCAGCGAGTGGCAGCGATGGGTCATCGTCAGTCACCGAATTACCGTTCTTGTCCTCAGCGCGTTGTCCGGGCCGACCGGATCGTGGTGCAACCCTCGATTCTTCACAGAAGAGTGTGTCCACTCCTGAGACTCTTGCCAGAAGCCATGTCGTCGAAAAAAGTTGAGGGTTATGCGGTCCTGATTCATCATGACGGAATGTAAGCCGGTCGAAAAGAGGGTCAGGTATACTCTCACACTCGTCTGCTGCATTGCTACCTCCACCTTCATCCTCACCCCGCCCAGCCCCCGCCCAAGCGCTGCGTCCGAGCACCTGTGTGTCCGAGATCGTTGTCTGAGAGCTCCAGAGGCCGAGAGTTCAGGCGCCTGAGGCAAGTTGCCAGCGGCCAGGTTCACTCAAGCCCAGCCAGGCCCGTCAGGTTTGTCAGGTCCAAGGCACGACGAGGGTCCTCTAAACCTTGCAAGATTTTCGTTGCGGGTCTTGCGACACCTCATCGTCTACGCGTCTACGACTGCAACGCTTATAAGACACTTTCGGAGACAGGTACGCATGGCCCAGCGCACACCCCGCAGCATGCAGCAGTCAGTCCCACCGTACGCATGCCCCAGTTCCTTTTCCCTCCTGTTTCGAACTCTCATCTCTCCAGTACTCAGCCTCGTTCCTCATGAGTCATTGGTTGCGTTCCGTTCCGTCTAAGGCTTGCTCACGGCAGCCTCAACGTTTGACACAAGGTCAGCTTCGAAAGGACCTTGATACCAGTAAACGACGGATAGGCTCTGGGGTCAGGCCGAGGTCCATTTCGCCGAACATGAAATTGGCCCGCAGGCCGCCAACCTGACCCAGACATCGCGGCCCGACAATGCACCCAGGACGCAGATCCCATTCAAAGGACGGATCGGGAAGGTAGCGTGTCCTGCTTGTCCTGGCCGTCCTGGCCGTCCTGGCCGGGGCTGGGCTCGGTCATGTCCGCGCGTTGTTTTTTTCGGCCTTCACCCAGGAACGTAGGCCCGCTCGCGTGGACGGTCGCCGATGCAAGCGGTACAGGTTCCAGAGCTCCCAGAGCAGCGCAGCACGGCAAGTCCAGGATAAGATGGAAGCAAATTTCCTTTATTTGTTCGTAATATCACAATCAGAACACTGGTTCCCGAATCCGCGCTGGGCTTCCTCAGCATCGGGACCCTCTCGTTCGTGGCTCACATGGCAAAACCTAGCTCACCGGCGGTTCTCTCGTACCGAATAGAAACGGCCGGTGACCCCCGTTCTCAACGCCATCATCTTCGCTCCACGCCAAGATCCATGGGCGTCTGACTGGTTTTGTCGACTGACGCGCTCCACTTAATGACTGAAATAGCTCAAGCTACCCGATCCGGCGACGGCCCCCTGGAATCCTAACTGGCTCCAGCAATCCAGCTGGGATGCAGGTCATCGGTGACTAACTGCCCGCTGTCAACGGGCCGGGGGGTTGTCCTCAAAATTTCAGCATTCTCACCCAGCAACAAACAAGCCGAGCATGGTCAGCAAGGCACGCTGACCTGTCGCGTGTGCGTCGTTGGTGTCCTCGATGCCGAGCAAGGCCGCAGGGCGGCACTGCCGGGAACGTCCCGGCTGCCTGGTCTGGCACACACCGACATGCACCCTCCTTCGCCACGATCTCGCGTGGTCCGACTTCGAAGCTCGAGACTGGCTTTCGATTGCCTGCTGCGACTTTCAGCACACCTGTGCATGGAGTGTCTGGCCCACGGCCCACTCCACGCAGTGCGCAAAGGTGCACCCTTCAAACTCTGCTGAATACAGCCTCTGATACGGGTTGGTCGCTTGCATGTGGCACGCCATCCGCCGTTTGTTCGGCACCATTTAGACGTCCAGACTTGGTCAACAGTAACAGCTCACTGAACGCTTAAACCGCCTCAGAGTGTGCGTTGTGCCAACTCCCAACGTGATTGAAACCCTGCGAGACAGTCACACCTGCGTCGCGGATGCAGAGTATCACATGCGGGCTGTCTCGGCCCCCTAGCTGTAAACGCTTGCGTACTTGTCCTTCAGGCTTCAGCTTGGTCTGGGCGAAGGATTATATCATTTGCGCACCTGGCAAGCTCGCCACGTACTCTGCTCTGAAGCAGTTACGGCCGTGACCTGCGGAAAGCCAACTCTAACTCGCTCACGTGTTCCCATTTTTTCTACTCCTGGGCCAATGTCACGAGCGTCGTGCTTTCGGTCGTCCACCATTGGTCATTGACAGCCTTGTCTGTTTATGGACCTTCACTGACCTTCTGGGGTGCTTATCGAGTAGACGACGACGTCCAACACAGCCGGTGGGCATGAGTGTGATACATGTATTGTTGCGCGAAGATGAAGCAATTCACAACGTAGTCGCAGATCTCCAAATGCAAACCTGGCGGACCTGGAGGACCTGACGGTGTACCTAGTCTTCGATGCTACAGTCTGCCTTGGCGAGCCGATGCGGCTCCGCCCGCACCATCGGCGATTGGAGTGACCGCTGATTCCCAGGAAGTAAACATAACGCCACATCATCGACATTATCGACATCATCGACAACCACCCACACTGTGTACATGTGTGCATATGATTCTAGTATGTGTAGCAGACATTGTTTCACTGACTACTGACCGCGGCGAGTGAGCCACGCGAATGCACCAGAGAGTGTTCGGCCGCGCCCCCCTCCTCCACCGTCCTCGCCCGAGCTCGACTGCTCCTTCTCCGAGCTCTCTCCCGACTCCTGTGTTGTCTCGAGGGCTAGACGGCTACGGTTCCTCGGCCTGCTCCCGCGGGGCAGAGAGCCGTGGCTCCCATGCTCACTCGCGCTGGAGTCACTCGGTCTCAGCGATGGGGCACTTCGAGAGGCCTTGTCGATAGCCCCGAAGTCGTTGTACAGCCTCACCTGCGGCCGGTCGGCGCTGCCGATACTTCCAAGATCACCCAGGCTTCGCGTTGCCGACGGTCCGGTGGAGACATTACCCGACGACATGGTCCAGTCCGTGTGCGTGGCGTGGCTGAAGGTGCTTCCTGTCGGCGTTGCTGTCGTCGGCCCGAACGGGCTCAGCATCATGTCGCCACCCACCGCGCCGCCTGTTGTGATAGCCGGTGGCGCTGCGCGACGCTTGACGCCGCCGAGAGGTTGGATCAAACCCCTAGCACCTGGCCTGTCCTCGAGCTGCATCTCGGACTCTAACGTCGGCTGTCGGACCTCAATGGACGGACGGTCCATCGATGGGCGATCCATCGACGGCCGCTCGTACGATGTGCGAGCGCTGTCGAGCGAGGCGCGCTTGTTGGCGGCAGCCGCATTCGCGGCAGCGGCAATATACGCTGGCATCGAGCTGCGGGCAGCGGTACTTCGTGCGGCTGGTGGGGCGGCGCCCAGCGGCCACCTTCGGACAGGACCGGCGGGACTCTGACCTCGGCCCATTCGAGCGGGACTGCCACGACCGAGGGACGGCACACGACCCACGGTAGCATCATCCTCGTCGTAGGCAGCATTCTCGTATGGGCCGCCGAAAGTGTCGACACTCGTGTTTGATGCGTAGCGCGGTCCACGCCGCCGCCGGTTCATACCGAACTCGGCCAGGTCACCGGACTCGGCTGACTCGTAGTAGCTCGAGGCCGCTGAAGCATGGGTTTCCTGGCTCTCGTTCGGGTGCATGCCAAACGCGTCGCCAATGTTGACATTCACGCCGGCACCGGTTGCTATCGGTCCTCCAATGCGCGGCGTCGGCATCGGCGTGCTCTCCTCCGGGATCGTGCTGACTCGGTTGCTCCTCGTACTCCGCGGGAATGACCCTTTGGAGCCTTTACTACCCGAGCTCCATGAGCGACTACCGCTACTGTTCGAGCCGAGCGAGCCAGAGCCAGAGCCCTTTGTGTCGGCTGTCATATACTCGGTCTCGTGGGTCGAGGACGAGAATCGGTTCCTGTCAAACGGTGGGTTGAAAAAGAGGTCGTCGTCCTCCATGGAAGACTGCCGCGCATCGCTGCTGCTTGGTTGTGTACGCCCCCCGGACGAGTTGGCATGCGACATTCGCAGACCCAACCTTGTGGAGGACGGGTGCGACGTGCCGAGCGACCCTTCGCGCTCCCTGCTTGCCGGGGAGCCCATGCCGATGTGCTTCTCGAGCGTGTTGCCGCTGACGTTTCGCTGCGCGTCTGGCGAGTTGAGCGAGTCGTGAGAGGCCGACGGCGACGAGACCTGTCCTCGACCCAAGCTACGCAGGAGACCGATACCGCCCGCAGCGGCACCCATGGTCGTGGCGGCGAGTCGACCAAAGGATGATGTACTAGCGTTAATGGACGCGAGCGAATCGCCAAGCGATCCTGTCCGCGACCAGGAGCCGTGCCGGGATACCTGTGACCCGTTCCGGCTCGAGCGAAGCAACGCCGACTGCTCGTCGCTCACAGTTGACTCCGTGCGTACGCTCCGGTCGTCATCCTCGAAGTCACGGATGTTGGCAATGGGCCCACCGAACACCTCATCGCCAATCTGCGGCGGACGATCGTGTATCCGGACGCCCCCTGCTCCGACGCCGGCGATTCCTGCCACCCCTGGGTGACCGAAGCTTCGGTGCTTCTCGTATAATACCGGAGACGAGGGGCCGTCTGGGTCGTCGGTAGGAACACCGCTCCAACCTTGCGGTGCGCCACTTACGAACGAGTCGTCCGAATCGTAGCGTCGGTCACGCCGCTTATACCAGAACAGCGCTAGGATGAGTAGAATCAGCCCTACCCCCAGCACGGGGGCCACGACCGCGGGTACTATGACACCAGCGTCGGGAGAAGAGTCCTTGTCTCCTCTTGGCGCTGCCGCCCCCGCTGACGATGACGATGGAGCAGGTGAAAGTGGCACACGCGACGACGAAGATGGAGAGGATGAGGGGGAGGAAGAGGAGGAGGACACCCGCGAGAAAGATGATGACTGCGACGAGAATGAAGAGGAAGTGGAAAGGGAAGAAGACGATGCCAAAAGCGAGGATGTGAATGAAGATTGAGAGGAAGATCTTGAAGATGTAGGCGAAAGGGTTGATACAGATGCTGAGGAGGAAGATAACGAGATCAGCCCAAAAGACGAAGAATCCGAGCTTGAGAGGGAGGTCGAAACGGTCGACGATGTTGACGATAATGACATCGATGTTGTTGATGATGACGACGACGACGAAGACGATGGTGACGGCAGGGCAGTCGTAGACGACGCGGACACCGAGGATGAGGACGCGGAGGATGTCGGTGACGTCGGCGTCGAGGTCATGGATTCTGAGGATGACGAGGCGGACTCGGAAGAAGACTCTGCGGAGGACGACGCACTCGCCGAAGCTGTCTGCGAGGGCATGGAAGAAGCAGGGGATGAGGACGCTTCCGTGCTCATCGAGAAGTCTGAAGATGTGTTGGTGGCCGAGGAGCTATCTGAGCTCGCCGTCCCGCTGGTAGTTGTCGTCGCGCTTTCGGTGCTTGGTGAAGAGGATGGGGGAGGAGAAGACGTGCCCCCAAAGGCCCACCCGCTCGCCATAGGGATACTCGGGCCATAGTCTATGTCGTCAGCTTGTTTTCTCTGCCATCGCCCCCCCCCCGACTACTAGCTCAGTTCGGGGACCCTCAAGAGACCTCTGGTCTCGGGACAATAATCCATCGAGCCACAGTGTTATATCAGGAATGCTCAAGATGAGGCGTCCAGGTGCACTTGTGTGGAAAGGGTCCAATGGCTTATGGGGTCCTCGATGTCCTGTGCGTCCCGTCGGGGATTGATTGCGGGCTCAGGCTCGCGTTTGTTTTCTTTTTCGATTGAATTGACTGTATGACTGTGGACAGGTGAACTCACAGGTCAGAGGTAAATTGACAATCTGCCCGGTAGTCACTGCTTCGCCTCCGATTTCCGTCACGAACTGGTAAACAAGTCAGCGCATGAGCCTCACAGCGTATCGTACCGATGACCAGGACATCCAGTCAGGCAGCTCTTGGCCGTCTGGTGTAAACCCCGCTCTCTTGTTGGGGGGGTCAGGACACCCGACAACAGCACACCATAGTCGACGAACCATCGTCGTCGACGGCGTTTTGTGGTGGTCTTCTTTAAGGCTATCGTGCTGGACGTTGCGGAGGATAGTCGAAGACGTAGATGGCGCCCGCGAGGCGTCAGGTTATAATGTGATATGAGCCGTTCAGATCGTCATACGGCATAGATGGAAGTAAGACTGTTTAGAAAGTGCAAAGTCATGAACGGAAGTGTGTACGTGTTGAGGATAGTCAATTGACACTAAGCATGCAGGCGCCGAGCTACCGAGGTTCACGGAACGCCCTTTGCGTTGGGAAGGTTGACGACGCTCTCAATCTCGGTACTGTAACGATAGGGTCTGACGAGAACAATAAGGGAACAATGAGGGCTCACGGCTGCCCAAGCCAAGCAGACCCAAGCAAGCCCAAGTTTGCCTGTCGACTCTGTACCTACGAGTTCCTGGAGGTCCAGAGCGTGTTTGTCCTGGGGCGAAGAGCTTTGGACGGTATGCTGCAGATCCAGTGAGGGACACGCACGAGAACTGCTGGTATGGGATGCTGTAATGTCATCGGTGGGATTCATTGTCTGATTGGGTCCCGCGGACGTTGGCTTGCATTGAGGCGGAATATCCCAACCTAAGGGCAACCTAAAGGCGGGCGGAAAAAAGGGAAGTGGCCCGTGCAGTGACATAAAAATCAGGCGCGAGGGTAGTGCGCGGCTGCGGCGGCAGTGCGCCACAGGAGTGTCTATATCCTCTGGCCATGCAGGCGTACCAACAGTGTACCAGCGACAACGATCAGGGCCCGGATATGAACCTACCGAGACTCAGTAATGTTGACATGAGCCATGGGTACGGCCAGCAAGGTACTGGTACTGCTTGGGGGTAGTACCTGGAGTGCAGGGAGTGGGTTCTTTGTTAATCTTCGGGCAGTGCGGCGCACTCTCGGCATGCACACAGGCAGCAGACGTGGGGGCGGCGTTCAGGCATCGAGGGCGATAGAGAAGCTGGGAGACAAACAAACTCGCACGCAGCACCAATACCAAGCTTATGATGGCCAGGTGATCGGGACGAGGGACGTCAGGAAGCTACCATAGTTCCTGGACAGCAACAGGTACGCAGTTAAACAGGAGAGCAGGCATGAGATTGAGAGCAGCAGGAAAGCAACAGGTCAGTCGCGTATCGGAGGATGACTGCACAGCCAAGTCGAATTAGACTGTTGACGCTGCAGGGTTGCATTCAAGTGGTCGTGAGAAAATACCTCCGCCCCTACCTGGCCCGAGGCCCATGCGACCTGTACCGGACCTGTCCCCGCACGCGTAAATGACCGAGTTGTGATGGAATGCGAGTCGGATCCCCAGTGCAGTGGCCGTGCGCCGAGTCAAGCTCTCGACTCTTCGTCCTCTCCCATTCTCCCATCCGATTACGAAAGGCTATCTCATGCTTAGTCGATTGCTAGGCTCCCGCAGCACTACTTTGAGCATCAACACCCGAACGGCCTTTTCCCTGCATCCGCCATTTACCTGCTCCACCCACATTCGTCTTCCCCTCCGACCCCACCCCGCCCACCACCGCGCTCGCGCATACACCATGTCCCCCAACTCGTCCGATCCGACCGCGACGCAAACGACTGCGTCTGGCGTCAAGCTGACTGCCCACAACCAGTACAAGGCTGAGCGTCTGCTGGCGGGCGACATGCCCGCCGAGGCGCAATCAACCCCTTTCGCTTGCGCCAATCTCCAATCTCCAGATAAACGAGGGCAACGCCCACTCACCCTTTGAACGAGAGTAGCTGAAGATCGGTGCCGGGTTGACCATGCTGGCGGCTACCTGTCCGCCGGTGCCGATCGGACCCGCCGCAGCACTAATGCTTCCACATGCCCGCCGACCCGATCCAGTACTTCAAGGACTGGCTCGAGGCGGCGCTGCATGGCCCCTACCCGGTGAAGGAGCCCGAGGCAATGGTGTTGAGCACGGCGACGGCGTCGGGCGTTCCGTCATCGCGCGTCGTGCTGCTGAAGGAGGTCGACGACCGCGGTTTCATCTTCTTCACCAACTACGACAGCCGCAAGGGCCACGAGCTCGCCGAGAATCCCGTCGCCGCGCTCAGCTTCCACTGGAAGGAGACGAGCAAGCAGGTGCGCGCGGTCGGCCGCGTCGAGAAGCTCTCGCGCGAGGAGAGCCAGGCCTACTTTGACTCGCGACCGCGCGGTTCTCGTATCGGAGCCTGGGCGTCGGAACAGTCTCAGCCCGTTGGCGAGGAGGAGCTCGCGCAGCGCGTGCACGAGTTCGAGAAGAAGTTTGAGGGACAGGAGCAGGTCCCGTGTCCGCCTCACTGGGGAGGATTCAGGCTCGTGCCATTGTGAGTAGCACCGGAAACAGCAGCGCTGACGACCACAGCGAGCTCGAGTTCTGGGCTGGACAGCCGTCTCGCCTCCACGACCGCTTCAGGTACTCACGTCTGAAGGACGGAGAGGGCAAGTGGGACGTGAACCGTCTCGCTCCCTGAGTGCCGCGCCTTGGGTCAAGACACTTATCAATATGCATGTTACTCCGAGATAGACAATAACTTCTTCTTTGGGCGTCGCGTTCTTCCAATTGTGGGCGATCGGCGGACCCATCGCGTTGTCGCTAGCAGTCGACGATCCGGCAGCCCGTACCCCTGCGATTCCAGCTCTGTCCTATGACTGCCCCGTCTGCCGCGACATTGTTATCGTAACTCATTGCCCAGATGGGCGAAACACTGTTTTGGGCCATCCGTTGCAATCTGTTGCCATGTCTGCCCTTCCGGTGAGACATTATCGGCAAAGTGAGACGCGATGGCTTGCTCGCGACTCCCGCGCTGACGGCACTGCGCAAAACCACGGCTGGAGTGGTTCAATTAAAACATATGCTGTTGCATCTCTATGAAGTAATCGTACAGTGTGGGGGTGGTCTACTCCTCGTCGTCAGACTCCTGCTCACGAAGAGCCTTCTCAATCTCCTTCCGCCTCTGTGCGCGGACCTTGCGCTGGACCTTGACCCAGGTGCCAAGCGGCGTTGTCTCGACCTTGATGCCCTCCTTGAAGCGAGCAACCTCGGCGCGATCGCGGGGCGCAAAGCCGACGTTTCTCCTCTTGCCCTCGATGAACGTGCGGTTCGCCTCGAGCTTGTCCACGAGCGTTTTGAGCTGGTTGGCAACCTTCGGCGAACCAGCGGTTCCGCGCTTGATGTGCCGCTTCACGGACACGATGACGGGCAGAACGAGTTCGGGGTAAGAGATGTGGTTCGAGAGCTGGGCGTGGAAGTCGGCGAGCAGCCACACGAGCTCCTCGCCCAAAACCTCCTGATACACGCGCGTCTTGGGGTAGGCCGCGGGTGCGCGGATCACGTACGCCAGGTCGAGGGGCTTCAGCGTCGCCTTTTTCGGGTTCGAGCGGCGGAACTCGCTCGAGTCAAGGATCTCGAGTAGGAACGGCGACAGCGGAATGTACGTCTCTGTTTGAGAAACGAGGCGAATGAGCGAGGCAATGATGTGGAAGCGGAGAGGGAAGTAGCGGCTGCTCGGGAGGAGACGCACAGCACCGAGCGCAATCTGCACGAGCGGGTAGATCAGCGGCTTCAGCGGCGACTCAAGGCCGCCACGTGCGGCCTGCGCCTCAGTGCCAGCGGCACCGGCAAGGACCTGAGACCAGAAGTCGATGGAGTGGACGAATGCCCAGTTGTACACGGAGCGGAACGCCTGGCCGTCCTCACCGCCCTTGCCAGAGGTCGCGGAGCGCACGACGGTACGGAGGTGAACCGCGAGCATACGAATGAAGGTGAACGCGTGCTGATAGGCGAGCTGCGGGTCGAGCTGGTACAGCTCGGCGGCCGTGTTCTTCATGAGGTTGATTGACGGGAGGGTGTGTACCGACGTGAGGCGCATGGGCGGGAGAAGCGCGCGGTAAATGTTGCGGAGAGCGATGTCCTTGACGGCCTCGTCACCAGCAACGAACAGCTTGCGAATAGCTAGGAAGGCGGCGACACGAACGCTGTCACTGGCCGACGACCACAGATCGAGCAGGACCTTGAGATAAGCGCGGAGGTGCTTGCGGGCGGACAGAATCCAGGGGATGAGCTTGGCGCTCTCGGCCACAGCGGTCGCGAGGAGCGACCCGGCGTCGGCCTCGTCGTCGCCGCTGATCGCGGAAGGAGTGGTCGGAAGCGACTTGATGAGATGAAGCAGGGTCGAGAAGTGCGAGAGGATGAGACGGTCGAGGTTCGCAGGAGCCGACTTCTTGGCGGCTTGCAGGCGAATGCGACCGTTCGGCAAAGTCTTGTAGGGCAGGTGGTGGGCGAGTACGACGGGGGTGAACTTGAGAGCAGTCAAGACCAGCTTGTTGAAGACCTCGGCACTGGGGATGGTGTACTTGGTCTCGAGGCCCTCACCCTGCGCACCCTCGTCCTCATTCATGTGCGCAGCAGCGCGGAAAGCGAGGAGCATCTTGCGCAATGAGCGAAGCGAGTGCTGCTTCAGCATGGCCTCACGCCATCCACGGAGCATCTTCATGGTGACCACGGTCTTGCGCGGAGCAACATCATCGTCGGCGACGTCCTCGTCCATCTCCTCGTCGGCATCCTCGTCCTCACTGTCATCCTCGTCGACGTCCATGCGGTTCTTGCCCTTGCCGAAGTTGAGCAGTTCGGGGTCCTCAGCCTTGAGATGCTTGAAGAACTCGGGGTCGTTCTTCTCAAGCGCCGCCATCGCCTTCTTCATCGCCTCCTCGTCAAAGTCCTCATCCTCGGGTCCCTCAGAGTCTTCGTCATCGTCATCCTCATCCTCATCCGCCTCGCTCAGGTCCTCGAGGTCGCTTCCTTCCTCGAAGGGAACCTCGAGACCACCGGCACCGAAGAGCTCGTCAACAGTCTTGGCAACACCACCGGCCTTTCCTCCTCCCGGACCCTTCGAGGCCTGCTCGTCGTCGTCATCGCCAGCCTCGTCGTCACTGATCTCATGCTCGGGTCGTCGGGCACCGCGCTGGTGAATACGCTGCTGGACCTTCTCATCGAACTTCTTCTTCTTCTCCTTGGTCGCGCGGCGCTTCTTGATGGTGTCGGTGAGCTTGCCTGACGCAGCAAACTTCTTGAATTGCTTGCTCGGGCGCGCCATGGTGAGTGGGTATGAAGGGTATGATGCCAGCGACTGCTGCTATCGCGAGAGACTCAGAAATCTTCAAAACCATGGCTGGAGACCCCGCAGTCCCACGTGGCATGTGCCACGGCTTGTATCGCCGAATTGCCGAGAGACAAACAACCCTCTGTTAGATTGAAGTCACACGCGTGCAGCCAGGTTCGTGTTAGGAATTAAAGCAGCAGTACATACTACTGAGACGAAGGAGGATAGATAGAGCAAACGAGCAGAACAGAAGGGTAGAACGGAACAAACTTTCTGTCAAATCTCTTTCTCTTACCAAGGTTCTTACGTTTTAGTCACGACCACGAGGGCAGATGGTATTCTTGCGGGGAGACCCACAGTGCACCTGGTGAGCTGAGATCTTGGAGTCGTGGAAAGCTTCCAGCCCAAGCTGGATGGACTACTTGTGAGACATGCCAAAGGAAGATGACCCAGGGCACGGCGCCCGAGCGACATTCCGGAGACGGTTAAAGCCGCCCCTACTGCACGTGGCATGACGTCAATCTCCGCCGGCGCACGCACGGGCGGTAACGGGCTGCACGGCGCACGGCGGCGATCATGGCCAGGTTCTATAAATGTGTTACTACCCGCTCGCCACCTGATCGCCGCCCACCCCAACCACACACACCATTGCTGCAACTCGCACCAACACGATCCGATGGCCGCCCGAGTCATGATGTCCGCTGTTCGAGAAGAGGCCGCCATGGTGTCGACCGAGGCTCTGGCCGCTGCCCGGTCGACCGTTACAACTGAAGCTGGCGCAGTGACGCGCCAGGCTGCCGAAGCCGCGTTCAATCCCTTGGCCGCTAAAGAAGCAGCCGAGGCAAATGCGCGCAACGTCGTCCACACCACTGGTAGGTTACGTTTCGTCTTTCACGTACTCACGTCCTTCAGAAAAGTCGTTACTGGAAGCGATGGGACGAGGCTCGCCCGTTCCGGGGCACATGGGGACCCCGAAGATGACTTCGTCGACGTCCACCGTTGGAAACACGATTCTCGGGGAAGTCGGTGCCGAGGCAAGCGCAACGCTTAGGGAAACCACAGTGTCCGAAAGCACAATTGTCGGCAAGGTCTTGGAGCAAGATATGGGCGTCAGTGTGAAGGAGGCTATGACGAATGCCGGCGAGACTGGCGTCCAGGCTGTCACAGAGCAGGCAGTGCAGGTGGCCGAAGCAGTTCTCGACGGTAAGTTCGCCGACACCGGCAAGGCTGTTCTTGCGCTCAAGGAGGGCGCCCCAAAGGCGTTCTCGTAGATGCTCAGCTCACTGGACCCAGGTCAACGAAGACGAGCTTAGACGTAGCCAGCCTCATAGCTATATAGACAGCTTGCATGTAACACCACAACCTTGACATACCATAGATGACATGCGATTTTCTAACGACATTGATGTCTGCGACCGATGTACGCGGTCCGACTCGTACCTACTTTGTGCCCTGGCCAAACCTAAAGCGCAGCGGCTGACAGAAGAGCCCACATGCTACATCTGGACACCAATGAGCCGCCGCCGACATATCGGTCAAAGGTCCATCTGGGGTATGATCAGAGCTTACCGTGAATTGCCGAACACCCCTCCCAGCATCACAATTGTAGCATGGTTCCGACAGTGTCGTCAGTCACACCTGCTGCGCGGAAGCATTCGGGATGTCTAGGTGGGCATCTGGTTTAGCATCTCTAGAGAGTGACGGCGATGCAGTCATTAACTCATCAACACAATGCTCACGATCGCGATCACCGGGTCGAACGGCGAAGTCGGGAAGCGTACCGTGCTCGAAGCGCTAAAGGATGGCCACAGCGTGATCGGGATGGATCAGGGCGACGAGGCCAAGCTCGCGCCAGGTGTGGATGAAGAACTTCGCAAGCGCTTCACGTACAAGCAAGCCGACCTGAAGAACCGTGACGCTTTTCTGGGTGCGGCACGCGGAAGCGACGCCATGATCCACCTTGCAGCCGTGTTCAAGAAGGAGGGCGTGCCGGAGAGCTCGCAACTGCCCGAACATGTAAGTTGCCAGCTGCCGGGGCACTAACGTCAGGTCATCCACAATTGGAACACGGTCATGTCATGGAACGCGCTCGATGTGGCTGCCGAGCTTGGGCATAAGCGCGTGTCGCTCGCGTCGAGCATCAACGCCATCGGCCTGAGTATGTAGGAAGCAAGGCACGGCTGATTGTCCCAGAGTTCTCAGAGCACCCGACGCTGCACTACCTTCCGCTTGACGAGGAGCACCCATGCGATCCGGAAGACGCATATTCGGTATCCAAACTGTAGGTAGCGGCGTACAGGGCGGGTACACCGCCCACAGATCTGGGCCCGGAACACGGGATGGGACGACGAGGTCGAACGTCAGTGAGGCGCACGGGCTTGTTGGCGCGACGGTTCGGTTGGGCATTGGACACAGCGTGACGCGCACGACCGCTCTTGAACATTGAAACCTGCGCCACGAAGTACGCAGTACGGTCCGATGGTTCAATGCGAGTCCTTATGCGCGTTCTGTGCGCGGACGAGACGCCCCTACAAACGTTCCAAGGACAGCCTAACGCCATCACGCCCCTCATGCTCAGAAGCTGACACGATCTGCAGACAGCTCGAGCTGCAAGCCCGCGCGTTTGCGCGCAAGCACGGTATGCGCGTAGCGTGTATTCGTCCCCACTGGGTCATTCCCGAGTCGCTGGCGTATGATCCCGAAAAACTTGCCGCGACAGGCGGGCTGGCGAACGACTTATGGGCGTGGACGTCCGAGGGGCAGGCAGCCCGCGCATTCCTGCTCGGCCTGACAGCTCCCGCGTCCACCTTCCCCGAAGGCACTTCGGAGGCCTTCTTTGTCGTTGCACCTACGACCGTGCGACGGGAGCCCACGAAGAACTTGATCAAGGAGCACTTCCCCGAAGTCACGGACTGGAAGTGCGACTTTGATGGCAACGAGGGCCTGTACGACTGCTCAAAGGCTGAGCGGATGCTGGGCTGGACGGAGCGTGGGTTCCCCTGGTCTCCGGTCGAGTGAGCGGGTCACAGAAGGTGACGGCCAAGTAAGAGCGCTCTGGATAATGGAACAATGGGCATTCCTGGAGCCCTTGCAGTTACGCCCTGGGAGCGATGCATTGTTGTTATACGCGGCACGGTTGGACCAGGCTCACGATGCAATCGATGCAGACTAAGTAGCAGACTTGGAAGCCGCAGTTGTAATCGACGCTGTCATGTGTACATAGGCTTGTAGACCTGGGGCCTGGGGACTCCACTGATGACGCCCAATGCATGGCTCACCTCGGATTCAGGCACGCAGCAGGCAGGCCGTACGCGTCAGTGGCAGGCGTTCCTGGTATGCAGGGCGTGTCTCATTAAGCGAGCCCTCACTTAGCCCGGCGTGACATGTTGTGACACTGTTCGTTTCGTGTCTCTCATTCACGACGGCAACCCTTCCTCCAATCCTCAGCGACCTCTCGACTGACCCTGTGTCTTCACCACAAACTCGCTCCACCCACACTTCCTCCATCTCTCCCCCCCTCACGACTATTCCCTCATCGCATTGCCCCGCGGGCGCGCCGCCGCGACACCCCGCAGACACGACACGACTTTCACGACCTCGCTCACGCATCAACGCGACGTTTGCATCTTATTCGAGTCTTGACCCGAGCCCTAAACAATACCGCACCACGGCCCGTTAGCTTAGGTCGCAATCAACGTCACCGCCGTTACACTCTCGGTCACCTTTTTTGGGTCTTCGACACGGACTTGAGGAGCGCGGGCAGGGCTTTAAGAACCTGGGCTCTTCCGTCCGCTCCCAATTTGACTCGTTGTCTATCTCATCAAAGCGCACGACTTTCTGCTGAACGACGTCTTCAATGTCGAACAGTCCGCCATTAGGCGGCTCCGGCGCCGTAGACGACTGGACCGATGATCCGAGCTTCGACTTGTCTTTCGCTTCGACTTCCGCTCTTCTTCGACGTCACGCAGCCTGTCTCGCCCAGCAGGATCGCCTCTGCGTCAGATGCATGCCGCATTGAATGTTAAAACGATCGACTTTGACGATGCCGACTTTGATCTCGATGACATCGATCTGAACCCGGGAAACACCATCAAAGCCAAATCCCTGTCACTCTCCCAACCGGACGTCAACTCCACTCCGAGAGCTCCGAGAGTAGGCAACTCATCACTCATGAAGACAATCCCCGCCACCGTCATGGGCACCGGCCCGGCCGGCATCGGAACCATCACGAAACTAGGAAGTAGCTCGAAGGCGCCTGTCAGTCCAGCGTCGAAACTTCCTATGGGCGCGGTTAAGGCGCGCGCCAGGGCCATTGAGCAGGGTTGGGAGGACGACGTCGACTTTGACAGTGGAGTCAGCGCGGCTGCCGACCTGAGATCCAAGCTGCACAACCTTTCTTCAGCCGCCAAGCACTTCCCAGGGGTCAATGCCCTGGACGATCTCGATGACGACGAGGACCAGGACACGTTAAAGGCGGGCGCGACCCTCAAGGCCATGTTGCCTCCGAAACGCGAACGCGACGCGCAAGCCACGATCAAACTGAGCTCGAGCACGGGTCTGAGCAACACCGGGAGCGGTAGCGACACCCTGAAACCAACTTCGGCACTGGCTAAGAGCTTGAGGGAGGAGGATGACCTGGAGGGCGATCTCGTTTTGCCTCTGAGCTTGACCAACCTGACTCTTGCGACTCAGTCCTCGCAACCCAAGCTGCGAGCACGAAGCTCCATCGCTTCGACAATCACGACCGACTGGGACTCGCCCTCGACACCGAGCACCTCGGGCCGCAAGACCTTCATGTTCGACGACAGTCCGGGGGCCCGCCCATCTGACACATCGCTCACGAGCGTTTCGTCGAACGGGCTTGAGCACAGCAAAAAGTCGCCAGAAGACTTTTTGGATGAGGAAGAAGACTTTGAGTCCGGACTCGTACTCCCGGAGCAGCTGTTTCAAAAGAAGGGCAGCGTGCTGAATTCGATCTTGAATCGCAAACGTCGACAGCAATACGTGCCTCCGCCTCCGACGCATGACTTTGAGGAAGGGTTGGTGCTCGAAGATCCCCGAGCGGACCTGTCGAAGCGACGGCTGAAGGAAAGCCGCCGTGCCCGCACTGTTCCCGTTCCCTTCAATTTGAGCACGACAAAACGCGCCGAGCACAAGGAACTGCGTGACCCGCTCGAGGTTCCGCGACCACCTTCAAAATCGCCAGCCTCCAGCATCTCACGAGGCAGCAACCCTCACCGCGATCGCTCTAAGCCACGCCCCACCTCCCCGCACGTACCACTTTCGCGGGCCTCCAGCAGGACGCGACTCAGCGACATTCCCATTCCACCGATGCCGCCCTCGGTGCCAAGCACGCCCTCACGCCTGCGACAACAGAAATCGTACCACCACCTGCAGCCTAGCGTGTCTCCGACGTTGGTTCGCAAAAAGTCCCTGGCTAGCATGCAGGACGCACTTGCTGCAGGACACGTCCGTGAAGCGGATCTGCCGTCGATCAGCCGATTGACGCAGCCGACGTCCAGCTCCCTCGCGAAGCAGCGCCTCCCTCATCGACGTAAGATGGAAATGCCGAAACGGCGGCAGTGGGGCGACGGCAGCGAGCTGGACTCGATCGAGGACCTTGTCGACACGAGTGCGCCGCCCGCCCCTGCTTACGGACGCCTTGGTAGGCGGAGTCATGAGAAGCTTCCGAAGGGTGTCGAGGCCGGAGAACGCAAAAAGTCTGGCAAGCGTCGACCGCGAAAGCCTGCGATGCTCATCAAAAACCTCGGCAGCGTCAACGAGCGCAAGGTCGTTGGCGACATGGTGTGGAACCCCGCTACACTGCGATGGGAGGGTAACGAGGCGATCTTGCGCGATTTCGATGTTGTGGCATCCTCTCGCCCTGCTCTGATCTCGCACATCCCCACGCACAACTCGCCCATGAAGATTGTGGGCGACATGAAGTTTGACCCAGTACAGATGTGCTGGATCTCTCTCACTGAGGAGGAAGATCCTTTCGCTTCAATGGCCGATGACGAGGACGAGCCGTCAACATTACGCATCAGTGGGAAGAAGCTCGTTAGTATCGGGCTGTCGTCCATCCCCTCCGCTACGACCGCTCAGACCCCGCAATCGCGATTCGTCTCCGAGTCTACCACCATCAGCACGCACAGCTGGGAAGACCGCACGCGCCCCAACGCCCACAACGCCATCAGCACGGAGCTCTGGAACGAGTGCCGCGCCGCCGAGGAGCGACATCGCCGCGAGATGCGCGGATGGGTCACGCGGCCTGGAGACTCGAGAGACCGGGATAGAAGAGAAGAAAAGCGATTATGGGAGGTGAGGAACCTGGCTATGCGCAGCTAGCGCCTCGATACCCACTCTCCTGGGAGCAGCCCAAAACAATAGATATACCTTAGACACCCGAGGAGCCAACGATGTTGTACAGTGTGTGACTAGTGTAAAACACCATGCCGGAGAACTGTCCCGGTCCCCCACCCGAGGAGCTCGCAGCGAGCCCTGTTATGAATTTCCATGACAAGCACGGCCTGGTGACCTGCATCGACCACTTGAGGGCACGGACGAGTCGGCGCGCTCACCGAGGACTGCGCCAACCTCCAGTGGATAGGAGCAGAGGACCCATATGGGGGTGTTCGATCGTAAGATGGCCAGCCTGTACACGGACGTGGCGGCCTGATGAAGCTGGCTCGCAGACGCAGTGGCAGCGACGACTTTCCCACAACTCACGCAAGGCCACGCATGGGTCACGGTAGTATCGGCGCCTTCACATCTGCTCCACAGCAAGTTGACCAGTGGCATGTGCGCTAGCCCAGAAGATTGCGAGAATGTCGACCGAACCGCAATTTAACATCGATCATTTCAATACCTTAATGGTTACAGCCTTCCACGGACGGAGTGATCGCCGAACCGCTCTTCGGTAGGCGGGCGGGTGGAGATGCAGGTATATAAGACGATGGAAGCCCACCGCAGTAGTTTGACCCTCAGACCTGGAGCAAACTCCGCCATGCGTACCTTCGCTATCGCCTCTCTTCTGGCTCTCGTCGCCCGTAAGTCAGAGTTGTCGATTCACGCTAACATGCAGCTGTCCTCGCGGCATCCTACACCATCCCCGACGACTGCAAGCCATTCTGCGATAAGCACCCTGAGATCGAGAAGTGCTACGTGGCCAACAAGTCAGGCAAAGCCGCGGAGGGCTGCAAGGCCACCTGCGCCATTTGGGACGCTTTCGGACAGTGCGCCCGCTGTGCACCTGACATCGGTGCTTGCTACCTCCAAGCCAAGAAGGTTTGCGGAAAGGTGTAGAGAATCGTAGCGGATGATGAACTTGCAAGTGACACTGTGCGATCTTATCAATTGGCTGGCGGGCCGAGATAGTGAGCAGGCACGGAGTGCGCAGTCGTCGCAACCCTTACCCGTCCTACAGCGTCTGCCACCACCAACCGTCTCGAGGGCACACCTTCTCGCACTATGCTCTGCACATGCTTACCACAGAGGCTAGCATTTGAGGGCCCAGTGATGAACAACGTTTCTCAGCGTTTTCCTCCCACCTCGGCACGTCGACCGCGGAAAAACGGAATAATTGGGTTCAATAGGTGGCACTGGCCCCCTCATTCAGCAGCTCTAGTCCTGGCACCTTCCCCTGCAGGATTTTACCGAGGAATTGTGTTCATCGAGAGCTGTACTGTCGTCACAGGTTCATCAGACATGTCCGGATGGAACAGAGTGTCGGCGATTTTGCCGGCACGAGACCAAATACATGCCAGAGGGTCTGGGGAACACAGCGAGACCAGTCAAGAGATGTCTTGAGGGACCCCGCGTCCTGCTTCGGGCTAGAGGGCACGTAAATATCCTAGACTCAGCTGTGGAGGCGCGACGCATTGGCTGTTGGTCTCTGGGCTTACCATGAGGTCCATCAACGCGTTACAGATCAATCGACTATCCGCACAGCCGGCTAACAGCCCGCTGGTTCGACTAGAGGGGACGGCACCGGCTCGGGGCGTCGATGAAAATAGACAAGGCAGTTCTTTGCGCTCCTTCCTCCAGACAAGACCACCCGAGTCACTGGAATGTGGCGTTGAATGCGCAGGTTGATGCCGAGAACAGCTTGCGGATAACGCCGAACAGGAACGACCTGGTTGGGGAACCCTGGTAGCTCTCCTCTAGCGTTCTGTGGCATTGTGGCAGGTATAAGACACTCCCGTCTTTGCAACCTGCATCACATATGGCGGGGCCAGGTAGCCTCCTCCTCAGCATCAATTCCCACCCTCGTCACTCCTTCACCCTTCGTCACCTAGCATGAGGTTCGTCGCGGGCTTCTCGCTACTCGTTGCCGCTGTCTCTGCCTTGCCCGCCTTACCTAGGGCACAGCAGCAGGTTTGCGACAACCCCGGACGCTTCGTCTCCGTCGTGATCGACGCGTCCGGGTCGCAGGCGGACAATGACCCGAACAATGTCCGCCTGAAGGGAGCCCAGCAGATCATCGCCTCCCTGACTCCCGAGGGCTCGGCTACTGCAGCCAACAAGGCTGATGAGATCGCAGTGGTTAGCTTCACCACATCTGCTGATGTTCTTTACCCGCTCGGGAACCCCGGCAGCGAGGCTTCTGACGTGGCTGCCTCTGTCTCTGCCAATGGCGGCACAGACGTGTACCTCGGTCTCAAGGCTGGCCTGGATCAGATTGCCAGGGTCGGCAGCAGCCAGTTGGACCGTGCCGGTGTCGTCATGTTCACCGACGGGCTGGACGATGGTGTCGTTGGAGCTACGGAGTGGGAGCGCAAGCGTCAGCGTCTGCAGGTTGTTGCCAAAGCCAAGGCTGCCGGTGTCCGCGTCTCCTGGGGCCACCTATCGTTTCCCAAGACATCGACCCATGGTGGTGGCCTTCTCAGCGACATATGGAACATCATCTTCGGCGGCGGGGTGGGTAGGACTACGACCACGATTGCGGGCCCCGAGCTGGACAAGGAGCTCGCCGCTGCTGTACTCGCCACTGGCGGCACGGTTTCGGTGATCTCATCTGCCGATGCGCAGATCTCCTTTGTCGAGCAGGTGCTGAAAAACGGTATCACGAACAATGATGGCCGTTGCCACGGCCTCGATATCGATCAGTCTGGCGGCCCTGTCAAGAACAATGTCACTTCGCTCGGCCTCTGCTCGGACAACGCCAATGCTGTCTTTACCTACACACCTTCACACTCGAAGGAGAAACTCGCTGTCACGATCGATCTCCTCTCCACCGCGAACCATGTCAACCTACACGCCACTCTCGAGAATAAGTCCACTGGCTCAAAGCTGAAGGTCACTGTGGACAGCGCCAGCCCCACTCAGATCCTGACGGCAGAGGCTGCTCCCGGAGAGAATGTCGAGATCACCATTCAGCCGTCTGGCGCGTCGGCCGACACATGCCAGTACGGTGTTCGCCTTGATGCTGTTCCCATTGACACAATCCCAACTAGCTGGCAGACGGTCTCGTCTTCTTCTTCCAACGCGCCTCTTCCCAGTTCTTCTCACGATTCCTCTCCCACGTCGTCGAGCACTCCTCCCACATCGCCAGATGCCCACCCTTCTAGCTCTTCCAACAGTCCTCCTCCCACATCGTCGAACAATTCGTCGTCCACATCTTCCAGCGCGTTCCCTACTTCCGACGGACCGCCTTCTACCTCTTCCAAGGCGCCCCCGCCCACTTCCTCTAACACACACTCTTCTTCGACCTCCCAGGCCCCCCCGCCAACCTCATCCGCCCCTCCTATATCGAGCGTGCCGCCTCCCTCTTCGTCAACTGCGACATCGTCTACTCAGCAGTCCAGTAACTCATCCGCATCTCCCACCTCTATCAGCGCCGCCCCCACGTCTCAAGGGCCCAGGCTCCCGAATGTCCCACCGCTGCCATCCCATCTGTAACGGTCACAGCTACAGCAACTGTTGTTCAGACCATGACCGCTACCACCACTGCCACTGCCACTGCCACCTCTGTGCAGACCGTCACCGCTACGGCTTCCACCACGGGAAGCATCTGCTTGTGCAAGTGCGATGCGCCTGGTGTGCAGCCACTTGCTAAAATCGAGCTCTGACCGTCTCCACCTTTACCTTTACTCCCGCGCACCTATCGCACGGACAATATCGTTTTCCAAGTCCTTTAGCGGTACCATTTCACACTTCAACCGTCTGGGTATGCAAAAAGTGCCATCGCACGATCTCTAGGGATTGCATGGGATCGCGTCCGGCATGCACGCGCAGCGATAAACAGTACATCGATATGAGCTACAGCAAAGAGATTTCATTTCTACACGGTGCCCCCAAGAGGAACCTGCTCGTATCCAATAGCCATCCACTGAGCAGATCGCTGAACGGGTTTCCCATGCCCATGGGCATGGCGGCCTGGTTTAACTCCCCCAACAGCATGGCCATCTCTTCGGGGCTGTGGCCCTGCGGGGTAGGTTCGGCGCTTGCTACCCCGCCGCTCCACGACAACAGAGCGGAGGTGTCTCCGTAGAGCTGAGATGAAGAGATCGCAGGCGGCGGGTAGCTTCCATTGCTACTCGGAGGTGGATAGCTAGGGGCAGGTCTGCCAAGATGGTTAGCCCTCAGCGTCCGAACGCGTCGAGACCACGGGTCGGGGGCAACAGGGCTGGCCGCGCCAGACCCCTCGGAAACAGTCCCGTCGTCGAGACCATGGCGTCGCAAGAGCCTGCGGGCTTCTCGAAGCTAAAGTCAGTCATCGCGAAGTCTTCCGCAACCCACTAGAGAGCGTGCACTAGAGTAGTATCGCCCAGCCCTTTGCAAGACGTTGGCCATGACAGCAAAGTCGGCTGTGAGCTGGTTGAGTTCAAGGGACTGAGCGTCTGGAGGCAGCAAGAACGCGTGCTGCAGGCGGATGCGGACGCTCTCATACACGCAGATACCGAGTGATGGATCTCCGAACACGACAGAATCCAGGTCTACTAGACTTGCCACATGTGCAAGTGTGCCGGATATCATCCGAGCGTGAGCAACGCATTCGTCACGCTGTCGATCGATCCACCCTGGGGGCGCCGTGTTGGAGATTTCCGATTCCAAAGACTCGACGAAGCCCGGTAATGCCGGCCGTGTGAGTTCTGCGTAGTTCATGTGATACCATATATGCAACATGGCGAGAGGCGTCAACTCGTTCTGGAACTTGCGGGCGTAAATGGTCTCCGGGTCAAGCCGGAATTGCGGTGACAGCGAGTTGTACCAATCCTTTATCTTGCGCTCGGCGGCGTTGAATCGTGATGCTGGATCCCATGGTGGCAGATCGGACGGTTCTCGGTAGCGAGCCGTTCGGAGGATCATGGTACGGATGCCCTGCAGACGCACAAAGTGCGCGAACAGCCCAACGCCTTCGAAAGTTGCGGGGTTCGCCTCTTGATCATGGGCATCGGCCTCAGTCTCCAAAGCCACACGGGGCGTTTCTGTGCTGAGTCCAAAGGCAAACGGCTGGTCATCGCAGGGTAACCGAATCGAGAGTCTGGGAGCAGCCAGGTATTCCGCGACACCCGTGGACATCATTCTGTCCAGAGAGTAGCAGCTCCACATGAGGCGACGGAGCGTTTCACGCTCTGTCACAGTGGCAGGTTTGTCGTTGGGAAGCTCGTGGTGCAGCTGCAAGGCAAGGGCCATTCGTGTAGCAACTGCGGCCAATACAAACCCTTGACTGGCCTTCCCACTGTGGATGTCATTCTTAGCCAAGATGAGCGCGGCAGCAATACTCTCTGGGTTCATGTCCTCTGTCAAGAGAAGCCCTTTGGCTTCATTCGCCCATCTCCGGGTAGTAGCCGTGCCCATGATAGGAAAGGGAGCCGTATCGTCGGGAGGTTTGACGAAACGAGCTGCAGCGGCGCAGATGGCCAGAATCATCTTTCGCGAGGCGGTGCCGTCAGCCACATCGCGAAGGAGGGTGCCTCGATGGACAACAGCATTGGCTTGAAGGGGATAAATGTGCGTAAAGAAAGCCTCAATGTGCTCCTCAACAACACTACGCGGAATACCATGAAGACTAGGAGTCAGCCAGGATATAAGACTTGGCTTACTGTGGGCCGTTGCGGCGATGCTCGGCATCACCGTCGTATGGAGAGCAATCAGCGCTGCTGGGACCTGCTGCAGAGGTCGACCGATCATAGGAATAGTCGCAAACAATGCCGTGATCTCTACAGCGAGTGCAGGATGGCTGATCTTGAGAGCAACGACTTCGGGCCGACCGACACGCTGAACAGGCGGCCTGGCGTTGGCGGCGGATCGGACCGGCTAAGCATGAGCAGAGAGCGATATAAGTCACTCACAGGATGGTGACAGTTGGTCACTGGGCTCAACCTTCGCCGCAGAAGCTGACGCAACACCAGCACGCTCGTCCAGGACATTTCTTACCACGGGCCAACGACAGTGAAGCAAAACGCGTTCGCAATTGCCGCATGTGCCAGGAGCTTCATCGCACTTGACCTGACGAGTCAGCCAGTTCCTTTCTCCAACTCACCTTGCGTGCTCGACATGTGAGACAACCTCAGCCGTTAGCATTGCACCGCCGCCCAGCAAGCCGGCCGCCGCCCCGGGCAAAGCCGAAGACTGACACACCTGTTCTTGTTCTCTTGCCCTTGATACGCCGCGGTCCATTGGCCGCTGGCTTTGAGGAAGGGCCAGCGCCATCCGTTGCTTTGGCGGGCTCGCGTCCAGAATCATCGTTGTCAGACTTGCGACCCATGTTTAGGGTCCGTAGAGATATTCAGAGCGATGCCAAGATCATGGTCTCTTCGACCGGCAGTTGACGCTCCCCGGCGCCCCCCTGATGCGGAATCAAATCATGCGGGTCCCCTGCATTGACCCTGGCCCACTCCGCAATCTCTTCACTGCATACTGCGACTTGGTCTCCTAAAGACTTGGATAATGCTCTCTACTATGCATGTGCAAACTACTCAGCCTCCGTCTTGACGCGCTTCTTTACAATGTTGTCGGTGTCTCCTCCCTTACGCTTTGTCTTCGGCTTCTTCTGCACGGGGCTTGAATCCTTGGTCTGTGGTCAGCTCACTTCTTCCATAGCCAACGTACCAGTTTCGAGTGGATGTCCATGAGCTTAGAGTAGTTCACACCTTGCCGGGGCCAGAAAAACGAAGCAAACACCCAACAGTGCTTCCTCCATTTGGCAGAATCCGCCCCTTCAGCAGCCTTCTCCGCGACAATCTCTTCGATGCGTGATCCGATGCCAGCGACGCATTCCTTGAGGGCTGCAATCTTCTCCTCACGACTGAGGTTGTCGGTACCAGACTTGAGCTTTTTCTGTATATCAGCACACTCCTTTGTCGATACTCACGAGGTGTCGCTTCGCTGGTCGCAGCAACTCCTTGACAGCATCCTCGTCCATCGACTCGTAACTTTCTTCATCCTCCGAATCGGTATACTCGGGCGTCTTCCGCCTCTTGCCCTTATCTCCTCGAGAGCTACTACTAGCTTTGGCGCTTACACTGAAGGGCAATGGGGGATGGTCGTAACCAAAGCCCTCCTTGACAGGCATGCTTGCAATGACCGCTTGTTGCTCGATCAGCATGCGCCGGTTCTCTTCATATTCGCGAACAAGTCCACACAGGTAGTCGCCACGGCGGACGAGGTGGATCGGACCCGGAATTCCAGCTTTAGGCGCATTGGGGTCCTTGACAACCTTGGGGTCCTCGAGGAAGATCTTGTCGTGCAGCTCAAGGGCAGGATCCTAAGGGTTAGCTTTGAAGTTTGAGCGCCACTTACATTCTTGATCTGTTCCCAAGCACCAAAGCCATACTTCCAGATGCCGATAAGCAATTTGGAGTCGTCCTTCGGCCCCCATTCCACCGACCAGTTCATGGTGGGTTTGAGGTTGTCGTGAGGGATGGCATAGTTCTCGATGTCCTCCACGCGCTTGAAGTGCTCTACTAGAGCCTTCAACTCATAGTAGCGAGCGACTACCGTCTCGGCGTTGATGCCCTGGATACCACGGAATGTGAAGAGAATGGCTTTCTGTCGCAAAGACGAAGATATAGTTTCGCCGCGCTCCTGCATCGCGCGCAGCTCATTTTTGTGGTTGGTGACAGCTTCCTCTGCCTGGGTGAGAACGTCGTCGCACGTTTGGATGACGACGACACGGTTCTTGGATGTGAGCTTGGCCTCTTCAACGATCGTGTCGTAGCGTGTGCGAATCGGTCCCCACTTTTGCAGACCACGGATGAGAACACGGAGGTCACGATCTATTGTCAGCGGACGCGGGTTTGCTTGACTCACCTTTAAGCTCGATTGCTCGTTGCGCGTTGCTCTTGCGGGGTCCGGCGACCTTTTGCTTCTTCTCGGCGGGAGAAGCAGCCTTGCTCCCAGCCGGTTCACCGTCGGCCTCGTCCATGCCCTCGTAAGCTCCCGGAGCGCGAGCAGCCGCTCGCTTGCGGGGGCCCACTTCTCCTTCCTGCAAGGCGCGGCTCTCCTCCTCGTCAAGCTTGACACGTTCTTCGACGGGAATGATATCGTCCCAACTCAGATCGTCGGCGTCATTCTTGACATCCTGAATAGCCGCAAATTGGGCCAGGAAAGCCTCGCCTCCGGAAGAAGTTCCTCCAGGCGCAGCAGCAGCTTCTGTGTCGAAGTTGTCGGCCTTGTTGAGAATGTCGTCCAAGTCCATGGCATCGAGCTTTTGGTTTTGGGCATTCTCGTCCGCCTGGAACATGGACTTGGCACCAAACTTGAGGATAGCCGCCAGCTCCTCTTTTGAGAAATCCCCGTTCTTGTCTTTAGGGGTCGACGTTCCGTTGATGTGGCCACCGCTGGTGTCCATTTGATTGATGACTGGTATGAGCAGGAATCAACACTAATTACTCACTGGCATACTCCAAAATCATCTTGCGCTTCGCACGCTCCAGGATGTCCTCTTCAATTGTGCCCTTCGTTACGAAACGGTAAATGTTGACATGCCTGGTTTGACCGATTCGATGCGCACGAGCCATGGCCTGCAGGTCGTTTTGAGGGTTGTAGTCACTCTGGGTTGTCAGTTTGCGCTTTCAAACAACAACTTACGTCGAAAATGATGACAGTGTCTGCTGTCTCGAGGTTGATGCCGAGACCTCCAGCTCGGGTCGACAGAAGAAAGGCAAAGTCGGGTGATCCAGGCGCATTGAAATGCTCAATACTCTTCTTTCGCACATCGCTGGGAACCGTACCATCGAGGCGTTGATGGGTGTAATTCCTGGCAGACATGTAATCCGAGATGATGTCCAACAAACGAACCATTTGGCTGAAGATAAGGACGCGGTGGCCGTCCGCCTTGAGCCTTTGCAAAAGCTTGTCGAGCAAGACCATTTTCCCGCTGTTCATGACCAGTCCACGGACCTGTTCATGCACCGGCTTGCTGCGGTCCTCGGCGCCGTCGAACAGATAGGGATGGTTGGCCGCTTTCTTGAGTTCCATAGCGACGTTCATGAGGGACACACTCTGCGTACCACCCTTGCTAAGAACGGCGAAATTCTTCGTGAGGATGTTCTTGTAATAGTGCTGTTGCAGACCAGACATCTCCACTCGCAAAATGGATTCCGACTTGGTGGGAAGCTCCTTCACAACGTCCTTCTTGAGACGACGAAGCATCAACGTCTCCAACTGCGAGTGAAGAGCCTTGATCTTGGCCTCCTGCTCGGTATCGCCCAGCTCAAAGTCGTTGGCCAACTGGAATTGCTCGGGTTCAATAAAGTGAAGAAGGCTGAGCAGTTCTAAAGTCAGCGTAATGACAATTTTCCACTCACCCTTGACGTTATTCTGCAGCGGTGTACCGGTGATGAGGAGGCGGAAGCCGGTGGAGAAGCTCTGCAGCGCTTCATACAACTGGGAGTCGCTATTCTTCAAACGATGGGCCTCATCGACTTCGAGGGCTTGCCACTTGATCTGCTGGAGTTCTTGGCGGTCCTTGAGGATAAACTCGTAGGTAGTGAGGAGAACATTGAACTTGAGGTTCTTCAAGGGGCCAAACTCGGTCTGGCGGATCATCTCACGCGAGGCAGCTGAGCCCATGTACATGATGACGTTGAGGTCCGGTGCCCAAGTGCGGAACTGCATTTGCCAGGCGTTGATGGTTGACAGAGGAACAACGACGAGGAACGGGCCGTATTGCTTCTGCGTGTGGAACAGATACGAAAGGAAGCTGACTGACTGAACAGTTTTGCCAAGTCCCATTTCATCCGCCAGCATACCTCCGTGACCACCTTTGCACCAAAGATACGCGAGCCAGTTGAGACCAGTGAGCTGGAATGGCTTCAGAGCGCCACCACACTTGAGATACTCTGGGTCCTCGGCAATCTTCTGATATGTCGGACGATTGTGGATCGGGTAGAACTGAGTTTTCGCCGGAACCGTCGGTCGCGCCATCCTCTCATGGTAAGCCTGGATGGCGTCTTGCGCTTGGTCCTTGATCTCGTCGTACGCTGCGGTCAGGTCGAGAAAGGCTCAACAACTTACTCTCCCACGTGCATTCAGCGTACTGGAGGTCTACTCGTCAGCTCGATACTACGCCTATCCTCACTGGTCCATTTGCAGAGGAACAAAGTCACAGACTGGCCATCTCGCTCTTCCTCCTTTTCGCCAACAACGCGCTCGACCTGCTTGTAGCTCTCATGAAGGTCTCGGATACGTTCTCTCTCAATTTCGTATTGCTCCAAATCTTCACGCGAAGGCTTCCATTTGGCGTCGGGGGCAGGGTTGTGGAAAGCCTGCTCGACCTGCCACACCTTCTGGATGTAATTCTCAACCTTCTTGAATCTAAGATGAGCAAGGATCTGCACCTCGACTTACCCTTTGAAGCCCTTCAGGAATTGATACGTCTCATCAGTATTGTGAATGTGGCTGTAGCCCTTCCACTTGACATGGAACCGCTGTCCGTCAACTCGGCTATGAAGAGGCACTCACGAGGTTCGTTTGAGGAATGTCCTTTTCGTCCTTAGCGTGCTCCTCATCGCGACTGTGGGAAAGCACAAGATCAATCTCATCCGCATTCCCGTTGTCTGCCGTCAGGAGAGGCCATTATCCAAAACTCACCGATGCGTGCCTCTTGCTGGTAGTACATGACATCGTCATCGCCCTCGCTGTCAAGACCGTAATCGACGCTCGCTTCGTTGTAGGTCACGACCTTGCGGGCGGCACCTCGTCGCCACGAGGCACCATCAGAATCAAAGGCAGTGTCCGGAGTCGATGTTCCGCGCGAATTGCCGCCTGAACGCTCAAAGAACTTCTTCTTGTGCGACTTGGTCGCATAATCCTCATCAGATGAGTCTGAGGAGGGCCTCTTGGAGGGGAAGTGCGACGGAGCTGAGGTCAGCGTAAACGGGAGCTCGACAAACCTTTCTTTGCGGCCTTGGACTTCTGTGGTTTGCGCTTCGCGCTGGAGCCAAAGTCGGGATCATCGTCTTCATCGCCGTCGTCCTCTGACGCGTCTTCCGAGATGAGTGCGTCGTCGGAATCGCTGTGACGCTGTGGTGTCAGAGGCATCTATTCGATTATACGCACGCTGTCCATGTCCAGTTCCTCCTCTCCATCCGCATCATCTATACCGTTGTCTGAGGGCTCAGGAGTAAGATCGTCATCCGACGCTGCTCTGGGAGCATTCAGAATAATTTGGCGGGGGGCCTTCGTGTTAGAGCTAGCTGTGGTGTGGCTACTCACCGGCAGAGGGCTGCTCCCTTCGTCCGAATCACTTTGCATAATGGCGAGCGAGGCCACTGCTGTGGAAAACTGCTGCTGTTAGCTCATTAAGGTCTGAACCTGGATGTCTGATCCACTGCTGAAAAGTCGCTCGCGCGAGTTCGCGAGACATGTTGCCTCAGCACAGGCATAGAGGATGCCCTTCCGAACAGTATCACTGTTCATCCTACATCCACACGGCCATTGCGGGACACATCTCACAGCGGTGTCGACCGCACCGCCGCGCACGGCCGGCGACGTGTCCTCCGGCGAGCGACCCTCACCTGATCCGGACCAAACTCACAAAAAAAAACAAACCAGTCAAGCAAAGTTACAGGGAGCGATGATTGAGGATGGGGAAGAGGGAGTACCGCCGAGGGCGGGGGGAGCGGCAGGCAGGCGGAGGTATCGGAGTCGGAGTCGGAGGTCAGGTGGAGAGAAAGAGGGAGGGTTGTAAGTGGTGTAACCGTGTAGCGGACCCGCGGAGATGACGCGCCTGCGCGTTGCAAATGCACGAGATACCGTCGGAGGGGTGGATGGCGAAGGCGAGGGGATGGATGGTGAGAAACGGATGGTGAGAGCGGGACTACCGACGACGTGGTGCGCCCCTCTTCGAGCGAGCGAGCGACCCTATGGTTTGGTTGGACCCGTGAGCGCGGGCAACGCCCCCACTCCGGGCTGCCGCCGCCGACACTATGTTGGCCTTGCACGCCAACCAAAACCCCAACGTCAACGGCCGGGCTACCCGGCGGGCGCTTTTTCCAGTGCCTTGAGCCCTTGATCGTGGGTTCAGGTATCTCCCTCGTGTCGCCATGCATCCGCGCCCAGCGTCTTGCATCCTCCCTCCCCCCTGGCCCACCAGCCCATAGCCCACCGCAACTCCGACGATGCCTCAGGTATCAGGTAGCCGATGCACAGTGCATCGCACGACATACATGGCCCCGTCCGAATATTCCAGCGCACAAGTGTAGCCAAGCCATCGCGAGCTCCGACGAGCCTTAAAGTTGCCTGCCGAAATAATGAATAGAGATCAGGTTGCCAGGCTGCCAGGCGATTGCCGCACTCGCCTGCCTTTCCCCTTGCCCCGCACTTCGGTTCACATGTGTCGGACCGCCGTCCAGGTCATCGCCCGCCTAGCACATGTGGCCGAGCCGACGTGGGTGGCCAAGTTACGCACATGCATGGCACCGGATGGCCGGATTGACTGACCATACCTTGCAGCAAGAGGATGGCCGCGCAGCTACTCTGCCATGACTATGATAGATTTTGTAGAGCAGGTGACCATGTAACCGTCAGACCTAGAACCTACGCCAACGGCGCCATCCACAGTAGTCGCGGCCTACGCTGCTGTGTCAGTCCACGGTTGACGATTCGCTTACCGGTTTGGGGGCTGACTGGCGGCACCCAAGCACTAACGCGCCCACGCCTAGCTGGGCTTACATGCCTTGCACGTCGTCCGCTACCCCCTTGCAGGCTGGGGTCTGCTGCCTGCATGCCATGCTTACGCACCCGCTCCCTCTTGTCTCCCGAGGCCTCCGGCCCCGACCCAGCTGAAACCCTCTGCGCCTCAGCTCGCCCGCTCCTCCTTGGCTTCCCTTTCGCCTTCCTACACTTTGATCCTGAGCCTCGATCGCAAACGGCCGATGCATGGTTCACGCACATTCGCACAACCTGACGCGGGTCAGTGTCAAGCCCAGACATGTCGCGGGGTTGCACGACTCCGCACCGCTACATCTCAGTGCGCGGTGCTGCAATGCTACGCATGATGCGCATGCAGCAGCGGAGCAGTGCGCAGTCCCGTCCATTTCCTTGCAGTTTCGCAGCAATCCTGCGACGCCCGTACATGTGTTCTTGAACCTGTGACCAGTAGATGAGTACTGTATGCATGTGCATGCTGGGGTTGCTGTGTGTTGGGAGAGAATCCAGTATCTGGAGGAACTATCGTCCCTCAAGTTCGCAAGAGAGTCCGTATACCATGCTCACGCAGTACGTAGCGATTCTGAAAGCCTGAGGAGCTCTCGGAGCTCCAGAGCTCTAGAACTTGTTGTGCATGTACGGTTCAATACGCCCTGTCCTAGATGACTGGTCCTAGATGACTGGTCGTGTTGACTGGTCCTAGATGACTGGTAACTGTAGCGTGACGCGTCCGAGCTTGGAAGTCAAGTCACGTGATGCTCCCAGCTTAGCGACACGTCTCATGACGATGCGTGTCGTCGAGACTGTCCATATCAGGCATTCACGCGTCCTAGCACGAACAACATGTCGCAGGCCGAGGCGCGCCAGCGCGGCTCTCCCAAGGCCGTTAAGTCAGAAAAGTGTGAGTGCGCAGAACATCGCGCGCACCGCTGACGACCAGTTACCTTCACACTGGGAAAGCTCGATGCGGGAATGGTTGGTCTTTCCAAAGTCATCGCTCACCTCAGGCTATCCTTCTCGGTCCGAATGCGCACCTCCTGGAGTTTCCTTCGCTGCTTCTGCCAACGCCATCGCCTACCGATCCGCCGTTGGGACCAGGCTCAATCCTCACGATCACCGTCTCCAGAGACATGGAGGCCGAACGTGCGTCTAGGAATGCCTTTGAAACTCTGCAGGAGTCCATTCTTGAGGAGTACGGTACTACCTCGCCGTCGAAACCCGTCCTAAGGGTTCAAAACGTCACGCAGACTAGCGTTGCTCTCGAGTGGGACCCTCTCAAGCTCGGAAGCGCCAGTTTCCGCGGCCTGGAGATGTATCGAAACGGTCAACGCTGGGGCAGAGTTGGAGGTGACGTCGGAACAAAGGAAGAGAAGCTCGAGTGGAAAACGGGTGGTCTCCAGAGCGGCGAAGAGTACACCTTCCAGCTGGTCTTGTCAGTGTCTCTGTGCGCGTAACAGTCGGCTGACGACGCAGAAAAACCACGGCCGGTACCTATACCTCCAATCTTCTCCGTGTGAGGACGCACACGATGGAGTACGTTGTAATTGGAAGCTAGTGCTGACAATCAGCAACTTGACTGGTCTATACGTTACCTTTGGGTCGATCCAACCACCAACGCTCATCAACCAGCTGCGCGGCTGCTTGGAACAGATCCATGCGCGTGAGGCCCCTGCCGTTCAGCTTGCTACGACGCACTTTGTTTGCTCGTCTCCTTTAACTGGAGGTGACGAGTCGGGCCGAGGGGGGCACCTCGATGACGCCTACACGCAGGCCATGGCTGCAAACTTGCCAGTAGTCAGCCCAGCGTGGCTCCTGGCCGTGGCTGCGGAACGGCGTCTCGTTCCCATCGCGAATTATCTGCTGCCTGCCCCGACGCAGTCCATCGACACCGCGGGTGGCCCCGCTCCCTTCCGACGCCCAAGTTCTTCTCGGCCTTCTTCACTGCCCGCCCCCGGTGATCTCGGAACTTCCAACCACGACACCATCCGATCCCCGAGTCCCGAAACCGTTGCGCGCATGAGCAACACTGGGCCCGCCATGAGTCCGTCGTCGCGCACTCAGTCATTCGAACATCGGCAGATGTCTCTTCCGACAGAGCCAGAATCATCAGGCTCGGGACGTCCTCGGAGCCCGATAAAGCCCGAATCCGATGGCCGCTTAGACCGAGGGTTCAAGTTCCCTTTATCCGTGAACACTGAGGATAAGACGGAGCAGACGCTGTCGTCGCCTCTCAAGCAGACCCCGGTCGTCCACATCCAGGCCCCTTCCACTGACGGCCCTGTCTCGGCCCCCGTGGGCTGTGACGATAAGCCCACAGAGCGATCCCAGGATACCCCCGACGCCGACCGGGAGGAAGTCTCGGCAGCCGTGAGTGCTTCGGGTGGGCAGGAGTCGTCGGTAGACGATGGAGCGAAGGATTCACAAGTAGATGACTCATCAAAACCGTCAAAGGCTGCGGGTGACGCGAACCTTGACGAAATAGACCTTAGTTGATAAGCTGCGTGAGATGCAGCCAATGTGTAAGCGAAATTGCTTTGTACAAAGCTCTCTTTACGGCGAGATTACAATGCCTCAGAAAACGCTCGACGCCCAAGCTGCACGCGCCTTTCGAGTTCTTGAATGGGGTGACGAGCAACCGGAAATCCAGCCCTTTTGACGTCATGATCTGACCGTCTTTGGTCAGCAGAAAACGGCAACCCGGCTCACCTTTGCAGCGTGACATTTCGATAGCTTTTGGTCCTGCGGAGCTGTCTCAGAGCGATATTCAACAGCCATCTGCCCAGGAAAAGCAAGGGAACCTGCCGTTTCAGTATCGAAGCAGGTCTCGCACAAACCGTTTCGAAACTGGTACTAGTTGACACGCTGCAGATCACAGTCCACGCTGCTCTAAGAATGTTCGGTCCCATGGCGAACACCGCTCGCAGGACGGACCAGACTGGCTGCATCAGCAGTTGTAACTGGGACTCACCCACCTGGGATGATAGTCCACGGAGCCGTGACAGCATTGACAAAGGACGTAATGCTGGTGTTCAGACGCTCGAGCGAAACCTTGGCATTCTCGGCGAGCATCAGACTATGGGCCATGGAAGACTGCAGGGCCTGTTGTTGACGCTGGTGTTCAGCTAGAATCGAACAATGACTCACAGATAACATCTTTGTATTTTCCAATGCCTGGATGATCTGCGGAGACAAATCTGCCGTGTTCTTGCTCATAGTCTGCAATTCCTATGACGTTAGACGTTAGGAAAAGATAGACACCTACGTTCGTGAGAAATAGCTGAGCCTCGTGGATGAGGGCTTGCAGCGATCCCTGGACATTAAAACCACTCCCTGCAGCGACGTACAAGCTGGGCATGTGCAACCTCTGACACGTCCTTCGCCGATGAACCCAGTAGCGACACAGACTGCCACACATGAGCGGTGTAGTCGCTGACGAGGTGGGATTGCTGGTGTGAGCTGCGCGTCTCCGTGAACGTACGTTCAGATATAAGGCTTCCACAAAGGCTTCAACGTCGGATGAGACCTGGAATGAGCTCTGTCTCAACTGCAAGGTACTTGGGTTGAAAGGGCGAGCTGATGATCCCCTAGAGTGTCTCGCAGCTCTCGATGCAAGGATTCTCGAAGCTGGTGAAATTCCTGGTTGAGCACTCCACGCAGACCGTGACGCTCTCGAGCAAGCGCTGCGAGTGTGAGGTCGAAAGTATCGCTGCTACGTGCTTGCAGCTGCGAGAGTAGCGATTCGAATTTATCAATCATGCTGTGGAGTGACTGGCGTGAGCTATACGGGCGGGTTGGCTTACGTGGTGCTGTGACTCCCACTGCCCCTGCAGCCTTGTGAATGCAACAGCTCGATTGCGCTCGGCTGTGCGAAGCTCCTCGAGTAGTCGGGCTTTCTCCACAGAGATATTGTGATGCCTTCTCTCCGCCTCATCTTTCGGTCAGAAAAGTTGACGCAACAACTTCACCTGCTCTGAACTGCTCGGTCAATGCGGACCACAGTAGAACTCTGTTCAGCAACTAGTCGACGCGTTCTCTTACTTGCGTCACTCAGATAACCGTTGAAAGTCGTCCAGTCTTGAGGGCTGCGATGGAGGGCGCTGGGGTCAGCGTCGAGAGTATCCCACTCACGAGAGACATTGCGATTGAAGCGCTCGTGTAATATCCATCGCGCTCTCAGCCGCTGCCGGCGCCCACCGCGAACATTCCTGCGGACAAGGCTGGCGGGCTGAAATCAACGCACAAAGAGTCATGGATATAGCCACTCTGCGTCAGTGCACTAAGCGAAGGCTGCTCACCATTAGTCCTTTCCATTTCCGTCAATCGTCCTCCTTCGCCTCGAAGGTGTACAAGTGTGACCACCTGACAATCCTCGTTGCCCGTGCGTTCGGCAAGGACTTGTATGTCAGTGCACCGGCTGGATTACTCATCTCTGGCGTACACCAGCTGGATTACTCACCTCTGTTGAACTGATCAACGGCTGCTTCATCCAGTCTTGCCAGCTGCAGGTGCCGGTCGGGGTTCAGACCCCAACCCAAGACGTGGCCGATGAGGAAAAGAACTGCGCACACGGGCAGCATTGTAGGTGTGAGTGGTCGATGTGGAGAAGTCAAGGTCAGTGAGATGAAAGACAAAGTTTGGCGTCGGGCGCAGTTGATCGACGGCCTTCTGTTCGGCACTCTCTCACGAATGTATCATATAGCTACAACCTTGGGCCAGTCTCTCATCGGCAGCCACTCTCCATTTGGACCAAAGCGTGGGTTTGCCGGAAAATGTAATCCGTCACCTTGGGGTCTCCCGATGGGTACTGCCAGGTGAGCAAGAGTCTCGCGGAAGACTCACATAACCATCCAACCCAGCTGGTGCCCATCTCACGCCTCCACATGTCCCGTTTCCTACCGAATGCCCACCGGTCGTTCACAGCAACGCCACCGTACTCGGCTTCCCACTGCCGGCGCACCCGTCGCATATCGGCGGTCATGCACTTTGATTGGAACTCATTTTCCAACATTGATTGTTCAGCCTTGAGCTGAGCGGAAGATTGGAAGGATTCGACTGTTGAACGGCCCTTTAGGATGAGGAAGATGTGTGTTGGCAACATCATGAACGCCGTGAATAAAGCCAAAAATCCTGCGCTGAATGTCAGATGTATCAGAGGCTAAGAACTCACACGCATATAATGGCGATTTTTTGCCCATCGACGTTTTCCGACTTTGCAACGTCCACGATGAGCACGATGGCCGTATACAAGCAGAATAGTCCAGCCCAGAACGTAAATGTGACGAAAATCTAAGGTCAGCTGTCCCTCCGCAGAGCGCTCACCGCATGATTATTCCAGCCAACGCAACGCCCGATCCACATACAGTGATCTGGAGTCAGCTAGAACTACGCTACAGCTTACGATCAAACTGAAGAATACAAGTCCCGCAGTGACGACAGTGATGCGTGCGATCGGGCTTGATGATTCTGCAGTGCTGGCACCACCGGGGAGCCGAGTTCACGATAGGGTTCGGCCGACGAACGTAGCGACTCGTGTGTTCTTCGTTGGGGTAGTTTTCAGGCGAAGAAAACATAACCCTCTCTTCCTCATCCTCAGCGATAACCGAAAGGGAAACGGGGGGCACGGTCGAGGTAGAAGCACTCTCGTCCGCCGCGGGTTTGTGGGTTACTGGAGCAACCTGTGGAAATGAGCAATGTCGAAGCTGAAGACCCTACATCTTTGGCATAGCCTGGTGAGGTGAAGATGATCTATTGTTAGTTGCGCTGAAAAGAACAACTCACGGCCCCGTACGACCACATAAACATGAGCCATAGAATGATGAAGCCGATCGCTAATCCGACTGCAACATGAGCGAGGAAAGACAGACAGCCTTACTGCCAGCAGCGCGACGATATGATGCGCTTGGGCGTCGTTGAATGGACGGGACGAACGAGCGACCGACAGCGACGTAGAAAGCGTAGACTGAGATGCCCAACACAATGCTGAGAGTTTAGAATATGCAGATGTCTTTCACTCACACCACCACCCCTTTCCTCTTGACCCAGAGATCGGGCCTGTCAGCTCTTCGAGAGTCCACTATCCGCGCCCAGAGCTTGGAGCCATCGCTCTTCATGGTGGTGTGGAAAAGGCGTGTAAGGCAACAATCGGTGCTAGCACCATGGCCTCAAGGGAAGTGCAGTTGAGGGTGAACGTAGATGCAACACGGACGTCGAAGTAGGAGCGAATCCGGGCACGGTCACTACGATCACAAAGGTACGTCAACATTGCTCGTGACACGCTAGGTTACGTAACCATTCGATGAGCCGCTCTGCACTAGCGTCCTTTCTGGTGGCCCACACAAACCACCAGGCCGCGCCCTGCGCAGATTACTCTGTGTATAACACACCGTTGCCCATCTATCGCCATCCATCCACAATGTCTCGCACCGTCTACGTGGGACGGTTGCCCCGAGGTGCGTATTGGCTGCAAGCTGGTTACTAATGTGCAGATGCTACTAAAGCCGATGTTGAGGATCACTTCAAGGGCCTCGGTCGCATCAAGGAAGTCCGCCTCATGTCCAACTTCGGTTTTGTCGAGTTCGAGAGCCCCGATGTAAGGCCGATTCCAAGGTGACACTGACACAAAGGACGTCGAAGCTGTCTGCCGTGAGCTCGACGGCCAACCCCTGCTCGGCGAAAGGTAAGACTTGTAAAACCCGGTTGTTAACGTCAGGTTGATTGTTGAACCGTCCCGCGACACTCGTCGCCGCGACGCTTTTGACTCGTAGGTGCCGTGTGTGGCTGTTGCTAACTCAAGTCGTCCTCCTCCCCGTGGTGGGCCGCGGTCTCGCGGAGTTCGCATCTCGGTTGTTGGCATTTCGGAGGCTACTAGCTGGCAGGTGCGTTCCAACATGTCTCTGAGCTCACGCGTAGGACCTGAAGGACTTTGGGCGTAACGGCTGCGAATCCGTCATTTTTGCCGACATCGATCGCAACACTGGCAATGGGTGCGTAGCACAGTGTATGTATATCTAACGTCAGTGTCATCGAGTATCCGTCGATGGCGGATGCCGAAGATGCCATCCGTCGCTTGGATGGAACCGAGATCCACGGAGTGCCTGTTAAACTTGAGATTCAGGTGAGTTCCGCTTACGTTCGACCTGACACCCCTCAGGAAGGCGGAGGTCGCGAATCTTGGGACAGGCCTCCCCCCCGCGACTACGGTCGTCGCTACGATGGGCGCGATTCATACCGTCCCCGCGAACGCTCCCGTGAGCGTCCTCGTTACGATCGCCGCGACAGCCGACGCGATGAGCGCTACGAGCCCCGCTATGACGACAGGCGTCCTCGCGATGATCGCTACGACGACCGCAATCGCGAGCGTTCGCCCCGTAGAGACCGTGACTCGCCTCGCCGTCGCGATTCGCCTCGTCTTGACCGCGATTCGCCCCCCCGCGACCGCGATGGTTCTCCTCCTCAGTAAATAGTGATCCTGAAAATCGTTATACCTGTTTCCCCGGCCGAAAGAATGAAAAGAGTGCTCCCAGTTGCTTGTTCAAAGGTACATTAAGCTCAATCACGGTGGCGATAATATATGAGACCGGCGACGGCGGCTACGACGATTACGGTGGCTATGGGGATCGACTGTCGCGTAAGCGTCCAAGTTTCAATGTTAACTCACAGGTGGAAGGTTGCGGTGCGCGTTGACGTCGGCATCACCTTCCTGGAGTTTTTCGCCCCTCAAAGTGTCGGCCGATTCACGTCCGCTCTCGGATGAATCCTTCTCGTTATAGACAGTCGTCGGTGCAGAGGCAGAGGAGCGCCTGAGTCGATTCAGAGCTGCCTTCGAAGACTCCTCTGTGACTGCGCCCTCGGCTGGCTGATTGCCCCTTGGCGTTGAAGATCCAGTTGCGTTTGCAACTGATCGCAACCCGCGTACCGCCAACGCCGTCTTTGTACTCAAGCGGCGGCGACGCGACTTTGTGGTCTTCCGTGGACTCGAGTCAGCCAGATCCATCGTGGCGAGCTCTGCAGCATCAACTTCATCCTCGGCTGGATCTTCCTCGTCAGCGAGATCATCTTCGCTCAGTTGCTCGTTCATGACTCTCTCCTCTTCTTCTTCTGCGGCCCTCCTGCTGGCCTCTTCCCACTCGCGAACGATTCCGCGAAGACGGTCCCGCTCGGTTTCCCACGCCGCTCTCTCCTGCTTCCAGCGCTCTTCAAACTTAGAGCGCCAGGCTTCCCAGCGCGCTTCGGCTTGCTCCACGGCGGTAGTGACGCGTTCAGCAATTCCGCTCTCGAGCTTGCCCAAGCGGTCCGTAAGATCTTTGACCGTTGTGAGCGCTTCGCTATGTTGGCTCTGAAGGGTCTTGGACAGCTGAACGGTCTCCGCCATCTCGGTTTCCAGCGTTTGGATTCTGTTTGAGAGCTCCACCTTCGTGACCTGGTCAAGATTGTTGTCATGAGCCTCCTCCTCTGGAGGTCGTTCCGAATCCCCACCCGGCACGACGGTGACGACGCTTCTGGCGTCGTCATCGTCGTTAACATCCAACGATTCGGAGCGAAGAAGAATACCCTCCATCTCGCGGCGGCTTTCCTCCATCTGTTCTCGGACCACAGAGATCTCGCGTTTCAAAGCATCTTGCTGTTCAATCTGCCCTTCCAGCTGACGGATCTTGTCGAGCTGAAGGTTTAATGACGCTTGCGTTTCTGTGATCTGCGATTGCAAAGAGATGAAAGCCGCAGCCTGAGGTCCGTGAGGGCCAGCCAACGCAGCCTGAGCTTCAGCGGACGGGTTTCGGAATTGCGGAGGGATGTACTGAGACGCTGATCCGTTCTGCGAAGGAGGCTACGCATTAGTCATTGCCAACAAGGTAAACTCACCAGACCACCACCGAGCGTGTCCTGCACGTCGGTCATGGCTGTCGTCAAGCCTTGCAGCTCTTGACCGGACTCCTTGCTGCGATTAAGAGCGTCCTAAGGCCAGTGAGCGTCGCGTAGCAGACGAGACCTACCTGAAGTTTGTGCAGTACATCATCAAAGTTGAGGCCGCTCTTTCCGCCCGCACTCATAATCGGGGGGCCCATGTGGCTCAACGGATTCACGGCAGCTCCGCTATTTGACAGGCTGGTACCTCTGCGAGCGTTGTGCGTATCATTCTGGTAGTTTGCAAGCTCCCTACGACGTCAGTTTCAGGACGTGCCCCGAACTCACCGTGCGCTCAGGGAGGCGTCGTCTGGGCCGAACACGCAGTAAGCTCTCGCCGACACCTTGTGGTGAATGATTGTGCGGTTGTCTTCACTGATGATGTCGATGCCGAATTCCTGTGACATGAGCGACATTAGCACCTGCGACTTACGACCATGTCTTCGCTCTTCAGCTCGTAGGGATCACTCTCCACTCCCTCAGGGGAGAGACGCACACCGTTGATGAACGTTCCATTCGAGGACTTGACATCCTTGATGTAAATCTAGCAGGTTAGCCACCCCACAGCCCATCGCTCACCTTGCCGTTCTGTTCCCATATCTCTGCGTGTGTTCGCGAGAGCACCTTAGAATCGAAGTAAGCGTTCCGCTCACCGGGAACCGTCTTGTTGTTTGTTTGGCGCCCAATCTTGATCTGAACCGTCAGAACACGAATTCGCATTTCACACACCTTTTGGCCTGGTGGGAGGTGTATCATCTTCATCTGGAACGTATCCTGGATTGGCCACAGGTGAAGGCTCGGAAAGGGCCCACCCCAAGACGGCTGTCCCGACATGGAAGGCGTCCCATGCTGAGAGGTTGCGTGCATTCCTGACTGCATAGGCGAATGGTGTTGTTTCGAGCTCACGGGCGAGCGCTGTGCTGGAGGGCGACTCCGTCGAAAGGAATTGGTTTGTTCAGGCTTGAAGTTTGGACACAGAGAGAGAAAGAGAGAGACCGTAAGTAAAGCTATGAAAGATTTAAGGCCAACGTGGATGGATGTTGAGGTCGCTGGAGGTGAATGTCATGACGAGGTCGTCAGTGCACAACAGTGGCCAGATAACCATTCACGCCCCCGGGGCTCAGTTAGGAAGTACGCGATTTGCTTCCGCTCTTCGCGTCATGGTCCATGGCAATATCACGACCTGACCCGAGCAGTCCTGCAGCCTGCAGAGCTGCAGAGCACTATCCTCGCACTCTCAATACACAAAGCGAAGACGATATACATTTCAGAACTTATTTGGCTATGGTGGTCCATCAGACGGGTCACGGAAAAGGGCTGGCAGGAGGGCTGGGTGGCTCCGGCTCGACCTGGAACAGTCCAAGGCGACGGACACCACCATCGTCAACAGATTCCTCCGCTCCCCAGCTGTCATTGACGCTGCCAAGCTGATCTCTCTTGCTGTATCCCCCGTACTTGGGGGGGCGCATGGCTTCACGAGCTGCGGGGTTGGGCGACGGGCCACTGCCCTCTGCACATGTCAGCGAGACCAAGCCTCGTCGAGACTTACTCAGGTGGTGCTTAGGGGAGGCTTTCGAGACGTTAGCAGGCGAAGCCTGGGAGATTGAAGCCTTGCTTGAAGTTAGGGGTGGCTGGGAGGGCGCGGCTGCCGGAACGGGAACGACGATGGGAGCCGGGGCGAGAACGGGTGCCAGAACGGGAGCCGGGGCTGCAGCAGGATTGGCCTTGGGTGGGCCGTGCGCTGCCTCATATCCTCGCATGCGCATGATGAAGTGTAGTTGAAGAGTTTCCGACGAGTGGAAGCAGAGGAGTGTGGCGACGATATGGGTCGAGAAAGAAGGACAACGACAAGAGAGGCATCGGAGGATTAAGTAGGATTAAGTAGGACGCCAGACCGAGTGATGGGGCGCGGTCGCCGCAGCGTGCACGCGTGCGACAGTCCTTTGGCCCTTGGCCCATGGGGTGACAGGGCGCTCGATCGCCCTCGAGTTGTCGCGCCTAGTGTGCTACTGTGCTACCGCTCACGCGTATCAGGCGCGAGTCGCGACGGACAACGAGGGGCGCTGGGGGGCGGGGCGGTGGGGTGCAGGCGAGGGCGCTAGGCCGATCGAGGTCCTCGTAGGCCCGAGGTCCCTTGTGATTTTGTGCAGTGCCATCTATCGCGTGAGTGAGAGTTCACTTTAGTCCAACATATGGGAGTCCGGGAGAGACGACGCGGTACGCGGTCATGCAGACATCATTGCGTGCACACTCTATACCTAGCCATCTAAGTCTGAAAACGTTCATCGAGCGGAGGCTGCGTGGGAACTCGTCGACCTGCTCGTCAATCCTTTTTCCATCCCAATGTCCCCATTTCCCTTCCCGCTGAACTAGCGAGCTGATCATCGCTTCTCCAGTAAACAATCATCTGGAGGGCAAGCACCACGTTGAGGAGGGCACCGCCGGCAAAACCCCAAAAGATGAGAGGGTCGTTAACTTCTTGTTGGGTCGTGAAAAGTCGCGCGAGACAGCCGAGTAGTCCACTGAAGACTGCAAACGCTGAGAGGTTGCCAGTGGAGCGGTTCTTGTGGTTTTCCATAATCTGGGGAGCTTTCGACAGAAGGGAAAGAGGAATCGTACACAACTGAAGGAAAGCAACTGGAAAGGTCAGTTGACTGTTAGCATCATTTACTCACTCGTCGCTGGCGAGCAGAGCGTTTCCGACCAAAGGAAGAGACAGGACACTACCATAATCACGGCGCCGACCAAAACACGGTTGCGCTGAGAAGTTTGACGAGGTGAGGACAACGGAGTCGGTCCGCTCAGGCTGGAATAGGAGGAGCCCTTTGGCAGAGTGTAATGGAGAATCATGAGCGTGATGGCCATGTTCTGAATGGTGATAAAGAAGTTCTCGCCGTACGTCGAGAACGGGAAACCGCCTCGAGTGTTGTACGCGAGGGTTATGGTGTATGATACAGTCTCAAGAATCTAACTCATCAGTTGAGAAAAGAGTCACGAACGTACATAAGCAGACAGGGACAAGCCTCGTGCCGACTTGGTGTTCAGAATCTTCACGATCTGGGGTCAACAGTCGTCTCATCGATGACCTTACCTGAGGCACTTTCAAGGTGCTGCCTCCGACTACGATACCGAACCCCAGTCCTTTGGAAAGAGCGTATTTCAGACATTCGACCTCTGTAATGTTGAAATCATACACCAGCACTTTATAGCAGTGCTCCCCAATGAGGGCCTCGGCTGGCCGCCGCAGAAACCAAGGAATGTGATGGGTGAGAGCAGTCACCTGCTATTAGTGGAAAGCGAACTCACGTGCGTACTCACCGCTGACTGCAAAGACGACATGGTGGGTGGATGTTGTAGATATTGCAGTTACGAGAAGGGCGGACAGGCGTAACTGGACGCGTCAGGGACGCGTTGGATTAGAGCGTGGCTGCAATCGTCCGTGCCTGAACAATTGTCGTGGTCTTATCCATCTATAATGTGTTGTCTACAAATAACCAAAACAGAATCATGCGCCTGCACCCAAGCCCGCAGCCTCATTGGAAGCACCCTTCAGACCGCCCTCCACGAGTCCGTGGAACCAAAGTTCCGTCTTCTTCACGCGCGCTGCGACATCCATGCCCAATTCGGCAGCCCCAAACATGGTACGATAATAAGCAAAATCGAAGAGAACTTTGAGAGCCGACCTCAGGAGCCCGAACGAGAAGCCGTCTTCACAAAGCTCCTTGTAAAGATGCTCGCAGTCCGACTGATAGACTGGTGGTCAGAGGCGTCGTAGAAGAGACTCACTTGCTTGGGCACAGTATTGTCCGACGATGAGGTAGATTCGATTGGGTCCATGTGTTGTTGCCAAACTGATGTCCAAAGACCGTTGGAGGTCAGAAAGCTTCAAGATCATCAGCAGTCGTCTGCATATCAGCGTAGTTACACGACGAAGACATACCGCGGTACCGTTCTGAGCATCTGAAAGATTCCGGCCAACAACCCCTCCGTATCCATGGCTGCCGCACGAAGCTTTGCGACCTCCTTGCTCCCAGACTCTGCACCCTCTAATAGAGATCGTGGCCCCTGTCCGTCTTCACCTCGGTGGTGGCCTTCTTCCATGCTGACACGTCCGGTGATGGCGCTCTCCAGGAACGGATACTGCTGGTCAGTCGAGTTACGGACGTCGCTTACCATGTCATCGTCAATGTTTCCAACCAGTCGCGCGTACTTTTTACGCTGCTTCGACGTCTCCTCCGAGTTGGGCGTCATTAATGAAAGCCAAAATCTGGCATAGTTTACCCGAAGATCCGGTGGGATATCAAAGTATTGGCCGTGATCGAGGAGACACACATCAAAGTTGAAGGGAGACGTCGAGTCCTTTGCTTTCGGCCGAACGAGCAGATTGCCGTGGTGGGGGTCGGCATGGAAAAAGCCATCGAGATAGACCATCTTTGAAAAGATGCGCGACAGCTCTTGACTGACCTGGTTGCGATCAATGTGGTGCTTCTTCAGATACGCGAGATCATCGATGCGAGCACCATTGATGAATTCCATGACCAAACAACGGCGTTCGGCCCAAAGCACCTTTGGCAAGTACAGGCTCGTCTTTCCACTCAACGGTTCGAAATTGCGACGGCAGTGCAGCGAGTTGGCCGCTTCGTGTCGGAAGTTGGTCTCTTGCGGAAGCATCTCGTTCATTTCCTCACCCAGCCATCCAAATTCGAACTCGGGAAAAACCAACTTGACAAAGCTGATGGCAAAGTTGACAGTCGCAAGATCGACCTGAGCGAACTCTTGCAGGTCTGCGTGTTGAACCTTGACGGCTACAGGTTGCCCAGTCTTCCGATCTACGGCGCGATGAACTTGGGCCAGCGAGGCGACCCCAATCGGCGTCGGGTCAAAGTCGATGAACAGGTCGTCAATACCCAGCCCCAAGTCGGTTCGCAGCATGGCATCGATGTCTTCGACAGGCGTAGGAGTGCACTGATCTTGCAAAGGGGTGAGGGTAGACGTCCACTCCTTGGGAAGTACCTGGACGGCGGCCACATGCTGTCCGATCTTGACGTAGATCCCAGAGTTCTTCTTGAGGGCTTTCAGTATACGTTCAGCGGAACGCGTGTGGCATGCCTTACGAGCTTGCCGAATGATGTCCTTGTTGCCATCCAGAGGGTTGCCTTCATTGTCGCAGAGCTTTGACTCTTTCGCGAACGTCCTCTTGTAGTCCCAGACGTCTTGAAGAACGGCCGACATCAACCGCGAGCATCGCACAATGGCCAGTGTCGAGTGCCGAAACGGCGGATAATAGTTGTAAAGGGCGATCAACGCGATGAGTACCGCAAGCAACTTGGCCAGGCGCTTGGTCCGGGGGGACTTTGAGCTTGATTCATTTTGCTGCTCGTGCGACGTTGCGGAGGAAGACTTGGACCGAGCAAAGGATGCAGGCTGCAGGCGCGGCGGTCGCGTGACTGTACGCGGAGGCGGATGAAGAGCAGCGCAAACTCGAGGAAGCCTTGCGGCCTGTCCGGTGACAAGAGTGCTGGGCCGTAGCCGAGTAGCACTTCTCGCAGCTAGTCGATAGGACATCTTGAGTTGTGATGTTCAGAAATCACAAATGTCGACCACCGGTCCCGATGGATGCCGTAGCGGACCATGGACGCGGAATATCCGAAGTCACGTGACTTGCAACCCGTCTATGTCCTTAAAAGCGCTGGATGTCTGAACTTTTTTTTTTCTTCTTCTCAACTCATTTTACGGTCTCGTATTATTGTAGCAGCGACAGGGCTCCTCCCCAGCGTTGCCCTACAACGTGAACCAAGAAGAACTCAAGACAGGATTATTTGCCAGCCTGCTGCTAACCGTGTATCTGTCAATGCGTGTGTTGGCGTGGCTTGTCTGGCCTGGGTTTTGCCTACAATTGTACTCGTCTGTTTATGAATTTCAGTTGTTCTGCGTCGTCGCGTCGTTGTTTCGCATCTCATCACCTGACCTGTGCTGCAGACTTTGCTTGCGCTCGCGGGTTTGCGTAGTGAGCAGAACTTCATTCGCGGTGTTGCGGACATTTTTTTTTTCACGTGGTCATGAACCTCCACCGACCGGACGACGATGTGATCTCCGCGTTACAGCAGATTCCTTTCACTCCTCACCATCATCACCTGTTAGCCAGCCGGGATGTCAACAACTTTCGACCGCCGCCGAGTGCAGGCGCCTGAGGGGTCACATGCTCCGATTCGCGCAACTCCAGAGCAACCAAGCTATGGACACGAAACTTCGCCGTCTTGTAAGCAAATCAAAGAGACTCTCGCTAAAGTTCAGTTGTGAAGACCGGTTTAGTTACCCAAGCGAACGGAAGCGCGTACATTGAGGCCAGCGGGGTCAAGATTGCATGTTCAGTGTATGTCAGCATTTCTGTTCTTACCTGACGGATCCAGCTTCGGCCCACGACCAAAACCTCCTCCTTATTCCCCGAGTGGTACACTGAATCTCGAAGTCAAATTTGCCCCGTTCGCCAGCCGAGTGCGCCGAGCGCCTTTGCGAGTAAGTGTCATGTTGACCGTGAGCTGATCTTATGCAGGACACAGAGCCAGTTGACCTCGCTGCCGTTTTGTCGCAGTTGCTCTTGCCAGCTCTGAGGTTGGATCTGTTTCCGAAGCTCTCCATCGACATCCATATCCTCGTCTTGGAAGCGGACACGGATGCGGCCGTTCTGTCGTCAGGATTGACTGCAGCCTGTGCCGCGGTTGCCGACGCGGGCATTCCGTTGACTGGGCTGGTCGTAGGGTCCCTGGTCGTGAGCGATAACGAGGAGCAGCAACAAGGGGTGATTCCGGACTGCAGAGTTACAGCCGGCGTGATGCCGGCGCTCGGGAGGCTCACGAGCCTCAGTATGACTGGGGAGAACACCTTGGACAGTGTTTGCGAGGTGAGGTTGAGGCTTTTGTGTAGCTGACGAGTAGATGATCGACAGCGCTGTGGCGAATGCCAAGACCATCCACACTATTACTGCCCAGGCGCTTGTAGACAAGGCCGGCCCATGACGTATGTCGGCAAAGTCTCGAACGAGCACGTCGCGCCGTCGCGAGGTTGAGTAGAATTTCAGCATGTAACACCATACGCTCGATGCACCGCGCGATTTCTGGCCCTGCGCGGCCACCTAATGTGATCGCCCTGTGGCGACACCGTCTGATCTTGACTGCCTTTGCACGCTTGGGCACGTCTGTGGAAACATTACGAATGTCGCTACGCTCCCCGGAGCAGTCTGGTAATGGCCACGTGGCGTTCGTCCCAGTGCCTCCACGACAAGCAGAGCGTAGCAAGGGTAGATACAATCTTCTCACGGACCTATGGTGGAAGTTCGTCAGCGCAGAGGCGGACTTGCTGTAACAAGCCCGGTGCGTCCCAAGGAGCCCCACCAGCCCCGTCTCGAGAGTAGACCGCGAATTGGGGGCAACGGGCCCAGCATGAACATGTAGAATAATCATCTCATCGACACAACCCACGAGAGGCGCGCTGGAGGCTGCGAGCTGCACGACCGCAGATGTGAGTCGCCGCAAGCCGCAAGCTGCCGCCAGTCGTAAGCCGCTGTCCCATATTGCAGTAGAACAACTGGCCCCTGGCCCCTTGGGATGCGGGCACAAGGAAACGCCGGGCATATCCTCAGGTCTCTCAGCCTCGGGCGCGCGGGCGCGCCTGCATTGCGTAGAGCTTGAGCCTTCGCCGTCTGGCGCTGGCCGCCTTGCCGCTTGTGGTCTCAGCCCGCCTCTCCCCCGCGCCCAGCGGATCCGAGCGGACAAAGCCTACATCGGTCAGACCCGAGGTGAGGGGGCAAGGCGTGTGAGGCTGGGGAGGCGGATGTATCTCGCCCAAGTGGCATACCCTGGGTTAGCAAGGGCACTTTCTGGATTGGGAAATTCCGAGCGCGATCCTTGGAGGCTGAGTCATTCACAAGGTCCAAGCCCGTATTGAGCCCCGCCGGTAGAATCGTGGGGAAAGTGGGGTTCCCCACAGGGCAACGCGGGGAAGCGGGGTCAAAGTGCACTTAGACGTAATAGCTCAGGGACAATTGAGAGCTTGTACCCAGGTCTGCGTTGCTGGCCTAGCTCGCCACTCAAGACCGCTGCTGGTGTGGTGGGCCCCAGGAGACCGCCCGCGGGGAGGGTCGCGTTGTGGGTGAGGTAAGGCTCTGGTACGCTGCCAGGACGTTGAGGAACGATCGCTGAAGACTGCGGCAAATCCTGGATGGGCTTGGGTATCCTAGCCTGTCGAATTGCTCCCTCGTGCCCTCGAGTCTCTTTCAGGTCCCAAACCGTCACCAAAATCGACCGCCGCAGCGCTGCTACGCTAGTCCTCTAGTCCTCTGATGATTTGGCTGGGCGCCTCCGGCCTCCGGCTGCAGCCCATCCTGTCGCGCTTTACCTCTTCTGAGCTCCCATACCCAAGCCCAGCGCGACTCGCATCTCGCATTGGCAAGGTGGGCTATCGAACCCAGGCTCCAGACCTGAGCCTCATCGACTGAGTTTCCTCCCCTATCTTTGAAATATGCCTTGTCTCAGTCCCTCGTCCCTCAATCCCTAGTTCCTTTAGGCCTGATGGGTCTGCGTTGCCAACATCGCCGTCGTTCTGTCTCCGCATCCCTCCTGGCTTGCCTCTTCCCCCGCGATCCCCTCCTGTCGTCCAGTATCGCGAATCATCCTGCATCTGACAACCTTCACATCGCCGTCTCATCACCTTCTCATCGACGACAACGACACCACTACTCACTTCTGCGATCCAACAGGTATTCGCTTACTCTCTGTAACGCCCAAGCTACGTTTACTACGTCTCGCCACCGACCATGTCTGGGGCGATCAAGATGGAGGGCTTCCAGTGAGTTCACTCGGTCCCGCCGCACACAACACAGGTGTCGGTCTTGCTGACCTGTGCAGACCTTCCAGCGGGCTGTCCTCCAGTCCTTCGCGGCCATCCATCAGTCGCCCGTTCTCCGACGGGTCTATGACTGTTGAGTCGTCTATCCTAAACTCGTTGATGAACCCTCCGCAACAGTTCTCGTTCCAGTCCCCTCTGCCTAGTCAGTCCCCCACTCAGGGTTTCGACTACAATATGGTTTCCCCTCACTCGAACGCCATTGAGCTGCCAGGCAGCACATCTCCCCACAGTTTCCAGCCTCACGCCATGTTCAACCACCTCAACTTCAACTCTGAGAATCGCGAGCCACCGGTCGTAACTCCTGGCGAAGGCGAAACTCATCGTTCGCGATCCCAGTCATCCTCTCGTTCTTCTCACATCGGGAAAGCTCCTCCCCCTCGTTCCCGTTCAGGACGTAAACTCTCTATGAGTGACGTGCGGCCGTCGTTGCAAGCCGGTCGCGGTCGAACGATGCAACCACCCCGGTCCATGTCTTTTCACACCGACACAAAGCCCAACGTGCTCGCTTTAGGAGCGCAACGAGCCAACTCTATTACCTCTGCCGAGTACAGCTTCGAGCAGCAATACGGCCTGGCTATTCCTCGGAACGACTTTGGCAGGAGCTTGTGGGGACCCGCGGGAAGTGCCCCGTCTGCCCTTCCAGAAGGAAGCTTTGATGGTCAGGGACTTGAAAGGTGAGTGGACATTAATGCCGTGCTAACGTTAGCCCTGTAACCCCAGCTCAGGGAATGCAAGCTCTCCTTGGCGAGGAAAGCCGCAAGCAGCGCAGGCGCGAATGTCACAATCAAGTCGAGAAACGTCGCCGTGAGCACATCAACGCCATGATCGAGGAGCTCAACAAGCTCCTTCCTGCGAAGTTCAAGATGCCGCTGGACGGCGATGTTGCGGTCGAGGACGAAGAGGAAGAAGAGGTTGACACTGCTGCGAAGAAGAAGAAGAGCAAGCGGGCCGCATCTTCGTCCAAGCAAAAGGATGCAGCGCAGTGCAAGGGTCGAATCCTCAGCGACAGTGTGCAATACATTCGGTACGTCTATGTTCCGGCCTGCAGCTGACGGTCAGTGACCTGCAAGCTGTCAACGAGCAACAGTCGTCTCGCATTCGCTACTTGGAGAGTCTCCTCGTCACCAATGGAGCGAACCCTTCGGAGTCTCAGTCCTGGACCTCTGACGATAAGCCTGCAAGCGACAGTGGCCCCTTCTCGGATAACATGCGTGGTAGCCCAGAGGCTGAGCAGCTTGTTTCTCTGCCTCAGAGCGGTTGGAATGGCTTCGGCTCTAGCAACATGCTGGTCTTCGAGACATCTCCCACCGAAGCCTCGTCTGGCCCCGATAACCAGCGTTCTACACCAATGTCTTCGGGCTCGCCTGAGACAGACAGCAAAGACCCCGTGGTCTGGGGTCTGCTGGACCTGACTGAGGAGGCGAATGATGGTCATCGCAAGGACGACCTTCAACAGTCCTTGAGTAACATGGAAATCGAAGTGGACTCTGATGAAAGGCGGCCATGGGCTGCGTATTGATCGCCTCTGTCCGTCTCGTTGTAGGTCTTTTGACCAGGTAGTTGTATAATCTTATGTCACGCTTCACGTACAGTACGTTGTTCTGAATTGTAGACCTATCAAGGCGTGGATATATGCAGACGAATGCTCTACTGTACAATATACAATGCGATGGCCGCTAAACCACTGTAAAGGTTAGCTAGCTTGATCCTTCATTGGACTCACGTTGATAGCACAAACATACATATATCTGTAGAGTCAGCGGCAACCTGGAAAGCTGGACTCACACTGCAGCAGAAGGAAACTTGCCAGTGTATCCGCTGTTCCTTCCGGATTATAGAGTTGTGTCACAACGAGCTGATTAGCAGCGGCCGGGGTCCCAGAAAGCAGGATGGCCACGAATGTCCTGACTGTTGGCGTGAGTAACCAGGCCTGAGATCGGTCCTACTTTTCTGGTCTGGAGGAAACATTTGCGTGTTTTTCTGCAGAGCTTGAACAACAAACCTGATGTTAACAGGATTAGCAATGCCTTTACTCACACGCTGAAGACAGGGATCAGGATCACTACATTAGCTGTGACTTGCGAATGCACATACTTTTAAGCGCCGTCATGGATACTATCGCCATGATTGGCAAGTCCCTCCAACGAGTAGGTATCTTTGAGGTCAGACACGTTCAGAGGTGCCACTCACCTCTAAGCGGGCGAAGCTAGAGCCCAGAACGATGAGAGCCATCGGGACAGTCACAGCTCCAAGATATGTTGTGGTCTGCAACAGGAACGACAAAGGCGGGTTTCCGTCGGGCGCGTTTGGCATGCGAGTCCCCGTCCACTCCGTTGTCTCTGTCAGGAGAGCTTTGAGAGGCTGAATGAGAGAGAACATGATGCCTAGCACGACTGCCCACGTGGCTATCGGGACGCCACGCAGAACTCGTAGACACAGGTGATAGAGGCGTTTACGTCCGCGACGCTGAGTACCAGTTGGTGCATCTCGGGATAGCGATGTTTCAGAAAGACCGCCGCTCGTACTCTCCTCCGGGCGGGACTTCAGATGGCACGGATTGGGGTGCGTTGGTAGCACAGCCAGTCGTTTCCTGTTGTTTGACCTCTCTTCGCTTTCACGAGGTGACGCGTGTAGCCATTGGCCCTTGTCGTCCGTGGAGGGACACCACAACTCGTCAACAGGACGACATTCTACGTCACGCACACCGATCACCGGCGAACCCCTCCGCAAGGGACTCATTATCTCTGTGAGCCTTGTTGCGCACCTCTTCAACGTGAGAAGCCTATCTTTCCAGCGATCTCTGAGGGGCGGAGGATCACCAATTATGTGCTGTTCTTCAAAATCCCACCCACAAAGCTGTTATCAGCGAGGAGTGAGGCAGAAGGCTCACTTTGTGGACTCCTAGTGTCCAAAAGCAGACGTTCATGACAAGCATGAAAATGCTGGGTGGTCAGCTATGCATGGGAGTTTTTCCGCTCACGCGATGTACGCGACGCCTAGATCCACATCGGTGGCTGGGTTGAATGGAGGCTCCTTGGCCATCGTTTGCACCACTGCAGTGGGCAAATTTCCTGACATCAGAAATCGGAATACTTTTGCAAGCAATGGAACCTCACCCCAGTTGGAGATAATCCCCAGATCAAGGACTCCCCATCGAAAATCGCGAGGGACGTAGAAGAGTTCTCGAATCACCAAGCCTCCGAGCAACCCGAGCAACTGATAAATGACCGCCATCATTGCCAGGGGACCGAATGCTGATATATTATCTGGTGTGAAGGCGGAAACCATGGAGCTGAAAATCAGGCAAGGCAGAGCAACATTCTTGCAATCAGCGTCGTTCTGAAATGACACTTACCATTGTGATGATGCTAATGCCCTTCGTGCTGCCCGGTGGTAAGACTCCTGTCTTGGACACCGTGAACCCAGTCAGAATGCAGAGAGCCATGTTCAGCGTTGGCACGAGTGCTATGATCAGCTGACAAGTCCGACCCGTACGCACACACCCTTGTAAATGATCTGTCCAGCAGATCCCCCAGCTGTCATTATGAGTTGAGTTCGTGACCGTGACAGTGCAGTGCATGTTTGCGATAGACGTGTGTCCATTTATGTGGTCACCTTGAGCAACTCCACCAGCTGAAATCCGAATATGGGGCTCGGCCGAGTGCCGATATCGGTGATATCCGAGGAGCATGGAGCACCGTGTCTCGGATCTTAATGCATTTGTACATGTTACTCTCCAAAATGCTCGAGCCATTCGTCGTCATCGTCCTCCAGAAAATCTAGGCAACCTGGCGAGCAGCCAAGCCATTGTATAGGTAAATTAGGAACTCCTGCAACTGTTACCCACTCAAACCGCTCCTCTGCGGCATCCAAAAAGATCCTTCGGGTCACTCGCACGTTTTCCTCCTCACCCTGTTGCCACTCTTGATGTTTTGGCGAGGGGCATGGGCGATAGTAGGGATTGTCCGAGGCATTGTCGGGCCGGAGTACTTCGTTGGATCGAGGGAAGAAATCTACACCGGCTCTCTCTCTCGCCATCGATGTGCAAGCACTGCGTACCGCCTGCAGAATCCGACCCAGGCCCTTGTCGCGCAAGGATGGCGGTAAAAGATCAGCAAGAGTCTCAACATCGAGCAGAGGGTGTGAACGGCCTCGTCGCCAGTCGTCCCAGTCGAAATCTAAAAACGGGGGTTTCCCCAGCGGTTGGCGAGGGGATAAGAGTACTGAAAGGCAAAGGGACGTTAAGCGTGGAACGGTACCCGGCTGAAGAGAGGCTTTCGGAGACAGTACACGGGGAGAACCGCCATCCTTCGCTTCCCTCGCGGGGGGTTCTCTCCATTTGTTGGGATGCGCTGCAAACTGTTCCAAAGGGAGCTCTGTGATGGCCGCCGGAAGATAGGACTGTAACGATGAGCAGGCTGCACACTACTACCCTCACGATATTGTTGTTGCTGATATTAAGCTCTTTCAGGTGAATGAGAGAACCTATGGCTGCCGGTAGACTGTCCAGCCTATTGCTCCCTGCCAGTCAGCTCGCAAACGAGGCTGAGTCTCACGAAGACTCAACACTGTTATGTTCCGGATCTCAAAAAGGGCGCTGGGCAGACTGTCCGTAAGTCGAGAATCCGTACGGAAACGTTACCTGGTCAACAAGTTGCGAGCAAGGTACACCGCAAGATTTGGTCGTGAGCCCTCCACTTTGTCGCCCATAGTGACAGCCCCAGTCCGGCTACGGGTGAACGTACGCGAGCCGTTGGCCTTGCGACCGGGAACTGATGCTCCCTCCTCAACGACCGCAGGGGGAAGCAGACCCCGAGCCCGCAGAACATGGTCTTGACCGCCTAATGCATCTGCGGAAGCAGGGGCTGATTGCGTTCGTGCAAACGGTCGGTCTCGAAGGCGGGGAACGAAGGGTGCACGGGGTGGAGAAGCTGTCGAAAGGGGCAGAGAGCGCAGACGCATTGGCGAACCTGTCGGGGACTGCTGCTGCAACGTAACCAGATCACGGAGATCAGCTATCTTTGTGGACAGCACTGTCAAGCCGCAGCCTCTGAACATCAGCTACTTCACCAGATATCACTCACGAAATATCGAGCTCGCACCTCGCATTATCAACACATTCGCCAACCTTTTTCTGAATCCACTCGTCACTTCCGATCTCTTGCTCAGCTGACCCATACGACAAGCGTCGACCAGTTCCGCTGGCGGCCAACGGGCGTGGAGAGCGGTCGTGACTGTACACTGGGGTCGGGAATGCAGCTGGTAGTCCATCCTTTTCACGTCGTACAGGTTTCGGTAGATGTTGCGTGGCAGATCCGGGCCCGTTCAAGTCCAGCGTCTCAAGTGTAGCTGCGAATGGCAATGGTCGAGAGGGTATGGAGTCCCAGTCGGGCATGGGCTTGGAGGCCGCCGAGAAGGGATCAACAACCATTGTCCACGGCCGCATCGAGCTGCGACCCCGCAGGTCGTCTAACTCGGTTTCGCTGATGGAAGCAAGGGTCAATTGTGCGCAAGAGAACGGTGCCATGGATCCTCGACGCGTTGGAGAGTCGCGTGGTGGCAAACCAAACGCGTCCCAGAGCAATTTTTACGTAAAAGAAGATGTGTGCATTACCCGCTGTTTAGCAATTACTAATCCCTTCTGGGGATGAATCCAAATGATTCCAGTGATAATTGCCACGTGGGAAAATCTTAAAGCGTCCTCCCAGGTATGCGCGATGAATCATCCGCATCGTCATCGTCGTCTACTCAGCTCCCACTGTCGCTAGATAGGGGAAGGCTTTCATCATAACTATTCTTTACCCAACTTCCTTCTTCATCTCACTTTCCCCAAGGATTTGAAGAACTGAGCATGTCTGATCCTTCCCAGGTAAGCTATCGGAGATCATCCCTTTTGATGCGCGCCCGGGAGGGCAAGGAAGGCTCGAAGTAGGTTGCTGACGCGAAGCCCACCGCAGATGACTCGACGGCGACGGCGATTCTTCGTCAGAAGAAGTCGTGAGTTTTTGTCACTGGTTTGCTTCCCAGTGTTGTACTGACAGCAGTCCTAACCGCCTGATGGTTGATGAGAGCCCTTCGGATGACAACAGTGTCGCTGTCCTCCACCCCAACACCATGGAGACCCTCGGGCTGTTCCGGTGAGTAAGCGAGTGTACTCAGAAAGTGGGGCAACGCTGACAAGTAGTGGCGACACCATCATTGGTGCGTGATTCGCCAAGTGGCAAAATTGCTGACTGTTCAGTGCGCGGCAAGCGTAGAAAGGACACTGTCCTCATCTGTCTGAGCCAGGATGACATTGAGGAGGGCAAAATCTGCATGAACAAGGGTTCGTCTTCAAGCAGTGAATGAAGTACTGACCTGTCCAGTGGCCCGCCAGAACTGTGCTGCGAAGCTCGGCGACCTGGTTCACGTTGCTCCGGCCAACGACATCAAGTACGGCAAGCGGTACGTATGGCTCGACCTGGGCGCAACTGACGTGACCAGTATTCATGTCCTTCCGTTCTCTGACTCTGTCGAGGGTTTGTCTGGCAACCTCTTCGACGTCTACCTGAAGCCTTACTTCCTCGAGGCGTACCGTCCCGTCCGCAAGGGCGATATCTTCCAGGTTCGCGGTGGCATGCGCACCGTTGATTTCAAGGTCATCGAAGTGGACCCTTCGCCGTACTGCATCGTCGCCTCCGATACCGTTATCCACACCGAGGGCGACGCTCTCGACCGTGAGGCTGAAGAGGCTGACCTCAATGCTGTCGGTTATGATGATCTCGGTGGCTGCAGGAAGCAGCTCGCGCAGATCCGTGAGCTTGTGGAGCTTCCTCTTCGTCATCCCCAGCTTTTCAAAGCCATCGGTATCAAGCCTCCCCGTGGTATCCTCATGTTCGGCCCCCCCGGTACTGGAAAGACCTTGATGGCTCGCGCCGTCGCCAATGAGACGGGCGCTTTCTTCTTCCTGATCAATGGTCCCGAGATCATGTCCAAGATGGCAGGAGAGTCGGAGTCAAACCTCCGTAAGGCCTTCGAAGAGGCCGAGAAGAACAGCCCCTCTATCATTTTCATCGACGAAATTGACTCCATCGCTCCCAAGCGTGACAAGACCAACGGCGAGGTCGAGCGCCGTGTTGTGTCTCAGCTCCTCACCCTCATGGATGGGCTGAAGGCGCGTTCGAACGTCGTTGTCATGGCTGCGACCAACCGTCCCAACTCGATCGATCCCGCCCTTCGCCGTTTTGGTCGTTTCGACCGCGAAGTCGACATCGGTATCCCCGACCCTACTGGCCGCCTTGAGATTCTGCGCATTCACACCAAGAACATGAAGCTCTCGGATGACGTTGACCTCGAGCAGATCGCCGCCGACACGCACGGCTATGTCGGCGCCGATATGGCCTCGCTCTGCTCGGAGGCTGCTATGCAGCAGATCCGCGAGAAGATGGATCTCATCGATCTCGACGAGGACACCATTGATGCTGAAGTTCTCGACTCTCTTGGCGTCACCATGGAGAACTTCCGCTATGCCCTCGGTGTGAACAACCCGTCTGCACTTCGTGAGACCGTGGTGGAGATCCCTACCACGACCTGGAACGACATTGGTGGCCTGGAGAAGGTTAAGCGCGAGCTGCAGGAGACCGTTTCCTACCCCGTCGAGCACCCAGAGAAATTCCTCAAGTATGGCCTGTCTCCGTCGAAGGGTGTTCTTTTCTACGGCCCCCCCGGAACCGGTAAGACTATGCTCGCCAAGGCGTAAGTACATTTATCTAGGTTACCATACTAACTCCTCCCCAGCATTGCGAACGAATGCCAGGCCAACTTCATCTCCATCAAGGGTCCCGAGCTGCTCACCATGTGGTTCGGTGAGTCGGAGGCCAACGTTCGTGATGTTTTCGACAAGGCTCGCGCCGCCGCTCCCTGCGTCATGTTCTTCGACGAGCTCGACTCCATCGCCAAATCGCGCGGTGGCTCTGGCGGCGATGCCGGTGGTGCCAGTGACCGTGTCCTCAACCAGATCCTCACGGAGATGGACGGAATGAACGCGAAGAAGAATGTTTTCATCATCGGAGCCACCAACAGGCCTGATCAGATCGACCCCGCTCTTCTTCGTCCCGGGCGCCTCGACCAGCTTATTTACATCCCTTTGCCCGACGAGGCGTCGCGGTTGTCTATCCTGGAGGCTACGCTCCGCAAGTCGCCCGTCGCACCTGGCGTGGACCTCGGCTTCCTTGCAAAGAGCACCGCTGGCTTCTCCGGTGCCGACCTCACTGAGATTTGCCAGCGTGCCGCCAAGCTGGCCATCCGTGAGAGCATCGAGTCTGACGTCCGCAAGGATCGTGAGCGCAGGGAGAAGGCTGAGGCTGCTGGTGGTGAGGGTGAAGTCGACATCATGGACGAGGAGAACGACGAGGACGAGGTCCCTGCCATCACAGTGTAAGTACCTGCTTGAAGCTCGGGCGCCGCTAACCTTTCAGTGAGCACTTTGAGGAGGCGATGAAATTCGCCCGTCGCTCAGTTTCTGACGCCGACATTCGCCGGTACGAGATGTTCAGCACGTCGCTTCAGCAGTCTCGCGGCTTCGGCAACAACTTCAAGGTACGGAAGAAAAGTAGCGTCAACTGACTCCACAGTTCCCCGAGGGCGATAACGCTGAGCAGGGTGGTGCTGCCTTCCAGAATGAGGCGGACGATGACGAGTAAGTGTTCCCGTCATTCGTTGCTGACCTTCTCAGCCTTTACGCCTGAGCACCGTGATCAGTCTGTTTGCATAGTTACCACCATGAATGAGAAGAAGCGTTCCGTAGAAAGTACATGAATATTGAAGTCTACCATGTGTTCAGTCAAACTTTTCCACTTCCACCAGTCAGTCTCCTCTCTGAAACCACCAGCCGCATGGAGACTCCTGATCACGGTAGTCGACCCTGCCCTCGATACTGCGATTCTCAAACAGCACAGGCAGATACATCTCTGCCTCTGGCCACTGAGGATGAGTTGTAGTCGTACGTGAGGATGAGGCTTACCATTTCGGTCCAAGGGAGCGAAGAAATATCATACCATGCGGGGACCATTTCATCCGTTCTGAATCGTTCAGCGGTCATTCACCGATGTCGCTCACTCAACTATCTCCCCTGTCCACTGACGAACCACATACAGGTGAATGTGGGCAACCACGGTGTTTGTCACTGCATGCCTAACAATCGCGATTCTACCGCGTTCCTCCAAGGCAGCTTCATCGACTACGAGTCCACATTCCTCCTGCGATACTATAAGCCAAAGGCAGGTCTGGCAGCACTCACTCTGATCTCGCGCACGACGCATTGGGCGAGCGATTCGTTCGGCTCCAACTTCCCTCCGAAACCATTTATTCTGACGAAGGTAAGCCATATCACAACTCGTATGGAACAGAGACGGAAGACTCCCGAACGGCACGCACCTACCCTTTCCAAAACCTCTCTTCTTCCTCCCAAGCAAAACGAGCGTTGGTGAAATCGGAGGGGCAACAATGAATACCAGAGGGAAGTGACCGTTTTCGCAGTTCTGCGGGCTCAGCCAGCCTTCCAACGGTTCCCGAAAGTGAAGCAACTCTTTCGCTGGGTCTGGTATGTCGAGGCCCAGCATGCAAACAACAAGTGTAGCTAAGGTACATGTTTGAAATTATATCGTGAGCTCGTTTGAAGTAATATCATGAGCTGCGTAACTACGCGACGTCACTTACGGGGCCCCGCGGGCTGACGTTTCATGCTAAGACCGGCTCGTCGAGATCATCGTCTTCCTTACACCGCATCCATCATGGACGAGCTTGCAAGAATTCCACCCGTAACGCGTTTTCTCGTCATCTCCACTGTTATAGTATCACTGTGAGCGCATGGGAAATCAATCGCTGACTCAAAGGTCGTGTCTAGTGTCGTTGATCCGGCCGTGGAGCGTAGGTTTGCTTGGCTGTGCTAGGCTAACATCAGATTGCGCTTAATTGGCCTCGGACGCTGAAGAGACTGGAGGTGAGCAAGCATATTCCAGTAGCATACCGATGCTGGGACACTGACTTGTCAGCTATGGCGACCTCTCACGGCATTCCTTTACGGAGGTGACGGTATTCAATTGATATTCAACATCTTCTGCCTGTACCAAATGTCATCAGCTTTGGAGTCTAACAGGTGGGTTTCGACTTCTCTAGTAGCACTAACCGAAGCATTTTTGGTGGCTCTGCATCTTATGCCTGGACGATCCTAGTACTTGCTGTGTTGATACTCGTGAGCGAATTCTCTCACCCGCGTAGTTAACCATGAGGCAGTTAATGCCATCAGCATCGGGGCTCCGGTTCTCTTCAAATCGCTGCTGAGCGCTTTGATATATCTGTGGGCCAGAGACAACTCGACCTCCAAGGTCACTCTGTTCGGACTTGTCAACGTACCTGCGCGAGGTGAGTCGCTGACCGGCCAGACCCTTGCTGACATTGAGTGTACCCTCTAGTTCTGATTTGCTTGGACGTCATTCAGACCTCTTCGCTTCGAGGAGCTTTACCGTCTGTCCTTGGTGTCATAGTTGGGCATGTTTGGTGCGTGTGGCTGCAAGAGCGTATCTGACTTCCGCAGGTGGTTCATCTCCTCATACCTGCCTACCAAGGCCCCCGTTCACCTGCGTCGCCCCAATCATCTGGCCATGCCAAGGTGGTTTCAGTCACTCTTTGACCGGCAAATTCTACAGCCTGCGCATCCTGAATCAGCTTCCGGGGCAACTCGTGTTGTCGGCAGTTCCCAACGTAGGCAGACTCCAGGGGAGGGCTCAACGGTCCGCCATCGCTGGGGATCAGGGCAACGTCTGGGCGCGGAGTAGGTCTGGAAGGCGACCACCCAGTCCGCTGAGTAGCTTGTATGAGACGCTAAGTTTGGTGATTCGCATCTTCCACGTCCCTGGGTTGCATAGGCACGATTCGAGCCACTAGTTGTGCGTTGGCAATAAGTATCTTGTGAGCTTGGCATTGCAACCGTACCCTCGTATACGCTTGGGCTCCACGTCTCCAGCTGCACGCCGAACGGCCTCAACATATGCATTTACCCGTCCATCCTGTTCTTCATGCTCCAGGTCACGAGGTCGGGAGACGGCTCTCGCAGATGCAAGGTCTCCCACGGTTGGTGGCCGGGGCGCCAGGCACGGTATTTTGCATCCGAGTGTGGAAAGGCCCGTCGTCTGGAATGGTCACGTGCAAATGGGCATCAATGGGGAACGGGTTGGGAGGAGTCACGTGACGGAGTGTTTACGTAAGCAAGAAGTGTTACGTAATATTGACTTTTAAAACTTTGACACCCGACGCTCCAGGACTACTTGGAACTGGCTTCCAAACTCGATTCTCACCCCGTTGCTCAGCATTAGGGGACCACTGAGAGAAGTTAGGAAGGAGGAAGAAAACACGCTCTCCGGATTTCAGGTCCTTCTCTTACGCAGCCGATGGCGGAGCTCAGGTAGCATGCCCATCAACCTGTCTTGCCGCACGGTCTCTCAAGGAGTTGTGGCACGTCCTGACTCCTCTCTTGCCCCCTCCCCCCCCCATGCTCCCATGCTGTTCAGAAATGCGTAGGACCCAAAATTTGAGCGTTCACGCAAACGTAGTAGCTGGATGGGGAAACAGCGATACATGACCCACTAAATGAGGCCCGCTATGTCATACGTTTAAACTCGCCAGCCCAAGCGCGGTGGGGTCACAAATCCCTTGCTTGAAGCATAGGCTGGAAGAGATTGCGGGACCCCAAAGGAAGCGATGGAACATTGCGGAATGATTCCAACGCGACGATGCGCTACCAGCCCCCCGGTCATCGGTCTCCTGAACATGTGAACTCCCACAGCTTCCAAACTTGTATAGCTCATCCCCTCAGGCTTCGAACCAAGCTCTTGCTATGGATGCAACAGCGATACTGAACGCATCGGGTAACCTGGGGTGGATCGTCTGCATGCATCAGATTAAAGGTTGCTTGGAGCGTTCCTTCCTTGCAATGGGAAGCATTGTGCAGCTGCCTAGGAAGCTGGCTTGTCCGCTCACGCCAACCGTGCCAGTTTGTGCCATCCGGAGATATGACGCAATCGTCGCCAGGCAATACACCTACGTGCATGAAACTTTTAAAGCAGGCGGGTGAGAACGGCATTGTCCCAGGCTGACGTGTGTTGTCAGGCGGTGGTGGGCGTCAGTTGGGCGCCAATTGACCTTTTGAGCCCTAAGGGATGCTGATGGCGTACTTCTTTAAAAGTTTTGACGGTCAAGCGACTGCTTTAGAGTTGGGACAAAGTGAACTTTGATATCTCCGAATGGCTTGGAATTTGAGACTGCCCACTTCACACGTTAGCCTGAACGTCTAATCATGCGCACACGGCATCCACGATAGACAAAGCATCCTTTACGAGCGTCTGCTGTTAACGCAGGAACGGTCGCTGACGCGTATCAGCGTATCGAGGATCATGGTAAGGCCGTGTACGTACCGACTCGCGCAGGGCGAAGGGCCGTGGCTGGTATGGAACGGCATAGCAGAGCATGAGAGCATCCACTGGATAGAGGGCAGGCAAATTCTGAGTGGCATCTTGAGCGCCTGGTATGGCACATCATCTTGCCACTTATAACAGTGGGTGGTGAACTGCTGGGCCAAAATTGGCAACTCCGCTACACTTACCCTCCGAACCATTTAGGAATGGCTTATGGGACCAGACCATGTGAGGAACGGCTTCTCGGACTCGGGACTGCCTTGCAGTGCAGAGAGGCAACATGCATCGACAGTACAGGCGGCTGGGCCAGGCTATCCGAGTGTATAGTCTCGAATAGCAGTGTGCTGCACTATAATCCACTAGGGCTAGCTCAGTGGTGTTCATTACTTCCATGAGTATAGCCTCGAATAGCAGTGGAGTATGTTGGGAATCAGAAAGAGCACTATGATCGGTGAACGACGCGAGCGTGTGACCTTGCTTGGAGTCTCGAATGGCAGGGTGCTACACTATAGCCCAGAGTATCAGAGCAAGATCTCTGAGTTGTCGGGGAAATTGCCATTGAAACCCGCTCTGTAAGCCCGGGATATGGTAGCGCAGATCGAGCTATACCTGACAGTCCAACTACGGTGTCCAGATCTTCGTAGTTAGTGGAGTAATGGCCAACTCCAGTGACTGATAGACCGAAATTCTGAATTGAATCATGTAGCAACGCCCACAACCACGCGGAGGCCAGAGACGTGGAGCTGTACGCGTAGTCAGGAGTCGAAGCCGGCCGCTCGACATCTAGGTAGGTAAGAACAAACCGCGTTGGAGGACACCTTCGCTAAAATCGCACTTCCCCACGGTGTTAGTCCGCGATGACCGTGGGAAGTCTGCTGCGACCACGAGTCTCGATCATCCACTAGCATCTGCGACCGTGGGAAACAATGAATCAGCCTGAGCCCTCCTCCGACTTCGACTTGAAATCATCCACTTTGAGGTAAGTTGGGATTGCGAATGCCCCGTCGTGCATGCGATCGTGCATCAAGCGAGAGTAAGAGCGTGCCCAATAACGCCTGGCCATTCTCAGCGCCGTCCAATTCGTGAGAGGCCATGGGCCACATCCTGATTTCGAGGTCGGAGCTCAGATTCCCTAGAACCATGCTTTCCCACGGTCGATCAGTGGGAGCGACGACGGTTATTTGCCCCAGGAAGCAACTTTCCCCAGCTCGGGTTGCCTTTAGAATCATGTTCTTTTCCTGACTTCGCCCTTCGGCAGCATTTGGCGCCACCGCCTGTCTGTCGCCTGGCCCCGAACTTCTCCACGCGTGTACTCCTCATGTGCCCTCCACATTATCTTGCGGACCCCTCAGTTTAGCATCGACTGGCTTGACACACCAGCCACCTTCCGCTCGCGTGGCCATTACTAATTCCTCATGAGTTCGAACTAGCAGTAACTGAACGCCGCTGGGCGGCCACCGGTCATTGTCCACTGAGCTAGCCCTAGTTGGTTATAGTGCAGCACACTGCCATTCGAAACTCACTGCCAGTCGTCTTGTGAGAACAGGACCAACCAAAGCGAGAAGATCCAGCGTTCGAATCTTGACAAAAGCAGTTCTCCAAATTTCAGTCCACGTGATTTGACAGGCACCGGATAATCTTCGGGATTTCTGAAAGTGGAGGTCACTAAGCGTCGCTGCCTTGGTCCATGAAGGTCGAAGGCTTGTGTCGATCCGTCACAACACAATCACTCTCGCCATGCAGACAAACGACCCAGATTACTTGTTCCAGACGACCTCGGAACTCAGCAATGCTGAGAGACGGGAACGAAAGCTCAAGGCAGCCGAGAAGGTCGGAGACCCCATCAAAGTGTCCAGCAAGGTGCTGGATCTCCTGGTCGATGACCAGCTCGCATGGACTGCAGAGTCGGGCTGGCAGGCACGGAAGATAAACTTGGCGGTGAGATGGAGAACTTTGGCCTTTACTGACGATAGACGGGCAAGACTACCATGCTCTACAAGGGGCACAAAGGGCCAGTCACGAGTGTGCAACTCTTCAAGGTTGCCGGCGAGACACCCTGGCTTGCTCTCATCACCTCGTCGTGGGATAAGACTGTCAAGATATGGGATGCAGCGGTAAGATCCCCGATAACTCATTGACTCATTTTTCAGACCGGGGAGTGTAAGTTCACTCTTCAAGGGCATCAGGACTTTGTGAAGAGCGTGACGGTGCTTCCCACCTCTCCGCCGACGTTGCTTTCGACGTCCTCGGACAAGTCGTGTCGGCTTTGGGACCTTTCCGCTCTGAGCTCGAATGAGGAACCCACAACTATCCAAACCATCAAGGATCATACACGCCCCGTGGACTCGGCGGCGTATTGGATCCCGGAAGCGGGTGCCCAGGACAACATCATTGTATGGACGTCTGATTCCTTGGGGGTCATCAAACGCTGGAACCTCATTAAAGTAAGTCACAAACTGTGTGAATCAGTGCTGAATGTCGCTCGCTAGGCTGTCGGAAGCACACAAACACCTATGAAGTTCGTTGAAGACCTCAACACCCACGACACCAGCGTCGGTCAGCTTTACCCGACAGAGGACGGCATCTGGAGCGGTATGTGCTCGTTCCTGATTGCGCGGCGCTGACACGTTGCAGTGTCCATGGACAAGACCGCCCGCTTCCATGGTGATCCCTCAGTCGTGCTCAAGCACCCCAGCTACGTAAAGTCATTGCTTGCTCAACCGTTTGGGCTGCCTTACATCCTCACGGGCGCAGAGGACGAAGAGGTCCGAATTTGGGATGCGGCCAACCTGCAAGCCACGAAGAACCAACCGATCAGTATCGTTTCTGGCCATTGCGGTGAGGTAACCGCGATTGTCCCGTGGTTGAAGGCTGAGAACGGGAAAAGCATCCCACACGTGGTTACCGCTGGCCTTGATGGCACGGTGAGAAGGTGGACCATACAAGGTAGGGAGGAATTGTGGGCCGTCGACGCTGACAGGGACAGAGCTGCTTCACCCCCCTAAGCTTGATTATGAGCCTGCTTCGCAAGACAGTGTTGCTCTGACGGAGGAAGAGGAGCGCGAACTCGCTGAGCTGTTGTCTGATGACGATTAATTGTACAATCAAAATGCATACTACCACATCAACAAGCCTGCTCGCCCGCGGCATCCATGACTCGCCCCACGTAACTTTCCAACTGCGGCATTGAGAGTAAAGCATTCTTCAGGGGTGAACCGTTGGGGAGCAAATAGATGGGGTGCACATAGGCCGTAATTAGAGCATCGAGCGGTGTCGGCGCGCTGTGACGTTAGGAATGGTTACACGAAGGAAGCTCACGCGGCTCCCAGAGCCCAATGCTTGGGATCGACCTTAGATGCCAAGGCCGACAGTGCCTCAACTCCTCGATCGATCAAGGTCGATTCCTGAAAGCAACGTGCGTCCCCCGTTAAGGACGCTGGCAGAGGTGTAGCCAACCCAGCACTCAATGAGGGCGGCTCAGCGGCCAGAAGGACGACGTTTTCCGAGGTTGACACGCTTGCAGACAAGAGAAGTGCCGGCTTGATCCTCCCGAGTACCAGCTTTGCGAGAGCCACGGCACCATCGAATGCAGCCTGGGAAGGCATTCCGTGCAGCCTGATGTTAGAATGCCTCGTGGCTGAAACAAAACGCTCACTCTGCGTCCCTCGACAGCTTATGTGTGCCGTCGAGCCAAGTTCGTATATCATGGTGAGGGACCAATCGATTTCCAGAGGTGAGATGTAACGTCGGCAAGGCACCCCCGGGTACTGCAGTTTCGTTGGTCCAAATCCTCATGTTGACCGGAATGCCTCTCAGCAACAAGAGTAGCTGTGCATGAAGAGAGGCCGGATCGGGTGACGCCCAAGCGTGTTTGGCATCGTTCGCGGTGCTGGGCTTTCCTCCATGGACCTGTCGGAACATTAGTGCCTGTATGAGCTTCCGCACTCACCCAGAGCGTATAATCTTTTCCCCTGCCAGCCGGCGTGGCATTCTTCCAGTCCAACGAGTCCTCCGGCTCAAGGACAACGAGCGGGAATTTGGAGTAGAAGCGGTTGACCCAATCTGGAGCTGAAAGCATGGCCGTCGGATGAATGGAAATGTCGGTCAATGAGTGCCTCCAAGCGTTATGTCATGATTCCATTCCCTGTTCTTTATTCGGTCCCCCGATTCGTTCCGATCCATGCGGCGATCAGTGACGCCATCCACCCACCACGTCCTTAACCCAACTCATCCCCACCGCTATCGATAATCTCGACAACCATCTGATTGCCGGTAACTAATCCATACGTTTCACGCGTGGAAACCTTCTAGGTGAACACCACTGCGATGGCTGCTCCTCTATCTGCTCAAGAGCAGCAGTACTTTAACCGCCTGTTCGAGACTGTCAACAAGGACGACGTAAGTCTTCGTAGTCGACTGGGACTGACGCCTCAGAGTGGAGTACTTCCGGGTTCGGACGCCCTCCCATTTCTGACGTCGTCTGGACTGCCTCAACAGACTCTGGGAGAGATATGGGCCATAGCGGACCCAGACAACAACGGCTTCCTTACCAAGGATGGCTTCTGTAAAGTTGCACGCTTGATCGGTTGGGCGCAGTCAACCGGGCAGACGCAGGTCGATCCATCGTTAGCGGCTAAACCCGGCCCACTGCCCTCATTCAAGGGCTATCCTGGTCCTCCTGTGTCTGTTTCTACAAGCCCGTTGTCTCCCACCGCAACGGGTGGGTCATTGCCTCCTCTAAGCCCCGCGGATCGCACGAAGTTCACTCGGATCTTCGTAGGCTGCGGCCCAGCGAATGGGCTCGTTACTGGCGAAAAGGCCCGCAATGTCTTTCTGAAGAGCAAGCTTCCTTACGACAAGCTGGCCCAGATTTGGTGCGCAACTGCTCCAGACCAGAGCTGACCCCCCAGGCAATTGGCGGATACTCAAGATCGAGGCGCGCTGGACCTTACCGATTTCATCATCGGCATGCATCTCATCCAGAGCTGCATGGCAAATCCGACCTTACGCCTGCCCGCGTCACTACCACCGGGTTTGTACGAGGCTGCTTCCAACGGCCGTCCTCCGCCATCGGTGGCACATGGTGCCCGGCCCACAAGCCCTATGCAAGCCCAAACTACGGGGTCTCTGCAAAGACAGCCGACCGGTACTCTGCAACCACAGATGACGGGCCAAAGCTTCTCAGCTGCCACGAACACTCCACCGCGCTCCGCTACCATGACTCCAAGCCGGCAAGGGTCCACTGCCATTCCTTACAACGCGTATGGTGGTGGTGGGCACAACCGTGCCGGCTCTAGTGTCACCGAGCCTTGGGACGTGACTCCGGAGGCCAAGGCTACGTCTGACCGATTCTTTGCGCAGCTGGACCCCCAGAACAAAGGCGTGGTCGAGGGAGACGTAGCTGTGCCCTTCATGCTCCAAAGCCAACTAGATGAAGGAACTCTGGCCAGTATCTGGTAAGCCAACGGGGGTTAGCATATCTGACGGTTCAGGGATCTCGCCGACATCAGACAAGAAGGCAAACTCGACCGCGACGAGTTCGCAGTGGCCATGCATCTGATCAATGCCAAGCTCGCGGGTCAAGATATTCCCACTGCGCTGCCCAACAGCCTCATTCCCCCAAACTTGCGAGGTTCGCAAACTGTTGATCGCCCCGAGGTCACCCAGCCATCTTCCGCATCTAAAGATTTATTCGACCTCTTCAACGACTCTAACGAGATTGCGCCCTCGGCTCCGGCCGGAGGTGTTTCGGCGGCAACCGCGTTCCTGCCTCAACCTCCATCGCGGCGCAGTACAGGTACAGCGTCCTCTCGGCAGCTTCCTGCCACTCGGGGAGCTCAGACCCCTGAACCCTCTTCCAACTCTTTCGGTAAGAGGTCTCTGGAGACATTTCACGCTGACGTCGTACAGCCCCTGCTTCTCAGCCAGCTGGGGACCTATTGGGAGACGACGCCGCTGCCAGTGTTCCCGAGAAGTCAGCTGACATTGGCAACAAGAAATTGCAGCTAGAGAACACCACCCGAGGGCTCTCACAGTTGGAGAAGACTAAGTCCGAGCTCGAACAACAGGAGACAACGAACGCCGCAGACTTGCAAACTCTGGAACGCGAGTTGGCATCCGCACGCTCCAAGCATGAGACGGAAACGAAGGCGGTCTCTGACCTGCGTGTTCGCGTCGGAGAGCAAGCCGCCCAACTGAAACAGCTCAGAGCTGATGTCATCTCCGCGGAGAGCGACCTGAACGCAATGCGCATGGAGAAGGATGAACTTGAACAATCCTTCCTCCGTGACAAGGAAGAGGTCCGCGGTTTGCACAAGCAAGTCAAGGAGCTGGAGGACGAGAAGACTGGTCTGAAGTTGCTGTTGGAGAAGGTTCGCAAGGAGGCTCGACAGCAAAAGGGTCTCGTTTCAATCGCGAAGAAACAAGTATCCACTGCAGAGGCTGGACGAGATGCGGCTCAAGCAGAGGTTCGCAACGCCGAGCAAGCAAACAAGGATTACGAGTCGTCGCAGGCGGAAGTCACTCCTGCTTCACCGCTCTCCACTCCGAGAGCTTTAAGTCCCAACGCAACCGGTGCTTCGCAACGATCCACCAATCCCTTCGAGCGCTTCCGCACTCCGTCTGCTGACATGTCACCGGCGCGTACAGCTGAGACTGTCCCCGGAGCGCTGTTAGCAGGCGCGGCCTTGAGTGGAGGCGCGGCCGTGAGTGGGGCCGCGGCTGCAGGTGGGGTCACTGCTGGGCCCGACACTCAGTTCGACCAAGGCTCTGCCGAGTCTACAGAATCACGCGAACGCGACCCCTTCGGAATGCACTCAACTGCTTCTGCAGCAGTCCCTGTTGTGGGCTTTGATGACTCGTTCAAACAACAGGTCCCCGCTGTGGGTTTTGATGATTCATTCAGCCAACAGGTCCCCTCTATTACGGCCCAGACCCCCACAGATTTCGATTCTGCGTTCGCAGATTTCGACACGGAGGACACTGCGCCTCCGGTGGATAATATCGCTCCAGCCGTTGCCGATCCGTCCGGGCCGTCGGCGGCGGAGGCAGAAACAGACCTGGGCCGCCCAGAGCAGCATGACCGGTCTCTGTCTACGCAGGCTATCCCACCTTCGAGTCATCGTGCGACCCCCCTCTCAACGGAACAGCATCCCGGGGAGCAGCCTTCTGCCGAACATCCTGAGGCAAACAATGCCGAGCCTATCGCCGCGACGGTTTCAGGCGACGCCGAGTCTTCTGGCGATGAAGAGGGCCCGGAAGACGTTGAGGGCCCGCGACGTACCTACGGCAAAGAGCATCGTTCGCCTTCGTTGGAGGCGGCGCCCCAGGCAGCATCGGTTGATGCAGATGCGGAGCATCCTGCTGCGCGTGTTCGTCGCCATGCACCGCCTCCCCCTGCAGGACGCCAGAGTAGCCGCTCCGACTCCGTGGCCACCCCGTCGGCCGATGAACGGACCGCAATCACGTCCCCTCTATCAGTCGCCTCCGGTACCGTTGATCCTTTTGGAGCACCCCTAGACGCTCCCCCGAGGTCATCGGTAGACCGCCAGCCACAGGCTGATGCAAGCAAGAGTGATTTCGGGGAGTCTTTCGATCCCCTCAGTGCCAACCCTGGCCCTTCAGCGGTCCAGACGAGTGGCACGCTCGACGTCCCTGGTGCTTTCCCTGCCCCAGCGGACGAGTCGCTCGGTGCCCCCAAAGCGTCTGAGTTCGACGACGAATCTGAGTTCGATTTCTCAGATAAGCCTCCCACAGCGAATCAGGCCGCGCCGGCGATCAACCTGGGTGTCCCAGGGACACACGATCTCCCTGCCACTCCGTTTGGACAGCCCCCGAAGGAACAGGAGGAGCCTCAAGATGTCTCTCAGCTCCGGGCCGGTACGGAGCAACAGCCGCCGCAGCAATCGCAGCAACTGGGACAGCAGCCCGTAGCCAATGCGTTCGACGACGAATTTGCCAACTTTGATGAGGACTTTGGCGACTTCCCGTCTCAGCCGTCGCTGCCCAACTCGACTTCAGACAACAACAGCTCCATGCTTCGTAGCTACGAGGTGGTTGGTCCGGACCACGTGAAGCAGATGGGAGACGGAGGAATGGATGCGTGGGGGGTCTCCAACAGCTATAACTCGGGGACCGCGAGTCAGCCTTCGGCGCTCTCGTTCGATGATGCGTTCGGAGGAGAATTCACTCCCGCCCCGTAAGTCTGATGTGCTTGGAGTAGTATACTGACTGCAGCTCGACAGGACCTGAAAGCGGTGCTGCTCCGGTAGAGCAAGCCCCGGCGGCTACTCCACCTATTCCCGCCCGTCCCAAGCCACCCTCGGCTCGACCGAGCAACGACGTGCCACAGGCGGACGATTTAGAGGACGTCAAGCGTGTGAGTTTGTCGCTGGGAGAGTGTAAACGGTAAACGGTACTGACACTCGATAGCTGTGTTCCATGGGTTTCCCGCGGTCCCTAGTGGTCGAAGCACTTGATGCCAATGGCTATGATTTCCAGAAGGCGCTGAACGTCCTCCTCGTCAAATAACAATGAATTAGAAGAAAGAATGATATGAATGAATGAAGGAATCTCCCTGCATGCAGATCTAAACGTTTCACTGGATGTACTTGTAAGGGTTGAGGACACCCTTCGGATCGAACAGGTGCTTCAGCTTGCGCATCAGATCGATGGACACGTCGGACTGGGAGTAATGGACGTGGGGTGCTTTCATGACTCCGAGGCCGTGCTCAGCGGAGATACTACCCGACTTCTCAGCTTTACGTTAGCTGTGCCCTACTCTCTTCCACAAAACACTCACAGACAATCTCGTACACGTAGGGTTCGATGGCTTGTTCAATCTCGTCCGTGTACTTGTCGGCAACGATGTTCAGGTGGAGGTTGCCTGCTATCAGCGGTGACAAATGCTCACGACACTTACCGTCGCCCATGTGCCCATATCCTACAACAGCACGGATAGGGTCACCGGCCGCTCCATCACCCTTGAGCAGCCCCCTCTCGCGGAGCCTCTCCCTCATCTTCTCCACGATCTCGTACATCTCGCCAACGGGCACGGAAAGATCGTATTTGTAGACGGCCCCAGCTTTTCCGCAAGACTCTGGAAGGAGTTCACGGAGTGCCCAGATAGATTTAAACTGCGTGTCGTCTTGGGAGAGTACGCCAGTCAGGACCTTGTTCTTCTCCATAAGATCCTCCAGCAGGTTGCCGAGTTTCTGCGACTCGTTAGCGACGTTCCGCTTCAAGACACACCTCTGCGTCGTGCTCAGCATTACTGCCACCGGTCTCGATAAGGCAGTAGAAGGGACCTTCCTCCTCGAAGACCTCACGTTCCACGCCATTTTCCTCGAGAACCTTGCGGACAAGCGTGTAAGCTTGAGCATCCCAAAACTCGAATGCGGAAAGGATCTCGCCGAGATACTTTTTGGCGTCCGCAAAGACCTCTTGGACACCTTCGTACGAAGAGACAGCAAACGCGGCGACGTTCTGGGCTGTAGGACGACGGGGGCAGAGAATGGAAACCGCCGTAATGACACCCAAGGAGCCCTCGGAACCGATGAACAACTGCTTCAGATCAAGACCTTCAAGTTAGCACGTCTACAGAGTACGTGACGCACCGGTGTTGTCTTTCCTCAACTTGCTCAACCCGTTCCAGATGGTGCCGTCCGGGAGGACAACCTCGAGACCTAGAACTGTGCCGTGCAGAGAACCGTAGCGGAGAAGGCGCAAGCCTCCTGCGTTGGTCGCGACATTGCCGCCAATTTGACAGGAGCCCTTGGCTCCGAGGTCGAGAGGGAAGATGAATCCTTGCGATTCCAAGAAGTTGTCAGTGGTCTCGAGGATCGCTCCGGCGTCAACAACAAGAATGCCGGAGACGGGGTCGAACGAGCGGACCTTGTTCATGTTTGCCAAAGACAGAACCACCTCGTCGTGGATTGGAACACCACCACCTGGCGTCAGTGTTCACAGCATCCAGTCACCCACCAACAAGGCCTGTGTTTCCGCCCTGGGGAACGACTGCGATATTGTTCTCATTGCAGAACTTCATGATGCTAGACACTTCCTCCGTCGTCTTTGGCTTGACAACGACCTGGCTGTGACCGTGGTATTTATTCATCCAATCGTTGTTGAAGTTGGCCAAGTCGTCGGCCGTCGATGAGCCATCCAGGGTGGTAAGCAGAGAGGACGGCGAGCCAAGCATAGACCTCATTTGCTTGACATGATCCTCGGTGACCTTGGTGAACGACGAGTTGCGGTCCGGCAAGTGGGAGCCGTAGCGGACGGAGCGGGCGAGAGGGGCCCTGAACACAGGCCTGGCAGGCGCGGACAGCGCGACCCTCCTGGTTGCGCCGAGAGCTCGTGCAAATGAGCGAACGGTTGACATTTGGGGAGTGAGAGAGTTGTCGACAAGAGTTCGAACGTCTCCGGTATGATGTCTCGAGAGTTCAGCGTTGGGGCACGCCATCGGAATCAATCATTAGCGAAAGATACCGCATTACCGACTCGGCCTCGGCAATCCGCTCGAGACGACTACGCTTCCATGACGCTTTACATCTGGCTTTACAATTTACATAGAGCTAGCTATCTTCTGCACAGTGCATGTCGCAGCGCTTTACTTGCGGTGAGTCTGGTAGAAGTGGATCAGACCAGTGGTCTGCTTATTAGCACGTTTAACCAATCATGACTCACGGAGCTGTCGTGTCCAGTGACATCCTTTTCATTGGGGAGCTGCTTCAGAATGGCCTTGGCGAGAACCTGCCGTCAGATAAGGGCTTGTGACTGACACCCACCTTGCCCAACTCAACGCCCATCTGGTCGTAGGAGTTGATGCCCCAGATCGCGCCCTGGACATGAATCTTGTGCTCATACATGGCGATAAGAGCTCCGAGGGTCCCCGGGGTGAGTTTCTGGAACATGATCGAGTTGGTGGGGCGGTTGCCCTCGAAAATCTTGGACTTCACGAGAGCACTGTTCTGCGAGGCCTTCGGGCCGAGCTCCTTGATGACCTGCTCCTCGGTCTTGCCAAACGCAAGAGCCCTGTTTGTCAGCGACGAGGTCACTTCCACACTCACTCGGGCTGGGCGAAGAAGTTGGAAAGCAGAATCTCGTGGTGCAGGCCACCGCGAATGGGGTTCAACGTCTCAACGGGGGCGATAAAGTCACTGCAGGTCAGTGGCAGCGCAATCATCACACGTACCAAGGAATGAGCTTGGTTCCCTGGTGGATCAACTGGTAGAAAGCATGCTGCCCGTTGGTTCCGCTTTGGCCCCAGATGATGGGTCCCGTCTGGTAGTTCACGCGTGAGCCGTCCTTGGTCACCGACTTGCCGTTGGACTCCATGTCACCCTGCTGGAAGTAGTCTGCGAACTTATGCAGGTACTGGTCATAGGGCAGCAGCGCCTGCGTCTCGGCACTGTAGAAGTCGTTGTACCAGACGCCGATGAGCGCCAGGATGACGGGCAGATTCTCCTCCAGCTTGGTGTTCTTAAAGTGCTCGTCCATGGCGTGCGCACCGCTGAGAAGCTCGTGGAAGTTGTTGTATCCGATGCTGATGCAAATCGAGAGTCCGATGGCCGACCAGAGGGAGTAGCGACCACCGACCCAATCCCAGAACTGGAACATGTTGGCCTCATCGATGCCGAAGGCCGTCACAGCAGCAGTGTTGGTGGAAAGAGCGACGAAGTGCTTGGCGACAGCGGCCTTGTCCTTGGCCGACTTCAAGAACCACTCCTTTGCGGTCTCGGCGTTGGTGATAGTCTCCTGAGTGGTGAACGTCTTGGAAGCCACAATGAACAGAGTCGTCTCGGGGTCGCAGACCCTGAGGGTCTCAGCCATATCCGTGCCGTCAATGTTGGAGACGAAGTGCATGGCGATGTCGCGCTTGCTGTAGAACTTGAGAGCTTCGGATACCATGACGGGGCCAAGGTCAGAGCCACCAATGCCAATGTTGACGACGGTATTGATGGGCTTTCCAGTGTATCCCTTCCACTCGCCGGAACGAATCTGCTCGGTGAACTGCTGCATGTGGTGGAGCACTTCATGAACACCATCGTTTGCGCCCTCCTCCTTGAACGTGTATCCACCCTGGCTGGCAGGTGGGTTCCTGAGGGCAATGTGAAGCACTGCGCGGTCCTCGGACGTGTTGATGTGCTGGCCGGCGTACATCTCGTCGCGGTACTTTTCGACATCGGCTTCGCGGGCGAGGGCGAAGAGGGCCTTCAGAACCTCATCATCGACGAGATTCTTGGAGTAGTCGAGGAGGATGTCGACATTCGGGTTGTCCGACTTGAACTGCAGCGAGTGCTTGGCAAAGCGCTCCGGGTCGGCAGCGAAGAGGTCCTTGAGCACGAGCTTCGGACGCTTGGCCTCGTAGAGCTCGTCGAGCTTCTGCCACGACGAGTATTCTTGCGGTCAGCACGAAACCATCTGTCATATGTAGCATACTCACTTGTAGCGAGCTTGCCGGTGGCCATGTTTGCCTTGTTTGGACGTCAGAACTGATCAGAGAAGAGAATGGGAGATGGTGGGAAATTGAGATGGTGGACAGCCGTTGGTATTAAGAGGATACGGACAGCGTGCGCTTCTCAGAGGTTGTGTAATCACCGAATGATCGATGACGCTGCCGTGGGGGCAGGCCGTGAGCTTCAGCCCGGCCCGGGGCGGAGGGCTGCCGCCGGGAGAGTAACCACGTCGGTATGTCAACTACGTCAAAGTCCCGAGGTCAGGTTTGTCAGGCGGATCGTTATGTCCGCCCAACCACCCGCCCAGATTAGGCGTGCCTGAGCCATAGTCCGCTGTTCAGTAGGGAGGAGGAAGAGAGGGGGGGGTTGCATTAGGGCATTAGGCAGCTGTAGAACTGCATGTTGGCTTCACCCTGACCTGACTGAACCCTGGCAGACCCCAGTGTCGCTGGTATCGGAGACGTCGGTGGCAACCATCAGCTCACGGTCAACAGCGACGCGCTATGAGCGTCGCTGCCAGCGTACTCCGCGGTGACAAGCAGTCATTATGCGCAGTCACGCCTGGGTTCACAGGTCGTCATCCTTGGAGACATAACGACTAACGGATCACGCCGCTAGTGGAACGGGGGCAAATTCGTCCTCCACCACACACACTGTATGACGATTGTTGCCACAACATGAACGACTTCGTTGCAGACTCGTTGTCTCGATCGTTTTCTACACCATTTAGCGCAACTCCATCTCTTTCACCTCTGATACCTGATACAATCGCCCAATCTCCCCTCTCAGCTCCGCCGTTCGGCACTTCGCGCTACCCGCGTCAATTCGAAGTGATCTCACACTGCATCGCTGAGCCTCACGACTACACGCGAGTTGCGTTGTCTGCCGATAGAACACCACACCCAATTCCTTTCAACCGCAGCGGACCCGTGCAGAATCATGCCCGATCCATCTGCGTCGGACCAATCGCGCTTCACGGCGTACGCGAGCAGGTATCTTGCGGATCCTGACCCTTCGAGTGGCAATGCTGTAACGCCAGTCGCAGTATGTTATCGCACCTACCCAAGCGATCTGACTAACGTTTAGCACGACGGCGACAGACCAACCCCGTCTTCAGTGTCGCACGACCCTTTTCTGGCCTCTCCCAGCGCTTCGAAGAACGGACCCCGCCTCCACGAATCGGCTACATCACATTCGACACCTTCCCGGTCATCGACGCCGCCGTTCCCAGGCCCCGGCATCGACGGCATCCCGTCTATCACTGATGACACCTCGAGCTCAGCAGGTGGTTTGCTATTTGATGGTACTCTGAGTGGTGGGACAGCCACAGATCATGGGACACATCGCGCTGTGCCCGACCCGTATGGACCTTCCTCAGACAGTGAAGGCGAGATAGAAGCCGATCTCGATCGTGTCGCCGCCATGCGCCGCTCGTTGAGAGGCGGAGCATCGGCAGCCCCAGGGCAGGCTGGCAAAGGGAAAAGGGGCTGGCTGGCTTATCAGAGCGTGTTCCCCTCGTCCTCCTCCAGTGAATCATCTCAAAACTCGAAGGATTCTGACCCCGAGGAGGATGATAGCTTTGGCTACGAACGCGCCCCGCAAGGCTACCATGTCGGCGCTGTTCCACAGCTCGATGGTGATCGCTCTGCCTTGGAAGAGCCTTTGCTGGGGGCCGACGATGTCGCTCATTTGACAACCCGAGTACCAGTACGATTACAAGTATACAGGGGTCGGTTTGGACATTGGGAACGAGAGGGGCTCCGGAAGTACCGAGGTGAGCTACTTGGGCGCGCGAAGCCTGACATGCAGACATCAGCTTTTTAGCTCTATGGCTCTTCAGTCTTGTGATGCTCTTCGTAGGACTGATGGTGGTGTGGGGATCGACAGACGTAAGGTATCGTGGAAGCGACGCTGACAGGAGCAGGCTCCAACGAAACCAAAGCGGCCACCACCCTCGATCTTGCCGCTTATGCCGCTACTTCTGACTCTGCTTATTCCAGCTATCGCTATGCCCCCAGCATTCCTTTTCCTCCTGAGCAAGACAGTACGCCCAGTTCTGCTCTCAACAGCGGTTGTCATTCCCTTTTCACTCTTCGTGTGTGGCTGGTGGGCGATCGGAGCCAGCTTTGAAAGGATAAGTGAGCCGGACACGGGTGGATCGTGGTGGGCGACCGCTGGGCTACGACTTATGGCCATTCTTACCTGGCTTCTTGCCGCTTGGTTTGCCAGGATGCTGTGGCTTCGCCGCGAGCGACTGAACCGCACAGTCTCGGTCGTAGAGGTATGTCTAAGGTACATGGACAGTGATCTTACGAAACAGCTTTCGACCCAACTCCTGCTGCGCCACCCGCCTCTTCTCATCATGACGCCTCTCCTCCTGGCAACATTTGCGGTTGCGTCTATACCGTTTATGACCTTGCTAATTCGCCTGGGGACAATCGGTTACTGGAGACATCCGTGCGTGCATCATTGAGCAAAACTGATGTCAGACGCGAGAACACTTGGGTTTTCCATCTCCGCCCGTATGCTGGCTGGCTAATGCTCCTCGTAACAGCAGTCTGGGTTTGGTCCTGGGGTGTCATTCGTGGTGTGGGTCGGGTGGCCGTGGCGGCCGTTGTTGGCGAATGGTACTTTCATCGGTAAGCTTTAAGCAGCCGCGTTGGCTGACGTACAGCGAGAGCTTCTACGATCCCCTCGAGATCACCACTGCTGCTGCTCATCGAGCCACGGGTACCTCCCTGGGCAGCATTTGCCTAGGATCCCTCATTGTAGCGTCTGTCCGGGTCATCGGCCGCGCGGCGAGCGAACTGAAGGGCCTAACGACTCCTCGCCGTCTTCCGAGGTCACTGTCGTTCATGGCTCGGCTCATGCCGATCTTTTCAGTGGCAGCTAACATAATGGATCAAGTCAATGGCTATGCCCTCGTCTATGTGGGCATCACTGGGGAAGCCTTTTGGCCCAGCGCTCGTCGGGCGGTGGGGCTTGCCAGTCGCCGACGAAGCGGCCAACTTTTGGATTGTAAGACCGTGGAAACGAGATGGAGCTGACTGCAGACACCCTGATCAAGCTCTTATTGACGCTGAGCTCGACGGCGACGGCCCTCTTCACTGCCACAGCCGGCTACCTCTACATGGCACACTCGCTCCATAACCCGACCTATGCCCCTATCGCAGCCATTCTCTGTGGAGGCATTCCTTTCCTTGCTATTAGGACAGGCTCGGCGGTGCTCACAGATGTGTAAGTGGGCGGGGTGGATGTCGCTCACTGCAGGGCCGATGCGCTGTTTATTTGTCATCAGATTGACGGCGAGATCGGTAACAATCACTCGATAGAGACCAAAGAGGCGGTGAGTGGCTCATCATCTCTATCACTGACGCATTAGTTCGAAGGCGAGGTTTTCCGTGAAGACCCTATCGTGTAATAATTTGAAGTCGTTGTATGTGTGTATGCATCTGGCGTTCCCTGGAGGCGCATCGAAAGCAGACTACATAACAATCTTGTCCTGACCCTTGCCAGGATTGAGTTTCGCGCTCTTGGTACCAAACTGCATGGCGCGCTTGACCCGCCCAGCTGTGCGATGCAGGCCACAGTGCCGGGCCGAAAGTCTGATCAGGAGTTTGTCCCCTTCACCTGGCGGTAATCGCATGTCGCATCTTGTCCACACGGGCATCGCTGAGACCACAGCCATGAGGTTTTCGTCCAAATATGGGTATCGGGATTCGCGGCCCTGCGAGGATATCACTCTGTCGTCCCTGGAGAGGTTGCGAAGTGGAATTCTATCGATATCTAATTGAATCTGCGTGTCAGATCAAACACGGATCGGGAACATCGGCCAACCTACCTCTTCTGCAAGAGCTGTCCACGAGCCTCTGTTGTAGGCTTTCCTGTGCCGCGTGTACCCGCCGAGTTGCCTGCTTGTCAGTAACTAAGAACTTGGAGTGCACTCACTCATCAGCTCCCAAGCCAGAGATGAGCACTTTGGCAGCAGAACGGAAAGGTGATATCTTTTCGGTTACAACGCCCTCCCCACGGGCGGCAAAGTACAGAGGGTACCCCAAAGACTTATATAAGCTTGATAAAGCCGATTTACTCACAAGATCCATTTCTGCGGTCAGCTACGACTCTCCGTTCGACTTGCCTGTGTCACTAGGATAAATCAGATCCAGGATTTTTTGCCGATGTGCTCGGCTCTCCTGACTGTCAGCACATTCGCACACGCGTGTCGTTTGCCTCACGTCCAAAGACACATTAATTTCCACGAAGCGGAATTGTCTCGTAGGACAGCATCCTGAGAGTTCTTGCCAGGCATCTCTGCCGGATATTCTGTCCGGAACGTCGTATGTAACGTTGTTCAGATATGGTTGCTGGAAAGCAACGTTTAGCAAGTCGATGGGCTCCCCCTCTGGAAGCCACCTCAAAAGTCAGCGCGAGCCAGTGGCAGCCACCCACTGATGTAGTAAAACGGTCAGTAGTGTACAGTCGACTCCTCCGGAAAACAGGACCGCCACTCGTGCGTCGCCTTTCTGAGGTGGTGGTGGAATCGTCATCACGCGCCTGCGCACGGAGTCATTTAGGGCCTCCAGGAATGTCATGCACGCAGACTCTTGAGCGGATGGATCTTGGTCGCATTGTGCGAGGTCGGAATATGAGGGCATATCTGTGAGTTTGAACCTTGGTCCACCCAATGGGAGATTATGTGTGGTAGTTATTATTCCACCTCTGAACTGAGTCGTCAGCACAATCCAGGTCGAGTTGGTCTTACCGCGCCCATCTGTCCGAACTCTTTAAGATTGACAGTTCCTCTCTGCCCTCCGTCCAGTGCTTGCATTTCCAGACCTTGGATCCTCCCTTCACCGCTACGCGATGAGGTCAAGATGAGGCGGCCATCCCACGTGTCTGGCAGGTGCAGCAGCAGCGAACGCCGGGACAACGCGTCGACACCAAAGTGGACGACATCATTGAGGAACTAGATCGTCAGTTATCATCTGTCCGAAGCTCGACGGACATCATAGTACACAAAGGCGTAGCTTTTCGTCAGCGAGTTCCAAAACGGCCCACCCACGGTCCCTTCACGTTTTGCAAGACATGGTCGATCGATCGGCCGTCTTCGAGCTGAGAGAACAGAACGTATGTGTCATTTTCATTCTGTGCGACATCAACCCCATCAAACACCTGGCCATTCCATGCAAAAGCGCCACGTTTTCCGATTAGGGGTTGAGCGGTCCGGCTCCCCCGAAGACTCAAGACGCCGCAACTCAGTGTCACGGTAGTTGTCGACTTGCCGATGGCCACACATCGGACATACTCCCCCTGCGCGTCTGGTCCGCGTGCCGTGTCAGCAGAGCGCTGCTCGGATAGTAGTCTGAATCTTGCTTCGGGTTCGGGTTGCGATAAAGTGGAAGACGCTATCGTGAGCGTCAAACCGCACATTTGTTGTAACAGGTAGGAACCAGATCATATTCTCTCCTTCAGCGGTGCTCTATTCGCGAGAGCAGGAAATGGGGGGTTCAGGCACCGGAGCACGTGTCGGCATAATACGTAAGCACAGATGGTATCTTCCGTCCCACCGGCCTCGACAGCCGCTCCAATCGTGGAGACTGGTAATCATGACGCGTGCATACTGTGGCCAAAACTTGACCTGACGTTGCGGTCTCATCTCCAGAGCAACCAGAGCCTCTCCTTTGCGTGCGTTCTCACGTAGGCGTAGTGCGGTGAGAACTGCCGTCGTCAGCGTGGGCGAGAATTGCAGACGCGTCGATCCTGTGTTGACTGTTTATCGTGAACCTTAGCATGGCTTACCCCTACCAGCACTGCACATGACTATATTGGCATAACCGCGAAGAGGGGTGGTACGTGAGCGTAGAAAACACATCCTGAAAAGGCAATGAGCTTGCCATCCGATGAGCGGTCGCCCGGCTTCAGATGCATGCAGGAAGCGAGACGCGATTATCTGTCAAGCTGGTACTAGGTACTCTGGCCGTGATGGTCGGCCTGCAGCCCAGCTAGCCCAGCCGTCAATGTGTCGCTATGGGGGCGCAGGGTGGGCGCGTTAGTATTGACTGGAATGTGAATTGGAACTAGCGAAGGACTTGAATACTTTGGTATTCAATTGAGCCCATTGTCATTGAGCAGGCACCTGTCGTTGTGTCGTTGGTCGTTGGGTTGTTGGCCGTTGGTTGGCCGTTGGGCCCACAGTCATGGCCTGCCAACGCAGTCAGCAGTCAGGGAACGATCTCAGATCACAAACGCCAGCAATCGACGCCGTGGGAGATCGGCGCAAGTTGCGTCGCTGACCTGCTCTTGCAAGAAGGGGGGCTTCGTGAGGAACGAGCAAGAAAGCATGAGTGCATGCAAGGATGCCCGGCAAGTATCGGACGTCACACAAGGCATCACGATGCATACCAGGGTATATTGGTTGCATGATGGGAAGAGTGGGAAAAGTGGGTAGGAAAGACGGTCAAGCTGAAGACTGCGTGCGGGCTGAGCGCAGGGCCCGCAGGGGGGGCGCAGGGGGGCGGTGGTGGACGAGGCCAGGGTGGATAGTGTGTGGATCGTGTGGAGCTGAGAAATAAAAACCATTCGCGAATCGGGGGCACGGGGCTGGCGGAGAACTGTTTCGTCATTGGGGTCTTGCCCCTTGCGTTGCTCGAAGCGGAAGCAGAAACGCGTCGAGCCCTGAATTCTGAAAGCATCAGAGACAGGCGAGGGCGGGGTCAGCGTGCACCCACCCAGCCTACCAGCCTACCAGGATCCAGCAGCCACCTGACCCACCACCTGTCTCCTGCTCCTGGCCTGCCCAAGCCTGTATGCCATGCATCCAGCCCCGTACCATCCCACGAACTACGCGTCTGATCTTTCTCTCATCATCTCCACATCCATCATTATTGCGCGACAGACATCTCGTACATTACTCTCTCTCTTCAACTACCTCTACCCGTCACTCACTCTCTCCTCTCCCATCCGCTGCTCCCCTTCATTGCTCTGCGTTCCTCCCTCTTTGCGTTGCACCACCGCCCCTCCGGACCAACGCGTCACAGTCGACACGCCGCCCGCCCGCGCGACCATCCGGCGCGACCGAGTCGCCACTGCCGACTGATCCTTGTCCATACCAAGTCTCATCTCTTCTAACATCGAAGACTTAACTTGCGGAAGTGGCGGTTCGCATTATTCGAGTCCATCAACCGCGCAACCCGCAGCCTCGCGCGCAAGTTTTTTACGCGACTGTCTTCCGTCCGCAGTGCTCGGCCGCCTGGTCGCTTTCCATCTTTCCCACACCTTTTTCGACTCCGCCAAGTCAGCCCCATTGACCAACATCAACTATACCTCGCAAGCGCAGATCTCCTCCTATGTACGTAGCAGGCTTGATACGCGCTGACACGTCACAAGAGTTCTGCTTTAGCTCTTTCTGAATCTCTTCGAGAAGATCATGGTCTCACCTGACCTCAACGGTCATCCCACCCAACCAGCGCAATCCACCATGGCGCCAGACATCCCTCAGCTTCCCGCTGGCCAGAGCTACGCGGGTGTAAATTATCTCTCCCTTCAGCAGCCTTCCCAGTTACATAGCGCGCCTATGGTTGCTGGGGATGTATTCACCAGCAATACAGGATCAACGATGCTGCTGAACACGCCAAACGGCTTTGACTACGCTTTACACGAGGTGAGCTCCAGAAATGATCGCGTTGATTGACCGCAGGGATCGTTCTCTGAACTTCCCCAAGGCATATCGCCGGCACGAGCCTTAGGACCTGCTCCGACGCAGCTCCAACCCTTCGCGACCCCAAATGGCGAGTCCACACCGACTCACGGCCCTCACAAGCCGTCGATAATGCCATCCTCTGCCAGCAGCTCTGTCGACGACAGTAGCTCCGCAGAGCGACCACGACGCAAGATGATCGCCGACACAAGTGATGATGAAGATAACGATTCTCCGACGAAGCGCGTACGAGACCGCATTCCTACGTTCGACTCTGCCCAGCAGGGCGAACCTCGAGCTCTCGGAGCTCGTAAGATCCAGCTGACTGTGAACCGGCCGCCGCGCACCCTGGCCAAGCCCGGAGCTGGAGGTCGGACGAGCGCCAAGTTCACCAAGGTTGCTGAGGATCCAGGCGTGGAGGGCATTCCTCCCGGTCCTAGGTCGACGGAGCGTCCGTCCCAGTCTTTTGCGTGCATCATTGGCCAAGCTATTCTCAAATCCTCCGCGGGCGGGCTATCGCTGGAACACATCTACAGATATGTGGAAACGGCGTACCCATACTTCAAGACGGTCGACCAGTGGCGTAATTCTGTCCGTCACAATCTTTCAATCCACAAAATCTTCGTCACTATACCTCGCACGGAGAAGCATCCGCCTGGCAAAGGCGGTATCTGGGTGATTGACGACGATGAAAAGATTCATTGGCCCTCCGAAGACAAGTTCATCAAAACTTTCCCGGTGTCTCACCCACACCACGCAGTCTGCCGGCAAACGTTGCACGAGCAGGCGACAGAGAAACGTAATCGAGAGAAGGCCGCCGCCGAAGGCCGTGTGTACGTGCCGAAGCATAAGGGCAAGAAGGGCCGCGCCAAGGCACTGAAAAGTGAATTGGCATCCGCCGCTTTGCCGTTGCCGCCTCCGCCTCCAGTGCCGCAGATGGCGTTTGCCCAGCAATCGCAAGTGTCGCTTGCTCAGCAACCGCAGGCGAGGATGGCCGCTGCGCTGCTCCCCTCGTCTCCACCTCGCTCCGCTGATCGTCAATCACTCGACTTCGAGGACGACAGCGATTTTGTGCCCGTCGCCCCGCGAAAGCAACGTGGTGTTGAACTTGGCCCCCCGGCGCCGCTGCCCCCTCCTCGATTTACGATCGCGAGTGCGAGGACTGCGAGCTCTGACAGGGATGACGACGAAAACGTCTTTAGCAGTGGTCCGAAACGAGTGAGACTTTCCCAGGCTGAACCCTTATCACCAATCATGGAGCAGCAACCAATGACTTCTTCGTTTTTGCACGACGACGATGACATGTTCCTCACCCCTGCCCGTGAACGGCCACAGAGCTCAAACCTCCCTTCGAGCTCCCGTCACTTCACGTCCAGCGCCATGAAAACCCCGGCCCTCGTGCAGACTTCGTCCTCGCCTACATCCTCGCCTCTACCTCCTACCATCACTCGATCGTCTCATCACCCGAGTTCGTTGCAACAAGCCTGGACACAGGACGACATGGCGAGGGGCAGCTTGGCTTCTTCGCCTCCCATCAAGCAGCTCGATGCGGCATTCGATCTCAAGCCTATGCCCACAAAACGTGACAGGGATCGTGAGGATGAAGGCCTCACACTCTCCCTCGCCCCCCATGTGGAGCGCGCGCACCCGAAGACTCCCGTCACGCGATCCTCGGCCGCTGCAGACCGCACTCCCCGCTTAGGCGGCTACAGGACACCAGGTCTTATCCACAAGACTCCGCTATCCTATGGCAGCCCTGCTCGCGCGCCTCCTTCGGCTTCCGCGTTGCTGTCCACGCCGATGTGGGAGATCAGTGGAGTTTTGGAGCGGATGAACGCGGCCGAGTCCCCCACTCGTACTCCTCGTACAGACGTCCCACCGACTAGTCCAACGCATTACTCTCTGAGTGATTGCGGCGATTCCCCTGTTGCAAAGCGTCGTAAAGTCGCTGCGTAGCGTATCCGAGCCTCAAAGGAACGGGCAAGGAACCCTGGCCCGCGTTCCGGCGCAAGAGTTAGTCACTTGCAATCTGGCAATAGCTTCGAGAGCTAAAGTCAAGCCCGCGCATCACACACGTATTCGCGGCACGTAATCCATCTGTCGCTACCTAGCACCTAGAATCAGCATCGTCCTGTTGTATAACTTCGTACCTTTAGTGCGCGAACCCCTCACCAACCTGTCATCCACACTGTCCATCCCGCCCCTTCCCGGCTTGTAAACTAAGTAGTCAACTCCTTCCAGATATCGTAGCAGTCAAGAGTGAAAACGTACAGTTTACCGTATGGAAACGCCTCCACCATGAACGATGCAATGGAATTCGCTCGAGTCGAATGCGGGGGGGTGGCATGCCTAAGCTAGCTGATTAATTCAGGGTGCGGCCGTGCCATTGCCGCTGGCCAAGACGGCCCTGTTGACATCCGAATACGTCCTCGGAGGTAGAGCGACGAATCGCATGCTGTCCTGGAAGAGTCGCCGGCGGCATTCGGACTGAGCTTCGATGCCCAAAGCGACACGCTGAAGAGATCAGGGGCGGACCGAGGGACCGAGGGATAAGCGAAGGGGAAAGGGTGGATGTAGCTATTAGTAACCGATGTGGGCAACGCATGACATCCGAGGCCCTACGTCGTCTGACTGACAACGTCCGACTTCGCGTTGGCCTTCGGAGATCCCGCACAGGGCGAAGCGGATGGGCCGATCGCCGTTGACAGAGGTCGGTCAGCTGACTCGCGACACACGACCTCCATCGTTGATCTCTGTGCCACGATACGGGGGACAAGGGGAGGGGCGGATCTGGCCCACTGTTGACTAGTCTCCCAAACTGCAAAGCATTCCGCGCGACTCATGGGATGTGAACTGCAAAGGACGACCTCGGTTACTTGCAACCTAAAACAGACTAGGGCAGGCGGCCCAGACACCGCATTCTCAGATGGACGAAGTACTGGTGTAATGCTCACATCTCATGGCCATCCTCGTCCTCCTAAATACGAGATACAGCTTACGAAGCAATGGAAGGAAGCAACGGCTTGGCGCAACGCCGACAGAATACGAAAGAATGACTATAGTTCCAGTGTGTCTGTGGTTGGTCCTTCCTACGCTCCCCATGGACCAAAGCGTGCTGCAACGCCTGTCCGAGCTCAGATGCGATCTCTGCGTTAACGAGCTTCCCGTGCGCGCCCCCAAGAATGTGGCAGCTCAAATCGCAAGCCATCCTGGGCTAGCGATCGGCTCAAGAGCTTGGGAAACCAATGCTAAATGTCCGATGCCGGGCCGTTCAGAACTGCCCACCCTGAGGAGGTGGACAGGGTAGGACAGAGGGCGTGCTATGCTGTGCATCGGGCCCGTCCATGCCCCCAGCAGCCTACCTGATCTCTGTGCACTGCAGTGGTCAATCTGACATGAACTGGGTGCGTGCTGGGAGGTCAGTTTACCGCGTCGTTAGTGGTGCCTCCCCCGGGTTCACGTTGCGTGGCCGATCCTGGTCAAGGTCGTGATTCCTCGATTCCTGCTCCTGCGATCCGGCGGCTTGGGTTTTGGGCGCAGCCCAGATGCCACGGCGCACCACCCGTGCTCGGCAAAATAAACCATCGACCTCCCCCACTCCAAGTTGCCGAGGGGGGGAAACCAACCTGGAAATACCAGGTCAGGTGACTCGCATCGATAGCAGGCAGATGTTCACCCCAACGCACAGTGCTGCGGACACTGTACGGACCCGATGCACACGTCGATCGACCTCGCTGTCGGGTCTGCGGCCGCCGGACCGGCGGAGGACGAATCCTAGAATACCAGAGCTCGTTTAGCGATGCGGCAACGGCACAGCGGCACTAGGGGAGGGGGGGTGATGTTACCGCCGGCAACGGACTGGCACGGGTTTCATAATTTTCGAATAACCTTTCACTCGCTTTCAGGCACCTCTCTTTTGTCCCCGCATGGTCTACTGTGCCCAAGTCTTGGGGAACGCCGGTTCGCTGCATTACCGACCGCACACGATGAGTTGTCTGCTGTGCTCATGAGCGGCCTTCAGGGGGATCCTTGTTGAGCCAAGCCGCTCAGGAGTCAGGGATGTGCGGCTTGAGCTTTCACGAGGAAGGGTGCCTGGCCACTGATCGCAACGCTGTCGGGCATTGAGATCGCTCTCATGCCTCTCAAGCCCGACATCCGAAAGGCGCTCTCGCGCCCTCCTCGCCCTCGTTACACGCCCCCCTCCCACTCTTCCACCGCTGCCGCACTCTGACCGGCAACGGGCTCTAGCTCGAGGCACTGACACAGGAGAACAGACCCAGGAACCTGCATATCCAGCCCGTCTTGCCCCTCTTGCTCTATACGGGACCCCAGAGTTGGCCCCCGCTCGGGTGATCTCGCCCCATCACAGCCACCATCAATACTCTCTTCTCAAGCGTCCTACCCCCGATCCGGAGAGACCTTGCAAGGACACAAAGATAGTGGGGGAAAGGCACGGCTGAATCGCCCTTCACATGCCTGTCGGGGCCGTCGGTATCAGGCGGCTGAAGCTGTACACGGGTTAGACGACCATCTACAGAAGGACGTCGTCGCCGGAGGTGATCTGTCGAAAGGTATAAATGAGGCGCTCCGTAAAGCCCAATCTCTTCCCCATCAGCTCAGCTCTTCCTCTCTCCCAACTACTCTCGCCCCTCTTCACACCCAACCCCCCTACACCAACCACCAGATAAGCACAATGACCGTTGCCGGCCAGGAGGAGATCCCCAAGACCCAGCGCGCTGCCGTCTCTGACGACGCCTCTGGCTTCGAGATCCGCGAGATCCCCGTCACTCAGCCCGACGAGCTTGAGCCCGGACGTGCTCTCGTCAAGGTCCTCTACTCTGGTGTCTGCCACGTAAGTGTTGATCTTTGGCCCTTTCCAGGCCGATTTCCCAAATTAGCCCTTTAGTCTCCGGCCCTGTTGGAGGCAATGGATTCGAAGTGTTGCTGACAACTAGACTGACCTTCACGTCATCAAGGACGAGTGGCCCCTCAAGCCCAATCGCCCCAGCATTGCCGGCCACGAGGGTGCTGGTATCATCGTCGCCATCAACGACCCCATCTCCAAGCTCAAGGTCGGCGACCGCGTCGGTATCAAGTGGATTGCCCACTCGTGCAACCAGTGCGACTACTGCATCTCCGGTGACGAGCCTCTCTGCGCCGAGGCCAAGTGCTCTGGCATCAACGCCGACGGCTCTTTCATGCAGTAGTAAGTGTTTCTTCCACGCTCTCAGGGTTGCCGATCTATGCCATCATTGGCAGGGTCACCCGAGATAAGCCACACGAGGCGCTGTTTCACATTCCAACGCCTCTGTCGGCTAGATCCCCTCTTTCCGCTCCCTCCTTCCAGTCATCTGATACTGACATTTCACAGCTGCCCTGCCTACACCTCGCAGCTCACTAAGATCCCCGACAACATCTCCCTCGAGGAGGCTGCCCCCATCCTCTGCGCTGGTGTCACTGTCTACAAGGCTCTCAAGCGCGCCAATGTCAAGGCCGGTCAGTGGGTCGCCATTCCCGGTGCCGGCGGTGGTCTCGGTTCGCTCGCCCTCCAGTACGCTAAGTACATGGGTCTCTCTACCATTGCCATCGACACCGGTGCTGAGAAGAAGGCGCTTTGCGAGAAGCTCGGCGCCTCCGCCTGGGTCGACTTTAAGGAGACCAAGGACATCGTCTCCGCTGTCAAGGCTGCCACCCCCGACGGCCTCGGCCCCCAGGCTGCCATCATTGCCTCGCCCATGCCTGAGGCTTACCTGATCGCCATGGAGTACATCCGCCCCTCTGGCACCGTCGTCGCTGTCGGTCTCCCCAAGGAGGGCGCCTACGTCAAGGCCGATGTCTTCTGGACCGTTGCCACCAACAAGACCCTCACCTCGTCTTACGTCGGCAACCGCAAGGACGCCAACGAGGCCCTCGAGATCGCCGCCGCTGGCCACGTCAAGTGCCCCATCAAGGTTGAGCCCTTCGACAACCTCCAGTCGGTCTACGACCGCATGGTCTCCGGCCAGCTCCCTGGCCGTGTCGTCCTTGACCTCTTCAAGTAAAAGACTCACACCGACGTCGCGAACATACCGCTCAGGTTTGGTTTCTTTTTGGGGAATTTTGTGATCATCAAGGAAGGATAACGAAGGTGACGAGAAGTAGCTAGGTTTTATATGAGTCAGAAGTGTCTATGCAGCTCATGTGCAGACCCGAGCAGTTATGCACGAGTACCTGACCGGCTGTCCGAGAAGGTCACGGCCTCGCACCTTGCAAGGTTGATGGGGCTCTTCGAGCTTCGCGAGTGCTGCCAGTCTGCTATTGACCTGTCTCATTCAGACATCCATTCCACGACCGCAAAGTCCTCCAATCGACTGTTGTGACCCACTCACAGCAGATGACCCTACCGCGACCGTCATGCGCGCATCATGCACCGGGTCCCCGAACACCTCCGTCTCGTGGAGCGAAAGGTGGCACATCGATGATTGCCGTCGACTCCGGCTCACGCTTCGCGACAAGAAGAGGTTCTCCGCAGGTGCACCGTACCCAGAGCTGTTCACTTAACGGTTCGCAGCCCAGGCAAGGAGTGGGCCTTATCTCGCCAATACACAAAGCCAAACACAAAGAGGCGACAGGGCCACCGCCTCGGGTCAGCCTGAGAGATGCAACAGCAAGGCTACTTGCGGAGAGTGCACTAACTTATGTCTAGCTATAACCTTACTCCTTCACAATCCAGAGATGGTCCCCGAGCTGCCCATCCTTAGCCTTGACAAACTCCCACAGCGTGTGGGTCTCGTTCTTGACGTTAATCTTGCCCAAGCCCCAGTTCTCCTGATCGAGGACAGCAGTAAAGTTGGCCCATTCGCCCTTGTGGGTCGAGTGGCTTTCCACCATACCGGCCTGACCGTTGACAAGGTGGATGAGGCTGTCCTTGCAAGTCTTGTATGTGTTGTTCCCAATAACGTTGTTCATGTAGATCGTGCCGTTCCTGCCGAGGGGGTACATGCGCTCATACCAGTGGATGTGACCGCCAATGTAGACATCAACGCCGTATTCGAGGAGGATATCCTCGAAAGCATTCCGGACGTTGACTTGATATTTGGATACCTCGGTCGAGTACATGGGGCGGTGGGAGAGGACAAAGATCCACGGGGTCTTCTTGCGATCGACTTTTGCAAGGTCATTGCGAAGCCACTGAATCTGCTCATAGTTTGCGTTGTCCATGTACGAGCCGTTGATGTGGCCGAAGGGTCCCGCATCGGTCAAGTACGTCTCGTTGCGAAGAGGGTGGCCCTCTTTGCCCTTCATGTCGGCGATGAATGGCCACGATGGCGAGCGGAAGTAGTCTGTCTCAGTCGAGAGAGTCACGAAATGGGCGAGACCGTAGGTGTGGCTGTACCAGAAGTTGTCCTGGCCTCCGGGACGGTTCAGCTCAGCATTTCCCGGCATGTGGAAGCGGTGTTGGTACGCGGTGTAGTTGCGCTGCGAAGGCGGGCACGAATAGTAGTTTAGCTTGGACTTGTCGGCGTGCGAACCCGGCTCGAGATTGTCCTCGAGGATAGCCGTGACCTCGTTGTTGGGGCCGTCAAACTCGGCGCAAGTCGCCTCGTGGTTTCCTGGGGCTACCATGTAGGGAATGTGCTTCGTGATCGGGTTCATGAACTGTGACCAGAGGTCCCAGTTCGTCTCGTACATCGTGGAGATGTCACCTCCGTTTGGGCCGCCCTGACTGGGAATCTCGCCTTCTGGAACGGGGATATAGTACTCGTCACTGTCAATCTTGCCACCGGGAAGAGTCGAGTGAGAGCCGTTGTAGCACAGGTCCCACGCCTTGGGACCTTCGAGCACGCAAGGAGTGATGCCGGCAAACCACTGGTCGGCGTAAGAGATGTCTCCTCCGTGCCAGACAAACGACATGCCGTCGGCGACGCCGTCGACCAGGCGGAGGTGGGTGTCCCTCGCGTTGGTATAGCCCATGTCACAAACGACACCAACGCTGAACTCGCCGGGCGTTCCCGCAGCAGGAGCAGTTTTGAAGCTCAGAACTTCAGAGGGCTCAGTTCCATTGCCACCAGGGATCTGGTAATAATAGGTCTTGCCAGGTTTGAGATGCGTGATCGGAACTTCATGAAAGTACTGCGAGCACTGCGTAACCTCAGCGAGAGAGCAGGGCGGGGTTCGATCGTAACTGAGGCGTCAGCGAGCGCCCCTGTGACCGCCCTCACGTGTGGGTGCTGCCTTTGGCGACGCGCTTCAGCTTGTCCTTGGACTCGCCATAGAAGACGCGAGGGTCATCCCCGATGCCGAAGGGTGTCTGGAAGTGGATGTTCATCCCACCCGGCCAGAAGGCGGTCGAGATGACGTTGATGTTGTTGGTGACCTCGCCATGGGGCCTAACGGCTGGCGGTTCGCGGAGTCGTCTATAACCCGTGCCGTTCCCCTTTACTGAGTGATCGACAAGGTCACCAATGGGTATCTCTGGGCCGTTGTATGGGTAGGCAGTGTCGACGTCGCGTTTGTTCGAGGGGGGTGCCGCGGAGGCGAGCGCCGCCAGTAAGCTCAAGGCGAACGCATTAATCATTGTGCAGAGCGTCAGTGCTGGAGATCAATGCTGCGGCGGACCGTCTCCTCTTATATCACGTCAGTCGACCCAGTCCTCCTCACTTAGGCTAGGGTGCTTTCCTCCCTTTCACGTGCGATGCACATCAGTTCACCGGCGACATGAATGATGGACGGTTACTTTGTGGTGACCCAGATGCTCCATCAGCTTGACTGTTGAGCACGTTTTCAGGTGAACCACTGTTCAACCTCTTAGCATCCGCGACCGATGAGCAGACGTACCGTGGAATGGAATGGCCAGCCGCGGATTGGCAGCAACTGGTCACACGTGCGTGGATGACAATGGATCTGAGCTATTTTGAGGTTAGTCAAGTTTAATGACCATCCCAGGACATCTCATTCGAGTACCGGGTGTCCAGCAAGCGTGCACCCCACGCGCGCCTGCAACGCCGCCGTGTGTGTTGCGGCAAAGGTGACTTGGTCGAGAGAAGGGACTCTGAGGTGTAACAATGATGGAGACCAACGTCACCTAACAGACTTCTGGTGCAATTACGTAACTCGACACTCGCTGCCGATAATAGTTCCGGCCGCCGTCGCTTGTCATCGCAATATACAGTTCAGTGGTATTATTGTGTTGCAACGGATGTAGGATGGATGAGACGATTATCACGGGGTCTCGCCAGTGAGCGAAGTACGGTTGGGTGGGAGGTGGGAGCAGGACTGCATCCGTGGACATGTTCTGCACGTACGAGACTGATTCCGGCTCTAGACGGACTGTCGGATCCGCCCGCATCGCACAGGTTTGTGGTACATTCCTCAGATCCTTCGCTGGCGCTTTGACGGACGGTACTCGCCAGTGTCCTCTACCACCTTATTACCTCGATCTGCGGCATGAAAGTTCAGCTTCCTATCTCTCGGAAGCTCAGCGACAGCATACCACCGATCCGGAATGCAGAGCCCGCGGCCATCTAGCGGCGCTTGATGATGTGTGTTCTGTGAAATTCCATGTTCCTGTTTTCCGGCCCCCTCCCAAATGACGCAGTCTTGTGGCAGTGCAGAACACGTCTGATCCGAAGTTGTCTCATAAATTGGCCAAGGCTCAATGCCCAGCGAGTGCACCTCATTCATTGACCTCCTGGGCTCTCGCTGTGAAGAGTCGTCGGCAGGCGAAGAGGCGGATATCTGCCCTTTTCAACCTGACCTGTGCTGCCGAAGATCTCGAATGGGCAGTATGTACTGAAGACCGTGATGGTTCAGATGCTGCCGGATCCGCGAATACACGAGCGTATACCGGCCGTTGCCAGCGATATAAGGGGGGACGTGGGCTGCTGTTCTCGTCTCCATGTCTTTCATAGCAGTACATTGATACACAATGTTCACCAAGTTCATCCCCTATCTCATCTTTGCCGGTCTTGTATCGGCGCAGTGCGCACCCAAGGGCACCACACTTCACCCCAACGGCGACACGTCCAAGTGCTTAGACGTCCGAGGCGCCCAGTTTGCGAACGGCACGCCTGTTCAAATGTTAGTCTCTACTCCCTTATGGTACTGACGAAAGCTACGACTGCAACGGCACTGGTGCCCAGAACTGGGTGCTAAACCGTGGCAATGGCAAGGTGCAGGTCGCTGGCACCAATTATTGTCTTGACGCCGGTTCCAGTATGTCATGTCGAGGAAGATGCGCTGACTCTGTAGCTCCAGGTAACGGCGTGAAGATGAAGATCTGGCAGTGCTACGACAACCTTCCAGCCCAACAGTGGTTCTACACTGGTGACAACCGTGTTGCGCTCACTAACCGAGGCCTCTGTCTCGACCTTACCGACGGTGCGTGTTTCTTTCGCGTCGACACTGACTATCAAGGTAAGAAGACGAACGCCAACGTCATGCAGACTTGGGAGTGCACCCCTGGCAACACCAACCAGATCTGGACGTCGGACCCCACCGTCCAGCGTCGCTCTCTCCGCTACTCTCAGAACAAGTAAAGGCAACTCGTAAAAGAAGGCGACAAATTGGTGATCCGTAGCAGCCATAGTAACATAGTGAGCTTGATCAGGACAATGAACACTGAACGACTGCCTGTCCCTTTATCTTTCTGAGGCAGAGTGGAGCGTTGGATGATAAGAGAAGCCCAGTGCGACTTCTGAAGCGTGGAATTCGCCACTCAGGCACCGCACCCGAAAACGGGCAACCATGCGAACCAGGCACGCCAAGAGAGCGGGACTCCACACTGACCGAATGGACGTGTTGCAAGCCCTGCAAGTGTGCGCGATGCCTGGCGCGCCTGGCACAGCCGCTCCCTTATCCGACGCATTGAGTCAACCGGACCAGTCCAGTCACTGCCAGTCAGCCTTCCCCCACACACCCAAACGCGCCTGCGCGCTTCCTCACAATCACGTCCTTCCTTCCTCTTCATCCGCATTGCCCTCCGAAATGACATCCGACGCAGATCGACAGCTGGCATCCAGCTTCGCCAGGCTTCCGACAGAGCTCCTTTCCAGGATAGCTAGACCGCTATCCACGACCGACTTCTGCGCACTTCGATCGACTTGCAAACTGGTCGATCACAAGCTGCTCAACGAGTTCGCATACGAGTTTTTCCGCAAGAAACAGTTCATGATGACATCGGCATCCCTGCAAGCGCTCAAGGACATTTCGAACTCCCGCTTCAGTGACTACCTCAGCCATGTGGTCATCGGAACCGACCAGCTGTTCAACTCGAAGTGGGATGGGAGTATCACTATCGACGACAAGCGAAAGTATCGCGCGACGGCCGACGAGCAGAAACTTTTCGGCCACATAGGCTGCGCCTCCAAGTTTGAGGACGCGATCGCCGGACTGAGTCGCCTGGAAACCCTCGACATTCGAGACTTCAACTCGGCTACAAGATTCCGGGATGGACAGTTCGCCCAGTGGAGATCGTACGGCGTCGCCGAACTCCGAAAGGCGGGCACTGTAGGGTTTGGCAACCTTGAATGGGCGACCTGCATCTATCAGAACATCCTCCTCGGAGCAGCCGCCGCCAACGCTCGAATCAAGAGCCTGGAGGTTATATCCAAGCGGAACGGTTGTCTTCACGACAGCTCGCTCTCGATAGCCAAACCTATGGCTCCCAATCTGTCCTCGCTTCTGTCGGGCTTGACAAAGCTGCACCTGGATATCATGGCCAATTGGGAGGACTTGAAATTCGTGGGTCTACCCAACCTCTGCTACCTGTTGCAGAATACCCCCAACGTCGAATGGCTTCGCCTTAACATCGACATGGCATTGTCTGAGTATGATGGCACTGAGGATAAAGGGTGGATCGGCTTTCTTCAATGGCTGGCGAAGGAGCCGCCGTCATCGGATGTGATCGCCAAATATACCCCAGCACCGACGTTTGAACTCAAGCAACTCGACCTGGGCCGCATAGTCGTATCGCCTGATCGATTGCTGGCCATTGTCGCGGCTTATCCGTCCTTGAAAACTCTAGCGCTGTCTAGATCTACGTTGACGGAACCGTCCGGTACGACAACGCCACCTGCGGATGCCGGTACGGCGTACCTTGTCAAGCGCGTCCTCACAGGACTGGATAACACGACCGTGGAGAAATTCATTCCAAGGGCTCTTATCCAACGAACCAGCGAAGGCAGAGGGGATGTGCAATGGATCTCGAGAGGCACCACCAAAGACAGCATTCAACTCCGGGGCCAGCCGGGCCAGTCTGAGTTCAAGGACGCAGCCAGCCTGATCTCCTTCCGAATCCAGACCCCAGCTTGTAAGTCAATGTCAGTGTCTTCGCTCATTGCAGATTATTATCCGGCCAGTGACGACGTCAGCGCTTCGGATGATGGAGGCGAGGGCGACGAGGATGAGAGCGACGGGGGCGAGAGCAATGGCGATGAAGATGAGGACTGATACGGAAAGAAGCCGTCGGCTGGTGATGATCACCGGTCAGCGTTAAGTCATCCGTGCCCTATGTGGGCCTTCAAAATAGAGTGTTGAAAAGCGGAGAGTCACGACCAGAGATGGCTAGCGATGGCCGCACACATCCACACGAACAGAAATGGGGATGGGTTTTGTTTTAAAGTTTCGCAGGTGTATGCATGTCTGTGACTAATGTGAACAGGCTTCGTCGAGGTCGTGGCCTGGAAGGCTATGATGGCGCAGATGTGGGACCGGCCCTAATCCTGGGAGTCTTGGCCCGTTCCGCTCCCGGCAGGATTGGTCCCGGTCGGCATCACCCTGCAGGGCCTGAAAGCTCCGCGATGAGCATGGGCGATCAGGCATGACCCTGCGTTTCACAATCGGGAGAATCCTACGGCCTATCCTACGACCTAGCCGAACCAGCGTAAGATCGGCACCTCAAGCGTCAGCAACGCAAGCGGCGAACTGAGGAATGCTTGCCCAACATCAGCATATGGCCAACCAGGTACACACTGTATGTACACCTGCCCGGCATGTCCAGCAACGACGATGTCGCACATCTGCGCTATCCATGGGGTTGCCGCCAAACCCTCACCGCCTGAACCCTGCCTTAGGTTCGGCCCGGCCGGCTGAAAGCCTCGGGGAAGGCGTCGCACAACTGGCTCCAGTCTGCCGCATTCTTGTAGCCGCTTGGCTCGGCCTCCCAAATAGTAAGTCGGAGCCTCACAGATTGTATGTCGCCTGACGCAGGGCTGCGTAGGATTGCATGGTTTATATTTGCGGCGTCTGCCTGCCCAACGTCAAAGGTTATACGCACAGAGCAAGCCGTCGATCTCTTCGTCAAGTGCCTCAGCTACAGTTGGAGATCGCTAGTAACAAAGTTGAGCTCGAACCTACGATTAACGTCATTGCAGATATGTTCGTCTAGTCGGCCGCCGAGAACCGCTTGTCCCGGGGCGACAGAGACACGCGGTCATAAACTGGCTGATGAGCGTCAGACTGATGCCGAGGCTCTCAACAACAGTAACGAGGTCATGATGAGCGTCCCGGATGTAAAACACAACACAGCATGCATTCGCCCGAGTTAGCACTGTCCCAGAGGATTTTGACGGTTCTGGTTGTCGTCAAGCAGCGACACCTTGTCGTAGGCTCCCTCCTATGGGGTCACCCTAATTAGACAGTCGGCGCACCAGGTTACCGGAAACCGGAAGGACTAAGGGTCGCCAAGGAACGGCCGTACAACACGCGTCCACGACAGGCATAGACGCGTCATAACGTACAGCAACAACTACCAGAGGACGTCAATTTCACAGCTGCGCAATTCCATAGGGACTAGTATTGTTTTGGTGTGCATGCTTCACAAAGCTTTCGGCGCTTGCTTCCATCCGAAGTATGGGCTCTTCCGGCGTCCAGCCCGCGGCAGTCGACCTTGGCAAAGCCCGAAACAGCACGGTCAAATAACTCAGCTGCCACTGAGGTGATGGTGTTGCAGGCTGCACTGAGGCGCCTGGGAACCAGGCAGCCGTGACCAAAGCCACCTGACACGCTGTCAATTACGCTGAATTGTTAGGATCTGGGCAACGGTACACGCACCCTGCGCTAACGTCTGTTGTGCCGCAAGCTGATGCAATTGACAGATCACCCCGGTAGGCCATCCCACCCCGCATGCTCCGTCTGGGCATCGATGTCACCCGCGGCGTGCAGAAGGGCTCTTGCGACGAGCTGCCGGTGGGTGTGTTCCAGAAGCACCGAAGCTGATGGGTCAGACCTCCCTTGTTCGGGGACAAATCGCCTCGTCGACTTGACGCCTAGCGCGGTCTCGCGGAATCCGCGACCAGGGTATTCCATAACTCGCGGTCGCCTAGCGGCATCGCGGAGCATACTTCATCCTATCACGATCGAGGGTTAAGTGAGCTGCGGGCGGAAGAGTGTTATAGGACTGAATCGCCGAGGCTCATTACGACGACGGCTGCACGAATGACGAGACAAAACCACGCGGGGATTGTTGGAAAAAGAGTACATACGCCTGTCTCACCAGCTCCCGTTTCTGTGTCGGGCTATTTTCAAGCTGACCTCTACGAGCCCATCCACTGGAGCAGTAGGCCGCAGATGGCGCCCGGACCGGTGATGGGCGGTGATGGGCGGCGACGGCCTGTGGCCCGAACTCAGGATCATCCGAAGCCTAAAAGAAACCGCGCAGCTCAGTTTTGCAGGCTTGGAAACGAGGAACTCTGTCATCCCGGGTCAGAGTGACGGCGTACGGGTCCAGATGTAGGCATGTGCTCAGGACAAACTGCGCGATGTCAGGACTCGCTGGGCGGACGGACGTGCGCAGACGGGTGGAATCTAAGGGAAAAGAAGAGTATGAATCGTTACAGGTTTACGAGAAATGCGAAACGTACCCTTGGGACAACCTTAAACAAGGTTAAAGCGCTGTTGCTGACGATGAATGTACTACTATCAATCGCAGCTTCCTATGCCCTCTGCTACCCAGCGATTCCGACCTGCGGGCAAACGAAGCGTTCGCACCAACAAGACTCGGCAGTCGGCAGTTCCCTCTGTCTCAGGCTCAGGTCACGTATGCGAGGCGGATGAGCGTGCGGACGGGTCAACGGGAGGACTCAGGCGCGTAACATGCTCACTAGTTAAGCTCCACATGACCGGAACGTTTGCTAGTGCGTTTGAAGATTCTTGAAGAGTTACTCGGCGTTTGCCTCACCGAGAACATGAAGATGAAACAGTGTGCATACTCCTTGGCTGCACCACCACACGCGGGGACAAGCTGACAACTACAGTACAGAAGATCCTTGGGACGGAGCGCTGCGGCCCTCTAGCGTGCAAGGTAATTGCGCGTGTCCGACTAACATCTCTACTCCTAATGGTCCGTTCCGAAAAGCTTACGTGAAGGTCTACGGCTCTCCCGCATCCTCAGGTGTTCCCAGAGAAAACTGTTGTCGACCCGACATCTCTGTCTTGGCTGCGCGTCCCAAACATTGTTGATTGCCCGGGCAAGGTCTGGGTGTATATAAGACGGCCCGGATTGCCTCTCTCGATCTCGTTCCCCACCAGTCTCTCTTTTCACCTTCCGACCCCCCCCACACTCCTTTGTAGAATGAAGGTCGAGGTTATCACCCTTCTTGGAGCCGCCGCTTCGGTGCAGGCCTTCCCCTGGATGGCCGCGCAGATGCGCGAGGAGGAGCGCGGCTTCCTCGGCGACATGTTCCAGAACATTGGCCAAGGTCTTGGTCTCGACAACCTCCAGTCCGACTTCACCAAGATGCTCGGTGGCAGCAACGGCAAGGGCATCGTCTCCCAGTTTACCACCATGGCCAACACCCTCAACAACATCCAGCCCGGCAAGATGAACAACCTCTTCTCCGAAATCCGTAACGGTATGGCTGAGGTTGGTAACGTCTCTGTTCCCCAGGGCGGTGCCATCTTCAACAAGGACTGGAGCTCCCTCACCGAGGAGGACATCCAGTACACCTTCAACCTTGACCGTAACAACAACGACTGCGGCTGCGATGAGCCCGAGCGTCTCGGTTACGGTATCTGGGGTATCGGTGAGGACGAGGCCCACCCCTGGCAGGCCCCCGGCCCCAACGACCAGCGTGGCCCCTGCCCCGGTCTCAACACCCTCGCCAACCACGGCTACATCCCCCGTGATGGTCTCATCAACCCCGTCCAGCTCTTCGTCGGTACCTGGCGCGGTCTTTCCATCTCCCCTGACGTCGGTGCCATTCTCACCGTCCTCTCGTGGCCTTTCATGGGTGACCTTACCACCATGAAGCTCTCCATCGGCACCAAGGTCGGCCTCGGTGACGGTCTTGCTCACCACGGTATCCTTGAGGGCGACGCTTCCGTCACTCGTGACGACGCCTGGCAGGGTAACCAGTGGTCGCTCTCGCAGGACCGCTGGAACCAGTTCAAGCAGGAGATCATCACCCACGGCAACGGGCACGTCACCCTCAAGGCTCTTGCCGAGGCCCGTTACCGCGCCTGGAAGTGGTCTTACGACAACAACCCCCAGTTCGACTTCAACCCCTGGCGTATGCTTGTCGCCTACGGTGAGTCTGGTTTCGTTTACCAGGCCCTCCGTGGTGACGCCCGCGAGTACACTGTCGACATGGTCGAGTCTTGGTTCGTTCACGAGCGCTTCCCCAAGGGCTGGGGCCGTCGCACTGTCCCCGTCAGCGTTCCCGAGCTTCTCGCCTGGGCTGCCGTCATCGAGGTGATCAAGCCCGCTGTTCCCGGATGGCGCCTCTTCGGCATGTGGATCGGTCTCCCCAACTTCCACACCCTCTCCACCTTCTTCAAGGGTGTCCCCGGTGCCACCGGCGGCTCCACCCTCAAGGACACTGGATGCAACGTCGCCAACGGTGTCCTCACCTGGGTTCCCTCCACCTTCTCCAACCTCATTGGTGGCCTCAACCTCGGCCAGCTCAACGGCATGTCCTGTTAAGCAATCTCCATGCCGATCTGAAGGCCCCTTCGAATTGGATGACAACCCAAACCCTCATGGACTTTTAGTTTGCAATAAAGCGCTCCGATGCTTGGTTGAGCTCTTTGTTCTGCATATAAGCCTTCTCTTAGAACACGGTTCCCCCTTACGGGACTTCTTGCTATGTTATAAGCACTCTAACTTGCTCTTGGGTGCACGGATATGGTCGGATCAGAGCACAGGCGGACTGGACGGGTCACAAGTGATAATTTTCATGCCTTCGAGCGAATCTCCCCAATTATTTTGTCTTCAGTAACGTGTCGCTGTTTTATGCTTGCGTTCAAGCACAGCTCTGCCTTGAGTTAAAGGTACGGGGAGCAAGGTCATGCGCGTGTATGCCGATCAGTGCGATGCCGGCAAGTTAAGGTGTGAGCATGGAGAAAGGGGAGTATGATCGAGTTAGATCGCTGGTTCCACTTTGTTGTGGGTTTTTGAGCGGACCTGATTTAAGTCAAATTACAACCGTCTGCCACACCAACCGCCCCATGATTGTACGTAGCCTTGTCGGTCATCGCAAGATCGTCTGACCCCAGGGTGAAGCACTCATGGTTCATACGATTATGGGTAAGCGTGCGAGATGCACGCCACCCCCTGCTGCGTCTGGACAACTACGTTCGTCATGAGCAAGCCCGTCCTTAGGTACGGTGTCCCAAATCCAACTCACAAGAGACGCCGGGAATGCTTGTGCGATGGTGCAAAACACAAGGCAGACGACACCATTTGAGATTATCACGATGTCCCTGTCCGCCTCTCCCCCCCTTGCAGTGACAGGAGAAGTGATCCGGAAAGTCATGGTTCGCCAGGTCACCAGTTTATCTCGTCATCACGCATAACGGCAGCGGTCGGAGATTTCGATGGATCAGTGACCTCTCGATTTTTGTGCTGTCATTAGAAGGTCTCGACCCGAGGTAAATAGGCTCAAAGATGATTTAGCTACGGTCGGTTTGCAAGGGGGTCGATATCTAGATGTGTTGCGGGTTGTGTCGCTGACGAGAAGTACTTCGATTCGTAGGAGTGCCAAGCAGATGCCTCCAGTTCACCTCCCGAAGTGACAGGAACTCCAAGTGAGTCGATCTGGACTGACTCAGGTGATACTTGGAGGCAGCAGCAGAAACTTGGCCCAGGGGGGGACGGCTGTGGCGGTCCCCCACCGAAATTGAGAATATTCTGAAACATTTTGTAAAAGCTGCAGCGTGGTTCGGACACATCGCGGCCGCCCCTTCTTAGATCAAACCACAGCGTATATCACCGCATTCGGCCCGACAGTCGGGCCGCAGCCGTTCAACCGTGACTGTCCACTTTCGTCAATGCCCCTGCCCGACTGAAATGGCAAAACGACTAGACGCTTGTTACAGCGTCTCTGCTCTGAGTTGTCGGGGATTCGAACCCCGGTAAGCTGCTCTACCACATGTAATGGAAGGCAGCCATCTTAACCACTGGATCAACAACCCCAGACGCTCTTCCGCCAAGTGGGACAAGCCCGTCAGGCACGGGCGTAACGATCGTGTCTCTGAAACGCCCTACATTGTATCTTGCGCTTCCTCGTCTTGCTCCTTTCTGGGTGGAATCTCGTAGATGGCTGCTCCTGCTCCAGTCTCTGCTCCTGCTCACGGGCCATCGCCAAAGAGAAGCGTTGTTTGGTACCACACGAGTTCGAGTGCCGCTTGGAGGCCATTCGTGTTCGATCCAACGTCAGAATTCAACCTCGGGTCTACGACGAAAATAGAGCAGAGCCCGCAGTCTGATAACTGTGATCACCAGCTCAGCGTACGGGTTGTGATTTATCTCCCAGCCGCCAAAGTCAGCTTGCCCCACGCCTGGTGGCCGTCGTCTGATTGCAGAAACTCTTGCGCAGCCTGACAGTAAGTGTGAAAGCGAATTTTGAAACGCAGGACAGAGAGCTTGGGTAGGAGGCTCAGGAACTCAGGAGCAACTCTGCTGAGCGGTTGCTGAGTTACGGGACGGTGCCGACCTTCCGGAGAGACTTAGCTCGGATGGCTCCTGTCTGCCTCCAAATACTGGTTGAGTTTCTGGGCTCCAGCCATCCATCCATGCTCGGCAAACACGTGGAATGGTCGAGGCATCTCTATTGTCCCGAAGAGTGCTGGCCGCAGACCGGGGCGAGGAAGGTGACAACACAACACGATGATCCATAGAAAAATGAGATAGTGTACTTCTAGAGTCTAGCTTGTTACCAACGAGCGCGCTTAGGCCGCGAACGAGGGGAAGCAGACGGCGAAGGTCGACTTGGGGTGCTTGCCGTCGACGTGCTGCTGGAGCCTTGGAAAAGTCAGCGCTCATTTCGCCATGCAGGCGCAATACTCACATGGGGGCCTTAGCGGTACCCTGGAAGGTCTGGCGACAGATGCTGCACATGATCGACTGCGCGGCCTGAGAGTTAGTTTGCAGAGCAGAGGAGCAGACGTACAGCGTTCGACTTGAGCTGCGAGGTCGGGCCCTTGTCGGCCTTCGCAGCGTTGCGGGCACGCGCCTGAGCAGACTTAGCTCCCTGATTGTCAGCTAGAGTCACAAGGTATTAGCCCCTCAAGAGCTGGGAAAACGAGAGAGGGAATACGCACGTTACCACCACCCATTGTTGCTAGTTGTTTGGTTCGAGGAAAAGTTGAGAGAGGGGTGAAAGGATGGACGGGAGGCGTAAATCCTCCAGTGGCCAGACGGACCGGTGGCGTGAGCCTGACACGGGAGCAGATTGGGCCTCGGTTGCGGCTGGTCTGGCTGGCATGGCTAGCTGGACGGTCCGGTCTGCCCTGGCCATCCAGGCTGGTCTCTGGGTGGAGGCCCTCCGTGAGTGGATCGAGTGGAGGCAGCAGGGGGCAGGGGGTGTCCGATCTGCCTCCGTTGTCAGCGTCATCATGCCACGAGTCGCGACCCGACAGAGGCATGGCGGCTGACCTTGGAGCAGTCGACCGCTTGGCACCACTCCGTCACCGATCACCAACAACGACACCATGGCCGAGCTCAGTCCGGAAGAAAGGATCAAGCTCGCTGTGCAGTTTATCGCGCAGAGCCCTCCGGGCGAAGTCAAGTGAGCTTCCACCGTCGTCCAAGAGCTAACAAACAGCGATGTTGTGAATGGTGCGTCACCGATCACACCCCGATCACCCGAGCAGTGACTAACGCCAGACATCCGCGCGATCATCGGCGACGACGAGGCGCTGATGCCCTACGTGATTCCCGCGCTGCGGGACTATAACCTCGCCCAGCTCAGCGCGGTCGAGCACGAGGCGGACGAGGCGGCCAACATCTATCCTCACGTCTCGCTCCTCTCTGAGGCCGTCATCGCCCCTACGACGGGCACGCAGGAGCGCTTCGTTGACTTTGAGGCCGCACGCTCCTTCTCCTTCGACCACGTCCGCATGACACCCAGCGACTATGAGCCCTACGTCCTTCCCAGCAAGGATGAGGCCATCCGCAAGTCGTTCGCCGAGAGCCTCTCGGCCTACACGCGCAACCACTTTACCGAAGGCCGCTGGTCCGTCGCGTGCGATCAGTACCCCGTCGCGACTGCGGCTGTCGGCGTGCTTGAGCCCGCCCCGACACCGACAGGCAGCCAGAGCGGCAGCGTCAGCGCGAGCGTCCCCCCCAGTCGCGCAGTCAGCCCGGCCGTCCCCCCGATTCCTGAGGGCATCGCCGTGCCCTCTGACACCCCTGCCGACGGCACCAGCAGTGCTGCGTCGGATCTCCCGAAGGACGCCGAGGTCGACGCTCCCGGCGGTCTGAAGGACCTCGACGACGAGATGGAGGGCGTCGCCGAGCGCCTCGATCCCACGGGCACGGCCGCGCTCGGCGAAACGCCCGGCAAGCTCGAGCCCGAGCCGACGCCGTCTGTCGGCGACGCAGATCTGCCGAAGGACGCCGAGGTCGACCAGCCCGGCGCGCTGGCTGACCTGGACCGCGAGATCGCCGAGGAGGTTGAGGCTGAGGCCGAAGCCATGGCCGAGGACAATGCGGCGAGCGGAGCAGCTGCAGGCGCGCCCGCCGCGACTGGGGCCGCAGCAGTGGACGACGAGAAGTTCACGAGCCTAGACGCGAAGCTGGCCGAGGTGGAAGCTGCAGACGCGGCTGGCGGGCACGAGATCCCGAGTGCGTCCGCGACGCCGGCGGCGCTGAAGCAGACGCCGATTGCGCAAGAGTCGCGCGCGCACCCGTCCTACACCCTCGAAGTGGTCGGGAACCGGTACAACCCGAGCAACTTCTGGACGGGGCGGTGGCGCACGCGCTGGGTCGTCGATCCCGCCGTCGGTACTGTGACGGGGACGATTCTCGTCGACGTCCACTACTACGAGCAGGGCAACGTGCAGCTGTCGACGGAGCATCGGGCCGCGTTCCCCGTCCCCGTCGAAACGTGGGAGGACGGACGCGACGCCGCGTCCCAGATCGTAGGCACCATTGCCAAGATTGAGCAGGCGTACCAGCTCGAGCTGGGCGATGTGTACGAGGAGTTTGGCGAGAAGAGCTTCCGTAACCTCCGCCGGGCACTGCCTGTCACGAGGCAGAAGATTGACTGGGACAAGGTCCAGGGATACTCCCTCGGAAGCGACCTCAGCAAGGCGAGGTAAACGACGTTAGAAGTAATTAGGAACCTAAGTAACAACATTTCCCCAATCAACAATGTTATGTATCAAATTTGGGCAACGCAGCCTGACGCTCGTTAAGAGGTACATATTAGAGTGCATGATACTAACTGACTGAGAGGCAAGTCGCCTCGGGTCATTATAGATCGAAGAGAAAACCAAGAAACCCTATGCTGCTGTTGCTATGGATATATATTGCTAACTTCTTACTTAAAAACTCCTGCTTCTAGTCCTACTTGAAGCTGGTGAGGTCGACGAGGCGCGTGCGGCGCTTCTCGCCACGGCCGCCCGCTCCTCCGCTCGACACGAGATTCTTGTAGTGCAGCTCGCAGTACTTGTCCGTCGTGCCGCCCTCGGCCGGGATCTCGTAGTACTCAAACATGTTCTGGTCACCGCACACCTTGCACTTTAAGTGGCCGGGGTGGTAGCGCTGCTCCTTCGAGTTGGCGCCTGCGGGAGCCAGGATGCACGGGCCCTCGATCGGCTGACGGCACTCTGGCGCAGAGCACAGCGTGTTTGCCTCCTCGGCGTAGTGGTACTGGCACCAAGGACGGCCGTCGTAGACGTAGAAGTCGTTGCCCGTGAACGGCTTGTCGCATCGCGTGCACGTGAAGCACGCGCGGTGCCACTTGCCCTTCAGCTGTCCATCGGATGAGGACACGGCGCTCTTCTCGATCGGCTGACGGCATCGGCGACACGCGGGCAGATACAGCTTCTTCCAGTCCGCCTCGCACAGAACGATGCCGTCGCGTTCGACGAACCGCTTGCTGCCGCCGACCGCCTCACCGCAGTTCGCGCACTGCCTCCGTGGACGAGACGAAGTTGGGCTCGGCGTGACGTTCGCGCTGCGCAGGTCCGGAGACCGCTTCGCGCTGTTCGAAATCTGCAGCGGGATGCGCGGCGGGTCGAGGTCGCGGTTCAGGTTCGGCGAGGGAAGGGGAGACGTCTTCTTCTTTTGCACGGCGCCGCGTAGTTCGTCAAACTTGACGGTCGACTGCGAGGAGGAGCGGAGGTGGCCGTTAGCCCTCCGATCCGGCAGCGGTGCGCCGACGACAAAGTGCTCGCCGTCGTCCTCATCATGAATGTCGTGGAGCGAGTCGGCGATGCTCTCGCCAAAGTTGAGGCCGGGGAAGGCGTAGGGCGAGTTGTTCGCCTTGAGCTTGTCGTCGTGGATTGCCACGTTCGCTGTCCGCTCGACGAGACCCTCCCAGCTGTGGCTCGGCGTCATGACCATCTCAGCCTCGTGCGACGAGGAGTCGCCGCCGCGGTTGTGGTCGCCCGATGCCGACGACGAGGTTGAGGGGATGCTGCCGTCGGTCGGATACCGCCGGTGATCGTAACGCTCTTCCTCAGTCTCGCTTCGTGCCCATGGCAGAGACGACTCTTCTCCTCCGATACTGCTGCCGGCGTCGTAGCTGCTGTGCCGCGGGTGATGACGTCTTGAGCGCTCTTCGACAGGCGAGTACTTGCTCCTTGACACATCGTGCGTCTGGTCGCTTTGCGTCTCGACCATCTGGCGGTACCGGTCAAAGAAGGGGCTGTTGGGCCCATTGTTGTGGGCACGTTCTGTCTCTGGAGAGTAACGGGACTGCGAAGTAGCACTGCGGTTAGGAATGTCCTGCGGCCGTGCTGGTAAGAACTCATCGCCTCGGTGGTCGCCGGCCCGTGAGGGCGCGCGCCAGTCACCGTTCCGCGATTGGTTTCGCGAAGGTGCACGCCCAGACAGCGGCACCTTCGGCAGTATTACCGGTTCCCGGACGGACCTGCTAGACGTGCTCGAGGCACTGCGGTTGACTGGAGGCCGGTAATCGACTGGCGACTGCTGAGACGGGGAGGCTCTTGGCATGGGCATTGCGACGGGCATCTGGCGAGGGGTCTCAGCGCGACCATCGCGCATCCGATTCGGTGGCGGTCGTTCGTTCATGGGCGAAGGGTTGGGAGAAGCGTCGCTCGGGTCGTGCATGCCGCCCGAACCGTGGTCGTGAGCAAAGTCCTTACCCGCTCCGTGGGCTAACGCCACTCCCGCGCGCACGCTCCACGCAGCGGCAGCGAACGCTCGTCGCCCAACGCCGGCCATACCAGCGTTTCCACCACTCCGCGTATCCGGCAGAGTCGGTGACGGAGGCGGCATGTCGTCGGCCAGAGGTCGAGGCGGGAGCATGCCCTTCTGCTCATGTGACGGCCACTGTCCATCCTTCATGTTGGCCGAGACTGCCGACATCGGGACGTCTGCCGTGTAGTCGCCAAACCGCGAAGGTGCCACTAGCTCGTCGTCAAACCGACTAGGCCCAGACGGGCGGAGCATCGTGGGCGCACCTGGCCGTTTGATAGTGCCTCCCGTCTGCGCATTCAGGTGGGACCGTGACCCTTGGTTGGGTCCTCCATGGCGGAACGGGGACGGGCCAAAGTTGTTGGCGCGAGGAGCCGGGGCCGAGCCGCAGATATGTTCGCCGAGGTAGTTGAGAGGGATCTCGACGGCGCAAGTCGAGCATTTGACTGTCGGGAGAACGACCGAAGCGCGCTCCTCGGGAGCGGGGGGACGCGCTGCAAGGAGCGACATGGAAAGTGTGTGTAGAGTGTGTGCTGATGATATGAGTGGGGACAATGGGTTATCAACTGCGGTTATGGGTTGATGTGGTGGTGGTTACCGGGTCCAGGTCCAAGCGTGCGCCTCTTGCCAAGTAGGTTTGGTTGGTATATTGTCGACGCTCAGGCCGCGATAACGCTGTCGAGAGGCAGAGGGGGGTGATAAGATGGCGGCAGGGGTAATGCCGGCCTTTGTGCGTGTCGTTGTCGTCAAGGTGGGCGATACCGAAAGGAGTGTGTGTGCGCGTCCGATTGTCGAGACGTCGGGTCTGTTGTTGGGGATAATTAAGGAGGGGCGTTGAAGAGAGCGTGGATCATACAAAACAAGAACGGAGGGGGGATGTTGCAATGCGACGAAAGGAAGGAAGACGTCCGGAAGAGTCTTGGGCGGATCCACGGGGTCGTGTGTCGGTCGGTCAACGCCAGGTTCTCTCTCGTGCTTGGTCCCAGGTCCAAAGGAGATGTTCAGGTGTGACGAAGCCGAAACAAAGCAAGGACCGCTGTGTAATGATTACGGTCGGTGCGGCTGTTGCGGCTGATGGAAGATGGGAATGTGGGTCGTGGGATGGAGAGGAACTGCTGGGCGGATGCTGGCAGCGGCCCGTGCGGGACAGAGGGTACAGAGGACTGCAGGGTCGCCGCGGTGGCTTCGGTGGTGGCTTGGATCAGAGTGGGCCAACTGGGCTTGCGTTGGGCCGTTCACTCGCTGTCAGAGCCGTTCGAGCCTTTTGCGACAACGTCGTGATAGGTCGCAGGGTCTGTTTTAGGTATGTGGCTTCCAGACACCGTAGCGGCTTGCTCTGGCTTGAAGTGCTTGCTTTGGTTGTCAGTCGACGGTTTCCCTTTCAAAAACAAAGGGAATGCTGGTGCGCCGTGTCGGTCCGGTCCGGTACGCGGCGTACGGTGATGGCGGTGGTGGCAGCAGCAGCAGCAGCGACAGCCGTTGCCAAGGGGTCGGGTCGGACGTTTGACGTTGCTCGTTGGGAGGAGACGACAAGGAGACTAAGGGGAGTCCTGCCGAACTGTAAACTTCAACGACGAAAAGCCTTTGCCAGCCTAGATGCAGTGAAAGCCCTAATTCCGAGTGGCGTATCAGACAATGGGCTAATGAATCGCTGATGGTGTCGACAATCGACAGAGATCCCAATATGCGAAGGACGTGCGTGGCGTGGGAGGTATGCGATTCACGATTGACGCGCGCTCGGGTCGCAGTTGAGGGTACGGGCGGGCGACTTTGGGTCGAGAAGAAGGGGAGGAGACTAGGAGACAGGAGAGTGGACGAGGGGATATGAGTGACGGGCGTGTTCAGGCGAGTGTCGAGGGAGGGGCGTAAAAGTGATCGAAAGCGAGTCAGTAGTGTTCTGTCAACAGAGATGAGGTGGAGAGGAGTAAAAATGAGAATGGTAGTTGTGTCCGAGAGTGTGGTATCGCTAGAGTCTGAAGGGATGCATATGCATGAGTGTTCCTCTGTCCCGCGTGCAGAGCGCAGAGTGCGCGTCGAGCAGGCAGGCAAAGCAATAGTGGATATGGGGACCAGAGAGCAGGAGCAGCAGTGGTGGTGCGGTCGTGTTACTGTGTCAGGTTAGTGGTGTCTGCGCTAAAGTGTGCCGAAAGTTTCCTGCAGAGCCCTGCCCCGGCCACCGTGCCTGGCCAGACTGCTCCCTCCCTCTCCCTCTCTCTCTGCACTCTGCTCTCTCCGCCCGTAGTGCTATCCTGAAGCCTGGCATCCTGACTGTAGTGTGCGTTCCTGAAGTGTTTCCTGCGATCCTGCATTTCCCAGTGTCCTGACTGTCCTTCCCTCAATTACAATACTTGCACGCGCTGTACTCTCTGGGTCCTCCGATCCTCCAGCATGCATGCATCCAGTCCGCAGTGCTTGCAAGCAAGCGCTTGCAGCTGTGCCTGGACAGAGCGGGGCCGGAAGACGCGGCGCAACCTGTCTCCTTGGTTGCAAGTAGAGAGTGCAGTGCCCACGCCGGTCCGGGTCAGCAACAGGACTCGTTACTCGCTCGCCTCAGAAACACACCCGTGAGACCTGTCAGACTATTGGTCGTGTCCGTCCCGTCTCATCCGCGGGAAGCTTATTTATTTCCTAATGAAGAGTTTCACCAGCTTTGCTCATCCTTGCAAGAAACGCTCGAAACGCTGGAGCACCGACACCAGACAAAGGGAGCCTGCAATCCTCGTCCTGGGTGCCTGGGTGCAGTGCAGCGTGGGAGGGTATGGGGGTACACGTACGCGGCGGCAACATCGCCGGACGTTTGAGCCTCCGCTGTCTCCTGGCAGCGACGCCGGTGCGACGGTGACGAACCATCAGTGTTGGGCGTCACCACTGGCTGACGGGCGCGGCGGAGGGCGCGGAGGGCGTAGCGGCGCTGAGGCAGGCGTCGTGGGCTGCGGGCGATGCGGGCCGGGTGTCTTGTCTTGCATCGGCAGGCCTTGTTGCATCTCGGGGGCTCGTGGGCGACGAGGGATGAGCAATGCGGGCCCGCATGCCTCACTGCTTGCCGGCCTTGAATTGTCACAACGTTGGGCGCTGGCTCGTGCTCACCAGATGCTGCTGTCCCGCAAGGCTGGCAAGTGATCGCGCACGAGCAGTTCATTTGCTTGAGCTCCGCGTTCAAGGCCTGGAGCCCTCGAGGCTGGAGCTCCTCTCGATCCTCTCTGCTCTCTGGCTCTACCGGCTTTGGCGCGTCGCGAGTCCGCACCTGCCGGGCCTGGGTTCTGCTGGTGCACCGTAGCGCCGGCAGGCTTGTGTACCAGCGTACCAGCGCAGGCGCGCTTGCTCGCAGTGTCTCGCCTTAGTGCCGATTTCGCCCAGGGTCGCTCGTTCCGAAACCCTGCGCAGCCCTGCGAAATCCCTGTTCCGGAACCTTAACGCGCGCAGCCCGGCCTTGCGTTTTCACCATCACCAAGTTGTCTCTGAGACTGCATCCTGCTGGCCACTGCTCGCGGAACGATGAGGTGAAGACCGGGTGCTGCGCAGGGTCACCTTCCGGGTCTTCCGGCATGGCCTGGCCTGCAACCTGGAGGCGCAGCGATGGCGCGGCGGAACGCCCGACCTTGACCGACACAAACAAGTGGGTCGGCGTGAGCGTGGGTTTGTTGCAAGTTGCAGAGAGTTGGCACGCGCTCGCGTTTGAGTTCCGGGTGAGGCTGCGGATGTCTGACACCTTCTGGTCCGCACGAGACAGTCTGCCTATCAGACTGTCTGCAGCTGGCGGAGACTTGTGCGGAAGGCAGTCGCTTGTCTGACGGAGCCAACGCTGTCGCATGCATGTCGCAGCAGTTGTCGCAAAGTCTAAACGTGCGGTTTTGCGTTTGGGAGAAGACCATGCGGACGCGTCGCACGCCGTCGGGTCTCGACAGTTTACTGTGCCCCGCAACCCGACGCCCACGCACACCCCAGCTTCCAAGAAACCGTCAGAGGTGTGGGAGCAGGTCTACAGGCACACAGAAGCATGGTCTTTGCATGCCAACTTCCGCCCATTCCGCATCGCTGGTCTGTAGAAACGAGCGCAACGCAGCTGAAGAGTGTAGAAGGAAGCTCGGTCATGCCAGTCGATCAAAGGTGTTCCGGGGTAGCATGACGTTATGGCGTCGTTTGAAGGACGGGCTACCCTCCAAACTGGCTCGTCGTATGGGCGTCGGAAACGGATGTCTTCATCTTGATGCTGGCATCTGGCACACTGACCTGCTATCACTCTGGGACTCTGGCGTGCTTGCCCTTCGTGCCGCCGACATTCTTGGTATACCCGATTGGGACGTCTTCGAGCTGGACAAGTCCAGACCCCACATTACCCATTCAGTCGCTCCACCTACGACACCCACGACACACAAGAGGATGGCAAATGCCCGCGCGCCCGTGTCGTCGACGACGTCGTTCGTTAATAAACAGAAATGACCGCCCGACGGCCCCGGCCGAGTTGTGGAAGCTCTGAAAGCCCACTGAAACCACACTCGGGGGCAGGTTTATCGCCTGTAACCGTATTCGTCGGTCAAGCTTCCTGCTTCCTGCCTCCTGCATGCTGCTCCTCGTCCGCGGATAGCCCGGGCCGGTCAACGCTCCGGGGAACGTACTGAGAGAGCGGCGCGTCATTTTTTAATATAACAGGATCTATGAAATCCAGGACTAGCGATGGCCGATCGTGACCCCGGGTGGATATACGCTGGAGAGTGACCCACTCCTCGACGCGCTCGCACCGCTGGGGTCCCTACTCACACTCCCTATGACTCTGCTTATGACGCAGTGCACTGTCGTGAGCAAAGACCCTCTCTTCACTGTCACAGGCTGCCGCTCACTGCTCGCCATCCCTAGGTCTGCGCAGGCCGATGCTCGACAGATATCCGGGCGACATGGCAGTGCCTGGTGGTCCGTCTCAACTCCCCGAGAACAGTCTTTGTCAGCCCTTCGGCCCTCTGGGCCGTCGGAAGTTGGACGAGCCCTCGCACTCCACTTCTGAGACAAGCAGGCTCGTCGTGTGCCCGTCTGCTCGTCCTTGAATTGTTCCGTACCCACTTGCACTCCCTCTGACTGACCTCTGTCAGCGGGTCGCGACTGACATGCCCCGCCTGACGGCCACTTAATGTCGTCGCGGTATGCTCGCGGTATGCATATGTCCGTCCTTCCCTCTGTACATCCTTGCACATCCTTGTCGCAGCCTCTGATCGCACCACTGCGAGGAGAGAGCTGCTGCGAAGATGAGGGATCCATGGATGGGAAGGGACAATCCGCAGCTTGACATTCGACATTCCGGCAAACCCGGCAAGAGTACTGCACACTCGTTCATGCTGATGCTATGCTGTCTACTGCCACTGTGGCGTGCCTTCCTCTCTCCGACATTGTGGCTGCCTACTCGTCGCCCCACACGCCCACCGCTCCGTCCTCGCCCGCACTGAGCAGTGTACCCGCATGCGAGCGCACATCGTACACTGCGCCCGCGCCATGGCCCGCGAGGACCTTCAGCGGCCTGACGGTCGTCGGCACCATGGATTTCGGGAGGGCTGGGCCCTGCATGATGCCTCTCGGGGGGTAGTGGGCGGCGCTGCGGCTCGGGCTGGCCACACTCGGTCCGCGGGGCACCGTCGTGCTGGGGACCGAGATGGTCGACGTGCGCGAGAGCGAGGTGTTCATCGCGTTCGGAACTCCAGTCGTCGTCGTGAAGAACATCGGACTGCCCTGGGCGGGCGTCGAGGCGCCCGAGTTCGAGTTGGACGCCGGACTCCGCATGTTCTCCTCTGGGGCACTGCCCTCGCGCTCCCACAGGTACACCATGCCGTCCTCGGATCCACTGGCGATGAGGGAGCACGAGGGTGACGCGAAGCGACACCGAATGATGTTCTTCGACGTATTCTGGTGTCCGGTGTATCGGTAGATGTTGCGTTGCTGGGGTCAGCTATACATCGAGAAGCTAGAAGCTGAAGACGGTACTCACCATTCGCAGATCCCACAGGCGGTTTGAGTTGTCCTTGCACCCTGCAAGGAGGTACTTGCCCTCATGGTCGAACTGAACGCTGGTGACCTCGCCTAAGTGCGCGGTCATAGTCTGGACACAAACTCCGCCGACAGCGTCCCATAAACGGATATGCTTGTCCTTGCTGCCGGACGCGATGATTTTGCCCGTTGGGTCGAACGCAACGGCTAGCGTGCTCTGTGCATGGCCCGAGAACGTCCGGATGAGCTTGCCTGTCTCGAGGTCCCACGAGCGCAGGATCTTGTCGTAGCACGCTGCGACGACGTTGTCCTCCCGCCCTGGTCGCCAGCAGACGCCGTAGATGTCTCCGCCGTCGCCGGCCAGCACGGAACGGCACTGCCCGTCGTGGGGCGTCCAGATGCGTACTGTTCCGTCACCGGAACCTGACGCAATGTACGACTGAGCAGGCGACGTCGCGCAGTCCCACAATCGAGACGTGTGTCCCTTCAGCACGTGGTGCGTCGAGCCATCCACCGTCGAGAAAATGCGCAGTGTCGAATCGCTGCGGTCAGCTCACATCATACCAAGAACAGCTCACCTTGATCCGCTGACGCCCATCGTGTCGCCCACGAAGTCTACGCATTTCACATTCGCCCGATGTCCGCGAACCATGAGCTTCAGGCGGCTCGGAATCTCGGGACTCGTGTAGTCGACGAAAAGCGTCTCGATGTTCACCGGTCCCTTCGTATTCGGGTTCGCAGCCGTGACCTCCCAAGCACAAGCCTGCTTGATCAGAGTCAGCAGCCGGTCCTTGGGCACTCTGCTCGATGCAGCGGCTGCCTCGCCAAACGCGGCCGCTCCTCGCTGTGCCCCATCCGTTAACTCGCGCCACATAGCGACGAGCTTCTCGCGTTCTGGGCCCGCGCCCGCCCAATCCCGTAATCCCGGAGCATCGTGCACTGTCGACGCCGAGGTCAAGTACGCCAAGCTGTAGAAGTCGTACGGCACCGGCTGGTAGTGCTCCAGCGGCTTCAACCGCTTCTGCAGCAGGTTGAACGCCTTCTGCGATTCACCTGGCGAGAGTTAGAATCCACAGCATAATGCAACTCACGGTTGTCAATGTACTCGAGGAACTGCTGCCTGTAACACATGTACAAGAACGCTTTCAGCGTCTGCGGTCCCAATAGTCCTGGGCCGGACAGAAGGCTCTCGAGCGCTCCAAAGTCGCCGTCTGAACTCAGCTAATGGCCCGCGTTTTCAGCTCACCCAAGATGGCTCTTTCGACACCTTCGATCTCATTCGTGACAGCGTGATCGCGAGCGGGTCCAACTTCGGCGGCTAGAACGTCGGCGAGTCGCGGGTGCCGAGAAGAAAGGTACTCGGAAATCAGAAGCGTGATCTCCTGTCAGTCAGCTTATCTCCTGCGATAAGGGCAAATGCTAGCGCCTCCTTTCCCGCCCGACAGGCCACCACCTCAGCGAACGCCGTCGTCGCGACAACCAGCACATGGCAAACACTCGTCGTCGATTCCAATAGCTCACAGCCAGGCACCAAGGGCCGCACTCCGCTCCGCACTCACATGATCGGCGTTCGGCGGGAGATTGACGGAGTCGGGGGAGATTGGAGCCTTCTCTCGTTGCCGAGGGCTCAGACTGCGGTCAGCTTAATGGCTCTGCGATAAAACAAGCTGATGCGGGCGTGTGGGCGTTTGGTGTAAGCTCAGAGCTGGTCGACCCGCTCTTGGTCGGTACTCTCCTCCGGCTCGATGAGACCCTCCAACTTTCTCAAGGCGCTCAGACCCATGGAGAGCTCTATGACTCTCGCGCCGCAGTCTCTCTAAACCCGCCTCCAGCACTTACTCACCTCGGATCTCCGCCGTTCCGATTCGGCGAGGAGGGGCCTGCTGCCGAGTTCATGATAGTTGCAGATGAAGAACAGAAGAGTCTTGGCCACCGAAAGGTTCGACCATCGTCATTCGAGCTCCAGGGCGCATGGCACGCACGTGTCCCTGCGTCACCTCCACTTTTATCAGCGATGGCTACATTCGCTTCCAGAGATCGCTTGCTTCGAATACACGCTGCGCATCAGTCGCTGCGTGGGCGTGTGAAGTATGTGCAGGTGTAAGAGATAGTCTATGTCATGAGTGGTGCAACAGAGTGAAGGCTGCGCAACGCAGCTTTCTGCGGCGTAGTGAGGCATGGCTGGCTTCGATGGTTCCTGGGTTTCGGTGAAAGTCTATGCTCGATCAATCGGCAGGAGAAACACTTCGGGGCGATGGAGCTCCGCCAAACGTTGTTGCTCTATGCGGGACTTGCGGCGTCCACTGATTCCTCCATCGCCGCACGGAGACCAGCATCTGCGTTCCACCGATGCATGCTCGTCTCGGGGTTCCTGCGGAGTGCGGGGTGTTCCTGCTGCGTGCCTGCGCGACTAAGGACGCCTCTGCGCCTCCACGTGGGGGAGGGGGAGGGCCGATATGCCGCCGCTTCGTCGTCAGACCGCGGCATGAGTCCGCAGACATTCTGAGCGCGTCGGCGAGCGTCTGTCCGCTCAGCCCGGCTCAGCCAGCTCGGGCCGGCGGCAACGAACTGCGATTTGAAAAGGGTCCTCCTTTCAAGTCAGCCAACTTCTCCATCGCTCTACAACAACAAAAACAAAAACCATGTCCGGCCTCCCCCAGCCCCAGCTCCACAAGGACGCAAAGTACATCTTCCTGTCTGACTGGGTGCGTAGCGAATTCTGCTTGCAGTGGCACTCTTGAGCTGGAACGGGTCCGAACCTCGGCGAAAACACGCCGAGAACACACCGGACACGTTTACGCCGAGCCGCTAGTAACGGAGTAGTGCAGACACATGCTGACAGGCAGGACGGAACGATCACGGACCGCGATTCGAACGACTTCCTTACGGACAACTATGGCATGGGCGTCGAGGGCCGCAAGGCGCTCAACCACGACGTCCTGACCGGTGACAAGAACTTCCGCGACACGTTCCGCGAGATGCTCGGCAGCGTCAAGATCCCCTTTGACGAGTGCAAGAAGGTGCTCAGCGAGAGTGAGTCGATCCATCTCCTCCTTCCTCGTCCCCTCTCCTTCGCCGACGATCTTGCGCACTGTCGCCACTAACTCTGCAGACATCACGCTCGACCCCGGCTTCAAGAACTTCTACGCCTACCTCCGCAGCCAGAACATTCCCTTCATCATCGTGTCGTCTGGCATGCAGCCGACGATCTACGCCGTGCTTGAGCACCTCCTCGGCGACGACGCCAAGAACATCGAGATCATCTCCAACGACGTCAAGTACCTCGACCCGGAGCAGAAGGGCACCTCGTGGGAGATTGTGTGGCGCCACCCCGAGTCCGGCTTCGGTCACGACAAGTCTCGCTCAATCGAGCCGTACCGCTCGCTCGAGCACCGGCCGACCATCTTCTTCGCCGGCGACGGAGTCTCGGACCTCTCGGCTGCCCGTCACGCCGACCTCCTCTTCACCAAGGTCGGCCCCTCGGGCGAGTCTGACCTGCAGAAGTTCTGCGAGCGCGAGAACATCCCCCACGTCGACTTCAAGGACTTCTCCACCGTTGAGGCCAAGGTCAAGGAGGTCGTCGAGGGAGGCAAGAGCTGCGAGCAGGTCATTGCCGAGAGCAGCACGCTCAAGAATTAGAGAGTGGAGTGTAATAGAACTAGACTAGCATCCATCCGTGACGATTTAAAAACCTGCCCTCTATGAATTTTATCCTAGATCTAATCTTGTGCTGTGTTGCTTACTTGCCGCTCGCGCTGACGCTGAACAGCAGCTGCTTCTGCTTGCCCTTCTTCTTGGACTTGGGCTGGGGCTCGTCGACGCTGAGCTCTTCCAGCGCCTGCGTCGCGCCATTGACGGCGCTGGACGAGCTGCTGCCAGCGTTAGTCGGTGTCGCGTTTCCGCTACCACCCCAGCTGTTCGTGGGCGGGGGCTTGGCCGTCGTGCCCCGGATACGAGCGATCGACTCCTGTCGCGCAGTCGGTTTACTAAACAGCGCTGCGCGCTCGGCAGCCGCATTCTTCGCGGCCTGCGAGGAAGGTAAGCTGGGGAACGAGTCCTTGTTGATCTGTTTCGGGCGCGAGGCGGCCGGGCCCGTGGCGTAGTTGATCGAGCGGATCTGCGGGACAAGCGCGGGCGGCGCACGCGAAGACGAGCCGGCACCGCCAGAAGCCCACGGCGTCGAGTGGGCGGCCGGCTTGGAGGGGCCGGCAGCGCCGAGAGAGGGGAAGGCGTCACCGCCCGCTCCGGGGACCGGACGGCCGTTCAGACCGACAGTGGCACGAGGCTGGGAACCAGCAGCGGCCTCGACACGGTCCCAGATTCCACGGCTGTTCGCACTGCCACGTCCAGTGTGCGTCGCGCGCTTCGCAGAGAGAATGCGGCCGGACGAGACACCAGCCCAGTTTGAGCCGACGCCGCCGGGGGCGCCACCAAGGGCGGGGAAAGCCTCTTCTTGCTGACATTAGCTACAGCACGGTCTTTGAAAGCTCACCTCAACACGGAAGTTGCTGAGCGAAGCGATAATCGCCTGCTGCTTTTCCCGCTCGTCGTCGCCGTCGAAGAGCTTGGCAATCTCGCGGACCACACCGGACGTGGCCGCAGCGTCCTCGTCCAGAACGTGGTAAACCGTATCGACCATGTCCTTGGCGGACGACTCGTTGTTCTTGAACTGGCGCACGGCCGAGCGGAACGACGCGAGCTTGGTCTGCGAGTCGCCGACAAGCATGCCGACGCGCGCGAGCAGGGCGGCGTGGCGCCTGAAAGTCAGTTTCAATTCCCGGGACGAAGAACTCACGCTACAGTCGCATCGTCAACGTCATCGCGGGGCGTAGCGAAGCCGCTGGCGGACTCCTGGGGGCTTTGCCTGCCGGAACCGGAACCGGAGGCTTCGCGGCCGCTGCTGCCGTCGGTGAGGCCGATGACGAACGCCTTGCGACGGCGTCCCTCCTCCTGACGGTCGGTCTGAATCTGGCGGCGCTGCTGAGCCTGCTGCCGCTCGTCCATGGGCGGGGCCGCAAGCTGCTGAGCTCCTGAAAGCGTGAATCCGCGTCCGCCGCTCCTAGCGGCAGAGCTGGACTCGCCGCGCGAGTTGAAGTCAATCGGGATGTGGCGCGCCTGTGCCTTGTCGCGCGCGGACATGTTCTCGCCGTGCTCCTCCATCATATGCGCCTGCAGATCGAGCGGGCTGCCGAATACCTGGAACTTCTTCTCGATACAGATCGGGTTCTTGCACGGGAAGTGGTCGCGGCTGATGTCAGCTAACAAAGTACATGGCAATAGCAACTGAACTCACTTGAAATGCGTCTCCAGCTTGTTGTAGTTCTGGAAACTGACGGGTTAGCAGTAATTACCTCCGTACACCCACTAGACATCGCGCTGCCCAAGTCCCTTGCAAACGAAGCACTCTTCGTGCCTCTCGCGCATGTGCTTGAAGAGCTCATCTGTTCCAAAGAACGCCTCGTGACAGAACTAAACTTGTCAGCTTTGAAGGGGTACCGCTAGCTCACCTCGCACATAGGGTGCGGCGCTTCCCAAGACTTGACGAGCTCCTGTTCCTTTTCCGACCTAGGTCGGGGCGGCTTCTGGCCACGGTGCAGACGCGACGGGTCATGCAAAGCCAGGAGATGAGGAGGGTAGAGCACCTGCTCGTGCGAGAAACGCGACAGTTGACGCGTACACAGCTTACAGAACACGAGTCCGTGTTCAGCGAGCGTGTGCTTCTCCAGTGCCGGCCAGCCGTTCGCCATGTGGGCGCAATCGGGGTAGGGACAGTTGAAGCGGAGCAGAAGCAGGGACGCTTCCATCTAGACGGTCAGCTTGCTGATTCTACTGTGGACACTGAGCACTCACGACTTCCTCATCTTCGAACGCGACGCCCAGCTTCTCATCAGAGTAAGGGAACTGCTTCAGGTCTAGTGTGCCGGGGAGGACAAGGCCCGAATACCACTTCTTGCCCTTGTTCTCCGGCTTGGTAGCCTCAGCCTGCGCCCGCTCGATCGTCGCTGGGGCGGTGGGCTTGCGGAAAGGACCATCCGGAAACTCAGTCTCTGGTGACTTCGAAAAGAGCAGAGAAGGACACATCTGCTTGCAGTATGCACACTCCAGCACTTTGTAGAACACACGCAAACGGATGGCACAGACACTGTGGTCAGCCAATGCTCGTATCTTGGTAGCTCACTGGCAGACGCGGTGGTTACACTGCCCAACGGCCCAATAAGTGATGGGCTCCGCACAAATGAAACACTGGGACGCATCGTCGAGCTCCGGCGGTGGAGCCGCGACCGTAGTCGGTGTGGAGCGCTGAGCGACAACAGCATTGTCAGAGTCGGGGGTAGTCGCAGGAGACTTGCCCTTCCCCTTGGCGTTCGAACTGGCGTTGTTGTTCGAGTTGGACTGGGGGGCCTTTCCCTTGCCTCCGGAAAGCGAAGTGTCGAAAGCCTTGCGCCGGGACATGACGTCGATTATTGGACGGTAGTGAGGGTTGGCGAAAGAGTGAAATCACGGGCGGGAAAAGCTATCGGCTGAGCCTTAGGAGACGACCAACTACCTGAGAGCGAGGTGCGAAGGGGAGTTGAGCAATGTAGCGAATGCGGTCGACGTTGTGGGTGTCTGCCTGTTCTGATGGAGATGCGCGTAGCCGGGTCCTGACGGCTTTGGGTTTCGTTCATGGACTCGACGACTCACCTCGCTCCCTCATTTCGGTGCCGATATCTACTCTTACGTAACAAATCTAAATGACGTGGGTCACCCACCCGGCCATGTGGCGTCCTGATAGCGCACGGGTTGTCGGGCCACCTCCGCCCAGCTGCACGCGTTGACGCACATCCGGACGCCCAGTCTGATCGTGTCCTCGATCGCTCAGCACTCACTCATCGATCCCTTCTCTCGTACCTCGAAGAGTCGTCAAACAACTACGGCCTCAGTCAAGACTGTCCATCGTTGTCAACCCGTCCCGTTCGTCACCTTACACCATTCACAACTTCCGAAGGAGCTGGGCGCCCAACCCGTAAATAGACTGCCACGATGGCGACGTCAATGCGCGGATTGACCCAGGTATGTCTGACGCCGATATGACTTGCAGCGCACATTCTTGCTATGGCGTGTTCAAGTCTACCTCGCCAGTACGCTAACAATTCAGTACATTTCGGACCTGCGAGCATGCCGTGTCCGAGAGCTGGAGGAGAAGCGGGTGAACCGCGAGATGGCCCACATCCGCCAGAAGTTCAAGGACGGTAATCTCGATGGTTACCAGAAGAAGAAGTACCTGTCCAAGGTCGTCTTCACGTACATTCTTGGCTACAAGGTGGACATCGGTCATATGGAGGCTGTCAACCTGATTCACAGCAACAAGTACAGCGAGAAGCAGATCGTGAGTTGCAGCAGAGAATGATCCAACTGACGGGTCAGGGCTACCTCGCGATCACGCTGCTCATGCACGAGAACTCGGACATCGTTCGTCTAGTCATCAATTCTATTAGGAAGGACTTGGAGGATTCGAACGAAATCAACAACTGTCTTGCTTTGCATGCCATCGCTAACCTGGGTGGAAGGGAAATGGCCGAGGCGCTGGCCGATTCGACTTTCCGCGCCATGATCAGCCCTGTTTCGACCACGTTTGTCAAAAAGAAGGCCGCTCTGACGCTCCTGCGATTGTACCGAAAGCACCCGTCAGTCATGCCAGTGCAGGAGTGGGCTGAGCGCATCATGCCCATGATCGGTGAACGCGACCAGGGTGTGGCCATGACTGCGACTTCGCTGGTGACGGCCATGGCGCAGGACCACCTGGAGGCGTTTGCGGGATGTTACCAGCACGCCGTTGACAGGTTGGACAAGGTAAGATAGACCTGCTAGTATGAGCTGACGGCAGATTGTGTTCGATTCGGAAACCCCACCACACTATGTGTACTACAAGGTTCCGAACCCGTGGCTGCAGATCAAGATCCTGCGACTATTGCAGTACTACCCTCCGCCGGACAATCCTGAAGTTGTTGAGATGGTTAACGGCCTCTTGCAAGCTATTATCGATATGTCCCAGGAGACGCCGCGCAACGTACAGCACAACAATGCGCAGAACGCTGTCTTGTTCGAGGCTATCAACCTCGCTATCCACCTGAACCCCGAGAGCAAGGTCGTATCTAACGCTTCGGTCCTGCTTGGCAGGTTTATTCTCGCGAGGGAAACCAACGTTCGTTACCTCGGTCTTGACGCCATGGCGCACCTGGCCGCGTGTTCCACTTCGCTCGAACCCGTCAAGAGACATCAGGACACGATCATTCTTAGTCTGAAGGACCGTGACATCTCTGTGCGAAGACGAGCGCTCGACCTGCTGTACTCGATGTGCGACACGACGAACGCCAAGGTCATCGTCGGCGAGCTTCTCAAGTACCTCCAGGTGGCCGACTACAACTTGAGGGAAGAGATGGTACTGAAGATTGCCATTCTGACGGAGCGCTTTGCCACCGAGTACGAGTGGTACATCGACACGATTCTGCAGCTCATCTCGACAGCGGGTGACCACGTCGGTGCCGAGGTGTGGTACCGTGTCGTGCAGCTTGTTACGAACAACGAGGACCTGCAGCCGTACGCGTCGACGGCTGTTTACCGCCACATCAAGAAGGCGCAGTGCCACGAGAATATGGTCAAGGTTGCTGGCTACATTCTCGGCGAGTTTGGACACTTAATTGCGAACGACGAGGGTTGCAGCCCGATCGAGCTGTTCCACGCACTGCACTCCAAGATCAACATTTGCACAGCGCCGACGCGTGCGCTCCTGCTCACGACGTACATCAAGTGGGTCAACCTGTTCCCGGAAATCAAGGAGCACCTCGTCAACATCTTCCGACGATACACGCACGTCCTTGACGCGGAGCTGCAGCAGCGTGCGTGCGAGTACCTTGCGCTTGCGACGCGCAACGACAATGACGAGCTGCTGCAGGCGGTGTGCGACGAGATGCCCGTGTTCCCTGAGCGCGAGTCCGCGCTTGTGAACCGGCTGCACAAACGCGGTAACGCCGCGCAGGACAAGCGCACCTGGGTCATCGGACAGCAGAGCGAGAATCGGGACAAGTTTGCGAAGCAGTTCTCGAAGGACAGCACGAGTGCGGCGGACGACGAGACCGTCCCCGTGCCGCCGCCGAAGCCGCAGATGTCCCTGTCGCAGCCGCAACCGCAGGCGTCGCTGTCTGTCGACCCCCAGCCGTCGGGCAACCTCACGCCGCAGACGCCCTCCGCCAGCGAGCCAATGATGGGCCCCGGTCCGTCCTCGCAGTCTACCATGCTGTCCGAGGACATCATGACCTCACTCGCTGGGCTGGACATGTCGAGCCCCGCGCCTGAGCCCGCGTCGGCACAGCAGCGCCTTCTTCCGGAGCAGCAGCAGTTCGTCTCTGAGCCTACCGGAGGTGCGGCGCCACTCTCGACGCTTACGAGCCCGACGACGCCAGACGACCTGCAGCACACTGCGACGCTGGGCGGCGTCAACCCCGCGCTCCTGCACGGCCTCACGACGGGCCCGAACGTGGAGAAGTGGCTCGAGCGGCTGTCGTATGCGTCCGAGGGCGTCCTCTACGAGGACAAGCAGGTGCAGATCGGGATTAAGGCGGAGTACCACGGCCCTCTAGGCCGGATAGCGCTGTTCATCGGGAACAAGATCAGCACGCCGTTCACGTCCGTGTCTGCGCGGATCGAGAACAGCGAGCCCGGGCTGAGCGCAAACTTCCACGACACGCCCGTGACGCGCATCGAGGGCCTGGCGCAGATCCAGGAGATGATCCATGTCGAGGCAAAGGGCGTCTTTACGTCGCCGCCAGTGCTGAGGTTCACGTACCTGGCAGGCGGGTTCACGACGCTCGTGCTCAAGCTGCCAGTCTTCCTGAGCAAGTTCATAGAGGGCGTGCAGCTGGACCAGGCGGCGTTCTTTGAGCGCTGGAAGATCATCGGCGGCCCGCCCCGCGAGGCGCAGCAGATCTTCCCCATCAAGCTCTCCGAGGCGGGAGAGATTGACACGCAGCGCAACGAAAAGGTCATTGCCGGGCAGAGCATGAGCGTCCTCCGCGGCATTGACCCGAACCCGGTCAACATCGTCACGGCCGGCGTGCTCCACATGACGAGTGGAAAGGTCGGTATCCTTGGCCGCCTCGAGCCGAACCGCGACGCCAAGCTGTGCCGCCTCACGGTGCGCAGTACCAACGAGGAGGTCAGCAAGGAGTGCCTCAAGCTGTTCTCCAAGCCGATCAACGCGGATGTGGCAGCGAGCCTGTGAGCAGGCGGGCCAGTGGGGCGATAATAATGCTACTTTTAACGAGTCTTGTTACCATATTTATGCATGGATGAACATTACAACGGGGGTGCTGGAGACGCGAGTGCGCGCCGTGTTGAACAAATGGGATTGGAAGTGTCGTGAATGGGGCATGGGCGTGAGATCTAAAAGTCGTAAGATGGTCGTGAAAGATACCCGAAAGGTTTATCGGAAGTTGAGCTTGATGAGGAACATGAGAATGTTCATCGAGACGTGGACTGAGGCCCAGCCTGTGTTCTGTCAGTTGTTTGCGTGGCATGTCAACTCACCGCAAGCGGGTACGAGTTCGGGATACTCGCGCATCGAGTCGAGCCCGACCTCGCTGACGTCGACCTTGAAGCTGCGCTGCATGATGCGCCGCGCAATGAAGGAGCTGACGAGCTCGGATCCCCACACGGCCAGCGAGGCGTAGAATGTCATGGCGAACGTGTACGGATCGACCGGGGTCGAGTTGAACCTGAAGAACGGGTAGATGGCGCTGTTGGGGCCAAAGTGGAGAATGGCCAGCCAGCCGAGGAAGGACACCATGGTCGTATTCTGCGCGAGGGAGCGGCAGTAGAAGCCCACGGCGACGCTGTCCACGTGTTCTTGCCAGGTATCGCTCGAGCCGATGACGAGCTGGAGGACGCGGTGCCAGCCCTTTGTCATTTGCAGCGGGAAGAGGACGATGACGGCGAACGAGGAGAGGAGCTGGACAGTCGCGAACTGGGACGGAGAGCGCAGGCGCGCAAAGAGGTTGCGGTAGAAGACGTGGTAGACCAGCTGGAAGAAGAGTTTGTACACGAACAGCAGCGCGCGAGAGCGCACCTTGGCGCTGATGATGTAGAAGGACATGAGCGCGAGAATTTGGACCGCTGAGCGTCAGTTGGATCTTCCTAGCGCGACAACTCGAACTCGCCGCACTCTTACTCACTGATGATCCAGCTCCACACCCAGGTTCCCGCGTCGAGCGACGTGTGAGGCAGCGTACTCAAGAAAAGACTCGCGTACGCCTGACCCGCAATGAGGGAGAAACTGGCGATGGCGAGGCATACCATGAACCAGAGGAACCGGAGCCAGCTCGAGGGAATGCGCCGCAGCGAGTTACCGAAGAACGTGTCCTGCACCAGCGGCTGCGCGTGGCGGTACACATGTCGACGGTCGCGCTTCAGTTTCGAGAAGCATGCAAGCGCGGGCAGGTGCATCGCCGCGAACGAGAGGAGGACCCAGAAGGCTGTGGGTCAGCTCGATGACGGGGACATATAAGCTAGTGCGGCCACTGTACTCGTTGCGAGACGTACTCTTTCTCTCCCACTCGAACGCCTCGTCGTCGTCACTACCCGGGCCACGCTCGTGCTCCCGCCGCCGCATCCCGAACAGGTCCAGGTTGTGCGAAAGCAGACCGACGCCGAGCGTGCCTGCCCACATGAGGAGGTACGTCGTCTTGCCACCGAGGGCTTGCGGCCACCAATCTGTGTGTCAGCTTCGGTATAGTTCACTATAGCTAAGACGACTTACTCAGACGGTAGAGACCAAATAGCGAGGTGATGAAGCACAGCGCGACGGCGACGTACACGCCAAAGTACCTGTATTGTTAGTCGCTAAGCTGAGCATTGGGGCGAACTAGCGCACCAGAACAGGAAGAAGTAGAAGTTGACGTCGGTCGGTAACGGCTCGCTTCCACCAGGCTGGCCTGGGGTTGGGACGCTGGGCGTCGTCTCGTTGGTCGCCATCGACACCGTGAGGTTGCCTGTCGTCAGCTACCATTGTCACTCAAGCTAGCCCCTGCTCCTGATTATTCTTTCGCTCCCCTCCTCGTTTCCTCTCGCCTTCCTTCTCTCCCATCGTCTTCCTCTCGCTCCACCCCCTCCCGTCCCGCCACCCCTTCGTACTCCCACTCACCATGCCGATGCCCCGGAAACTGCCACCTCGGCTTGCCCTTATACGGGTCCTCGACTGGGAACGGCAGCGCGACCCAGATCCACACGACCAAGCAGGGAATGAGTGTGAGGACCGCGTGCCGGCTCCAGAAGTTGCCCAGCCAGCGATTCACGGCCGCATGGCTGGGGCGGAACAGATACTCGCTCCAGTGGTTTGGCTCGTCTGTCGTCGAGACGGCGCGGGGACGGCGACGAGAAACGCGGCGGCTGGGCGAGGGAAGGGACCGCCGCCGTCGTGGTGAGAGCGGGGAGGAGCGTTGCTCTATTGTCTCAACATTGTTGTCGTGGATCCGTGGAGCCGAGCGGCAGGTTCAGAGAGCCGGCCAAGCCACATTCAGCGAGAGATGCGTGTTGGCGGCCGTATGCGATGCACATGAGAGATCGCGATACGAGATGAAAGGGTAGGTGACGGGGGCCGTAGATCGGGAACGAGGTCGGTTGACGGAGACATGTGGTCATCGATGACGCAAGGTGCGATTGAGTGTCAGCGCTCACGACCGATGTAAACAAACGCAGGACTCACCCCATATCCGATCCTGGGCGCGTTCCGAGCCCGTTGAGAGGGGCGTGAACATGCTTTTGGAGCCACTCGTCTGTGACAGAATTGCAGACCTGTTGATCAAATGTTGAGATGTCTGTTCTGTGTCTGCGGCTTGGCCACTCGAGGCTGCGGTGCGCGGTGCGGCGGGCTGGTTCGCCCGATGGTCGGGCTGGTCGGGCGATCGGAAACGCCCAAGCCATCCATTGTCAACAAACCGCCTTCCCTGCACCAGCCTGCATCAGGATGCTTCCGCCGTTACATGCAGACAGTGCGACGCTGCACATTGCGTTACGCACCAGCCTCCGAGTCTGCATAGTGGCACGGAGACCAAATATTTGCGTACATGCACTCATAACTGCATAAATTCCATAACGATAGTAAAGAAGTGCTCAACACATTCTCGGTTGCCCATGCCTGCGCACGCGTGCTCGCACGCGCGCACCGAACAGAATGTGCCTGCACATTCCTGATTACCTGTGTACGGAGAGAGAAAAGATGAAGGGGTGTTCGAAGGTAAAGAGATTAGGTTGAAGACAGCGGGGAGCCGCAGTGCCAGCACGCGGCTCCCGACCTTACACTATGCAAGCCGTATCAATGCAAGTGTTCGTTGTCGTATATGATGCGCTTAGAAGTTCTCGAGAACCGAGACCGAGATGTCCGAGAAGGTCGCGGTCTGGTCCTTGGGGCACGCCCACGAGCCGCCCGATCCACCGAAGAAGGTCGAGAAGAAGAGACCACGGATGCGGCCCTGGTCGTGGTGGCGCATGACGAGGTTGTTGGCGTCAATGACCTTGACACCGTCGACGATGAGCGACTGCTTGCCGTCGGCGTTGGGCTTGTCACCGTTCATGGTGTTGAGGGTGATCGTGTTGGTGACTGTGACGGGCTTGCCGGCCTCAAACTTGAACGAGTTGCGGCCGAGCGAGTCGCCAGAGCCCGAGTGACAGATGATCTGGCCGGTGCCGATGGCGTACGACGCGGGGTCGTTGCAGTAAGCCTGCTCAGAGCCCCAGTAGTAGTTGTAGATCTCTCCGACACCGTCGGGGCGCCACATGAGACGCGAAGAGAAGCAGCCAGGGCCGCCGGCGTGGCCAGAGCAGTGCTTGGCCTCCTCGGCAGAGTCACCACCGTACCAACCGGGGAGCTTGCCTCCGAGCTTCCAGTCGAAGCCGTTCTCGAACTGGACAGTGTAGGTAAACGAAGCGGTGCGCGCCTTGGTCAGGACCATGCCGGTGTTTCCGGGGTCGGGGGTCGTGTACCAGAACCACGAGTCGTTGTCGTTGACCTGGCCCTTGCGGTAGGTGAAGGTCCACTTGTCACCGTTGACGGCGAGCCTGCCGTAGGCGTCCTTGAGACCGTCGTTGTGACCTTCGTTGGTCATCTGGGCGAAGCTGCCGTACGAGGTGTCACCGCCCATGTCGAGGAACGAGCCACCGATGCCACCACCGCCAGTGCTGAAGGTGGAGAGGGCGGAACCGAGAGGGTCCTGCGAGGGCATCTCGGTACCGGTCCACTTGGTAACACCCTTGGCGGGCTCGAGGACAGAGGTGTTGACCTTGTTGGTCTTCGACTTCTCCTTGGTAGCGGGCTCGGCGGCAGCAGCCTGAGTCGACTCGGGGTTGGCGGCCTCAGCCTCCTCGAAAGCCTCCTCATTCTGCTCGGCCTCGGTCTGGCCAGCGGAGGCAGAGGGGGCAGCGGCAGAAACGGCCGGGGCGGAAGCGTCAAGTTGGACAAAGTTGTCGGCGGGCTTGTCGCCAGAGGCAGGGGCCTGCGAGGAGTTGTTCTTGGGCTTGCAGGTCGTCTTCCTCTTGGTGTGACGGCGGCGGCGGCGGGGCTCGGCCGCGTGGGGGTGCTCGAAGGAGCGGCCTGGCCGACGACGTCACGGACCTCGTGCTGCGAGTTGACCTCGACGGCCGAGACCGACGCGATCATCGCGAGAATGGAGAAGAGCTGGAAACGCATCTTGATTGAAATGCTAGTCCGGATCAGCCCACATGATCTTCCCTTCCTCCTGGCTCGTCCGATGTGTTCCGTACTCACAAATGAACAACTGAAAAGGAGAGAAAAGAGATTCTTGACTGAAAGGAATGTGTTCGTACAATCCAGTTAACGAACGTACAGGCGGGGTATGCCTTGCTAGCAAGGAAACGAGAGACGGGAGGACAGAGAGCGACGGCGTTGAGGAGATGAGAGGAAGACAGGAGCTGAGTTGTTAAAAGACTTGTACGGGGTGTGCAGTCAGCGGTGAGCGGGCACCGAGGACGAGGGAGCAGCCCCGTACCTGCAGCCACGCAGGGGGGAAACAGCGCCGGGTCGCGGGTGTGTCGCGCGGGGCCGGTGGGTCACAGGAGCGCCTGTACGCGCATGGTCTGGAGAGCGAGGGCGAGCATCGGCAAGGAGCAAGCTCAGGACTAGCAGAGCTAGCGGTGGAAGACAGCGCCTCTGAACCCAAACAGACTGAGCGATGCCTTACAGCTGGCGCGTCTGGAAGGGGGTGTGGACCCTGGGAGCCGGATGCCCCGGAAGTGCCGTAGTACGGGAGGGCGTGGGCGACCCTGATCGTCCCTGTCCGCCAGTTGGCACACTCCCTGCGTCTGCCCTGCTTTCACCCTGCACTCCCCGCCCTGACACCGAAAACGACGCGTACGGGATTCTCGTCAGCCAGCCGCCATCCCCCAGCCGCCATCCCCCAGCCAGGCCAGCCAGCCCAGCCATGCCGCTGTGGCTTCTGCCAAGCTGGGTCAGGACCATGAATAGATCGTAAACTCTTCGCATCCTCACCACCAATAATGACACGCAATCTATCCAATGCACCCCCTTTGCAGCACTTCGAGGTCATTCACATCCACACCGTGTCCTGAGCTTCTTGCTCATCCACCCCTGGGCTCCTTACGGTCTTTGCTTCCGGGAACCTCCTTCCAGCACTCGTTCGCGAGAGCTTATGGGTCCTACCCCTGGTGTCGCGCCTCCCTCCCTCTGTCTTTGCACCCCGCGAATTGCAGCAACCTTGCTTGTCTGCTGACTCCACACTCCGCACAGCGGGTTCATGAGAGTGCGGAGCACCCTCCCAAGAGAGGGCATTCGTACGCCCGAGTTCTAGACTGGAATCGACGCAGCACACCGGAGTCTGTTTCCTTCAAGCGCATAGACATGTTGTGTGCCTCAGACTTCTCTCTTCATTAAGCAACTCTAATGTCGGCCGACGTCTGTAAGACGGTCCTAACGAGCTTACGCATCGTTGTGGCCAGACTATCTCCACAGAGTTTGCGAGTGATCGCTTGAAAACGAGGTCTCACGTCGTATTCAGATCTAACACTTAGACTTTCAGACACCACCAGGTCTCTGAACCGTTAGTCATGCGCACCAAGTATGACGCAGTTGGCCCGATTCGCATGCTCACATGCTAAAGTCAGCGAAGCTTGATTGTCTTGATCTTCTTCAATCGACTTGCCTCTTCTGTACAGCTGGGAACTGTGAGAGCAGCAATCCGGTCGTCTCCGAGATCGATTTACTCGCGGCCGAACACTTCGCCGGAGTCATGGGGCGCAGGGAGAACCTGACGTCGAGAAAACTGCACCCGAAGTCTGGGATTTGGGACAGGGCATCTTGGTCCAGAACCAGCATGTGCAGGCAGGTATGTGACTTTCGCAGCAGCACGGACAGTGGGATGCCAGGATCTGAGCAAAGGGTCAGTGGCACCCCGAATCGTGTCTGTCACCGAAATGGCGCGCCGGCGATCTGGCCTTTGGAGCATGGCCGTCCGTGCCTTTTCGCTCAGCTGTTCGGACGAAAGGCTCAAATCTGTGCAAGCATAGCTTCGCGGCCTGCGGTGTCCGGCGTGCTGTGCCCGAGCGGCTCTCTTCGTGACTTCGCTGCGGCGGTGCTCGCCGGCGCTTCTCTCGCCGTTGCGGGTCCGTTCCTGTGAGGTGCATCCAGTCAACGAACCCGAAGACACTTGTTCACGTGACCAACCTCTCACGTCTGGTCTTACATAATCCGGAGACAGATGTCACGTGCTCGGATGTACGCATGTAGCTCGCGTGGTCCAGTGGCCAATCACGTGCGCCGGGACAGGGGGTCTCTCGGCAGCATTCCGAATCCAACATCGCTCCTTAGCGCAACGGCTATTGGCCGCCGAGGGAAAGTCCTGGTTAAGCAGTCCAGTCGAGTCGGACCCGTACTAGGTTCGATTCATCTTGGGCTCCACACCAGGCTTCGCTCGGCGCCTGGCCCCCCCGCTAATTTTTGCTTTGGGCGGGTTTCACCATCTTGCGTATATGCATATATGCACTGCTCCTTTTTTTGCACAAGCCATACACACGCTCTTACTTCGCTCAACTGCCGTACTGGGTCTGCATGGGTATGCAACTATCTACATTATCTTCACCGAATCGACGTACTGGGCAGATGCATGCGTAGCCGCGACTTTCGATCGCATGTACAGTTCGAATCCTTCCACTACGGTCTTGCCACCCAACGCCACCGCAGATTTGTCGCCGGGCATGGGTCGCACGACGGGCGGGCGCCAAAGCATGTCGGACGAGCTTCTGTTGTTAGTGCGAAGCGACTGTCCTGTGGACTTCTTCCAATGAGGGATCAGCGTGGACGCAGCGGATTTAGGAATGAGAACTGAAACGAGAGACAAGGCGGATCGATGGGTGGTCGCAGACACGAGCGGTCAGGAACTGGGTAAACTGGGACTGATCACGGGTGGAGCTCCGATTGGCCGCGGGGAGGTGGTGTGTCGCCATCGCAGCGCTGATACTCGTCATTCCGTCGTCTCTATCTCAACTTTCCGCAAGCGAGTGGACAAAGTGCGAACGAAAGCACGCGGGACGATCGCTGCACACGCTGCAGATCACTGGTGTGCAATCGACATCCGACGTGCCTTGCCTACATCTGTGCACTGCGCACGAGATCTTTCCCCATTCTACCGTGTGCCCGGGTTGCTCGCCGGACCGTCCGAGCGGCGTGACTGACCGGGCACACTGGCGCCGCTAGCGCTTAGTGCACCAATACAAGAGACCTTCCTCGCAACCATCCACTTTTCTTCAATCTTTTCCATCTTACTCGTCTCTACTACAGCACGCCGACAGCTTCAGCATGGCCAACTATGGCGCGGTCGCTCGGCGGCAGCGCTCGGCGCCCGCTCTAGGTTCTGAGCGCCAACCGCTCCTCCCCTCCGACTCTTCGAACTCTTCGACGACAACGGTTAACGACCTGAATGACCGGAAGAACGCCAATGGACACGCACAAGCGAGCTTCTTCACCCGCTTCATGGCGCACCCTCGAGTCGCGCCCGACCCGGAGGACCGCCTGTTCAAGGACTCCGACGAGGAGACGTGGGCGAGCGCTCAGCTCGGTGCACCCGACATGGTCGCTTCCAATCTCGTTATCACCTTGTCGACGGCGTGAGTGCCTTGCCTCGGTTACACTTGGGCGCCCGCGTGACATGTGCCTTCTGAAAGACTTCCGCGCTATCTGGCCCAAGAGATCCGCTCAGATTTGCTTGTTCCGCTTATTTGCGATAAGCTGCACAGTCACACTTACGGGGCGCGCGCGGACTATGCTTAAGAGAGTCCTAGCAGCTAACCATTGCAGAATGCTTGACGCAGTTATGTATCGGCTGTACGGCACATTCGCGACGAACCAGACGGGCAATACGGTGTTCCTGACCCTCGCGGCGCTGCACTGGGGCACGTCAAAGCTTATCCTAGCGATCGCATCTCTTGGCGGCTTCTTCGGCGCTGGTCTCATTATGGGCCAGCTCGGCGCCCGCTTCGGTGAGTCACCGCTCCACTCATCGCCGTGTCTCGCGATGTCTCGTGTTATCTCACATGGACATCCCGAGGCACCCGGTGTTCGTAATTGCCTCGACACTGTTATTCCAGATCACTAGCTCGGCGCCGGACGCGATGCTAACGATAAAGGTCACCGCCGACGTTGGTGGGTAGTCACGACCATGACGTACCAGTGTGTGATCCTTCTGATCTTCACCTGGGTGGTGTCTCCGTACGGTCCTCGAATTATCGCTCCTGGGGGACAGTTCGAATGGGTCGGCATGCTTCTGAGTGCGATCCAAGGTGGTCCGCAGGTCGTGATGGCGACCAACCTTGGCGTGCCGGAGATGCCGACGGCAATGGTGACGAGCGCGTACGCTGGCCTGATCAGCGACGTCAAGCTCTTTTCGCGCGGCTTCAGCGTGCCCCGCGACCGCCGTATCGTGTACCTCATCACATTCTGGATCGGCTCCTTTGTCGGCCTGGGTGTCGAGCAGGGCACGACGGCGTGGTTTGCGTCTTTCCTCAGTGCCGTCCTCAAGCTCATCGCGCTGTGGATGATCGTCCGCGCAAGACCCAGCGGTGTCAGCGGCAGCGCCCGCGGATGAGCACACTGCTTATCATGCGCTCCGACCATGGAGCGCTCGCAGCATCGGTACACTCGTACCTCTCATTTAGCATAATCACGAACCCAAGTGGAGAAGACAACTTCTTGCTTGTCCCATGTACGAATCTCATGTTTCTTGGATGTATCCCTTATCCATAAATTACTCTACTCCTGTATTATACAAACACTACTTCTACTGTCAGACACGGCGAGATCTCGAGCAGGTCTACTCGGCACGAGCGCGCTTGCCACTGTCGGCGGCAGCCGCGTCCTCGGCCTGCGCGCCGCTTCCGGAGGACTCATTGTTGGCGGCGCCGAACTGGAATCCATCCCGGACGGCCTGCTCGACGACCTCGCGAATCCTGTCGTCGGGGTTCGTGCCATCCCGCTCGGCCTGCTCCATGATCTCCTTCGTGCGGGCGAGGAGGTCATTCGTCTGCTGCGACGCATAGGCGTCGACGGCCTGGTTGCTGACACCCTCGGGCGCCTCGCCTCCCTCCTCGACACCCTCCATTCCCTCCCCCTCAGCCGGTGCCGGGGCAGCCTCGCCCGTGATGGAGCGGAGGTACTCAGCAACTTCGGGCGAGTCCTCGTGCAGCGTCTCGGCGGCCGTCTTGCCCTCGTTGTTCTTGTGCGAGGCGTTGGCGCCGTGCTCGACCAGCCACTGGGCGGCGGGCAGAGACTCGACAACGTACAGCGGCGTGTCGCCGTCCTCGTCCGCCAGATTCACGTCGCCGCCAACCGAGACGAGGTACTCCAGCAGAGGGAGGTGGGCGTACGACGCAGCGGCGTGCATGGGCGAGTACGAGTTGGCGTCGAAGGCGTTCGGCGACTCGCCGGCGGCGATGAGCTCCTGATGGTCAGCTTAACAGTCCAGAAACTGACAGCGTAGCTAATCGACACAGTTTCGTTGGACGGCGCAAAGAGCCCATCTATCTCAATGGGAGCTGAGCGAGCTCTGTCACACGAAGTCTGTAGTCCGAAGACTCCGCTCGCTGCGCTCCTTCCGCCAGATGACGCACCTTGACACGCTCGAGGTCGCCGTCGCTAGCCGCGACCCAGATGTTCTTTCCGTTTCCGACCGAGTTGACCATAGTGTCGATTTCCGTCTGTCGCTCGTTGATAGTCGAGTTGCAAGAGAGCTCGGTCAAGACCTGACGGACGGTGGAGGTGCTCGGGTGGAGGAAATTTTGAGATTTGGCCTGGCGCCATGACGCTCATGCTGAGCCAGGCACGGGCGGCGGCCACCTGGCCATCCACCCGGTTGATGATGCGGTCCAGCGTCCAGGTTGTTGTTGCATCTACCTTTCAACCACGGAACAAGGAGGGACGCGCGACCACCATGAACTCGTACCCGCCCGAGGTAGGTAGTTCTCTTCTCCAGCTTACTCTTTTTGCAACGCCAGCTGACGCCAGTTCCTCGCGCACCCCCAGCCGCTCATGTTCGTTGCCGGGTTGGGGAGCGACCCGGCGCCGACACCTTCCTCCCCTCCTCCCTCCGGCTCTAGCTCAGCCACGAGTCCGCGGACCCAGAGCCCAGTGAAGCAGTCCGCTACTCCCGAGCGCCAGCCCACCGGTGACGGCGAGTTTGACACGCTTCTCTCCGATCTCCGTCAAACGCTGCGGCCTTACCAGCACCCGGCGCGCGTGTGGCTTCCTCCGAGTGAGCGGCGGCAGTTCCGCGTAGAGCTCGTCGACAGGAACGTCCAGCTGCCCGCGCGCAAGGCTGCCCCAGGCGCCGATGGACGGTCCCACTCCCCCCTCTCGCCCTTGACGCCCGGCAGTCCCATGAGCCCGGACGGGCTCATCGCACCTGTCTGGGTCCGGAAACACGCCGAGAGTGTGCCTGCTGTCTTTGTCTCCTTCATGCGGCTGTACGAGCCCCCGTCACCGCATGGAAGTGCCGGCTCACCGCTGGGTCAGGACATGATGGCCGAGGCGGAACGGCAGGCGGAAAGGCAGGCAGACGAGAACCTCGTCAGCGAGATTGCGGAGCTGCGGAAGAGGCTCGCGGAACGGGGAGTCAAGTTGACCGTTGTTCTCATTGCGAGCGCGCAGACGCTGGGTAAGTATAATAAGCTGAACTTGTGCCAGCATGGTAAAGCTGACAACAGACTCGCCGGGACTCGACTCGCGCTTGTCCAACCTGCGCCGCAGCGCCGGCCTGGGCGCCAAGGGCAGCCTGTTCGTCCTCACGCCTGTCCCCGCCGCCGAGCTGCCCGACTTTGTCCGCAGTCTGCAAGACGCGCTCTGGGAGCCGGCTTTGGAGTACTACGCCGCACACGGCAAGCGCGTCCGGCAGAAGCGTGGGCGCGTTCCCGCCAACATTGGCGAGAGAGGCGGCCGCTCGCGTAGTGGCAGTAGCGCCGCCGCGCGTGCGCGTAGTGGATCCTTCATCCGTCCTCTGGGACAGCAAGGCTGGATTGTCCGGTACGACTTCAAGGCCGGATGGTTTGCCGAGTGCCGTGGAGAACTGGACCTCGCGAGGAGACATTACGAGGACTGCTGGAACGAGCTGGCGCGTATGTTTGGGAGTACCACGATGCTGCCGCCTCGGACAAAGCGGTGGGCGGAGGCCAAGGTCCTCGCTGACTGCGTGGCTATCAAGGTGAGTCCATGCTGCCGAAAAGTGGTCCGAGTTAGCTAACCGCAGATCTGCAAGTTACTCCTGTACGAGGGCTCAGGATCGCGTGTCATGGTGCCGTTCTTCGTGCACGTGCGGCGGTTTGCGGACTTGTCCCGCGGTTGGGGCATCGGCGAGGAGACGTTCGAGTTCTGGTCTTGGGTCGCGCGGCAGTACCGACTCTTCGGGGAGGTGCTTGAGCTCGCGATCCGACATGGCTTCCGGGTCCCGCCGTTGCCACTGCCACAGATGTCGACGCCGACCGTGCCACCAACGCCCGAGGTGCTCGTCTCCACCGTGAACCCGCTGCATCTCCTGCATCCACCGGCCTACTACTTCTACGCAGCGGCGACGTGTACGATGGAGCGCAAGGCGCGCTTCGACGCCGCTCTCGCCGCGGAGCAGGAGACGGGCTCTGTCGCGCTCGCCGGCGCCCCTGGCTTTGCAAACGAGAAAGGTGTCGATCACTCGGCACTCATCATCGACCTCCTGACGAAGGCTGCCGCGCTTGGCGGTCCCGGCGCTGCAGGCGCAGGGTTAGAGCTGTATGATGCTTACCGCGTTGCGGACACGTACGTGCAGTCCGGAAAGTACGAGGAAGGCGCGCGCTACCTCGCCGACATCGTGGGCAAGTTCCCCGCCTGGGGTCCCATAACGCGGGAGCTTCAGGCGCTGCAATTGCAGTGTGTCCGCGAGACGGGCGACAAGGAGACGAACGCGGCCCTCGTCGTTCAGATGCTCGCACCAGGGTGGTTCCGCAACCGCGCGAAACTCGTAAAGGAGTTGAACACGCTCATGGAAGGTACGGCACCGGCCGATCCCATCGTCGTCGACATGCCGCAGGGCGAGGGATTGTTAGAGACCCGTGCGGGCTTCCGCATGGCCGAAGCGCAAGCTGGCACGCCGCTCGCGTTCCAGGTTCAGATCGGGAGCAGCGTTGACTTGGCTGACCTGCCTGTGACGTCGCTCAAGTTTGTGTTCAGCGACGAGCGCGAGGTCACCCTGTCGCCGGGCGGGGACGCTTTCGTCGATGTAGGCGACTTGGGCACCTCGGGCAACAAGAGCGGAAAGGCGGCGCTCAAGTTCGGCGAGGGTAGCCGACTCGTTGTAAGCGGCAAGATCAGCGCAGCTGAGGACGCCGACAGCTTCGAGGTGTCGGACCTCATCCTTTGCATCGGCACGAACGGATGGACGATAGATGTTGGACTCAAGCCGGAGCCACTGACAGCGTGGACGACCAAGGCCGGCTCGTACGCGCCGGCTACCGGACTGCACTCGGCCGTCGAGATTACGCCGCGTCTGCCTTCCGTTGACATTGCGCTCTCGCATCCTTCAACAGCTTACGTAGGGGAAGACTTCCCCGTCTCCGCGACAGTGACGGCCGACGCTGCCGCTCAGCTTGTCGTCACGGCTGCCTGTGGCGAGGATGCCCTGCGCCTCTCTCACGGCGGAGACAGCGCCGATGGCCGCCTCGTACTTGACCTGAAGGCTGGCGAATCGACCGAGGTGTTCCGCATCGTCTCTCCCCGCCCGGGCGAGTGCAGGCTGACCTTTGCCGTCGGCGACGCGACCGAGACGGCCATACTGGCGATAGTGCCGCCATTCCGCGTCTCGCCCAGCATGAAGAATATTGGGTCGCAGGCAATCGTCTCTGCCGCGCTCAAGCTGGGCGGCCAGCGTGCCGTGCAGGTCAAGGCCATCACGGCGCTCGGCGAGGGTAAAGTCGACGACTCCCTTGGAGCAGAGACATTCCCACACAGTAAGTTGATGATATGAGTGCGCCAACTGACAACAGCCTGGACGCCGGACTCTGCGTTCGCGGTGTGCGCTCGTTTCGCACTTGGAGGCAAGGTCGTCCCTGGTCTCAAGGTCGTGTGGCGGCCGGTGTCCGAGACTTCTCCTGAGCGGCGCGAGCCAAGCTCGTCAAGCGACGATTCGCCCTTCCTTTCCAACCCTTCCAAATCCAATCCGGCAGAGACCGACATTACGACAGTCATTGCGCTCCCGCCAATCCATGCTCCTCAGCCCGACAGCTTCCTAACGGCCGAGGTCAACCAGCCGGCCAGCGTGCGCCTGAATGAGCCGTTCACGCTCAAGCTGAACGTGCGCAACTCGCACCCGACCGAGAGCGTGTGGGGCATCGTGTCGGGCGAGACGAGCGAGCACTTTGTCTGGAGTGGGCCGCGGGGCGTCCGCGTTGCTGTTGAACCGAAGCAGACCGAGGATATCGAGCTCAGACTGGTCGCAGTCGGCGGCGTCGGTACGTTAGCCTGGCCTGGTATCAGTGTCAGGGAAGGAGACGGGGAGGAGGTCGAGGTGCGCCGGAGCGGCATTGTCGTCCTCCCGTAGTGTCGTAGTAGATGTAGATGCATAATGATTGTCATGATTTATACAACGAGAAGAAGAGCTAGTAGAACACGAGGCAGCGCACCTCGACGCTCTTCCTCGGCGGCGGATTCTGGACAGCCGGATCCTCGAACGCCGAGTGCGGACTGCTCGTCGCGACGCCTTTCCTCCCATTCGGCTCCGTCTCGCCCTCCGAGTCATAGCACTTGATGAACACGACCTCATCGCTCTTCATGTCCTTGACGTACCACCACTTGTGGCCCTCCTTCGGCACAACGCGGTACGTCTCTCCCCTAGGCTCGTACCCCTCCCGGCTCCTCAAACTCTCCGGAGAGGGGAGGACTTCCTTCCCCCGTTCATAGACCTTGGGATACAGCAGATCGACGGCAATGAGGTCTTCGGGCGCGACGGAGCGCGCATCGAGTAATCCGAGGGGATGGTCAAGCGCCGGTCCAAGAGGCCGCCATACGTTGATGAGCTGGAACCTGCGCCCGTTCTCAACATCGGCAGCGAACTGGGGCGCATGCTGCTTCATCCGCCGCAGCGCCGCGCTCGGCGTCTGGTCGACGTGCACGCTCTGCACGGGCTGGCGTGCGCTCGAGGGGTCGCGGACGCGCATCGTGTGGTCCCAGATCACGACGTCCTTGGCGCCGAGCTGTCGCTTGATTGCGGCCTCGATCTCGGCATAGTAATCTTTCCGCGTCTGTGTCCCCTCAGCAAGGCCGGAGGAGAGAACCTCGTCAATGGGGACCGAGGAGGGGGAGGAGTGGAAGGAGAATCCGGCCAGGTCCGGGTTGGAGAGTTCGGGGGAGGCGCGGATGTCGTGGACTGCGTAGGAGACGGGCAGCTCGGAGAAGGACTTGAACGCCTGCGTGTCGGCTTTCGACCACGGTTTCTCGCCTGAGGACAGGGAGGCGGGGTCGAGGTAGTTGAACACGCCCTTCGTCTCCCCCGCCGAGGTTGAGGTGGACATGGCTCTGGACACGCTCAGCGGGTGTGGTGTGCGACGTGGGGAGAGAGCGAGGTGGGCAGCTGGGCAGGCGGAAAGACGCCGCGATACCGATGTGGGAAGACGGCGGAGCAACAGCTTGAACAGTTAAGACGGCACTGGCGGATGATAAAGGTTGATGGTGGTGGTGCTGAGGAAGCAAGTACGCCGATGGATGATCAAGATTGCCGATTCGGTTATACGCGCCCGGATGACGTTTTCGCGCACAATCGTCCGGGTGGCCGAGCTTAACTCGTTGGTATCACCACTGCTGCCATACAGGCCCTTCAGTATTCTGGTTCTCAACACAGATACCTGAGGACAGTGCTGCCTGCGGAGAACGAAGCACAACAAGGAGACGAGACACGATCAAAGAGGACTGACCAGCGGGCGACGAAGAGGCACGAATGCGGGGCAGTGGGAGTGGAAGGGCTCGCCAGTCTGCGCTCGCTCTCCCTTGCACCTGCTCACCGCCTCAGGAAGCTTACATAGGCGTCTTCAACACCAAGAGGCGCAGGAGACAAGCTGGCGTACTGGCTCCTCAACGTTGCGAAGCAACTGTGGGCCTCCAAGTTGCGACTTTGACCTCATGCCTTTGAGGGCCTCACTCTACGATCACACGGCCGCTTCCAGGTTTGCTGCAGCGCAACCGACTGCTGCACTCTCACACTCGACTTCTGGTGCGAAACCGATGGACCACTGACGCTCTGCTGTGTCGTAGGGGAGTCCTACACACAGACGGATTGACACTGACGAGGTTCCGTTCCTTCGTCGACTTAACCTCATCCGAGCGACCTCCCGCACTGTTCGCTACTCATTCATCCCGCTGTCGCTGGCATGCCGTACGAGCTGCGCCGCGCCTTTCCCTGTGCCGGTCATTCGAGTAGATTGCTTTCTTTTCTCTTCAAACGAGTGCCGATTGAAGCGTTGGAGCGAAAAACCTGTTCGTGAGCATTGTCAAAGCCATGTTGGTCGTTCCGCAATCGAGTAGTTTTATCGCTTCTTCGCGCAGCTTTGTTGAGATGCATCGTTTTGTTTCATACGTCTGTTCTAAAACCTAGCCTTGAGACCTTAGAAAAGAGCACGTTTAGTGGTGCTTCTCCTCCTTGGGGAGGGGCTGCTCGAGGAACTTGAGGTACTGGTCAGCCGTCATGCCGTCAGACTCAGTCTTCTCGGCCTTGACAGCCTTCTTGGGGCCGCCAATGGTGGGGTTCTGGGCGTCGAACGCCGACATGTCGGCGGCGAGGTCAGAGGGGAGCTCGGGGGCCTTGGGGGGCTCAGGGGCGGTGAACTTGCGGACGTGCTGCTCGGCGTCGGCCTTGGACTGCAAGGTTAGCTGTAGTCTTCGAGTTTCATAGCTGATAAGGCGGGAGATTGAGCTTCGGGCATGGACCGAATGAAGTCGACGTTGATCTGGACCGAGAGAACGTCATGACGTCGCCGTTGCGAACGATCTATCTCCCAAACCGTCCACCCCCTTCTCTATCGTCGCAGTTCCATGCGTTCACCGTCGGAGACTCGGTTGTCCATGCCCAAAATCTGGTCGTCGACACTCACGGTGGCAGGGGCCTTGTAGTTCTTGAGCTGGTTAAGGTACATGTCCTTAACCAGGTCGCCGCGCTGAGCCGAAGCCGAGAACTGGCGGGCAAGGGCAGGGGTCCTCTGAGCCTGTGTAAAGTTAGTGATCTGTCCGGAGCCTTGTGGAGTTGAGCGCGAGCGAGCGGGCGAAGAACGAGCAGCTTGTCGACTAGCCGAACGGTGTGCGGTCGGAGCGAGCGCATGGTCTCCGTAGATTCGTGGAACTCCGCGGACTTCAATCCTAGATTCCGCTGTGCCTGCCTGCAACACCATTTCCTGCAATTTCCAGCATAATAACGGCGTCGCGGGCTATTCCGGACGCATAGTGACGACGGGGCCGGTGGGGACGAGCGTGCTGGCGGTTTCGCGCTCGTCGCGCCCAGAGTTTGGTGATTTGGCGATTTTCGTTCCGAGGTGTCGAAAAGCCCCGTGGGCCGATCCCGGATTCGGTGCACTCATCGTTCTGTCGCATGTCGTGTCGGTGTCTCTGCTGTGCTCGCCACGCCGCGCGCAAGGGGATACCCACAGTAAGGCGGAAGAGCATTTTGGGCCGGTTTGTGAAGGAGAAGGTGAGAGGGGAGAGAGGTGAGTTAAGGCTGAGGCAGCGAGTGTTGGACGGAATTGGTTGGTTGGAGGAAAGACGGATGTCCGGCCGATGTCGCACGATTTTAGGCGCCTCACCCAATGCATGCCTTCGCACCCGCCTATTCTGCCACACCCCAGCTTGCACAGTGAGCTCACCACCATCCGACCAGTCCGCGCCATCCGTATGATGCAAGCTCTGCTAACGGCGTACATCCGAACAGTCTCAATCATCACGCTACACACCACGAAAGCTTGCACACAGTCTGAGCAGAACAGATACATGTAAAATACAACATCTAGGCGGTCACCGCCATTATCCTTCATCTGTCCGACCTCCACACCTCGGCTTCCTCGTGCCTCGCACTGCAAGCTCGCTCGCAGCAATGACGCGCCGATGTCCGCCTCGGGGTAGAGTTTAGTCAGACCGTAGCGAAGCCGCCCCATTATAACAAGGAGGTCGGCCGCCGGGCGGCAGATATCACGCATAGCCATCTTCCCGTAGGCGGGCTATGTCAGAGAATTGCGGCCTTTAGGAGTGTCATCTTTTCTAACTGGATTGTTAGCTGGCGGAATCGAAGCGGGTAGCCTCTCTGTGCGGCCAGCAACGAGCCGCCGAGCGTATACAGCGACGCCGTTCCCTGCCTGACAGCAAGTGGTACTCACAAACAGAAGGAAGGATGAGGTTTCGAAATTCGGCCAGGGACGGTTTTATTGCCCTGCCTCCCACTCGCACCTGATACCAGCGTCGTAGTACAGCTCATTGTCGGGACCTTTTCTGTGGAGACCCCAGACAGTGCCGCCTCCACATGCGTACTTCGATTGCGACGTTACATCGGGGACTGGCTGCGACAACTCCACCTCAACGATGAACTTCAGCCCGGCCGCGCTCGGCGTCGCGCTACTGCTCTCGGGACATGGACTGAGGAAGAAGTCCCTCTCGCTTTCTGGAGCAGCTGCTGCCTTCCTCGCAGGGTATGCACACCTCGCCAACCCGCTGAAGTTGTTCGGCGTCAGCCTGATTGTCTTCTACCTTCTGGGCAGCCGCGCCACGAAAGTGCGTTCAGAGCTTCCAGTTCCGGATGTCAAGCTGACAACAGGTGAAAGCGGATGTTAAGGCGAAGCTCGAGGACGGCGTCGACCCGACCAAGCCGCAGGGTAACCGGAATTGGGTCCAGGTGCTGAGCAACTCGCTCCCGTCGCTGATCGCCGCCCTGGCGTATAGCCGCTACGTCTCAGTGAGTATGCCGCGAAAGCATCTTTAGCTGCGTATTTCTGCTCGACAGCTGACATCAGAACCAACCCGTCACTGCAGTACTCAGTGACCGTACGACGCGCGCGCTCATCTACGCCGCCGTGTTCCACTTCGCGACGAGCCTGGGCGACACGCTCGCGTCCGAGCTGGGCATTCTCGCCAAGACGTCCCCCGTCAGCGTCCTGACATTCAAGAAGGTGCCTCCGGGGACGAACGGCGGCATCACCGTTCCTGGCTTGGTCTGGAGCGCGCTCGGTGGCACGGTCATGGGCGTGACCGCCGTCGTAAGTCTCCTCATCGAGTCGAGCATCACGTCCTCTCAGGCCCTGCAGCTCGTCAGCAGGGCCAGCGCGGCCGGTCTCGCGGGATCTTTGGTAAGTTGGTTCTTGGGCAGCCATAACTAACGGCAGATTGACTCGCTGCTCGGAGCGACTTGCCAGCGCACTGTGTACCGCGACGGCAAGATTCTGACGGACGCGAGCAAGGACCATACCGGCGGCGAGGTCGTCGGTGTCGGGAAGGACATTCTGTCCAACTCCAACGTGAACTTGATCAGCTGTTCGTTGATGGCACTCGCCGGATATTGGGTCGGTGGGCAGACTGTGTAGGTAGATTGACATGTACACCATTCAAGGCAGACGTCAAGGCAGAGGGGAATCGCTGGCCGACTCGCGGTCCTGCACACTCATACATTTCACTTCAGACATAGCATCCTCTACTTATCGACGAGCGCAAGGTAGTCTGCGACGCGCTGGTACACGTCGTCGAACTGTTTGCTGTTCTCCGGGTCGTCGAGGTTGGCGCGCGCGGCAGCCCAGCCGTGATGCACCGTGTTGTACAGGTGGAAGTCGCACTTCTCATGGAAGGGCTTCTGGAGCATCGCGTGCGCAATGTGCTGCACGACGTCGCTCGGCTCACCCTTAGAGGGGTAGAAGCCGAGGGGCTTGGCGAGGTTGTCGCCGTCGCTGTTCGCGATCATGGCCGGGTGCACCGCCGCGCCGGCCGTGAAGGGGCCGTTGGCGTCGGCGAGCGCGAGAAGGGTCAGCTTGCCGCCTGTGGTTAGCTTCTATCTCAAGAAAGTCCGACAGCTAGACTCCACTTACCCCAGCAGTATCCCAGAATCGAGACCGTCTTGTACTTCTTCTTCAGGTCCTCGGCGAACTTGACGACTTCGGGGAGACGGTCATCGAGCTTGGCTCTGCGTGTCAGCTATTACTGGCAAAACGTAAGCTGCTCACGTGCCGGAGAAGAACGTGTTCAGCGTGTCCTTGTCTCCATCCTTCTCAGGCGGGAAGGGCTTGCCATGGAACACGTCCGGCATGTAGATCTTGTGCGGGTTCACGAGAAGGAGGTGCGACGCGAGGAGGTCAGAACCCTGTCGTCAGCTAAACGGGTTCCAAAGAAGTAGCATGCTATCGGTGTAGGCTTGACCGCCCACGGTCGAAGGGGAAGCTAAGACGACTTGAAGGAGCGGTGTGAGATGGGAAGAGAAGCGTGGAGGACTCACCCGCAGCGTCGTCTCCCAGAACCCAAAGATGTCGTAGATGACGATAAGAGCGTGTTCCGCATCGTCGGGGCCGGTGGTGTACACTTCCTTGAAGTCGCCGACCGACTCAAACTTGCCCGTGGGACGGTACGAGCCTGTAGCCGCGACCGGGTTCGGCACCTTGGGTGGCGGCGCGGAGGGTGGGCAACACTCGGTGTCCTCTGGGATATCAGCTCACCTCTGTAAGAGCAGCTACGTCTAGTGCTAGCCGTGAAGCTTCGGGCTTGCTCAGCCATCAACATTGCTTTCGGCAGCATGGGCATCGTTGCGGTCGACCGCGCGAGCGCAAGTCGGGCCGGGGCGGTGCGCGTCGCCCGCACACAGCGCAGAAGCGCACCTCCCGGTCAGCCGCGCGGCCAGTGGCACTCACTCTTCTGTGACATTGTTGGTGGCAGTGTGTCAAGTTGACAAACCAGCTGTGAGAACTCGGCTGCCTTGTGACTGTGCGTTGTAGGCGGCGGACTGCGACTGACATTGCGGCGGCCGCGTGACGTCATGAGACATTTCGTTGGGAGTGGCAGTTTCACCCCGCAGGGTCGTTTGACCTGGGTTTGTCGTTTCACATCGCTGCACTTGCTGACGCGACGGCCCTAGCATTCGAGGCTGCTGTCATGCTGTCTGCATGGAAGGTGTCGAGCAATCGTTTGAAGGTGACTTATTGAGGAGGTTGGTGATCGTGACTGGACTCGATCGGCTGCCCCGACGGGCGCAAGGTGATGGTAGAGGGGCCAGCCTCGACTCTTGCGCCCTTACGCCCTGTGATCCGCTGCGCCCCATGCTGTTCGCGCATGCTTCTCGTAGCTCGCTTCGTCTCCTCTCGTGAGCACACAAAGAACATTTGCCACTTGTGGTCGTGTGCTGCGCACCAGTTATGCACATTCTTTGCATGATAGTGTTACGAAGGCTTACAGACGAAGAAGGTAGCGAACGTAGTGGCGTGTGTGTACGACGTATCGAGCTATCGAGGTAAAGGACGTCCCAACATCCGTGGGCAGCGGCAAGAAGCACAAAGCAACAAGCAGATGGGTAGAGTTGACAGCTGAAGGAGGACAGGCATGTTGACCTGCTGATTGTTGACACGCGGGGGGCTTAGGGCGAGTCGTTGAGCGCTTCCTCGACCGCAGTCATGAGGCGGTCGAAAGTCATGTTGCAGGTTTCTAAGTGTGAGACGTGCAAAGCACGGGAACTCACTCTTCATATGGTGCTTGAAGACACGAGAGTGGCCCGCGAGCTGCGAGAAGGCTTTCTTCTCGGTGATCTCGCCTCTGCTCACCTTCTCGACGAGAACGAGGGCCGTGATGTTGTACTCGGCACGCTGATGTTAGGTCATGAAAAGCTGGTAACGTACCAGTTCGGCGAGACGGCGGTTCTTGTCGCGGTACTTCTTCTGCGCGGTGCGGTTCTGGCTCATGCGCCTCTCACCAGCACGAGGACGCTGGCGCTGCTCCTCCTCGAGAGGCTGCGTAGCCTTGCGCTTGGCGAGGGTTTGGTGAGACGAGCGTGACGACGTGTATGGCACGTTGTCGGACAGAGACGAAACAGAGCGCAGGTCGGGCGTTGACACCGAGCGCAAAGGAGGCTCGGGGGAGGGGCTGCGAGTGGGCGCGAGGTGCGTCTGCGAGTCACTCAGCAGCTCGTCGATGTCCTCGGACTCGGACTCGTGGCGGCGAAGGTAAGGGGCAGGAGGCGAGTTGGGACGGTAAGGACTGTCCGGTGTTGCGGCGCGGTAGCGAGGAGTTGTAGCACCGTTGACGCTCCACTGACGGCGCCGTGTGCCATACGCGTCGCGAATGTGCGAGGGGATCTCGAGGTGACGCAGGTTATCGAGAGGAGACGCAGCACGGGGAGGCTTGAAAACGTACTTGAGCTTCTGGCCGAACCCCTGTCGTCAGCTGCTGATGCAACGATATGCTCACCGGTTTCGGAGGTGGGGGCGGTTGAAACGACGCCGGAGGTGGAGGCGGAGCGTTGCGGTAGTGGGTACGAGGAGGCGAGGCGTAGAACGACTTGGCCGAGGGCGGGGTGGATGGCATGTTGTGAGGCTTGCGGTTGGTGTTCGAAGGCAGTGACAATGGAGGAGAAGTGTCCAACTGAGCAGGGGCGATAGTGGTGAGAGCTGACGGGACCGTGTTGACGACGACGGGTCCAACTGGGTGATCGTCCAGATCGGCGTCTGGTTCCACCTTGCAAATATCCATCATGTCGTCTGGCAGGGCGAGCGCGTTTTCGGGCGCCAGGCCGAGGTCGGTCACAGACAGGGCGGAGGGCAACTGAGGCGAGAAAGTTGTGGACAGCGAAGGGGAGAAGTTACCGGCAACTAGGACGTCTTGGCTGGCATTGCTGTATGTTGAGGGCGACGAAAGAGTGGGCGAGACGATGCTGGAGAAGCACGAAAAGCCAGACAGAGGCTGCGGCATAGGAGAGGCGTTGGACATGGGCGAACTGTTGACAGTGCCGAAGCTCTGTCCTTGCATGCTCTGCAGCGACAGGTTGGACAGCGGCAGGTACGGCGTGCATGGGGTAATTGGACCGCTTGCAACGGAGTTGATGCGGTACATGTTCGAGTTTTGACCGAGGTTCAGAGGCGGGGGGCGGACGGCTGGAGCTGCGGGCAAGGAGCTGGCATGATGACTGAGCTGATACTGCGACGTCGTCTCGGCTGTGCCAGGGTAGGAGGAGGGATAGGCGTTGGTGTGTTGGTCGTCGGAGAACAGCACCATCTGTGTGTCTGGTTCTGTCTTGATCTGTGTGTTGAGGTCCAGCTCCACTGTGTCAGGATACTGGACCGGAGCGCTCAAGAATGCCATAGCGAACGCTGTCGGGTCGGACATGTCGGTGAAAGCCAGGAAGAGGACAAGGAGTGACGGAGAACGAACGTAGAAGCCAGCTTACAGTCAGCTGTTTTGAGCAGAGGATGAGAAGACGGAGATGGCAGCGAACAGCGTGCTATATGGTCAGTTGTCGCTCAGTGGAGCTCTCTCCATATGGTCCTGCGCGGTCCTCCACTCCGCCAGAGGCAATCCACACATGGGCTGGGACCTCCAGCGCCGTCCTGACCCATGGAACTGCGAACGCCTGTCCAAACAGCAGTGGGAGAATCGGTAGATTGATGTTCGGAGATGAGCAGATGCGCATAGGGTCCAAAAGTACATCCGTGTAGGCTGGGGAGCCAAGAGAGATGAGAGGAGGCTTGCTAGGATGAGTCGAGGCTGATCGCGGCCACTGAGCATGGGGGCAGTGAATCGGAGATGGCGAGGTCGGTGTTGAGGGCAACGACGCGAGCTCGTGCGTTCATTTATAGGCGTCAATCTCAGCTCGGCGGATGCGTAATTGCGCCGATCCGTATACGCGTTCACAGGAATCCTGTCGCACTGACGCGTAAAGGACCGGGAAACCACGAGGGGCAAAAGCTTCTTCAACTTATTCCCCGGGGGGAAGGGCTGTGATGTCATTCGCATCGAATGTTCAGAAATCGAGACGATCGGGGGCGCGGAGGCTGCAGGGGGCGAGGGGATCATGTTCTGTGTGGCCGAAGCACGGAAGATCTGTACACAGGCCCAGCCCCGCAGTGTTGCTGCGGGAGCTCACCCCTGTGCCCGGCACCAGCTGAAAATCAGCAAGACCTCCAGATTGTGCGAGCAGAATTGCATCAGGCTGATCTGGCGAACGATGAGGTAAGGTGGAACATGGTGGCTACCAACGAACGGTTCCAGTCTTTGGTAGTCCCTAGTGCATGAAGTTCAGCGGGCAAAGCTGCGCCTGCGCCACTCGTGCATTCTGTGTCGACAAGCTGTGTGTGTGTATCGTAGAGAAGAAGGGCGAGCGAAAAGGTCTGCATTTCTACGATCTGCAATCTGCGAGAGGATGTCTGTGAGTGTGGGGTTGCAGGGTCGAAACAGTCTGGTGTGGGGCACCGAGGGCACGTGGTGCTGAAACAGTGACCTAGTCCAAATTCGAGGGTGACATGACGTCTTGGATGCCAGGCGGCAGGGCGGTGTGACCTAGACCCTTGTCACTTCACGTTTGGTGTGCTGGCACTCAAGTGGTGGCTCAAGTGGCTGTGACTGACGCGTATTAACGTATCTGCACGGCGCACAAGCGGTCCAGCGCTGCACGAAGCGATACAGCTGTCGGCCCGAGGGCTCTGAACTTGTCAGACACTAGACGCGATGGAACGTGTGGCCTCGCCCTTGCCGACCTTCCCCCCCTCCACCGCAGCCACAATCGCGACTACGCCTGCGATCGCGCATTCTCTACGCTCCGCTATTCATACTAAACGATCTATGCATGCAGCACTGCAGCAACGCCCCACAGGCCACCAGAGTCGCACACCGAAAGTGGGTTGAATGTCAGGGATGCCCGCACCTCGGCGCGCATAGCGCACATTAAGCTAAGGGTGCAAGACGCCGTGCGCCGTCAGGTGGCAAGTAGGAACGACCGCAGGAGACGACACAGGACCCGAAAGACGGGCGCGCGGGCAGGCGATGCGCGGTGCGACTACTTGCCTCTTTCTACAAGTCAATCGATGCGACATCACAGCTTGCTCCCGTCTATCGTTGCGTCTTCTCTTTCTCTCACTCTCGCTTGCACACATCTTCCCCAGGCTCGCCGACTCTGCTTCGGCATTGCCATCGCATCTCCTTCGACATAACTTCGCTCCATCTCGCCACGTCCTTCCTCGTTCGAGGTTGCCTCGCATGACCTCCACCATGTCCGACCGTAGGTGCGTTGACATCCCTCACCGACGTGGCTTAACGCCGTGACTCCCACTCATATGTCCATGCGCTGACACGGTCACCTTGTCACTCCCCCGGTAACAACAACAATGCACTCCGACATTCCCCTTCTCCCACTCGCGACCCTATAAACTCCCTGTCGTTCTGTGCACCATCTGGTGTCTGCACTCTTGCATCTCGCACTTCGCCACTATGACACTTCATCTCGACTTCAGCTCTGGCTTCGCCCTTCCTTCGATGGCGAACGGCTCCACCACGTCGCTTATGGACGCGGTCGTGGGTGGCAGCCACAGCTCCGGTAACACGACCACCCGCCAGCACCAACCATTCTCGGACGCCAGCAGGCGCGTCAATGAGGAACAGCCCCAGTCTGCCGAAGACGTGCAGGAGCTCGAGCGTAAGCTCGAGAAGAGGTGAGACTAACCGGTAGCGACTCGGACTTACTCGATACAGACGATCGTTGATTCCTCACCTCGAGAACGAGCTCGCTGCCCTCGAGGCTCAGATCAAGGCTGCCGAGGAGCGCCTTTCTCGCGCCACCCAGGCCAAGTCTGAGGCTGCCGAGCAGCAGAAGCAGTAAACCCCTGCACACTGTATTCTCAGGTCTCGATCTTCCCACCATGCCCTTCCCATTCAGTTCCGACCTCTTTTCGCATATCTCCATGACCACTTGACGTGCGACCATCTGCATTATCCCCAACCCCGCATAACCTCGCACCACATCCACAGGGCACTCCGTTGCCTCGCACTCAAGCCATCCCAGTCTGTCTGTGACATTAGACCCGGGTTCTCCCATTACACCAGCGTGACAGATCCTCTCGCCTCAACGTGTAATTGAGATGTACTATTCACTTGCCGTCCACGCATCGTGCGCCTTGAGCTGATGCACTTTGTATTGTGTTTCGAGGGGTGCGGGCAGAGAGAGGCACCGGAACGACGGTCAGGGGTCGGCCACAGTGACCTGTCACAGGAGGAGCTGCCGGGCCGCACGAGCCCTCAAGGTGCCGCTGGAGAAACCTTACGCACGGGACCTCCAAGGCGCTCATGCTCATGCATAGAGACACCCGTAATCGAATCAAGGGCTTCCGAGGCTGGCTCGAAAGCTAAGCAGCGGGGTAGAAGAGCAGAGAGTGAAGAGCGTTCGTGACTAAGTCGTGGAGCGTGATCAAGGCCCTGATCGTCATACCGGTGTGGTTTCATCTGCATATCTGCACGCTTCAATCGACGGTCGCGTCTTTGGGTGCACGACGCGTCGAGCCTTCGAATTTCTCTCAGTCCATACGACCAACCCGGTCTAGCAAAGCAAAGCAAGAGGAATCCGCCTCATATGGCTAGCCGTGCATCCGAGCACGTTTTCGGGTAGCTTGAGGTTTTCCTTTTCAACTGGGGTCTGTCTGGAGGAGGAACAGCAGTCAGGCAGTAAGCTGGTAGTGAATAGAATCAATCGACGTCGTGCAATTGCTAGAGGCTCACTGGCCCATGAATGAAGGGATGAGTATATGAGTACTTGGCATCGCCGAGCGCATCCTAGCGTCCGCTTCACGTCCACACACCGATCTGGGGCGGCTTTGAAGCGGCCACTAACGCTCCGACTATCTCACTTCTTCGCCAGCTCTGACACCGCAAAGACATGTTGCTTGTCATGTGCGGCGGTTCATGAAGCTGACTTGACAAGCTAATAAGCATGCATCTCCGAACTGGAAAAACAGCTGGGGTGCGGCTGAGTGTCCAGTATGATAAAAGCAGGGAAGCGGACACAGTTTGCACCGGTAATTGCCGGCTTAGCGGGCGTCCTCGGGTGCAATATAGCAGGCGACCATATTCGCGCACCAAGGGCTGCCCTTGTCAACCGAGATCACAACTGGCATCCTGCAGATAGCGCTGCCGAGCTCGTCTAAGTGCGATCAAGACATGCACTGAAAGCACAGACTCCATGGCATGCAGGTGGGTGCCATTCATTCCTTGGATCGCCGCTTAGTGTATTTTACGTAATGGTCACTCGGCCCGCTGCCCACCAAAGTTCCGAAGGTCGGCGGCGAAGCGACAGATCCAACCGGAGATCAAGTGCTCACAGCAGCGCTGCATCCTCCCCGCGCCTCTCCCTCTCGCCAATCCACATCCGTCACATACCGAATCATCATTTCCCCGACCTTTCTCCAACGTCACCGATATTGTTGACATCCAGCTGAGCCAGCATACCCCGTGCCGTGTTCGCGTAACCGACCCCGACGCACACACCGTCGCATCAACAAACAATAGCCTTCGCGACCCCCGCCAGTCTCGCTAGACTCAAGTCGCGTGCCCCGTCCCCGGCCCCGATACTGACTTCCGTCTTTCACTGGAACGCCGAAGCAGCAGGGAACGCTCATGCGTCTGGTTCACCCGCCAAGCCGACTCTCACCACCACCAGGCTCCTCGATGCAAGAGGTGCCATACAACCAGACGTCTGCGCGCGAGAGCCCAACCGTCCCGCCATCCAGTGCCGCCGGTTCAAGTACGGGTACTCCCGCGAAAAGGAAGGGCGAGGACCGTGTGCCCAAGCGTGGTTACAGAGCATGTGTAAGTGTGACTGCTGCCGGCGAGGCTCGCGATGTTGTGGTCCGTGATGCTGCATTGGTGCTTGCGGCCACAATGTCTGCATCCGTTCATGCTAACATAACACAGGTCCATTGCCGCGCGAGGAAGGCCAAGTGTGATCTTGGCGACCCGAATGCGCCGTCCGAACCACCTTGCTCACGATGTCGGAGAGAGCAGAGAAATTGCATCTTCCTTCCCAGTGTGAGTTATCAAACGCCGGGCGGCGTTCGGCCGTTATCATGCCGGAGCTAACTGGTTCCGCAGAAAAGGAGAAGGAAGACTCTGAACGAGGATGAAGCCAAGCCCGAGGTGTACCCTGTTCATGGCGGGCGGCGAGAAGGCGGTGGCTCGTCATTTGCCAACCCGCTGAGCGCCCATCGCGGGCACTCCCAGGCGCCGGGTCACTTGAACGAGCGGACGCAGTCCTTCACTCAGCCGGCTCCTCCGTCGCACGCGTCAAGCTACGACTTTGGCCAGTCCAACCCAACAGACAGCAAGTTGTCGCCACTGTTCGATCCGCCGTCAACCAAGACCGTGTCTTCCCTTGGCTCCTCATCTACATTATCGCCCAACAACCCCGCCGGCCTGCGGCGAAAGCGCCATTCGGAACCTGACGCGACCCGGCGTATCGTAGTGGCCAGTTTCAATAATGAGACGGACGCCCTGGAGATCTTGGCGAACGCCGCAACCGACCCTGACGGTGACAGTGGCCCGGAAAAGTCTGAGCAGCGCGCAGACCGGGGCAAGCATGTGGCTTGGGCCGACGATGCAGCGCCACGGCCGTTGTCCGACTTTGTGTTGATCTCGCGCGGCATTCTCGATGAGCGGCAACTCGAGCAGCTCGTCGATCAGTTCTTCACGCATCGTCATGCAGTCCTCGTGAGTTAGCGACGTTGTCAGTGCTAACTCTCAGCCCATCGTGCAAACTGTCAGAATCCCCCGGAACAAGGCACAGCTCGTGGCGCTTGCGCACAGCGACCCGTTCCTCCTGTCCGTCATCGTGTGCGTGGCTTCACACCACCTGCTCGAGCCCGGAATGCGGCAAATTCATGAGCGGTCCTACGCCTTGATCCGGGAAACGCTCGCCGATTATGCGTGTTCCGGTTTCCAACCCTCGATCGGCTTTGTCGAGGGCGTGCTGATCCTTGCGGAGAACCTGCCCCGAGATCGGCTCGGCCCCATGGCGAGCGAGATGGCCGGACCGCAAGGCGAGGTGCAAGGGCTGCACGGCACCGAAAACCGCCGCGCGTGGGCGCTTGTCGGCACTGCAATACGGGCTGCTTACGGACTTGGCCTTGACCGCCTCGCCCTCGAGGACGGCGAGCGGGATGCGGATCTCGAACGAGCTCGCGGCGTCTGGACGTGGTGCTACCTCTACGACAGGACACTTGGTCTGCGTACGGGTCTCGCATTCTGGAGCCGAGGCCCGGCACTCTGCTTCCAGGGCTTCTCGGACATCTCGCAGACGGGCGAGGCTGCGGCACGGGAGAACTTTCCGTACATGCTGCTTGCATCTGCGGAGCAGCCGCCAGAGGACGCCTACGACAGCGCATCGATGATGCAGGCGACAATCGAGCTCACGCAAATCATGACGAACGCACACGAGGTGCTCTTCTCGACGCCGTCACGCACCTCGGCGCTCGTGGGCAAGGGCGAGTACTTCAAATTCCTGGACCACTTCCGGCGTGCCCTCGAGAGTTTCTGCATGGTGTGGAAGACGAAACGCTGGCGACTCGACAGCGTGCGCGAACTCGTGTGGTGCACGTATCACTTTGTGCGGCTGTACGTTGCCGCGTTCGCCTTCCAAGCACACGTGCAGCGCGCGCAGCAGCGGGCCGAGAAGGAGCGTGAGCGCGACCCGTACGGACCGAAGAGCGGCGCGATCTCCATCTTCCCTCGGGGCACGGCAACAAGCCCCGACGCAGTCTACATTTACGAGAGCATCGACGCGGCCCATGAGATCCTGCGCATCTGCCTGCGCCTCGGCGAGCTTCAGATTCTCGCCTTCCTCCCCTCAAGATACCTTATCAACTTTGCTTACAGCGGAACCTTTGCGCTTAAGGCGGCGTACTCGGGTGCGCTCGGCAACGAGGAGATTGAGAAGACCATCTCGCTCGTCGAACAGGCATGCGCTGCGCTCCTCTCGAGCAGCCAGGACAAGGAGCACCCCGCCGTGCGGTACGGGCAGATGCTGCGAATGTTGTCGAGCAAACTGTGCGAGCTCAATGATCAAAGCGTGAGTCACCTGACCGCAATTGCATTAGCTTAGTATCTCGAGAATGTCTGTAAGCTGACGACCAGGCTGTTCCGTCTCGCTTCCCATCACCCGAGCCCGCGGCGCAGGACCCGCACCCGCCTCCCGTACACGTGAACGCTGTACCTCAGTTCGGCGAGGGAGAGAATGGAGAGAACGCCATGTTCAACCTGAACAACATCAGCACGGGGCTGTTTGGAACACAGCTCGATGTCGGCGCCTTCAACCTGGACGGCTTTTGGGAAGACTTCACGCTGACCGACTCGGGTGGATTCCCATTCCGCTAGAGCTTGACGCTGGCCAGCTGCCGGTGGGAAACGGCGAACGAGATGATTCCAACGTGGAACACTATACGGTCCGCCAGCCGATGAGTTGTGTCGCCGTCGACAGCCGGCGCCAACGTGTGCAGTATCCAGCTAGACGCTAGCCTGGCCTAGCGGGCAGTTGGATATGCGTATCTGAAAGACCCCGAGAGGCACATGACAGTGGTGAGAATTTGTAGTGTATGATAAGCATGGAATGTAATTTTTAGACTTGAGTCGGGCAGCCGTGTCCAGCCGAGGTATGAATGCTGACTCGGCCGTGAGATGAGTGTGAGGCACAGCTTTGCAATCGGGCTTTGGTTCTGCGGGTGTTTCTGCGGGTGTTTCTGCGGGTGTTTCTGCGTATATCCTCGGCATCCGGGTGGCTGCCGCGGCGCCTTTCAAGGGGGTGAGTTCCGAGCGCGGACGCCAGGCACTGCAGAAGAGGAAGAAGTACGAGAGGGCATGCGGCCCCGGAATCCACGACGACCCCATGCAGCTCCATGCGGGGGTCTCTGCGACCCAGCAAACAGCGACCAGCCAACGACCAGATGACGCAGAGACAACAGACGCCCAAGCCGGAAGTATCAGGATGTCTGAATACAGCGTGCCTTGACGGTGTATTAGTGGCGCTCTGAGTGGCTTTCAGCAACTGTATTGACCAGGATGGCATGTCAATACCATCTCTGCGTTTGTCTCGAGCAGTGAATTGTACGTGGTCGTCTGAGCAATGGACGGCGTGCGGGGCTCTGCGATCACCGCAATGGACACAGGCTGGGAAACAGATGGCAGGCTTGAAGAGGCATGAAGTGGGCCGTGGGAACTCACCAGGAGCAGTACGATGCAGGCGAGGGAGTGGGCAGAACGGCATGAGGCGCAGCCAAGAAACGTGCCGCAAGCCACGTTCATGAGCTCATCAGCGTGGTCGTCGGCGTGGGCTCGTATCGCTGCTCGCTATCTGAAGCATTGATTGAAGAGAGAAGAAGGGGGGCTGCCGTGATGCCGTCGATCGGCTTCGTAAAGCATACGCACATGCGGACATGCGGCTGAAGAGCGCGTTCCGACGCGTCCTTGGACAGCGCACATGAGCATGTGCGTACGACCGCACAAACATGGCCTGGCATGGTGCGTGCACTAATGCCCTATTCCTGCCCGCAATGGTCTTATGCAGTGTCTAGCACGATACCAACAGAGTCCTGCGGATGGTGCCTAGCCAATATCCTTAATCCAAACAACCTTTTCCGGGACCCACTCCTGCGTTCCTCTGTCTGTGCGATGGAAGTAGGGTGCCGCAAGACCTCTGTCGACGCTGTGACTTAACGCTCTGTCATAGCTGTGTCCCTCGTTCTTTCATCCGAAGACGAAAAGCCCGAGCAACGCACCCCTCGAAGCTCATGAGCTCATGATTGTACAGGGTGACAGAGGAAGAGTGACAGAAGGCAGACGAAGACCCCGGCGAATGGCTGACAGCAGCACACAGGGTCCGGCTCAAAGCCGTAAGGAGGCCCCACATGAGCCCCCGCCTGACTGTCCCTCGTTCAGCTGTCCGGCAGTTTCTCTGTACTAATCTTGGAACTGCTCCCCATCCAGCTCTGCTCTTCCAGGCAAAAGCAGCTCTGCAGCGATCAGGACACCGGCCAGCCCTCTTGTGCCTGTCTTCCGGCCCCTGGCCCCTCAGCCCTCGGCCTCCCTCCGCCTCCTCCGCGTCCTCCGCCCACCTCGCTGCCATTCAGACACTCCTTGCTCAATTGACCGCGCTAGCCTTTCTCGTAGCACCACCCTACAGGCTTCCGGAGCCGTTCCGGGGCCTTCTGGCCGTACGTTGGCGCAGGTTCGCGGTGTCGGCTCGCTGCCTAGCGCCTGCAGACTTACGGACCGTGCGATCCGCAGGCTGGCTACACGGCTCCAGGATCCGCAGCACTCCGGCACTTTCGAGGCTTGTCGACCCACCGTGTCATCCAGGAACCACCATGAGGTTCACTCTCTTTTCCAGTCGCTCTCGGAGCATGTGCAAAAGGGTGTCAATTCAGGCCCTAGCTCACCTTCCTGTCCTCTGCTCGGGCAGCTGGATGCCCGCGCGCAAGGCATGTGCTCTCGTTCACCGCACGCAGGCATCAATAGCACAGACGGAAGCTTTCCGACTGCCAAGGATGCTCAGAGGAAGGACGACGCGAAGGAGATCAGGAGTGAAAGCGCGCACTCAACATCAGGGGCGATTCATCCGGACATGCCAGACCGCCTGACCGCCTGATCGTCCGCCTGCCTTCAGTTGTATCCTGTCCGGCTCGCCAGGATAACAGCGGCACACCCTGCTCTCCCTGTGCGCTCATCCTGACCCACGACCAACGCAGGACGTCTGTCCACCCACGCGCGCATGCGCTGTGCACACGCACCGCCCAATGGACACTGTGACCCTCTTACCCCGCCGTCCCCCGCGTCTCTTGCCCCGGGCATCCCTCCGGTCGGCCTCCGGGGCCAGCATACGGCTCATCTGCGGCTGGCCAGTGGGCTATCAGAAGGCCCAGCAATGCAGGAATAGTCATGACACAGGGACAGAGGCGGAATGGCTGCTAGCGCAGGCGCACGCCGGCCATTAGGCGACACAGACGACGACCTTGAGCTCACGCGCTTGCGCCTTGCGCTCGCTCGGGTCCCTTGCCTGCCTTTTGCTCTTCTGGTTCTTCTCGAACGCCGCTAAAGCGGCAGAGGAAGAAGCGCCGGAGTACCCAGATAGGCAGCAGGGGAGAACCCCGCAAGGCAGAAGACGAGAACCTGCGCTAGTTGTCGTGCCAAAGGAATGGGATATATATACAGTCTCGACTGCGCGCTAAGAGAAACTCTCCATCTCCCCTGCTTATCAGCTGCACACTAAAGCTCTCTCGCTCAGTTATCTCTCACCCCGCCGCTCCTTCACCAAACAAACACAATGCGCTTCTCCGTCGCTCTCGCTACCCTCGCCTTCGCTGTCAGCGTCAAGGCCCAGGCTGTTGAGTGAGTTTCACCGGTCACCGCGCATGAGAGCCACACTGACCTTCCTCAGCCCCAACCAGATCGACACCTGTATCCGTGACTGCTCGATCGAGGCTTCCAAGAAGGTCGGCTGTATCTCGCCCCTGCACCTTTCGTGTATCTGCCCGAACGGCCAGTCGAACGCCCAGTTCCAGGGTGCTGCCGTCGGCTGTCTGCTGAAGAACGGGTGCAACCTCTCGAACGCGCTCGCGACCAACTCGAACCTCTGCAAGTACGGTGTCGACTGCGTTGCGCCGTACAAGAACTGCGAGACGAGCTCTGGCGAGACCATCTGTATCGACCCCTCGATCCAGACCTGCGCCTCGGGCTCGGTCATCAACCTCCAGCGCCGTGCCCTCGCCGTCGCCAACGCCGGCTGCACCCCTGGCCAGGAGGCGTGCCGTGTCTTCGGCGGCGGCCTCTTCGCCTACGAGTGCATCGACACTCAGAGCAACATTGAGTCCTGCGGCGGCTGCCCCATGGACGGCGGACAGGACTGCACCTCCATCTTCGGCGCCACCTCGGTCGAGTGCAAGCAGGGCAAGTGCATCGTCTCCGAGTGCGAGAAGGGTCTCGCCCTCGTCTCTGGCCGCTGCAAGTAAGCACCACGACGTCGTCTATTAAGCGTACCCCTCTTTCATCACTGTAATCAGCTCTTAATAAATGTGCTCGGCGCACGGTTAAGCATCGCCGGCACTAGTATATACATACTTCATGGACATTCGGGCTCCCTCACTAGGTCATGTAGCAGCCATGCATCAGTATTAAACGTTAGGACTGTGAGTCGTCGGTCGGTCAGGCTGTGCGCAATGGATGAGAGATGGAGATGTTTGATGCACGGAGCGCGACTGATCTCCCATTTACTTCAAGAGTCACCGCAGATGAGAAGGCCGCTTGTGCGAGGGGCGGTGCAAGACTTGGCTCACAGGTCTGGCCAGCCGAGGATAGCACAAAGGACCTCGGAAAACGCCGACGAACCAATAACAGCCTCGACAAGATTGATTTTTAGTTGTGGGAGCGTGCACCGCTTTGGAAGGTGTATCGCCTTTTGTTCGTTCCTTATCGATGGATTTGTCCGATATGGTGGAAGGTCGTGCGAACGCTAGAAGACCGAGCGAGAGTGGTGGTGCGACTACTTTCTTAGCGGGTGAAACGCTGCGCAGTGATACGAGAGTTTTGTGTCTTCTGTGCGCAGAACATGTCAGGGAGTCATGACGTCGTTGAGAGTTCAACGCCATGCACACCGCTTTCGACGACTGCTTGCAGACACTCACGCGTTGCCCCGCCGGAACCAGTCTTGGCGCACGTACCTGGATCAGCCTCTGCTAACCACCACAACACTACCCTCGTCATAAAAATCATTTGCCAGACCGAGTCTACCACCACTCCATCTCTTGCCACCACAACCACCATGGTCGACGCCGGCATCTACCCAGGTTACCCCCCGGAGCCAGATCTCCGCCCCATCCACTACCACCCCACCGTCCCCGCTCCTCACAGCAGCCTGAGCTACACCAGCTACTCGATTCCTCCCCCCGCCCGACCCCCGTCCAGACCACCCATGCCGAGCATGACCATGCCACCAATTCACGCTAACGGCCAAGGCAGCGGTAACGCACGCAACCTGCCTCCCATACCGGTCACTTCGCCGCATGTCCCGACACCTACTCCTCCTCGTCCGTCACTCTCACATCCTCCACCTACTCTCGCCGTCACTCCGCCGACACCTGCACCTCCACCAGTGACAGCACCTTACCGGCAACCTTCAGGCGATACGAATATAACGGCCGCTCACTACGGTAGTCCTCCCACTGACGCACCTATACTCAATAATCGGTTCACCACGGTGGAGCCGACCTCGATCCTTCAGAACGGACACGCCCAGCAGCCAGTGTCTCAGCGCCCGCAACCGCACCTACCTCGAGCTGCATACCAGCAACCGCATCAGCCGCCATCTCAGCCGGCCTCGCAGGTGTCAGTGCAGCTGCCGCCAATCTCGCAGACCCCGCCACAGCAGGTGACACCTCCGCCGCAGCACTCGGCCCACGTCCCGCAGCCTCCACCGGCGCCCTCGACCCAGGTGTCCTTCTCCGAGTCGACGACAACGACCGATCCGCCCCGTTCCTCGCTCAGCATCTCGACTCCCGCCGACTCGCCCGCCATCACGGAGCCGAAAGCCTCTGCGCCCGGCGTCGTCGCCAAGCCGTGGGTCCATGACTCGTCGCGGGTCTACTTCCTGCCACCGGCAACGAACGGCTCCCAGCCGCCGGCACTGCACCTGATCCACGACTCGCTCGAGGCGGTCAAGGACTATCGCGAATTCGTGGACACGGTCGGCCGGCTAGAGTACGAGTTTGGCAAGTCGCTCGCAGCCGCGATCAAGAAGTTTGATGCCAAGCTCGACAATGTCTCCACTCCGCCGCCGGGAGGCAAGAAGCCACCGGCGCCGACGCTCATTGCCGCGATGCGCAACCACCTCGAGCAGCTCAACACCCAGGCATCGCTGCACCAGAAGCGTCCCGGCGCGCTCGGCAGCCAGCTCGTTGCCCCGCTGCAGAACCTTGAGAAGCGAGGTGGAGAGTCTGCCCGCCGCCTCGCTGCTTGGGGTAAGGACGTCCGCTCGCGCTGGGAGACGGGCCGCGAGCGCGTCGAGTCGGCGCGGGCCAAGTACCACACGGCAGTCCGCGAGGATGAGACGGCGCAGCAGAAACTCCGCGCTTGCCCGCCGCCCAGCGAGGGGACGAAGGAGAGCGACTGGGTCAAGATTGAGCGCGCCGCCGCTGATGCCGAGGCGAACCGCGCCGAGCGCAAGCGGGCCTACCTCGTTGCCCTTGCTGGCGAGGGCGACGACGGTGGCGGCCGCTGGGACCGTTCCGAGGGCGGCGGGCCCGAAGGCTGGGGCGAGGAAGCCCGACAGCTGTACGGGCACGTGGAGCAGAGCATGCTCGAGCTGCTGCGGCACCACGCGCACGAGGACCTGACGCACATCGAGATGCTGCTGACGGTGCTGAAGCGCGCCGAGACGTGCTACGACACTGTATCCATCGCCTCGGATCAGAATGCCTTCCTCGAGTGGAACGACACGGGCAAGCCAACCGAGCACATCCCTCCCGGAGGCGTGCACAGCAGCCTGCGCAGCCCCGCCTTTGTTCCTCCTCCAAGCAACAAGAACGAGGAACCGACGCTGGGCACAGAGAAGCGCGCCGATAGAAACTGGCTGGTGAACCGGTGGCTGTACTGCAACCAGCAGCTGATGGACGTCGAGGGCGATCCGGAAATCAGCAAGGGCCCGCTTGACTCGAGACGTGAGTTAGGTGACTTTCATCGTAACTGACAAACAGGGAAACAGCTGGCGACCATCCGCAAAGAGTGCGCACGATATGCGTCGAACCGCGGGCTCGGCGACGCAGACGAGGCGTGGGAGCGGCGTATGGCGCTTCTGCGCGAGATCGGTGTTGAGGAGCGCAAGGCCGCTGTCCTGCACGCCGAAATGCGCTGCCTCGAGTCTGTCCTTGGACGTGAGTTTCCAAACTTCGCGCTTTGCAAACTGACAATTCAGCCTCCCCTGCACCCGAGTTAGGCCACGACTTCAAGGAGCGCCAATTCGCGGCCCCACAGCCGTGCGACGTGTGCGGGCAAGCTGTCTGGTCGCCCCTGAAAGCCGAACTCTCGTGCCGTCTTTGCACGATTGCGCTACACACGAAATGCGCCCTGTTCGTCGACCCAGAGTGTACGGGCTTAAAGTCGACCAGGCGCCGTACCTTCCAGCCGCACGGCAGCCGTATCCGGCGCTCGATCACTAGCGGTGCATTCAAGCTGCGCCGACATAGCGCCGAGGCGTCGCACGGCGCGCCGCAGGTCATGAAGTCGACCCGACCGGCGCTCGAGCCACTGAGGGACGATGAAGTGATGGTGTCGCCGTTCATCGCCGTTCCCGCGTCCGAGGAGCCCGCTGTCCGCGAAGCCTTATCCGCTCCCGAGGAGCCACCCCGTGTGACGATCGCTAGAGTCCGATTCGACTACGCGGGCGAGTCTGACGCGGACCTGCGCGTGCTCGAGGGCGAGGTCGTGCGCATAATAGAGCCCGACCTCGACGGCAGCGGGTGGGTAAAAGCTCGGCGCGGAGTGGAGAAGGGAGCCGAGGGCTTAGTGCCGGTAGCCTACGTCGGTGTCGCGGGCCAGAGCACGCCGCCACTCGACGGCGGGTCCGGCCGCTTCGTGCATGCCCTGTTTGACTTCCCGCCCGCATCGCACCATCCCGGTCCAGGCGAGGTGAGGGTGCAGCAGCACCAGATCTACGAACTCAGTCAGGAGGGCATGGCCTTTGACCAGCTCTGGGCCGAGATTCTCGTGCCCCATCCAGCGGCGGGGACGAGGATCAAGGGCGTCGTGCCCAAGAGCTACGTGCAGGCCATCTAGGCGCGAGCGAGCGAAGCGAGCGCCGCTGGCCCCCTCCTGTCTACCCCGTTTCTGAGCGAGCGTCTCGGCGTGAGCGTCAGGCTGACGTGACGGAAGTGTAATGCCGTGACGCTGGCCGTCACAACGACCCACCTAACGCGACACCCAATTACCACAACAACATAGACTAGATCCCTGTAATAATACCAAGTTCACGTGTGTATGTAACTTGTTCTTTTTTGCTTGCACAACGCTGTTCGACGTCACTGCTCGATCGATTCGGTGATCTGGGTTCAGGAAGAATGATACATATCTGACGCTGACGCGGCTCGTCGGATCCGTGATATCGTGGGAACGTATCGGGATTCCGCAGTCGCTCTTGGCATTTACTGCGCTGCTCGGCAAGCGCAGTCCAGCATAGAGCAGCGCAGTTCTGCTTCGCAGTCGAACAAAGGCAACTATGGCCCATGTCACGTGACACTGTTTGCGCCCGAGACACTATCTAATCTATCCGCGCATGCTACAGGCTACATCCGGCCTATCCCACCAGATCATCCACTTCCCATCCCGACTTTCTTCGTGCTCCTACTTCTTCTCTCGACTTTCAGAAGGAGACAAAAGAGAAGCGCTATCGCGCTATTTACTGACCACTGACAGGATCGAACTGCCGACCTCCGCATGGACTAATCAGCAAGACTGCTTATTAGTACGATGCTCTAACCAGCTGAGCTAAGCGGCCGAGGACGAAGACCATCGACGATGGTGGGAGCTGGCCGGCGGGGGGGGGGCGGGGCGAGCTTGGCGAGCGGAGCGAGCGCTGTACCTCCTTGAGTTGTGTAGACGGTAGGGCTTGGAGTGCATCGTCTGGTTGAGTGTAGAAGTAGCTTGAGGCGTATGTTCCGACAAGGGACGGAAGGGGTTCTATTTCAGCGATGTTTCGCATCGCGCACTAAGCGCGAGGCTGCACCAATGCGGGAGGTACGGAGCTCGAGACCTCGGGACATCGGATGCCAAGAATGTCGGAGCACAGTGGGTACGAAACGGGGTGCGAGGAGGATGGTCCGAGCCGCTTTATTCGGAGGAGCATTTATTAAGCGACTGTGAGATAGGTTTTAGGAGTCGTATAAGATGAGACGAGGAGCCAGCATGTGTGACCCCATGCCCAGCAGACTGAGGCGAGGCTGGGCCTCGTAAGTCCGTGAGTGTTCATCGAACTGCTGCTCGACAAGGAGGGGGGCAGCTCCTGCATCCGCTGAGCGTCTTGGGGGGTCAGCATTGGCATTGCTTCTCCATAAGTCGAAACCGTCCATGGGCCCGTCAGACCCGAAATTAGCTCGTTTGTGGCTCGTCAAAGCCGCTCTAACTGGCACTGGGTAGTCGCACAGATCAACTTGGTCCACAAGACCGTTAGACCACGGACTACCCTCCCTCCACAAGCGGCCCACGCCCTCGGCCCCTCTCCGCCCTCGGCACCCTCGGCGCCACATCACCTCCCTCGCCGCCACCAGCCACCGCCTCGGTCCTGACCCCACTCCAACCCTCCAGACCTAGGAGCACCACAACTCGTCCGCAACGAATCTCCGCACTTCGAACTCTTCCCGAGGCTGCGATTGGGAGAGTGAGTAAGGTGAGTGGCAGCGGTGTGATTTGGTGGGTAAACGGAGTCACGCCGGCCCGTTTTGAATGCGGGCCCGTGTCAACGACGGCTTTGGCCATATTGTAACAAGCGAGGGCGTCGTTATCGCCTGGAAGAGCCAAGAGTCCAAGCTGCCACGGTGAAGCCGTCACGATCGGTAGCTGCTGGTTACTGCTGCTTTCCGTTAGAACTGGGCCACAGTCTGCGCCAGACCGGCGTCTGGAGCAGAACAGCCTTCTGTAAGCACGGCGCGCGCGCCGCATTGTCGAGAACCTGTCCTCACCTATGGTCCCACAACAACTTTGACCAGTAGTTTTCCAGCCATTCTCGGGGAGTCACCCCGCCGCCGGCGTGGGCTGAAACGATGCCCGAGCGCAGCCTCGTGCCTCGCAGCCCAACCCATGGCAAACCCTCCTCGCACATGTCCAGCGGGTGTACGAGCGGGTGTCCCGTCAGCACAGACCACACTCCGCTTCCGAGCGAGCGAGCTCTTCGTTGCCGCTAAATATTCTCGGATTCCGAATCGCTTCAGCTTGGGCCACCAGCACCGAACAATGGCTAACGAGATGTTCTGCCCGACAAGTCCAGGTATGGCGAGACAGGCGCTGACATGCGCCGACACCTGTGGCTTTACCACTGTGATGGAGTTAATGCTCACGTCAGCCGGGTCCATGAGTTTGGGTCAGTGGATGTGCCTCTGCGTCAAGCAATGCGACATCTGCACTGCGCTGAGCGGTGCTCGATGTCGCCTTGGTTGCCGCAGACGCCGCCTGGTGTCCGTTCTCGTGATCATAGCGTCCGAATTATGTTACAACACCATAGACCATTAAATCGCTGCCTAATGCTCCATCTCCGTCATGATACCCGGCCTGACTCCGAGACCCATAGACGCATCAATGACCGCTCCGTTCATAACCGTGCTCGCGCTTCCAGCGAGGAAATTGACGATGGCCGCAATCTCCCCGGGCTCAATCAGGCGTCCCTTCGGCAAAGCCTTCAGGAAGTCCGTCCTCTGCTGCTCGCTCATGGGGTTGAGCGTCGATTGGCGGAACATCTCCGTGTTCGTGGCTCCAGGACAGACGGCGAACACGTCGACGGCTTTGTGGCAGCACTCGGCGCCGAGCTGGCGCGTCAGGAAGGCAACGGCAGCCTTAGACATGCCGTCACTCAGCCTGAAGCCGGGGAAGATGGCGATACCTCCCCCAACACTGCTGATGTTGATGAGTTTCCTTGGAAAGTCGCCGGAGTGCGGGAGGGTGAGGAAGTGCTGGCACGCCTTCAGCGTTCCATCGGCGTTGATGGCGAGCATTGCTGCATCCTGGGCTGCCACGCTGTCCGTCCACGCAGCCACTGTAGCTGAGCCAACGGCAGCATTGTTCACGAGGATGTCCAGGCGACCATCCTCCTCTAGCGCCGAGTCGAGGCATGCTTGGATGGAGTCTGCGCTCCGCAGGTCGAGCGGGTGGAAGGTCAGGCTGGCCGGCGAGCCGAACGTCTCATGAAGCTTCTGGGCGTCCTCGACGCCGGGAACGAAGGTCGTAGCGACCTTTGCGCCTCGCTGGAGAAAGAGCGACACGATCGCCCGGCCGATACCGCCGCTTCCGCCGGTGACGAGCGCGACGCGCCCAGTCAGATCGAGTGGGTTGGCCAGGGCGTCCACTGCAAGCATGGGAGCGGAGGTGGAGGCGACTAAACTTCTCGATGCAGATAAAAGGACTGTGGGACGAGACGTCTCTTGTGCTATTCTCGTTCGGCCTGTCTGCAGACGGAGGAGGCCTGTGCTGAACCTTACTCGGTGACCTGTGGTGAGGCGTCTTCTGCGTCGAGAATCGGAGAAACTGTGATGCGTTCGGCGATGTCCTGATCCTGACGTCCTTTGTACGGAAGCTCGATCGACCAAGTTGTGTGTGAGGCTATGTCGTTATCTTCGACCGAGGAACGTCTGAGCACTTTAAGCAGCTGCGGGGCTGCGTCGGAACAGCTCTGGGTGTCCAATCGCGCACCTGGTTGTCGAGTGCTGCGCCGGAGAGCCAATCGGCTTATGCTGCGGAGGTGGGTAATGCGGGGATGCAGAGGGTATGAACAGGGGTATGCAAGGGGATGCGGGGGTGGAGATGTCGCACTGGATGTGGAGTTGAAAGCGATGGTCCAAGCAACATTGTGGTGGGCCGCTCGCCCCGCGGAAATTCCTGGCTGATATCAGCAATCCTGAATGCCGCCGGAAGCCGGATTGGCCGGGTTCGCCGGAATCGCCTGATCCGGCCACGTTCCAGGCGGCCACCTGTGCGCCTGCATTTTGGGACGCGTACGACGCCCGCGACGCCAGATATACGCCTCATATACGCCAGGTGGGCAGATGACTGGGCGTCTGGGGCTCGGCGGCGGCGCATCCTGAGCCCGCGGGCGCCTTTGTATTTCTGATGATTTGCTGTCGTCTGCACAATGCAGGCCGAGACAGCCAAAGACCCGGTGACATTGCCAAATTCCATGCATCAACCCCCTAGCGTACACTGTCGGCTTCCCCCGCAGGTGTCTGTTGTGCATCGTCTGTGGTGGGTCGCCCAAGCTCGGTTGCCTAGTCGCTGGTCACCTGAAGGGAGGCGTCTTGCCCCCGCACAGGCACGCAGGCGTGAGGGGGCTTGCCGCGGGCAAGTGACTGGAGTTTGCCCTGCTGACCACCTGCCCAACCAAAATTAACTTCATCGGTTTTGCCACGGAACTGGGGAACAGGTGACCCCTGGGTCCCGCTGACACGGCACTCTCTGCCTGTCGCTTACTGCTGACCTCGCCAAGGAGCTACCACGGCATTCCCATTCTACCGCCCCTGGTACGTATCTCTTCTCACTGGCATCCTTTCGCTGCGGAGACGGCGCTTGCGTTTGGCCTTATTCTGCAGAAGGACCAGCCCAGGGCTTATGTTACTTCGGACCCTGGCATAGCCAGGGCAGCTGCTCGCAGGCAGGCTATAGTGATTCGTTTCGAGCGGCAACTGCCCGCCCCTGGCCATCAGGCCTCCAGGCCGCACACGACTCATTATTACAGTCCTGACCGCCGCCGCCCTGAGCCGACGGTGCCAGAGTGGAGACACCGGGGACCAAAGGTGGAGGAGAGCGTCGTTGCGCGGGATGTCCGGCTGAGCCGACGAGTAGCAGGATTGGACGAGAAAAAGACTTTATAAGTGCTCGACGGGGCGAGTCGGGGCTTCATCTCGCCCAACCTTGGGACCCCACACATCTTTCTCCCAATCCCATCTCGAACCGCACTTAACGCCCGCACTAGTGCTTTGAGAGCTCGAGTGACCCGACACTAGACCCAAATAGATCTCTCTCACTCAACACACTTGATCTTCCGAAACCGACGACGACCACCATGTCGGACAAGTACGCGCGCGAGGCGTCCATCGAGAAGTACGATGGGTACACACCAAACGGCGATGTCGTCGACGATATTGACATCGAGAAGGGCAACACGCACCTGCCGGCGTATGTCACCCAGCCGAACGGCCAGCTCAGCAAGGACGACACCATCACCAAGGTCCTCGAGGTGAACGGCTTCCACAGGCACAAGGAGAAGACGGCGCCAGGACAGACCGACGCCGACCGCGTCGAGTACATCTCTGAGGTCACCGCCCACGGAGAGAAGAAGTTCCACAAGCTCACCTGGTTCCAGCTTGTCATCGTTCTTGTCATCACGGCGGTTGCGCTCGGTACGCTTTCCATGCCTCTGTGAGTTTCCCCAATTTTTCGGTGATCGTTTGCGATTCTGACGGCGCAGCGTCTTCGCCTCTCTTGGAATGGTCGGAGGTACAATCTTGACTGTCGGAATGGGCTGCATGGCTGTGTACACCTCCTTCGTGATTGGGCAGGTCAAGCTTCGATACCCGCAGGTGCACCACTACAGCGATGTCGGCCGCCTGCTGCTGCCTGGTACTGCTGGTGTCATCCTCTCGCGATGCCTCGAGGTCATCTTCGTCTTCTTCATCATCCTCGGTATCGGCTCGCACTTCCTCACGGGCAAGATGGCTTTCCAGACGATCGTCGACGACACCACCATCTGCGCGCTCGTCTGGAGTGTTGTCACCCTCGTCCTCCTCTTCCTCTGCGCTCTTCCGCCGTCGTTCGCCGAGATGTCTGTTCTTGGCTACGTCGACTTCATCTCGATCATGAGTGCTGTCTTCGTGACTCTCATCGCCGCGGGTATCGACGCCCACAGCAAGGGCTGGAACACTGGTTGGACGGCCGGCGCGGGCAATGTCACATTCGTCCAGGGCATGCTCGCCGCGTGCAACGTCCTCTTCGCCTATGCCTTCTCGATTGGACAGTTCACGTACATGGAGGAGATGGCTCGCCCCGAGGACTTCCCCAAGGCCGTCGGCGTGCTCGGTATTGTCATGATTACCATCTACACCTGTGTCGGTGCTCTCGGCTACGCCTTCATCGGCCCTGGCGTCAAGGGCCCTGCTCTCCTGAGCGCTGGTCACACGATCTCGCGCGTCGCTTTCGGTCTTGCCCTTCCCGTTATCTTCATCTCGGGTGCTATCCTTGTCACGACCGATGGCCGCTTCATCATGGACAAGCTCTTCAAGAACAACATCGTTCGCTACGTCAACACTGCACGAGGATGGGCTGTCTGGATTTGCGTCGTCCTCGGCCTCGTCCTCTGCTCGTGGATCATCGCCGAGGTCATCCCAGTCTTCAGCCCGCTTCTCGGTATCACTGCGGCCCTGTTCAACTCGGCGTTTACCCTCTACCTCCCTGGCATCATGTGGTTCAAGCTCATCAAGGAGGGAGGATGCTTCAGCAGCCCTAAGAACATTGCCCTCACCATCGTCAACGCCATCATCATCGCCGTCGGCCTCACCATCCTCGGCGCGGGCACATACGCGTCCGTCAAGGACATTGTCGACAGCTACGCCGGCAAGAGCGTCGGCAAGCCCTTCTCGTGCAAGGCTTAAGCTCTCTTTCTCACCCCCTCTTCCCGTTCGTTTAATTTGGGTCAACAGGTTCTCCAGTCTCAATCAATCAAGTTCATGGTTCCAACGGGTATCACTGCATATCATCGGTTCATCAAGTAAAGTAACGTAGTCAAAGCAAGTTAAAAGTAGTAGAAACGTAATCCTTAGGATAAAGTAGTGACATTCAGAAGCCAGATCAAGCGGCTTCCCGCAAATCCAAGTGTAACAATGCATCTAGGGCATTATGCGATTTTCCATCTCCTCGTTGCTCTTGCGGACATCTCATTCGCAGCTAGTCGTCGCTCTCCGCTTCACTCGCACCGGACTGTCACCAGCGACGCTCGATACGGTTACAGTCGCGGCGACTGGTCAAAGTTCGAGGCGTTCTCTGCCACTACTGATGGGAGACCGCGGGAGAGCCGTGGGGCCGGGGCCCTAGGTTACAGCCTGCGAGTGCGTGTTCTATTCCGCGGCGATCTGTTCACACGACGCCTCAACGCCACTGGTATCGTCAGTCACCGCTCCGTTGTGTTCTACCGATGACTGGATGCGGTTCAACCGTCCTCCACTATCGTTCCGGGATTGCCGCGGCGGTGGGCCAATCCGCCACTCTGGCATGAGCTTCGCAAGGAACGCGATGCGGCTTGAACCGGGGAATGCGGAGACGCCAGCAGCCTCGTTATCGCCGAAGCTGCGGGACACTCCCCTCGAGCTGGCGCTCCCAGCTCCAGTACCAGAGTTCCTGGGGAGGGTATGCTCCAACTGCGGACTGGTCGGAACTTGCCTAATTGCCCCAAGGCGTCTGCGGTGACACAACCATATCACCGACAACCTCTGTTCAATTAATTGTGCATAGAAGCCTAAAAGAGACTCAGGAAAGAGGGAAGCAGGGTCTTCAAACAGTGACATGAAAGGTGAGTACCAGCTCGAGTACTGCGGAGAACAGAAGAGCCTCTGCGGAATGTCGTTAGGCTGGGGCTGAGGCTGACGTGAGATCACCGGAATCTACTGATAACGGATCACCGCACGCCGAGCGGCTCGCGACTGCGTAGGCCCATCGTCATCGCCGTTGCTCCGTAACAAGGTCCGAACCGCCCACGCTGCGCCATGGAACACGCTCTGCTGCATCGGCTCCACCGTAGTCGTTCCCCAAAGCGAGACTGATTTCTCTTGCCGGTTAACTTCTGACGTTACCTCTTACCCTCCAACTCTGACGACTGCTCCGGAAAGCCGGCACGGCTTCTGTGAAGGCAAAATTGACAAATGTCACAGGTGGCACACAGGTGGAACCTCAACTGGCCTGCAGCAATGCTTTAGCCGTCATCGCAAGATATAATTGGGGCCGGTGATGCAGAGGGTGAGATGTAAGTAGCTTTGCCCGGTACGAGTCACAGCTGAGTATGCCTCTTCAAAAGTCTGAAGAGTTTCCTTTGCATGGCAACCTCAAGTACTACTAAACTCGCTCCCAGGCTCTTCAGGCGGAGCGCCATTGAGCCATGCCCGTGTCTTTTCGATATCTTCCTGCGACACATTGTTCGGGTATCCCGGCACGGGCACGCCAAACGCCTTACAGCTGATGTCGACCTGCGGGCGGTGATATCCTTTCTCCCAGCAACCTTGGCAGCGTGCGAGCGCTTGACGGATTATGTCGTCCCCGCCGTCTCCCGGATCCGGCTCCCTCCTCTGGAACTTATGGTCCGCCACATAGCCTTCGTCGATGACAAACCCAGGTAGGGTTCTGTATTTGATTTCGAGGGCGTTGAATTCCGGCGATGATACGACCAGGATCTCGGTTTCAGGCGACGGTCGCCATTTATTTCTCTCCGAGGCTGGAAGCTTTGGGAACTTCATGATGTAGTTGAACCCGTGCAGTATGTCGTGCATCCCGATCGAACCCGTCCCAGTCGACTCGAGGTGTAGCCGCAGGCTGCCCGTCGACGGCCAGCCGGGTGTATCGTCGTCGCCTTCGTACCCTGTTTCTCCTATCACGTCCCGCGCTTCGTCCACATCGTGGAGAATGACAAGCTCGGGTGCCAATTTTCCCGGAGCTACGCCACACTTGGTCGTGCGGTGATACTGGTGCTGCAGGTCTTCGGCGGCAGCTGCGGGGTCGAACTCCTGGATGCTACAGGACATGGCGAAGAGTGAGTAGTGCTGATCATTGTTCCCAGAGGGTACGTTTTTATCGTAAACAGCCTGTACCGGGTGCAGGCTCATCACATGACGCTATATGAAACGGCACTCAAGATCGCGGCTTGGCATTCGTTCCTGGCTAACTCTAACCGGGCGCGGACGGCAACAGCGGTTGGATGTAACGATGCCCCGGCAAGTCTAGGCTATGCTGGGAACAAGACGTGGGGCTACTCGGATGAAGCTTGCCTTGCAGGGAAGGCGTACCTCTAGCACAGACTTGGAACCATAACCTCTCATAAGCCTGTTGGTGTGCGTGCGAACCGAGACCCCAGTGCTCACATGGCCTCACCCCTTTCGTCGGAGTGCGGCGACCGCTACATGAAGAAAAGAGTAGCGTCTACGCACTCGTGACCACCAGAGGTGTCATGATCATCGCGCATGCGTCATTGAAGTCGGTGCGGCGCCCAGTTACTCAGATAGGGCAGCCACAAGTGAAGTCGGTGTACAGCGATTGGGCGACAGCGTAGCATCGGCGCCGGAAGGTTTTTCCGAACCAGAATCCTCCTCGAAGGGTCCGCTGATGTATGGAAGGCCGCATCTTCCCCCTCTGTAGACGTTTGGGCGTCTGAATTGCTTCTCCTGCGCTCCGAGTTGGGGCATGAATGCCCACGACGTCCCCGAGTCACCTGACGCCGTGGCGTAGATGGTTGAAGGCCAAGACCACGCCTGCCTAGTGAAATAGATCGCTGCCACTGGCTTGCAGTCTGCTTTAGGGCACGATTTGACTTGGCATCGGCAACACGAAGTCACCGTCGTCCCCCGAGAAGCATGCACTGGTCGCGTTAAGGTATCGAGAGACGCATACGTCGGCAACGACCAATGTGTGCAGCGGGCGATACCAGGATGCCATCGGATGATCAGGCAGCGTGTGGTCGCAGCCCACAGGCATCTCATTTGCGTACAGTAGAGCTGGCTGCTACGCACCCTCAATGTCGAGTCGCAAGCTGCCGTGACACTCTATTGAAGATGGAGAGGTGTCAATAGCACAAGGAAGCAAGTGGTGAACGTTGAGAAGGGGCTGGACCTCGGGTGGTCGGACGCGTCTAGATCTCGTTACGCGCCTCCCGACAGCCCCAGATCTGCCGGCCCAAATACGACGCCTTTGGGCTGCTTGGAGGCTACGAGGAGCTCGGGCACGACTACGCAGGAGGCGTCGGGCAGCACAGCTTACAGCGGATGGGCTAACGGCGGCGCGCACACGACCACAGGGCCAGGAGAGGGACGCAGAGGTTGAGAGCAAGGGTATGTCATGTTCGGCAAGGGCATGTAGCAGCGAGAAGGGAGATTGGTCTGCCAGGCCAGCTCGGACAGATGTGCGCGAGGAGGGGACAGCCAGACACGTGCCGAGGATGGGATGAAATTTCGGCCGGGCTCAAAATTGTCTTATCTGATAGGACCTGGGACAAAAGCGTTTGCTTGGCATCGCACCCCGAGCACCAGAGCCGGCCACCCGGGTCACTCCAGAGGGCTTACTGAGGGTCTGCAGAGGGTTGTACTCAGGACATGATGTTTATACGAGACCGACGTGAAAACTTTCTTCGCGTTTGCCCTCCTCGTCCCTTGATTTGGCATGCAGCGCGCGCTGGGCCACATCGAGATTCCCGAGCACCTCGTCAAAGCCGCCTACTCGACCTCGCCGGCTCTGCAGCACCCTCGCAGCCTCCGAACACCGGTCATCGCGCCTCAGGGCTCTGCAGCGGAAGGGATACGCTGTACCTAAAGAGAAAGAATGCAGACGGCGATCATTGAGGCACTATGCTTATAAGCTAGCGTGACCCGGAGGCAGGCGATCTCCCCAACCCCGTCTCTTGAAAAACTCACGAAAACACACCCAGGGAGAGGGCACCGCACGATGCTCGTCGCTGGAATCCTCTTCTCGCTGCTGTCTACGCTGGCTACGGTCACCCAGGCGTCGGACGCTGACAAGCTCCGCCGCCTGATGGTTGACTCGCGCTTCCTCCAGATCGTTACGTGAGTTTCAGCTTATCCGTTGTCAGGCTCGCTGGCGTGCCTCCCGACAAGCTTATCAAGAGCATGCAACCCCGAGGCTAACTCGCAGTCCCTGCAAGACCGGCGGTACTAACCGCAACAACGCTGCCGAGTGGCTCCGCACCGCGTTCCACGACGCTGTCGACCACGATGCCGCGGCCGGCACCGGCGGTGTCGACGGAAGCATCGACTACGAGCTCGACTTTGAGGAGAACAAGGGTATCGCGTTCCCGTCCGTTATGACCCAGTACAAGTTTTACCAGCAGGAGGACGTGTCTCTGTCCGACATCATCGCCCTCGGTGCTATCGTCGCCGTCGGTGCTTGCGGTGGTCCCATGATTCCGATGTACCACGGCCGCCAGGACGTGTTCCAGAACGGTGGTACCGGCCGCTTGCCTCTGCCCGAGGGCTCGACCGAGTCGCACATCGAGATCTTCAAGCGCATGGGTTTCACTACCGAGGAGATGATCGGCCTCGTTGCGTGCGGACACACGCTCGGTGGTGTCCACGCCAACATCAACGGACACATCACGAGCCAGCCGTACCACCACTTTGACACCACTGTCGACGGCTTCGACAACAGCATCGCCAAGGGTCACATTGAGGACACGCGCGTGAACCCGATCGGCCAGCCTTGGGACCCGAACAACCCTGCCGTGTCCTCTGACACCCGAACCTTTGCTGCCGACGGCAACGTGACGATGCGCGGCTTCGCCGAGTCGCAGGACAAGTTCTTCAACACGTGCGCCGACCTGCTCGAGCGCATGGTCAACCTCGCCCCCTCGAGCGTCAGCCTGCAGGGCCCGCTTGAGCCTTTCCCTATCTCGGCCACCTTCTGGCCGCAGATGCGCAACGGAGCCTACTCGTTCCTCACCGGCTCGGCGCGTCTGTACAACCTCAAGGGCCAGTGGTCTTCATTCGACATTACGTACACGAACCGTGACGGTTCGGCCGGTACCGACGCCTCGCTCCTGAGCGTCAAGGACGTGCAGGAGATGTCCATCGGCAAGCCGATCGAGTACCGCAACTTCAACATGGGCACCCGGTCCGTCCCTCCCGAGTCTGGCATCGGTTCTGTCGTCATCAACGTCCGCATGAACGACGGCAGCACCCGCCAGGAGGTCGTCGAGCTCGACGACACGATCATGGTCGACATCGGCAACCAGTACACATGCAAGTACACCGGCGCCGAGAACAACAACGCGAACGGCCTCAACGTCTCCATGGCCGTGCTTGCGCCGTACAACGACGAGGACAAGGTCGAGGTGCGCTACAAGAGCAGCAGTGGCGAGCACACGCTCGCGGCCAGCTACATCGGCGCCCGCGACGCGACGTACAACATCTACAACGTCTTCATCCCCGACATGGACGCGATCGGCCTGACCAAGTTTGGCGGCTTCCTCACGCGCGCGGACGGGAGCACGCACAAGGACACAAAGGACGACGTCTGGTACCGCACCAACACGCTCGGCAAGTGTGTCGCGGGCGCGACCATCCCGACTGCCGTGCCCACGCCCTCGGCCGCGCTCGCCCGCCGCGCGGCTGCCAAGAAGACCGCCCCCGCCTCCCCGTGCTCTGCTGGCGCTGGGTGGGCGTACTGCAACGACCGTTGCGTCAACATCCTCTCGGACATTGAGCACTGCGGCGGCTGCTCGGACGCCGGAGGCGTCGACTGCGGCTCCCTCACCGACGGAGACGTGCAGTGCATCCAGGGCAAGTGCGTCGTTGCCTACTAAGCATTCTGTATTACCACCACATACTCATTCCTTCACATATGCACTTTGGGTTGATGCACGCAGAGGAGCACTAGGTCAGCAGGAGTATAAGGTCAGCATAAGTTAGCGTGGGGCGGGAGAGAGTAAGGTGTGTAAGGGCGTTGACGAGCGTGGGGGATGTCGATCCTGCGAAGGGCGCCTCCCGAGCTCCGTTGGGTTCGTTGGGAGCCTGGAAGTTGGTCATCTCGCTCGACTGTGGGGGACAATAACTCTAGGCGAAGCGCCCTCCGACCCTAAGCTCAAGTTGAATGTTTCTTGGTGCTCGGCTTGCCAGACGATGAGCTGCGCGCTGAAGGGAGAGAAGGAGAATCGGGAGTGCGCATGACCCATGTTCTCATGCTCAGATGTTAGGGTGGCCGTTAATCCTTCGACAGCTATAAGAGCACAAAAAGGAGAGCTGCGACCAGGGGTTCAGTTATGCGGGTGTGCTTGGATGGACGCGTCAAGACTGATGACCATCGTGGGAGAGGTTTGACTTTGGCGAAAATGCCCTCGGACCCCGACCGGACAGCCGCAGGCGTCCAGACTTAGCGATATAAAACTGATCGTGTGACGACAAGCGTGCGCAACTTGTTCTGATGCACCGCACATAGTATCGCTGCACCGGCTGCTCTTTAATATGTACAGACCAGTCCTAGACGGGCCAAATGCATGTCGTAACCCTGATACACCTAGCAACTACGAAAGAGCCGCGATGAGCTTAGTCGGAGGCCTGGACGGGGAACTCGAAGACGACCTCCTTGCCGCAGAGAGCGCGGTAGATGGACGAGAAGGCGTCGAGCTTGTACTCGAGGAGGTTCTGGTCCTTGGCGTCAAGGTAGGCCTTGCCGAGCTTGGCACCGTCCTGGGCGACGCGGGTGCGGCGGCCAGTGATCTCGGAGGGGAAGACAAGGTCGTCGAGGGTAGCGTCCTGAACGGCGGAGAGAGTGCGCGAACGGGGGCGCTTCTGGCCGAGCTTGGCGTTCGACTTGCGCGACTCCTTGGGGAGAACGCGGCGCTGGCCAATGAACACGACATACTTGTCCGAGAGCTTCTTCTCGAGCTCACGGGTAAGGCTGCAAATTTCGATTTGAAGTAACGCAAGGTAAAAAACGAGAGGAGAGAGTAGTTCGAGAATTGCGATTGCGGAGTTGAAGTTGCAGTTGAGGATGAGGTTGAGGTTGATGAGTTGAAGTGAGGTTGCGGTTGAGGTGTTGAAGTTGAAATCGAAGTTGAGGAGGGATGTTGAAGTTGCAGTTGATGTTGACATTGAAGTGCGAGTTTTGAGGTGCGATTGAGAAAGAAAGACGTATCAGTATCACATGCGGGACCGCCAGACCCGGCACCATCCACCCAGGGCAATCCGAAAGGGAGGTGCTCTTGAAAAAGACCTCCTACTACCCCCGCCGCTCCGTACAGGATTCAGGATACTCGGGGAAGGGAACACGACAACTTACCGCTGCTGGATCTTGTGGAAAGCCTTCAGCTGGGGAACGGGGACGAAGACGACGATGGCCTTCTTGCCGCCCTTGACGTCGACCTCACGAGCAGAGGAGATCTGGAGGGGAGCAAGCTCGGACTGAAGCTCGGGAACGTTGTTCTGGAGGTCCAGGAGAGCCTGGGCAATCTGCTGCTCAACCTCGGTGGGGGCAGTGCGAGGAGCGTTGGCAGTGCTGAGAGGTCAGTGGAGTTCGGGGCAGTAAAGACGAGACGTCGGCCGCTTGCGCTCATTCCATATCCTTCCTGCTGTACGCGGCACGATAAGGCCGCCTTGCCGTCCTCCGACGTTGAGAAACGTTTGCCACATCAGACAGCAGATCAGAAACCTTGCGCCCCTCCCTCGTCTCTGAACCACCTTCACCCTCATCAAGTCCAAATCCATGTCCAAACGCAACATTCCTGCAGCTCGACGTCTCGTATTTTGCACTCACCGGAAGATCTTGCTCTGGAACGACATCTTTTTTTCTGGCGAAGAGTTAGCTGTCGTCGTTTCTCGATATGTGAAGGTTTTAATGTGACGGGTATGGCGGCCTCAAAATTCGAGTTTCAAGGATTTGCCGTTTCGTAGATGCGCGATGGGCGTCGTCGGGGTACGCAGTCGTCGTCCTCTTGTAGAGTGTCGTCGTCGCGGGGGTGCTGTGGACTTACTTTAGTCTAGGAAAGGTTGACGGGTAAAGAAGACCTGTACGAAGGCTCGTAGAGAAATCGACAACGGTGCACGCCCGCGCCCGCACCCAGGGAGGGATCCGCCTCGCTCAGATCACGTGTCGGCGTCGTCGAGAGTTTGATGACCATTTCATGCCACAGTCGGAAATTCATCCATCGGCGTTTAGCACGTGGCACATATATGCCTTCTCATCGATGCACGAAGGTGAAATGCATGCAGCTGTAACGACGATTAAATGCATGGGAGGAGACTTGGTGTGGCCAATAGGTCCTACGCTGCCATCTCCTGAGGACTGTCTCTGATAGCGCTGATCACTGTGTGCCTGCCGGCTGAGTGTGGACCACTCCTGGCCACCGTCTCTGCCCTGGCAGCATGGCATATGGCGAGCAGTGTACAGTCATGTGCTGAGGATCGTCTTGGCCATCCGTCCGACCGATCGGCGAGTTGTGCGTGGCGCATACCAGCAGCAACGGAGGCGCACCCTCTTCCCTTCGACAAGCGATGCAAACAACCTCACTCTGGAAGCACGGCAGGTCTTATCTTTAGCGGGCCGAAGTGCGGATGCCACCGGCGTGCCAGCCCCTGCCCTCCATTGCCACAATATGCGCGCGCAGCAGACTACAACCTTGCACTGGGGGTTGCCGTTTCAGAGTGCTCATCTCCTTGACGATGGCGACGGTCATGCTTCAGCACGCCGGCGGACTAGTGCATGCGCACACAGTAGTTCTCACGGGTGAACGGTCCTCCGCGGATCCGGGAAGGGGTGCTCGAGCTTGGGAAAGACAGGGGTACCTGTCTTGCAAGCGAGCACCACTCCGAGCGCGCAAGCGGTCACCGGCCACCGGGAAGATTGCCGTTCGCCATCCATCAGCACGGGATAACCGGCTCCTGCACAAAAATGCACTTTTGCAGTGTTCGCATCATCCACTAGCTTATCTACCGCTCTCGTTACGTATCCGCAGTCAGCGCATGGCCCTGCTCTCTCCGTCCATCAGCTGATCGACACGGCTGCTGCGAAATATCGCGCCCTTGGTGCAGGGTTGCAACCGATTCACGCCTGGCCCTTCCCCGTGGGGTACGCCGCCTCGATCATTGGGCCACTTTACGCGACGGCAGGTCTCAGGTCGCACGTCGCGGGTCTCACAGCAACACACTCTCCTTCATCACAAACTACCAACTCTTTCTCAGTGGCTGCGATCCACCCACGATGCCGCGCGTCCTGATCCGAGGGTTTCGGGCCGCGACACTGGCCAAGGTCCTCGTCCTGGTCGTCGTGGGTGCGGTCCTCATCTACCAGTGGCCGGTCGAGCGGCAGCTGCTGACCATCGACGACGATGCCCTCACCGACCTGTACTCGTCGACGCTGGCGCAGGTCTCCGCCGAGCACGAGAAGATCCGCATGCGCATCATCAACGATGCAGGCTACGACCCCGAGCGAGCCGCGCGCGACCTCCTCGCCCCGCCCAAGTTTCCGAAGGGCAACTACACCCTCTCGCCCAGTTCGGAAGAGTACGTGAAGCGTCTCCAGTGGCAGCTGCAGGTCGCGATGACCGACTCGCCGTATCTCCGTGAGCTCCGCGCGACTGTCGAGAAGGTCGCGACGCATCAGCACCCCCTCATCGGCCGCTTCCCGCCAAACCTCATCTCGACCGACAAGCTCGCAGGTTCAGGCATCCCGGACCTGTTCCGTATGTGGGCTGCCCTACTTCCCCTGCCGCTGGACGAGAGTCTGGCCGACCTCCTCCCCGAGGCGGAGTGGGCGGCGCCTGCTCGAGACGGCGCAGTGTGGAAAGTCGACGTCGCGGACGACCACCGTATCAACGCGCAGATGTCGAAGTGGATTGGCGAGAGCAACATCATGTATAGCAACGGTCCGTGGCCGACCAAGTGGAAGAAAATGTCCGCGGCGCTGCGAGCGGATATCTACAGGTAAGCTGCCGAAGCCATGTAATGTAAGCTGATGCCAGGTACATGAGCATGCTTTTCGAGGGAGGCGTGTATGCGGACTCGGACACATCGCCGATAGCGCACCCGTATTTGTGGGGTATCGAGGCGCGCTCTGTGCTTCATCCGGACCTGGAAGTCGTCGAGAGAATTCTCAAGTCGCACGAGGCGGCCGACGCTAGCCACCGGAGAGTATGGGAGAAGCGGTCACCTGTCGGGAAGGAGGAGAGGGCCGAGGGCGACAAGGCCGCAGACGGCAAGGATACTGAGACTAAGGCCAAGGACGCCGGCAAGGAGAAGAAGGAGGTGAAGGAGGAAGTTAAGAAGGAGGAGCCGAAGCCGAAGGAGAAGGAGAAGAAGGCTGAAGACTGCGACGACAAGGACGCGGACGGCAAGTGTGCGCCGCCGAAGAAGTCAACACTGCCCAAGGGCCAGAAGCACATTCCGGTCTACCACGGCCACCGGCGGACAGACGCGCGTGGACCGCCGTACGACCAGACCTCGCTGTTGAGCCCGGACATCAATGTCGTTGTGTCCATTGCGTGGGACTCGGAGAGCACGATCAAGCTGCGGCGGTGGACGCAGTGGTCGTTCGGACTCCTGAAGGACTCGGCGCGGCAGAGCGACTACGGCCGCAGTCTTCAGTTTGAGCGCTACGTGATTGCTGTGAGTTGACTCCTCGACGCTGTGAACTGACACTCAGGCCAAGCCTTTCCATCCGATCTTCCTCGACACCGTGACGACGATCGTGGACATGGTGGACGCGGAGGGCGCGAGCGAGAACGAGCGGCTCGACGCGCTGTCTCTCAGCGGCACGGGCGTCTTTTCGGACGCAGTGCTGCGATACCTCCTCGTGCGCTACGGCGTGACGCCGGACAAGCTGCGCGGTATCCGCGGCCCTGTTCGCGTCGGCGACGTGCTCATCCTGCAGGAGGGTGCGTTCCAGGCGCCCGAGTTCGCCATCGACCGCATGATCGAGTACATCCGGCAGTACTTCCCCATGCTCCCCGGCTCGGGATCGGTCAAGTACATCCCCGGCGAGAACCTCTGGTACTGGGGGGCGGGGTACGAGACGTGGAAGACTGGCGGACGGCAGCTCGTCTTCCACGGTATTTCCGATAGGGTGAGTTTCAGCTAGTTCTTTTTGGCCTTTTAGCTGACATGACAGTGGAAGGACGACGTCGACAAGCAGGAGACCGAGTGGGAGGAGGAGGAGTAGCATACAGCCATAGATTGGGACTCATTGTACAGGTGATCTTATGCATCATGACCGCTAACTCTGGTAGCACGCGAGTGCGACGACGGCGTCGGTGTCGGCGTCGGAACACCTCGACGAGAGCGATTCCTTGCCCTCGACCGGCAACTCGCAGAACCCAAGGGCACCTGTGTCCTTGCCGTTCTCGTACATATCCCACCTCCCATCAGGGCGGCGCCAGAGGTCGATCCACGCCGAGTCCTCGCGCTGTATGCGTGCCCAGTCATACCCGCCGCGTGTCACGGCTACAGACTTCCAGTTCTTCAGCGACTTGTTGACACCCTTCCCGTCCGTGTTGAACTTTTGCAGAGGGCGGCAGTCTGAAACGCAGTCCTGCCCGCCGAACTGGACGCACGAGTCGATGCGCACGATTTCGTACCCATTGCTGCTGTCTTCCTGCGTCCGGAGGCGCGACACGTCGTTGATCGTGTTCTGGCTGGGGGTGTAGGCAGCCTTCCGGAGTCGCGCTACTATGGTGAAGGTTGGTTCCCAGCCCCAGAGGTGCTGGGCGTGGGCTGTGGTGGCTAGGAGGTATAGGGTGGGGAAAAGTCGCATTTTTGGAGTAGGCTGTGCCACATTAGTCCCGTTCTCTTCGTGTCTACCCACCAGGTCTGGTCCCCTTCGGTGGCGGCGAGGATACCTCAACGGAGGCTCTTCCATAAGCATCTGTACTGTCGCGGCATCTTATATAACCAGTCGCCGCAACCACATTGAACAATGATGTCCCGACACAATGGGGTTCGGCCTTGACGACGGGCAGTTGCCTCGTGGCCGATGTCGATCGGCGGTGGACACAAAGATCGCCGATATCCCACGCCCGTCCGCGAAGCTTGACGCTTCGGATCATCAAACAACACCCTCACTGCTTCTTTTCCTCCTCTTCCTTCCCTACATATAACGCCGCTTGAAGTCGACATACCCTTTTCTTTCTCTCCATTATTCGCCACTTCCCAGCGTTAGGCTGCTTCCAGCCATGCCCACAACTCTTACCCCTTCCACTTCCGCTCCGACTGCCTTTGTTCAGCATCTGGTTGAAGTAATCCATTGTAGCTCCCCAGGCCTCCCTGGCATTCGGTGTCGTCCCCCTCAGACTTCCCTGGCGTACGCTGCGGCAGCCACAGGTCTGAGGGGAAGGACGTGGTTCCTTGTAGCTCCCCTCCCCTCAGATCTCCCTGGCGTACGCTGCGGCAGCCAAAGGTCTGAGGAGGAGGCCGCGATTCCTTGTAGCTCCTCTTCCCCCCCTGCTGCGCCTGCTCCTAAGCGACAGGTCGCCCCCAAGCTCACCCATGTTAATACTTATGACTATTATGATAGCCTTCCTCTCCCTAATTCCTATCTACCCCTGCCCCCTACCTTAATATTAACAACACTCCTCCCTTCTCCTACCCCC